AGCTCAGAACCGATTCATTCATAGTAAACAACCTGATCACATGACCGGCAGCCACTCAAATAAAGGTAAATTTTAAACTATATATGCATAAATATATATATATATAGAGAGAGGCCCTTTATAATATATATATATATATATATATATATATATATATATATATATATATATATATATATATATATACATATATATATATATATATATATATATATATATATATATATATATATATATATATATATATATATATATATATATATATATTTATGTATGTATATATATATATATATATATTTATATATGTATATATATACATGTACATGCTTATACAAATATATATATTCACACTTTTTGGATAGTATATAGCAACTGTCATTTATTATAACTCTGCGTGTTTGCGTGCGTGTGTATGTGTGTGTGAACGATTGTGTGTGTGTGTGTGTGTGCGTGCGTTAGTGTGTGTGTGTGTGCGGGTGTGTGCGTGCGCGCGCGCGATATGTTACGATATGTCTTGCACTCGACGTTGTACGAGAGAATGCTAATATATTGTTGACCAACAAACATTAGCCGAAAGTGATGGACCTATACTGTTTTTTATTGTTATTTTTAACCACATATTTTAAATGCATTTCGTTTCTCCGATTTCTGAATAATTAAGATAAAAAAATTCTTAAGTTTTTTTTTTTTTTTTGTATTAATTTTGGAAATAAGTACTAGACGATTAAATATGAGGACGTGTTTTCAGTTTACCTAAAAAAAAATAAGCATTTGGCATGTGTCGTTAGCTTCACTAACAACTATCTTTAGATGGAGGCCTAACATTTGTAATCTAACAAAGGCTTTAGTTGGAGAATGTCAGGGTTAGGATAGTCAGCCTTGGGTGGCAAGATTGTCATGGCTGGTTCTCGAATGTTCTGCGCACGTCTGCCCGTGTCTGCCCATGATGTATGCTAGCCAGATTTGTGCTAACACATTTTTATCGTAAGATTTTTAAACAGGTCACAGCGTGGACAGCAGAAGGATAATCTGTCTCTGTATTTCAAATTATCCTTTGTTTAAATGTGTCTCTACCTTTCAAATTATCCTTTGTTTAAATGTGTCTCTACCTTTCAAATTATCCTTTGTTTAAATGTGTCTCTACCTTTCAAATTATCCTTTGTTTAAATGTGTCTCTACCTTTCAAATTATCCTTTGTTTAAATGTGTCTCTACCTTTCAAATTATCATTTGTTTAAATGTGTCTCTACCTTTCAAATTATCATTTGTTTAAATGTGTCTCTACCTTTCAAATTATCCTTTGTTTAAATGTGTCTCTACTTTTCAAATTATCATTTGTTTAAATGTGTCTCTACCTTTCAAATTATCATTTGTTTAAATGTGTCTCTACCTTTCAAATTATCATTTGTTTAAATGTGTCTCTACCTTTCAAATTATCCTTTGTTTAAATGTGTCTCTACCTTTCAAATTATTCTTTGTTTAAATGTGTCTCTACCTTTCAAATTATCCTTTGTTTAAATGTGTCTCTACCTTTCAAATTATCCTTTGTTTAAATGTGTCTCTACCTTTCAAATTATCCTTTGTTTAAATGTGTCTCTACCTTTCAAATTATCCTTTGTTTAAATGTGTCTCTACCTTTCAAATTATCCTTTGTTTAAATGTGTCTCTACCTTTCAAATTATCATTTGTTTAAATGTGTCTCTACCTTTCAAATTATCATTTGTTTAAATGTGTCTCTACCTTTCAAATTATCCTTTGTTTAAATGTGTCTCTACTTTTCAAATTATCATTTGTTTAAATGTGTCTCTTCCTTTCAAATTATCATTTGTTTAAATGTGTCTCTACCTTTCAAATTATCATTTGTTTAAATGTGTCTCTACCTTTCAAATTATCCTTTGTTTAAATGTGTCTCTACCTTTCAAATTATTCTTTGTTTAAATGTGTCTCTACCTTTCAAATTATCCTTTGTTTAAATGTGTCTCTACCTTTCAAATTATCCTTTGTTTAAATGTGTCTCTACCTTTCAAATTATCCTTTGTTTAAATGTGTCTCTACCTTTCAAATTATCCTTTGTTTAAATGTGTCTCTACCTTTCAAATTATCCTTTGTTTAAATGTGTCTCTACCTTTCAAATTATCATATGTTTAAATGTGTCTCTACCTTTCAAATTATCATTTGTTTAAATGTGTCTCTACCTTAAACAAATTATCCTTTGTTTAAATGTGTCTCTACTTTTCAAATTATCATTTGTTTAAATGTGTCTCTACCTTTCAAATTATCATTTGTTTAAATGTGTCTCTACCTTTCAAATTATCATTTGTTTAAATGTGTCTCTACCTTTCAAATTATCCTTTGTTTAAATGTGTCTCTACCTTTCAAATTATTCTTTGTTTAAATGTGTCTCTACCTTTCAAATTATCCTTTGTTTAAATGTGTCTCCACCTTTCAAATTATCCTTTGTTTAAATGTGTCTCTACCTTTCAAATTATCATTTGTTTAAATGTGTCTCTACCTTTCAAATTATCCTTTGTTTAAATGTGTCTCTACCTTTCAAATTATCCTTTGTTTAAATGTGTCTCTACCTTTCAAATTATCATTTGTTTAAATGTGTCTCTACCTTTCAAATTATCATTTGTTTAAATGTGTCTCTACCTTTCAAATTATCCTTTGTTTAAATGTGTCTCTACTTTTCAAATTATCATTTGTTTAAATGTGTCTCTACCTTTCAAATTATCCTTTGTTTAAATGTGTCTCTACTTTTCAAATTATCATTTGTTTAAATGTGTCTCTACCTTTCAAATTATCATTTGTTTAAATGTGTCTCTACCTTTCAAATTATCATTTGTTTAAATGTGTCTCTACCTTTCAAATTATCCTTTGTTTAAATGTGTCTCTACCTTTCAAATTATTCTTTGTTTAAATGTGTCTCTACCTTTCAAATTATCCTTTGTTTAAATGTGTCTCTACCTTTCAAATTATCCTTTGTTTAAATGTGTCTCTACCTTTCAAATTATCCTTTGTTTAAATGTGTCTCTACCTTTCAAATTATCCTTTGTTTAAATGTGTCTCTACCTTTCAAATTATCCTTTGTTTAAATGTGTCTCTACCTTTCAAATTATCATTTGTTTAAATGTGTCTCTACCTTTCAAATTATCATTTGTTTAAATGTGTCTCTACCTTTCAAATTATCCTTTGTTTAAATGTGTCTCTACTTTTCAAATTATCATTTGTTTAAATGTGTCTCTTCCTTTCAAATTATCATTTGTTTAAATGTGTCTCTACCTTTCAAATTATCATTTGTTTAAATGTGTCTCTACCTTTCAAATTATCCTTTGTTTAAATGTGTCTCTACCTTTCAAATTATTCTTTGTTTAAATGTGTCTCTACCTTTCAAATTATCCTTTGTTTAAATGTGTCTCTACCTTTCAAATTATCCTTTGTTTAAATGTGTCTCTACCTTTCAAATTATCCTTTGTTTAAATGTGTCTCTACCTTTCAAATTATCCTTTGTTTAAATGTGTCTCTACCTTTCAAATTATCCTTTGTTTAAATGTGTCTCTACCTTTCAAATTATCATATGTTTAAATGTGTCTCTACCTTTCAAATTATCATTTGTTTAAATGTGTCTCTACCTTAAACAAATTATCCTTTGTTTAAATGTGTCTCTACTTTTCAAATTATCATTTGTTTAAATGTGTCTCTACCTTTCAAATTATCATTTGTTTAAATGTGTCTCTACCTTTCAAATTATCATTTGTTTAAATGTGTCTCTACCTTTCAAATTATCCTTTGTTTAAATGTGTCTCTACCTTTCAAATTATTCTTTGTTTAAATGTGTCTCTACCTTTCAAATTATCCTTTGTTTAAATGTGTCTCCACCTTTCAAATTATCCTTTGTTTAAATGTGTCTCTACCTTTCAAATTATCATTTGTTTAAATGTGTCTCTACCTTTCAAATTATCCTTTGTTTAAATGTGTCTCTACCTTTCAAATTATCCTTTGTTTAAATGTGTCTCTACCTTTCAAATTATCATTTGTTTAAATGTGTCTCTACCTTTCAAATTATCATTTGTTTAAATGTGTCTCTACCTTTCAAATTATCCTTTGTTTAAATGTGTCTCTACTTTTCAAATTATCATTTGTTTAAATGTGTCTCTACCTTTCAAATTATCATTTGTTTAAATGTGTCTCTACCTTTCAAATTATCATTTGTTTAAATGTGTCTCTACCTTTCAAATTATCCTTTGTTTAAATGTGTCTCTACCTTTCAAATTATTCTTTGTTTAAATGTGTCTCTACCTTTCAAATTATCCTTTGTTTAAATGTGTCTCTACCTTTCAAATTATCCTTTGTTTAAATGTGTCTCTACCTTTCAAATTATCATTTGTTTAAATGTGTCTCTACCTTTCAAATTATCCTTTGTTTAAATGTGTCTCTACCTTTTAAATTATCATTTGTTTAAATGTGTCTCTACCTTTCAAATTATCCTTTGTTTGAATGTTTCTCTACCTGTCAAATTATTTTTTGTTTAAATGTGTCTCTACCGTTCAAATTATTTTTTGTTTAAATGTGTCTCTACCTTTCAAATTATCATTTGTTTTAATGTGTCTCTACTTTCAAATTATCATTTGTTTAAATGTGTCTCTACCTTTCGAAATATCTTGTTTAAATGTGTCTCTACCTTTCAAAACATCCTGTGTTCAAATGTGTTTCTGCCTTTAGAATGCACCTGTTGAAAACATATATCTACTTTTCAGAATGTCTCTGATGAAAATATCTCTACCTTTCAGAATGTCTAATGTTAAAATGTCCCTAACATAAACATCTATACCTTTCAAAATGTCCCTAACAAAAACATCTCTACTTTTCAGAATGTCCCTTTCAAAAATATATCTCTACCTTTTAAAATGTCTAATGTTATAAATGTTCCTAACGTAAACATATCTTTTAAAATGTCTATTGTTAAATTAACACAGATGAAAACATTTCTCAACATTTCAGAATGTCCCCCTCGAAGATTTGGACAAAACTGTATGTACGACTGCCACTGTTTGAACCCAGAGGAATCCTGCAACTCGGCCACGGGCTCGTGTGTGTCAGGGTGTGCCTGGGGGTGGGGCGGCCACGACTGCCAACTACGTAAGTGTCAAGCAGAAGTAGAGCTGTCTTGCTTTCTTCTCACAGCTTTTTAGTTACCCTTGTTACATTATGTCTTGTTGGTTATTGTTACGTCCCTTGTTTCATGTATAATAGAGTAATGTCCCTTGAGTGTTCAGTGTGTTCACGTTGATGTGTAACTGATGTGTACGTGAGGCGGATGTGTACATGTAAGTTTGTGAACTAAGATGAACCTTGAGACAAGACTTGTCTTCTAAGGTGTCTCGTGTGAATAGTAATAAAGTACTAAAGTTAACTCGAAAAAGTGTGTTGTTCCAAACGATAGAATCAAGAACTGTAACAGTCCTAATTTGTTTTTGTCAACGTTTCTGATTTTATAGTTTGTAGGTATCCTAATTTTCATTTTTTTTATTTTGTGTATGTCATAATTCGTTAGTTATTATAGTTTCCGTTGTTATAATTTGTAATTGTCATAGCATGTCATAATTAGTTAGTTGTCATATTTTGTAGTTCTCACGATGTGTTTTTGCTGTCCAAGTTTATTAGTTGCATGATTTGTTAGCTTTCATAGTTTCTTAGTTATCACGTGTTTCTAATCCGAGTTTGTTAGTTGTCGAGATTTGTTAGTTGTTATAGTTTGTTAGTGTGTGTGGGGAGGGGGGTGTTTAGATAAAATAGGAGTGTGAAACAAATGACCAAATCATATAGGAGAGTTAAATGACCAGGTCTAAATTGCCTGAAAGAAAAATAAGAACCAAATCAGAGATTTAGAAACTGACGAAATCACACAATGGCGATTAGTTAAATTAGTTATGGGTCTTTTTATTATAGTAGCGTCACGATTATCAAATGCTAAACAACATTTTTCTTTGTACGGGGGAGGGGGGTTGGTATATTAAACTGAATAAAGACGAACATCAGCGAATAAAAAATTACATTTTTTTTCTTAAATTCTCAAATTTTTGGTTGGGAGCTTGGGAATGCTAAAATTGGAGGCGAGAAGAGGAGAAAAAAATGTAATTGAACTGTGTTTTATTGACAGCGGTACCTTGTGATGCTAATCGATATGGGTGGGAGTGTACACAAACGTGCATGTGTGTGAATCCCCGACACTGCGACAGGTTCACCGGCCCCAACAAGAGCTGTACCTGCAAGCCAGGGTTCTTCAACCCCCCTATTTGTGAGCCAGGTATGTGAAGATTACATTCTTCAGCGAAGTAAGAAATTAGTATTGGTCTTGTTGGAAGCGGAGCAAGGACTATAGGATTTACATCGGCCAAATTATGTTACATTCTTCAGCGAACTAAGAAATTAAGAAATTGTTTCTTGTTGGAAGCGGAGCAAGGACTATAGGACTTACATCGGCCAAATTATGTTACATTCATCAGCGAAGTAAGAAATTAGTATTGTTTCTGTTGGAAGTGGAGCAAGGACTATAGGATTTACATCGGCCAAATTGACGTTATATTTACCTACAAAGTAAGAAATTAGTATTGTTTCTGTTGGAAGCGGAGCAAGGACTATAGGACTTACATCGGCCAAATTATGTTACATTCATCAGCGAACTAAGAAATTAGTATTGTTTCTGTTGGAAGTGGAGCAAGGACTATAAGATTTACATCGGCCAAATTGACGTTATATTTACCTACAAAGTAAGATATTAGTATTGTTTCTTGTTGGAAGCGGAGCAAGGACTACAGGATTTACATCGGCCCAATTATGTTACATTCATCAGCGAACTAAGAAATTAGTATTGTTTCTGTTGGAAGTGGAGCAAGGACTATAGGATTTACATCGGCCAAATTGACGTTATATTTACCTACAAAGTAAGAAATTAGTATTGTTTCTGTTGGAAGTGGAGCAAGGACTATAGGATTTACATCGGCCCAATTATGTTACATTCATCAGCAAACTAAGAAATTAGTATTGTTTCTGTTGGAAGTGGAGCAAGGACTATAGGATTTACATCGGCCAAATTGACGTTATATTTACCTACAAAGTAAGAAATTAGTATTGTTTCTGTTGGAAGTGGAGCAAGGACTATAGGATTTACATCGGCCCAATTATGTTACATTCATCAGCGAAGTAAGAAATTTGTATTGTTTTTGTTGAAAGCGGAGCAAGGACTATAGGATTTACATCGGCCAAATTGACGTTATATTTACCTACAAAGTAAGATATTAGTATTGTTCTTGTTGAAAGTGGAGCAAGGACTAAAGGATTTACATCGGCCAAACTATTTTACATTTATAGCGAAGTACGTAATTGGTACTGTTCTTGAAGAAAGCCAAGCATGGACTATATGATTTACATCGGCCAAACTATTTTACATTTATATCGAAGTACAAAATTGGTATTGTTGTTGAAGAAAGCCAAGCTAGGACTATAGGATTTACATCGGCCCAATTGAAGAGAACCGCCCAGAATCTGCTGGAGAGGTGTAGCTGCAGTTCTTCACCCCTCAGGGGCTTCGCGAGAATAACTTACTAACCTAAAACTTTCTAACTTTGTTGTGATTGTTCTGTTTAAATTAATGAACGTTAGATTTCTACTTTGAATTTTTTTTTAAACATGTAACTTTTTTAAAACGAATCTTTAAAAATATTTTACGACGATGTTTTTAGTCAATTAGTTAAAAAAAAACATTTAACACTTTTTTGTGTTGTTGCACAACTGTTTGCAAAAATCCCATGCGTTCTGTCATTGGCAACCTTTCAGTGAATGCACCAACGATTATTAGCTTCGACAACCAGAAAGTCAACCCGGGGGAGCCAAGCAGGTTTAACTGTACCATCGCAGCCTACCCCGTCCCCAGTGAGAACGACATTCAGCTCAAAGGTCCCGGGGGTAGGAGGATCAGCATCATCACATCCAGCTTGAACAAGGACTCGAATGTATTCGCCAGGACGACGACATTTGAGGTAATATGTTCATAACATTTGAGGTAATAAGCTCACAACAGTTGAGGTAATAAGCTCTAATAAGCTCACAACATTAGAGGTAATATGTTCATAACAATTGAGGTAATAAGCTCACAACATTTAACGTAATTAGCTCACAAAATTAGAGGTAATTAGCTCACATTTGAGGTAATAAGCTCGAATAAGCTCACGATATTTGAGGTAATAAGCTCACAACATTTAACGTAATTAGCTCACAAAATTAGAGGTAATAAGCTTAGATTTGAGGTAATAAGCTCTAATAAGCTCACGATATATTTTAGGTAATTAGCTCACAAGATTTTGAGGTATTAAGCTCACAATATTCCTTTCTTCTAGCTCAAAACATTCCATTCTATAAGCTGCTAGCTTTCAAATGTAGCAAATATTAGCTTTCTCCCAGAACTTAAAATAAACTGGAGTTTACAATTGACCATTAATTTTATCATTATTATCTTTTCTCTTTCGTTCCTCAGACACATGGAGGGTCAGAGGCGTAGCGACCCTTCCGGCGCCTGGGGACAAACTTTCGATTTGCACCCCCCCCCCCCTCAAACTTTCGATTTGTTTTTCCAACCCATTTTGGCGCCCCCCTAAGTTCGGCGCCCGGGGACATGTGTGTCCCCCCGCCACCCCCCACCCCCCTCGCGACGCCTCTGTGGGGGGCGACATAGAAAGCTCCCTCCATTTGTGTCAGTCTCCGGTCATTAATATTCATATTAATTTAGCCTACGATAAAAAAAAATTGTGTAGCCTAAGCCCATATGATGTAATGGGTGACAGCTCGCGCTTAATAGATGTCACACCCCTCTTCTGTACAGGATTGACTTTTTAGAGGAGACGGGTCACACACAAAAACAACAAATAGATGCCACACACCCCTCTTCCGAGCAGCGTTAACTACCCTCTTCACTCGAGTTTCTTTCATGTATCCCCCCCCCCCCCTTTCAAGCGAAATGGAATTTATATAGAAAATGTATACTTTTACAAGTGTCCGCCCCCTCTCCCCTCCCCATGAAAAATTTAGTCTGAAAGAAACCCCGCTCTTCACTGTATCAAACAAGAGCAAGCAGCAGAGGCTACAGACAAAACAAACTCTTGGAACAGGAGAGTGCAACGGCACAGGCTACAGACAAAACAAACTCTTGGAACAGGAGAGTGCAACGGCACAGGCTACAGACAAAACAAACTTCTAAAGCTGGAGAGTGCAACAGCACAGGCTTCAGACAAAACAAACTTCTAAAGCTGGAGAGTGCAACGGCACAGGCTACAGCCAAAACAAACTTCTAAAGCTGGAGAGTGCAACAGCACAGGCTACAGACAAAACAAACTCCTGGAACAGGAGAGTGCAACGGCACAGGCTACAGACAAAACAAACTTCTAAAGCTGGAGAGTGCAACAGCACAGGCTACAGACAAAACAAACTCTTGGAACAGGAGAGTGCAACGGCACAGGCTACAGACAAAACAAACTCTTGGAACAGGAGAGTGCAACGGCACAGGCTACAGACAAAACAAACTTCTAAAGCTGGAGAGTGCAACAGCACAGGCTACAGACAAAACAAACTCTTGGAACAGGAGAGTGCAACGGCACAGGCTACAGACAAAACAAACTCTTGGAACAGGAGAGTGCAACAGCACAGGCTACAGACAAAACAAACTCCTGGAACTGGAGAGTGCAACAGCACAGTCGTCTTCCATTAGCCGCTGAGACAGTTCTCATAATGGAACTGACCTTCGTCCTCCATTTTTTAGGGGGGGGGGGGCGGTGATTCCTGCTTTACGCCCCCCCCCCCCCCCCCCCCCACCATCACCCTCCCTTCCCAGCTCGCTGTGTTTTCCCCATGCAAAATTATTCACATTAGCAATAAAGAAGATGGACAGACAATATATTGATCTGCCCAAGCTTTCTCGCATTCATGGGTCGTTGTTTTTTTTTTTTTTTAATGAAGTTTCATTACTTGCGCGTTGAAATTGTGCTAAAATCTAACCACGCTGGGTATGGGTTACTCCAAGTAACGTATTGAGAGTTACTCCAAGTAACGTATTAACTGATTTTAGAAGCGTATTTTTATTAATTAAAAGTAAAGTCACCTTTTTGGTCAATCGCGCAGGTGAAGTAGAGTTCATTCGGTTCTGTGACCTCGGCATATGATGGGATTGTGTTATATATCCCAGCCGCCTTTACTTTCCCTAACGCTAGAGTTGTAACCATAACAGCCGCCTTTACTCTCTTAAAACTAGTACTGTACCCATCAAAGATGATGGTCTTATGGTCGTCGCGTTAACTCAAGTCAGGGTCCCAAACTCGAGTCTAACTGCCCGACCATGCTGCCCCATTTTTTTTATTCAAACCTGATGGTCCAGGAAGCAGATAAAGTAGAGTTTACATGTTCTCAGAACTTGTATTATGAAACGTATAGTATAGCACCGCGCCCAGCCACAATACTTTAACCCTTTAGGGTTAGCTAGACCAAACTATCAGAAATCAGTAAAATAAAAGAGAAAAAATGCTCACCATTCTAATGCTGACCTAACCTCAAAAAACATTTCTCCAATCTTAAACCCAATCAACAGATTCTGAATCTGTAGAGTTGTAGGATTATCCCCTTTCCGCCAACAGATTAAGAAAATATTTTTTCTTAATTAAAAAAAAAAGAATGTTTGGATTCTTTTAGGAGCTCTTCACTATGAAGTTTTTTTTACAAAACTAATGGCAAATGCACTATGGAAAAATTGGGTTTTATGATAAAGCCCTAGGGCCAGCCTAATCTAAGTTGGGCTGACAAAGAAAATCTAATTTTAAGCCCTAAAACAGCTAAGGGGAAAAAATGTTTGATTTTTTTTTTCTAGGTTTCAGTCGTGCGACCGAGTGAGAAGTATACGTGCTATTTTAAGACCATTGCCGGGACGGCGGAGCTTACCATGGTGGCCAAGGTGTATGGTAGGTCAAATTGCTGCTGTGCTTGGTTGAATATGTCTGGCAATACAGTTTGTGAAGAGTGAAGTTTGTGGTTGATATTTTTTTTTCTGTTGTGGATGTTGTTGTTTTTTGTTGTTGTTTTTTTCCTTTTTTTGTGGGTGGGGGGGGGGGATTTTTCAACAGGAAGTGGCGCTGTACTCTATTTTCGATTCCTATTTTGATAACTTTATAACATATTCACATATAAAGCACCAAATTCTAAGACCTTTCCGCCTCTGTGTGTTTCCTCGAAAAACGAACTGTTTCCTCACCAACTTACCAGCCATTTCTTTAGCCCCATTCCACTGGAGGTGTCACTACAACTGTATCTGATATATGTGAATATACGTGAAAGTTTAGGGGAGTCCGATGCCACTTTATTATCAAAAGTTTACAATAAAATATAGGAAAATTTCGCTTTGGTGTCACCCGCTCGAATGGTGTCACCCGGTGCGACGCCACTTAATTGTGCTTGTTGTTCTAAAACACCGAGGAAATATCAGAACATACTTACTATTGTTTAAAGGTGCCATTACGAAAACAAAATGATTATTAGGTACTTTTGAAGGGTTCCCAGAAAAATTCGCAATGGAAAAAATGCGCAACTTAAAAACTGCGCAAACAAAAAAAAAATGCGCTTTTCGACTCAATTTATTAATACATCTTAATTTGGTCATATTTCATGAGAAAATGTTTTATTAAGCTACAACGTATTCGTGGATATTTTTGTCTAACGTCTATAAATTATCTTTTTTTATGTCCCTTGCTTATGATATAGTGCGCTTTTTTCCGTTGCGCATTTTGCTGATCGCCCTTTTGTGGCTTCGAGCTAAAAAAAATTGAAAAGTGCAAGCTTTGTGGTCAGGCCGTGCACATGTCAATCAAACAAAGAGAGCTACATGGGCACAGAAAAACGATTTTATTTTCATCTCAAACTTGCGGAATTTTTTTATTTTTGATAATCTATATATATAATTCTCTTCTGGGATCAGTTAGAAAACAAGCTGCAAGCGCGCCTTTGCAGTCCCCTCTCTTCCTCTCTATCACTTCCACCCCCACCCCACCCCCACATGATCTGGTGAGCGGTGTTCACTCTGTTTACATTTTACAATCACAGAGACGGGTTTGGTGACGGCTATTAGGGGCAGATAATTTAGTTTGAAACGATTTTAAACTTAGAGGAGGTAACTAAGAGGAGGCTGCTTTCACGTGGGGGGTTAGTGTTTTTAAGCAAATATTTTCAGTGGCAGCATTGGTACTGTCGAATTCACAAATTATAAATTACTGAAAAGTAGAAAAAAAAAACAACTAAATAGCGGCGTATGATACGCAGCGGGTCGGCTCGTATAGAATTAAAACCCCGTATTTCCATCTCGATCAGGGTAAATTATGTAATTATTCCGTAGTCGAAATAGTGTTATTAATTTATTTATTTATTTTATTATTTCTATTTTATTTTTTTTTTAAATGAAAGCTAGAAAAATATGAAAAAGTGTTAAATGTACTGTTATAAGGGGTAATTTTGATGTATGAAGTATCTACGTTTATTGACATTTAAATGGAGACAACTGCAAACAAATGCGTGTGCGTGAAAATAACCTCCCCTGCTAAAGGGCAATTAGCGGAAATAAGAGCCAAAATGGCAATACGTGATTGTTGTCAAGTCGGAACAACACTAGATGCCAATGTGTCGCGTCAATTGCGGGCCTGCATGGAAACACGTCCAACTTCTGTAGCCGGGAGCATCTTGTTCAAATATTTTTCAAACGTTCTTCACTTGTTTTGTTTTTGGGTTTTTTTTTACAATTTTCTGCGTTGGAAAAAAAAATAACTTTTTACATTGTTTTTGTAAGAATGTTATTTGAATAAATTACTTTGTGCATTTGGAGATAAAAAAAATGGATGCCTGAGTAGGGGGGCGGGTGAGGGTATGGTGGAGATTTAAGCCACAACCCAGATCAACGAGGATTTAACAAATATTGATCTTAAAGAGAAAAAAATTGATCTTTTGCCTGCAAACCAAAAATTTGGAAGAAGCAGGTTATTTTTGTTTTCTCTTCAGTACGTAAACTTTCCCCACTCCAACCTTTAGCTGTAACATTCGTGAATTCTGTTGCACCTTTCTTAATGTATTCGGTTACCATGGTGATGAGCTTAACCGTCCAATCAAGACAAGTAAACTAAGAACACCTGACCTCGCCTGCTTCTGACGTTGGAGATTAGACAGGACTCAGCAGAAAAACCAGGTGGTTGGGGGTAGTTGACCAACCCAGGTGGTTGGGTGTAGGAAATCAAGCCAGGTGGTTGGGGGTAGGAAACCAAACCAGGTGGTTGGGGGTAGGTGACCAAACCAGGTGGTTGGGGTAGGAAATGAAACCAGGTGGTTGGGGGTAGGAAACCAAACCATGTGGTTGGGGGGTAGGAAACCAAACCAGGTGGTTGGGGTAGGAAATCAAGCCAGGTGGTTGGGGGTAGGAAACCAAACCAGGTGGTTGGGGTAGGAAATGAAACCAGGTTGTTGGGGGTAGGAAATCAAACCAGGTGGTTGGGGGTAGGAAACCAAACCAGGTGGTTGGGGTAGGAAATGAAACCAGGTTGTTGGGGGTAGGAAATCAAACCAGGTGGTTGGGGGTAGGAAACCAAACCATGTGGTTGGGGGGTAGGTGACCAACCCAGGTGGTTGGGGGTAGGAAACCAAACCAGGTGGTTGGGGGTAGGAAACCAAACCATGTGGTTGGGGGGTAGGTGACCAACCCAGGTGGTTGGGGGTAGGAAATCAAGCCAGGTGGTTGGGGGTAGGAAACCAAACCAGGTGGTTGGGGTAGGAAATGAAACCAGGTGGTTGGGGGTAGGAACCCAAACCAGGTGGTTGGGGGGTAGGTGACCAACCCAGGTGGTTGGGGTAGGAAATGAAACCAGGTGGTTGGGGGTAGGAAACCAAACCAGGTGGTTGGGGGGGGGGGGTAGGTGACCAACCCAGGTGGTTGGGGTAGGAAATGAAACCAGGTGGTTGGGGGTAGGAAACCAAACCAGGTGGTTGGGGGGGGGTAGGTGACCAACCCAGGTGGTTGGGGGTAGGAAATGAAACCAGGTGGTTGGGGTAAGAAATCAAGCCAGGTGGTTGCAAGATGTTGCGTTAGACCAAGCAGAAAACACAGGTGTGTGTACGTTTGGGCAACCAAAACATGAGCAACCCAGATTGTTAGACTGCCAGGGTGGATGGCTATGATGGAACAATTTGGTAAAAAAAAAATTTTCATAGAATACCACACTGAGCTCCAGCAACAAAAATGTTGGACTTGGGACAATCAAGATGGTCGGACCCTGGTCTAACTAGAGGGTTAGCCAAGACATTTAGAAGGCGAACAACCCCAAAGGTTGGACGAAGGCCAAACAGATGGTTGGACCCGAAGATTGGACAAAATGTTTGGACCTTAAGGTTGGACCAAGGCTAACCAGATGGTTGGACCCGAAGATTGGTCAAAATGTTTGGACCTTAAGGTTGGACCAAGGCTAACCAGATGGTTGGACCCGAAGATTGGTCAAAATGTTTGGACCTTAAGGTTGGACCAAGGCTAAACAGATGGTTGGACCCGAAGATTGGTCAAAATGTTTGGACCTTAAGGTTGGACCAAGGCTAACCAGATGGTTGGACCCGAAGATTGGTCAAAATGTTTGGACCTTAAGGTTGGACCAAGGCTAAACAGATGGTTGGACCCGAAGATTGGTCAAAGAACAACCAGCTGGTTGAGCAAGTATCACGACACAACTCACGTGTTAAAAACTGACGCCGATATCTGTTCACGTTTAAATCATGGGATATCAAGGGATAAAGTTTCTATGGATAAATTTAAGAATAATCCGTCTAATTAACGGATATTTCATGACGGATCTGTCACGCGCGCGAAATTTATAATTATCTGTCAAATTAACGGATAGATCATATTTTATGCAAATAAAAACAATAACGTGTCATTATGTTTCAAGAAATGGGGGCTTAAACAATGGCATGTATTTCATTTCACCGCTCGCTAACACAGACAGCCAGTTTGCCATGTTATTAAATATTTACATAACAGATATACAGTATTAACTATCTCGATAATACTATTATTAGCACTTCCGTTACGTAGCGGTGCATTCAAAACTAGAATGAATACGCGAAACAATCAACTTCGTAAAAATAATATAATTAATTTTTAAAATCTCAGATGATCTAATCCAGGGGTCTCCAAACTACGGCCCGCGGGCCGGTTGCGGCCCGCGAAGTCCTCTAATCCGGCCCGCGGAGATGTTTTTGTCCACGGAAAAGACGTTAGTTGGTGACGGATGAGGAACTGTGCCCAGAAAAATCAAAGACATGCCTGATAGAAACTGGCCCCCGAACTGAAATTTGATAGCCAATGCGGCCCTCGGACTGAAAAGTTTGGAGACCCCTGATCTAATCCCTTATGCTTTACGCACCATACAACAAAATTCCTTCTTATCGGTACGCAACGTGAAAATATGATCCCAAATCTGGCACAGGTCTGACCCAGCCTTAAGATGGCCCAATAAGTCGACCCCAGATTTTTTTTTTGACGTGTTAGTTATCGACTACTGGCTTTGCTGTAGTGATTTCCGATTTCAATGGCGACGGGGTCAACGACGTGTCTCAGTTGTGTATAGAGGGGCGGTAAGGGAGAGAATCCAGTGCCGTGGGTTTCTTAATAAAGGGAGAGAATTCATCTCCCACCGCTTCTTAATCTAAATAGACGTGCGATAAATTGCGGAGTTCCTGTCGTCAACTACCTCTACTTGTTCACGCCTAGTACAAGACTTGACCTGCTGAGAATATATTGGTAACTATTTGTTTGTCGCCATTTTGTGAGCGCTGGCTGCGCGTTTCCCGCGAGAATTCGATTTCCTGTTCTTTAAACAGTACGACAAGGGACTGTAGTGTCAGAGTCAATCTTTGATTTGTAAGTTCTTTGATAATGGGGTACAGGTTGGCGGGGTTCTTTGATAATGGGGTACAGGTTGGCGGGGTTCTTTGATAATGGGGTACGGGTTGGGGGGGTTCTTTGATAATGGGGTACGGGTTGGGGGGGGTTCTTTGATAATGGGGTACAGGTTGGCGGGGTTCTTTGATAATGGGGTACGGGTTGGGGGGGGGGGGTTCTTTGATAATGGGGTACAGGTTGGCGGGGTTCTTTGATAATGGGGTACGGGTTGGCTGGGTTCTTTGATAATGGGGTATAGGTTGGCTGGGTTCTTTGATAATGGGGTATAGGTTGGCGGGGTTCTTTGATGATGGGTTATAGGTTGGCGGGGTTCTTTGATAATGGGGTATAGGTTGGCGTGGTTCTTTGATGATGGGTTATAGGTTGGCGGGGTTCTTTGATAATGGGGTACGGGTTGGCTGGGTTCTTTGATAATGGGGTATAGGTTGGCTGGGTTCTTTGATAATGGGGTATAGGTTGGCGGGGTTCTTTGATGATGGGGTATAGGTTGGCGGGGTTCTTTGATAATGGGGTATAGGTTGGCGTGGTTCTTTGATGATGGGTTATAGGTTGGCGGGGTTCTTTGATAATGGGGTACGGGTTGGCTGGGTTCTTTGATAATGGGGTATAGGTTGGCTGGGTTCTTTGATAATGGGGTATAGGTTGGCGGGGTTCTTTGATGATGGGGTATAGGTTGGCGGGGTTCTTTGATAATGGGGTATAGGTTGGCGGGGTTCTTTGATGATGGGTTATAGGTTGGCGGGGTTCTTTGATAATGGGGTACGGGTTGGTGGGGTTCTTTGATAATGGGGTACGGGTTGGCGGCGTTCTTTGATAATGGGGTACAGGTTGGCGGCGTTCTTTGATAATGGGGTACAGGTTGGCGGGGTTCTTTGATAATGGGGTACGGGTTGGCGGGGTTTTTTAATAAGAGGATGCTAGTTGATGGGGTTCTTTGATTGGGGGCGGGAGTGGGGGTGGTAGTTGACGCGTTCCTTTATAAGCGGGTGCTAGTTGGTTGGATTATTTGATTAGAGGGGTGTAAGTTGATGGGATTCTTTGATATGGGTGGATGCTAGTTGATGGTATTCTTTGATTAGGGATGCTAGTTGGTGTTATTCTTTAATTAGGGGGCGCTAGTTGATGTTGTGAGATTCTTTGGAAAGAGGACCCTCTTCTAGGCAGTAATCTGGGTCAGATTTTGGCTAAAAAGTTCTAAATTTGTTCAATAGTGAATATTGTTACTTGTAAATATGGTTACTTGTAAATATGGTTACTTGTAAATATGATTACTTTCAAATATGCTTACTTGGAAATATGCTTACTTTTCATTACGAGTGTGGTGAAGCCTTTTTATTTAAGAATAAATGACATGCTCATTTACTATTTCAAAGTATACAGAAATGTAAGCAACTATGAACACAAATGTATCAGACACAATAGGGGGCGGTACTTGAAACTTCATGTGGGGTGCTTTTAAAATCCCAAGGGTGGTAAAACTTGTGAAAATGTGTATATTTTATAGAAAAAAAAATTCTATTTGCACGGAGGGAGGGGGGGGGGGGGGGATGAGCTCCGGGGCGGGGTGTAGGACAAAAGGCCGACATCATCCAAAAGGCCGACAAGACAAAAGCCCGACACGGACAAAAGGCCGACACGGACAAAAGGCCGACATGGACAAAAGACCGACAGCCAAAAGGCCGACAGGATATAAGGCCGACAGGACATAAAGCCGACAGCCTAAAGGCCGACAGTCCATAAGGCCGACAAACCATAAGGCCGACAAACCATAAGGCCGACAAGCATAAAAAATAATAATATCGCAAAATATGTGTTACTGCATAGCTTCTATCTTGACAACCATCGAAATAAGGTATGAAATAAGGTGAAACGTTCAAGAGAAGAGACGGTGCTAGTTGCTATTCTTATAAGGTGAACCATCGGGTCAAGCGACTGGAGATTACGGGAGTATCTTAAACACAAAGGATCAACACCTAAATATTGCGAAATGCTGTCACTGCTGTCTTTCATAGCTACTTCTATGTCAAAGGGGTGAGATAATCATCAAAGAACAAAGTCAAAAGCTGCCGGCATTATCGCCCACATGCAACAAGGTGGAAAAGACAATGTTAGTTGCGATCCTTATAAGGTGGACAATTGGGTCCATGCGACTGGAGATAGGTGGCGTTACCACCATCTTACGCAAAGAAATCAAAGAAACCGAATGAAGTGGACCGATCACGTTCCTTTACTGGACTACATGTTAAATACCGACAAACTTTGAATTATATTTTAGTTTAGTCCATTGCAAATTACGTGAAAAAAGTGTATACTATATTCGTTGAATTCATTAATTATGTTGTAATTTTGATACCAGTGTGCCAAAATTGGTAAGTTTTGTGTGTGTGTGTGTGTGTGTAAACTTGCCCCTGTGATTTCCCTATATAAGGACCAATATATCGTCAAGAAATAATTGGTTACTTAAACAGTCGTATATAATTACATATTTTAGATATTAAACATGCCTGTAATTGTAGTTTGTTTTTTATAAAACTTGTCGGCCTTTTGTCATGTCGGCCTTTTGTATTGTCGGCCTTTTAGCAGTCGGCCTTTTGTATTGTCGGCCTTTTGGATGTCGGCCTTTTGGCAGTCGGTCTTTTGACTTGTCGGCCTTTTGTCTTGTCTGCCTTTTGTCCATGTCGGCCTTTTGTCCGTGTCGGCCTTTTGTCCATGTCGGCCTTTTGTCCGGATCCCGCTCCGCGGCCAGTGCCACCACCCCGGATAGATGCAAGAAAGAATCTCTGGACACTAGAATTATTTTACTATCCTTCTTACCCCAACAACACCGATTTTTAGGTTTTTGTTTCCCATCAGAAGTGTACGGGGTTTTGTAGTGCAAATAATAACAAAGTAATGCTTGCAATTTCCACTTATGAAAACAGTTTTACAAAACATCCTTTTATTGCAATTTCGTGAGGTTGCGTGCAAACTGTAATAAATGAGACAAAAACAAAAAAAAAAATCCAAATTATATGGCGCGGTGACACTGTTCTAATAACAAGCGTGAGAGGGCGCTTTTACGAGTGGGAGAGTTCACTTAATATAATTGCCGTGCTAAAAACTTAAACGGGGACGTCATAACGAAATGCAACACATTTTAATTTTTTAAGTGCTGGGAGTTTAGATATTTTTCAATACATTAATATGGGATTTTTATTAAAGGAAATAAATATTAAATGCTGTTTAAGCTGTTCATGATAGTATAAATTGATAATGCTGTCGCGTTTTTGCGTGATCGATAATTATAATGCCACGCCTTAGATTGCTGCAGCGCAAAAGATTTTGCTTCGTTTCCATTAAATCCATTGATTAAAACAAAAACAGTAAAGGGGTCTCCCATAATGGCATATAACTTCACTCTTTTCTTTGACATTTCTGCATCCCTATCGTTGCATATCGTCACAAAAAAGTCCGAGACTCTAGAGTACTCTAGAATGATATCTCTTCTGTCTAACCCCTCTCCCCTCGATATTGCAGTTTTGGATTTACGAAACTGCGTAATTTTTCTATAAAATAAAATTAATTGAGCAGGGTCATCATTAAGTATACTGATCTGTTTTAGATTACGACTACAATTTACACAACAATGTCTTTTTAAAAAGCGAAAAAAACTATTTTATAAACTACTTTTACATGCATTAGTGAGGCTTCACAATTTCTGATCCCCATCCCGCTCGTACCACATGGAAACAAGCAGTGTCTAAAATTCAGTGTTTTGTTACACTTTCTAAACCCCTACCTCGCCACACATTATCACAAAACGCCTACCCCCTTTTCCCCTTAGGATTGTGACGTTGTTTATGGGCCCTAACATTTTTAATGTTACGAAATTATATTTGAACAACCTTCCATTAAATATCTAAGCCTATATTTCAACAAATTATTTCTTCTCTAAACGCTTTCAGACAGGGGATTTCCCATAAACTAATTGAGAAATGTTGTCATGGCGAAATTGAAATGTCTATTAATAAATTTCCGTTCCATGTTTTTGATCCACAGAGCACCCTCGTATGAGCGCTCCACCCATTGTCGCCAGCAGAAACGAAAGGCAAATTAGAGTGGAGTGGCAAAAATGGGACAGGAAGAATGGAGACACAGGGGACGGGCCTGTTACGGCATACAAAATCTACTTTAAGAATGAGGGGGGCAATACTTACACTGAAGCGGGGAAAGTGCTGCCATCCAGTTGTAGAGGAGTTGTAAGAAGCTACATTTCAGATTGTTAATTATATTTATAATTTATGATATTAGATTCGTAGTAAATAGTTGAGCAGTAGGACACCCAGTCTTTGATTTTAATGATTAGTCTTAGTGCTCTTATTTATACTTTGCCCATATGCCATATGGCAAATGCCATAAGATACAAAAAATGTGATATTTTCATTTGTTCACCTCCTACCCCATACATTTATCATTGTTTTGTAACTGTTTCACAGACTACCACTTAGCATTATCATATTACATTTTAGGACTCCCCCAAACCGCCTCTCCAACACATAGATAAACGGTAAACCCTAAGACCTAAGATAAAATTGATGTCTATTAAATGTGTATAGACCTACTTGTTTTTGACATTAGTTATATTTATATTGCTATATACCACCACCATTTTATAAAGCCTAACATGTGCCTGATTCATAATCACCTGCAGTTTATTTTTTATAAGGGAAGTAACTTGTGTTACTATCTATTGGTGCTCATAGTTTAAATATTGCTTGTAAAATAAATTAATCTATAATTTACTTTAATTTTTTAAATCCCTCCCCACACACAAACATAAAAAAATTAAATCAGCTCTGCTTAGAGTATCATGAGAAAAGCTGGCTTCACTTTAATTATTTGCCCTTGCCTGGAGAATTTGTCTTGGCCTTGTCAACAAAGAAAAAAAATTGTGTTTTAATCACAAAGATATTTTTTTTTATCTATTCAAAATTAAATCTATAAACATTAAAGAAAACTGCTTTTTCATTTATTTAGATATATATTTTTTTAAAACTGAAATTGTTAAATTATTTCTATGCCCATGGCTTCAGCCCTAAAAAAAAATACCTCACCCTCATTCACCTTATTTTGCTCCAGCCCTGTCTGTTCATGAGTATTGGACTGCGCCATTATGTTTAAATGGAATTAAGAAAATTAAAAGACAGTTTTAATCATACACACACACATATATATATATATATATATATATATATATATATATATATATATATATATATATATATATAAAATGTTGCTTCACAGTGCCACTTTGTATTAGACAAGCTTAGCCCTAGCGTGAACTACACTATTTACATAACAGCAATTCGTGATGGAGAGAAAGGAGAGGGGCCCCCTGGTGAAGTTATTGTTGCTTCTACGACATGTGGCAGTAAGTCTTGAATTTTCAAACTTACTCAAATTATTAAAACATCATTTTATCAGAATATCAAGTGTAATATTTTAAGAATATGTTGTTGGTGCCTAAATTCATGTGTGTACATTTGACATGAATTTGTTTTTTCCAGAACCCAAGAATCCACCAATTATTGAGAACATCAGCTCTGCCTTACTGGCTAACAGCAGCTACCCAAAAACACAGATTGTTGTTAAATGGAAGGTCAGTCCAAAAACAATGGTTTTATTCTTTATTTGATTTTGAATTTAATTTTCATTAATACTATTGGATTTTATTCTTGTTAGCTATGTTTTTAAATATTTTTTTTTCAATGAAGGATCCCCCAAGGAACACAATCAACTGTCAAAGCATCAAAAGATACATCCTATACTTCAGCTCAGAAGCCAGCAATATTGAGGGCAAGGACATGGAGCCAATAGATATCCCAGGGGGCAACACCCACAGTGTAACTGTCCCTAACCTAAAACCGTTCACACAGTACTGTGCTGTGATTGTTCTAGAAAATAATGCTCAGCTTCGTAGTCAGCAATCAACAAGAGAATGTATTGTCACACAGCAGACAGGTAATTGAGAAAAATTTTGGAAATGAAAATTGTAGAATCATTTTTTTCTTTTCATTTCTGAAAAGTTTTTCTTAATTTTAAGTAAATTAACAAATACATATGAATATTTTCCTTTTTTTTATTAATAAAATAAATAAACCTATGTGTTATTGTAAATGTTGTCCTTTAACACAATTATTAAAGTTGATGATTTTATTTTGGTTATGAGAAATCCAAACTGGTGTTACTTAATTAGATTTCTGTATATTATATGGTAATATCTAATAAATAAAAATAGTTACTCATGATATTTATTCTTACTGCAAATGTTCTGGTATCATTTTGAAAAAAAAAAACACTTTTAAATATTTAATCTGAATCAATAAACAGCGTGTACATAATCAACAGCAGCACACTTATTTTGATTCATTTTTTTTTCAAATAGTTGTGTTTAGCCTGTTAATTCTATAAATAGATTTCACCTGTTGTTACCTTGCAATATATCTCACAGCACCTGGCAAGCCAGAGAAACTGAAGCACGAGGTACTGGGGAACTCTTCTGTCTTACTGACCTGGCAGCCACCCCAAGAGAACTATGGACCAATCACAAAATACCATGTTGACTACTGGGGTGTTGAGAAAAACTTCCAAACGGTAGAGGTTCCTACTTCTAATAAAGATAAAATAGAGTACGTCTTGACTGACCTACTGTCGTACACCTTCTATCAAGTTCGGGTAAATATTTATTCAGTTTTATTTTGCTGTTGTTTAGAGTCATATTCAGAGGTTGTTTTTTTTATATGCTAACTTAAAAATCTCGCTTGTGATTTTAATTAAATGGTGAAGGGAAAACTTTCAAGATTGGCTGCAAAGATAAAGAATTTGCCACAAAGGGAGAATACTCTTTAAATAACACAATTTTTAAGTCAAAATAATTTACAATTTTTAAATATTTTTTTAAAATTAGGAATTTAAAAAAAAAACATTAATCTAGCTTAAAAGTAGTCTTTAATTTTAAAAAATAGCTTATGTTTGATATTTTAAATATATTTTTATTTTCTTCTATATAAAATAAAAAGTTTATGTTAATTTTATCATTAAATATTTTCTTGGTTGCAAAATTTTACTTTTGTTGTTGAACAATGCAATTATTCCATTTTCATAAATGAACTAATCAATCCATATTTCATATTGTTTTTTTTTAAGTAATATCTACAACAAATAAAATGTAGTAACAAATAAAATGTAGTAACAAAATAGATTGCAATAATTTTTGAATATTCACTTGCTGTACCAGATACGTGCTGAAAACTCGGCCGGTGTTAGTGAATACTCCAATGCTGTAAACTTCACTACAGAAGATGGAAGTAAGACTGCTTTATCATTATAATTTAATTTAATTGATTACTAGTTTATGGTATGGCGTGGTTGAATGGTAGAGCGTTGGGATCCCTGGCTAGAGCAGTAGCATGCCCCTTATGTTAAGGAAAGTAAAGGCAGCTGATCATGGTGAAGATCACACTACCCCTTCCTATGCCGAGGTCACAAAAATTAAACTTTATTTCCACCTTAAAATCTTCATTGATGAAAATAAACTCATATTTATTATTACCCCACCCTTTCATTCCCATAGAAAAAAAATCAGTATTTTTTTTTATTGTTAAAGTCTCAGAGGTAAGCATAAAAATTTGTTTTCCTTATTCAAACGGGGACGGAGTGGTCTAGCGGTAGAGAGCTGGACTGCTAACCCATAAGTCTCGAGTTCGAATCCGGGTTGAAGTCAGTAGACCGTCCCTGAGTCCACCCAACTCTGATGGGTACCTAACGCACGTTAGGGAAATTAAAGGCAGCTGGGCATAGTGCTGACCACACTATCTCTTCATATGCCGAGGTCACAGAAACAAGTAAAATCTACTTCACTTGCCCCATAGACCGTCAGGTTTGAAAGGGAAACTTTACTTTTTTTTAAATTTATTCAAACAGTTCCAGGTCTAGTGGAAGGCTTCAAAAATACTTCGAAAACAACCTCATCAATCACCCTGAAGTGGCAGCCGCCACAACATCAAAACGGTTTACTTCTTAGTTTTATGGTAAGTATTTTTTTCATTCACATCAATTCACAAGCAGAAATCAGAGAAACTGATGAACTCTACTTCATCTGCCACTTCAGACTTCATCTGTCTGGAAGGCTACTAATTGTATGGTTTGATTATAATAAAAACAAAAGTGATGATGTGTCTTGGATTTGAACACACGACATTGATATCATGTTCATATACCATCGCCACAGAGATGCCTGGAAGAAACTCTGCATTAAAGTTAATTTAATATCTATTTCTTCCTACTTAACCAATATTTTGTTTTACTGTGCTAACAATCAATCAATAACATTAAATTTAATTTTGTTTCCTTCTCTTTCTTTTAAACTAATTTAAACTATTGGCCAAAATGGACTCAACATAAAAGTACACAAAAAAAAAATCAACTTTTAATTTTTTCAAGGTAACTTGCAAGCCAATGCATTCAAGACAAAACATAATACTGCCACATCACATGAATCCAGAGCCGGTTGTCATCCCTGGTAATGTTTTTGAATTGCTTGTAAGAAGTTTGATGCCAGCTACTTCTTATAACTGTTCTATTTATGCCACCACGAGAAAGGGTAGTGGAGATTCAACGTCTATAGTTGTCTGGACTAAGCCTGAAGGTACATATACAATCTTTATTTGGATTTTTTATTTTATTTCTTACAGACACAAAAATTGGTTCCTTTTATCATGCTAGTAGGATTTTACCTGATCACTCAGAGGGTTTTACCTACCAATGTAAAGGTCATGATTAGACTCAGAGGTTGAGTCAAGTTTAGCCTGTCGAGTGATAATAACAAATATAGTTTTTGTATGACCTGCAAATATTTTCAAAATACCCAAATTTCTTGGAAAATAGGCTATTTCTTCAGCAAGATAATAATTTTTAAATTTTTATATTATAAATTGTTTCCGTTTTAAAATTGGGGAGACAGCGCTAGACTGCTAATCCGAAAGTCTAGTGTTCCAGTCCGGGTTCAAGTCAGATTGACTTCCCTGAGTCCACCCAGCTCTTGTGAGTACCTAACTCACATTAGGGAAAGTAATTGCAGCTGGGCTCAGTGCTGACCACACTACTATCCCTTCATATGCCAAGGTCAGGTCACAGAAACAGGTGAACTCTACTTCACATGCCCCATGGACCGTAAGGTTCAAGTTGGAAATTAACAGTTTCAAATTTGAAACTTGTTTTTTTAAAGAGTTAGACTTTAACATCGATTTTGGCAAAGTAAGTTAAAACGGATTTTGACTTTGACATAAAGTTTAACTATGCTGTTTCAGCTCCTAGACTACGGGAAAGTGTTAAAATTCTGATGTATACAGAAAATACTGCAACCTTAAAACTATTTGAGAATTCCGATCTAACAATCAGGTATGCTACATACAGTTTTTTAACAATCTGTCTTATAATGCATGATCTCTTTAAAAATATTAATATAATTATTTTCCAGTCGTTTTGCAGAAGAGAATAGTTTAAGTAAATTCTAACCACTTTTTAAAATAACTGGTCAAACTGTGAGACTTCTTAACATATAGAGCTGTCAGCTTAATTAAGCTTGGAATTAAAATATTTTTATCTAAATTTAGCAACTAAAAAACTAAATTGCTTTCTTTTTATTTCAAAATGTTTTTGTGCTGAAGAATATAATTAGGTCTTTTTTAAAACATGTCATTTTTTTTTTTCAAAAACTATTCTTGTCATTATTTGGCATTTATTTTCCATGAATTAATTTCCAGCTTCTTTCGTATAATTGTTGAGCGGAAGGATAACAGACGTAACAAGCGACACGTCCCCCAGTACATATCAAATGCAAAGCACAGTTTTATGACAGCACTTCATGAGAAATCAAATGTTTATATCACTGCGGAGCTTGAACAGCACGAGTTTCGAGGGACATTTGTTGTAGGCGATAATCAGACTTACAAAGGCTATTTTAACGGACCCTTACAGCAAAATAAAGAATACATTATATGGCTTGGAGCTTATTCTAATATTGATGGTGTATGTGTTTACATTTTTATACAGCATTGGTTTTTTTTTTAAATTTATACCAAGGGGGGTAATTGGTTTAAGCCAGAAACTTAGTTAAAACATATTTCTCTCCCTTTTCTTATTGTTTGACTTTTTCTTATATTTCCAGATTGAGCAGCATACGTTTTCAAAAGCAGACTCAAATGGCATTGGTAAAATTCTTGCTAACATTTTACAATAATTGAATTGGCTTAAACTTATTGAGAAAATATTTATGTTGTAAGGATAAAAAAAATTAACTGTGAATTATATTTTTAGTATTAGCGGAAGAACAATGAATTAATTTTACAGTAATAAATCTTCTGTTCCTAAATCGCTCAAATTATCTCCCATTCTAATTCTTCAAAATACCTTAAATAACACAAAATGTATCCATGCAATTGCAGTCAAATCTCTCACGGCATCTGAAGAGCCAGCCAGCTCAGTGCCAATTATTATAGGGGTTATCATCGTGTTTCTGCTCTTGGTTGCCATATTTGCTGTTCTATTGCTACTCTGGAGGTGAGGATTGATTTATAAAATTTGTTCAGTAAGAAAATGCCCAACCATTACTCTTTTTTTTTCATAAAAGCAATTTTTCTAATGTATCAAAACAAGTAGTTTTATGCTTGTTTTCTGCAATGGGACAGAATGGTCAAACATATGACTGCTTACCCGAAAGTCGCAAGTTCAAATCTGGGTTCAATTACAAAGAACTTCCCTGAATTTACCCAGCTCTTATGGGTACCTGATTTCATGTTTGGGAAAGTAAAGGCGACTGGACATAGTGCTGACCACACTATCCTTCATATGCCCCATGAGCTGTCAGTTTCAAAAGGGAACTTTTCTTTATTCACTAAGAACAGTTTAGATGCCATCGGGAAATAATGACTTGCTTTTTAAACCTGTTTTTGCTTGCTACCTCCCTTAACATCATCATAAGAAGCCAGATCCCCAACTGAAATGACATTACAGTTCTAAAATCCCCATCCCCATATTCAAAAACAATATTTCTAATTTAAATAATTAATCTTTCAATAATTGTGTTCTTACAAATACTAAACAAATGTTATGTCATACTTTGGTACACATACCCACCCTTGGCACACAATGTCACATAATTCAGACACCCAGCCCCCTAGAGTGTGACATCCTTAATGGCCGACCTTACAGTAAATGGTACCCTTCAGCTAAAACTACCATTAATTCACTGCTGTGTTGTGCTTGTAACCCATCACCTTCAGTATTTATTAACAACTAGCATTTAACAGGAAGAAGCACACAGCTGATGAGAGAGAGAAAGCTGAGATTCCATTCTTTGGATCCACACACTACCCAGACCCTGACACATCTGCACCACCATCCCCTATAGGGAGGATAACCTTGCCTATTATAGGTATTTCTGTTCTGTACTGCTAGACTGTAGCTTAAGTTGTTGCTCGTTTTTTAACTTAGGAGTGATCTTCTTTATAAAACTTTCATTTTATATTAAAAAAAACTATCTTGCTTACAATAAACTGTAATATTCTGCTGTAATAGTCTAAAAAGTGAAGTGATATGATTTAGCTAGATTTTAAATTTATTAAGGCTAATCTTTGATGATAATAATAATTTAAGTTCATTCAGTCAACTTTCACTTGGAGATGAAAATTTCATAACAATGTGTGTGGGTTTTCCCTCCCAGATACTTTTGACCAAGATCCTCTAATTGACCTCCCAAAGAAAGCTCCCATGCTGGATACAGAGCCAATGTATTGTAATGCTGATGACATCATTGCGCCTATCAAAGTAGAAGACCTCTGGGACTACATTCGATCAGCTAAACAAAATGATCTTGAGGGATTAAAGAAAGAATTTAAAGTAAATTTTATTGCCTTATCAACCACATACAACTTGTTGAAAATATTTTACAAAATGTTATTACAATAACCAGCCATTACAATGAATTTTGAAAGAGCTTCCTTTTTCTCTGAGTAATGTTTTTAATGCAACTGGTTGAAGATTTTGCCATCTGCTTAACTTGTAACTTTCCACCAGACTTCCTTCACCTATGAATTATATTTCCTGGTTTTTAAATATGAGGGAGGTGTATTTGGTTAAGTGGGGGGATGTCTTATTGCTTTTTGCTTTGGAACAAAATACATGACATTCAGGTTAGCCAAAGTACTATTTTTTAAATTTAAAACATTTTTGTTTTGATATAAATATTCCATTTTTCTTTCTCTTAAGCTCCTTCCTGCTGGAATTACATCCACATGTGAAGTGGCCAGGAAAAATGAAAACAAGTTAAAAAACAGATATGGAAACATTATTGCCTGTAAGTTGGAGGTTTTTTTTTTTGTCTATCTTTTTATCCACATTTCTTTATTAAATTACATTTGTTTCAAAGAATTTCCAAAAACTTAATTTTTTAGAGAAAATTTCGGTTTGCTTGCCTCAGCTGGCTGCATAACTGGAGTTCTTATATAATATTTTGTAGAAAGTTCATTTCATAAATTTTATTTTTTGACTTACATTTTGAATTATTTTTTACCAGATGATCATACACGTGTTGTGCTAGACATTGATGGTGATAATATACATGATGATTATATCAATGCAAACTATATAGATGTAAGTAGATGTCACAATCTGTGCAATTGGTATAAGATTGGTTTTTTCTTTTGATCTATTTATAATTTGTTGTGGCTTTTATTTCCTAGGTACTTCTAAAAATTTGTTTTATAATATTTCTAAATTGATTTTTTTGTTTACAGGGCTACAATAAGCAAAGAGTTTACATAGCTGCCCAAGGTAGATAACTATGTCCTTATTGTTAAATATCTGGTATACTTAAAGAGACAAGTTGAGAGTTGTTTTTGTTGTAAAGGGTTGGTTCTGAATGTGTAAATATTTTATCTTCATATCCCAGTACTATTTGGTTCTTTAAAAGCCATTAAGTTAGATTTTGAAAGTTTTAGCTATGAAACTTAATAATTAAAGCAATTTTCCTTTTCAAATTTTAACCAATGAAATCAAGGAACAAATGTTTATCTTGATTTAGGGCCCAGTCAACCAACTTTGAATGATATTTGGAGAATGGTCTGGAAGGAGAATTCTAAAACTATCATCATGTTGACAAACTCAACAGAGTCTGGGAAGGTGAGGCTCCATTTACAACTGGTCTTTTAGTAAACTGTAAACTGGAATGATAAAAATGGCAGAGAATCTTCATGCACTTAATATTTTTGCAATACAATTTACTTTTTAAAAAAGGTTTCTTTTAAAGCTTTTGCCTGACAAATGGCTTTGTCTTCAACATTTTTCAGATTAAATGCTTTAGTTTTGTTTTTATTTTTAAAACCTAATTTAAATTTTTTTTTTTAAAACACATTTTTATTAGTGATCGAGCTAATTTTTTTAAAACTATTATTCACTTTGATGATATAAATTACTTGTTATTTGTTAGAAAAAATGTGACCAGTACTGGCCTGATATTGGAAGCGAACAGTATGGAAATATAGTTGTACAGCTGCTAAATATTGACGTCCTACCAGACTTTACCATTCGAACTTTCCTAATAAGCAAGGTATGGCACAAATTTGTTCTATACTTTAATATTACCACTGTTTCTTTTAAACACATAACTTACAGCTAAATAGGATTTTTTTTTAAATCTAAAGTAAATAGATACAACCAAGTCTACATTTTTTTAAACAAAATATTTTTTTCAGGGTGGACAGTCCAAATATGTAAAACAATTCCATTACACAACCTGGCCAGATCATGGTGTGCCCAGATTTGGACACTCACTCTTGCTGTTTAGACAAAAAATTAGAATGTACGACAATTTAGATAATGGCACAGTTGTAATACATTGCAGGTTGGTAATATTTTTTCTTTTATTATTTGTTTTTTTAAGTGCATTAGGTTCCTGTTTTTTTTTTTTTATAGATACAGTCGTTTTTATGCATCAGTTTTTATGTTTAAACATCATGTATTTTATTCAAATTGCTTCATACGGGTTGTCCTGAAATGAAATAACACACCTAGGGGAGAGTTTTATCACTTCTGCAGTTATGTGCTTACAAAAGGGAGGATTTATGAAAATGTGATCATGAAAACATGTATTTCCTAGATATAAAAAAAAATGAAAAACTTTATTATGTTTTCAAATGTGGATTAAGACATTTTTAAGGGCTAGTGATAGGGGGTTGGTTGTTTTATTGTGCCCTAACAATTAGGTTACAGGAATTTAAAAACTTGAACAAACTGTTTTAAAACTTCTGTTGTTTGTTTTATTTTAGTTTTATAACTTCTGCTCACCCTGTTTAATTTTGCTAACATTTCACTTCTGCTGTTGTTTGTTCATCAGTGCTGGTGTTGGCAGAACTGGAACCTACATCGCCGTGGATACCCAGCTTGAGAAAGCCAAATCTGAAGGAATTATTGATGTCTATAATTTTGTTCACCAGATGAGAACACAGCGAGTTAACATGGTTCAGACACTGGTAAGAAAAAAAAAAACATTCACATTTCATCACCAAAGTCATTTATTTTAAATCTTTTATCTTAATTTATAGACATTTTGAATGATTATACACATAAGCATACACATTTTATCACCAGTCAATTATTTTAAACCTTTTGTCTTCATTTATAGATATGTTGAATGATTATACACATAAACATAAACATTTCATCACCAAAGTCATTTATTTTAAACCAATTATCTTTATTTATAGACATGTTGAATGACTATACACATAACCTTGAATTATAATTCATCTTGTGTTACGTTCACAGGAGCAATATGTATTTGTTTACGACTGCCTGCTGGAGGCCCTTATATGTGGTGATACAACGGTGTCGACCAAAACATTTCCAGAGGTTTACATTGATCTCTGTCAGTTTGATGCGGACATTTCCAAGACTAAGCTGGAGGAACAGTTTGAGGTTAATATTTTTTACTGCTACTCATCTGTGTCTGAAATCATAATTAGTTGAAATTTTATATTAGTAATACAATATTCATTTCATTTTTTTTAATTCCTGAACATTTAAAAAAAAAATTGTATTCATTAGTTAACATCCACAAGCTAACATCAGTAAAATTAATATGTAATTAAGAATGCTTAAAAATTATGTGCATGAATTAATTTTTATTGATTTACCTGAGTGTAATTAAGATGTAATTGACTGTTTGCCTATAGATTTTGAAGCTCCTGTCTACCACTATTGAAAGAGATGAAAGTACAACAGCTTTAACACCTGAAAATATATTTAAAAACAGGTGCAAAAATATAATACCAGGTATGTCATAACTTTTTAAATTTTTTTAAATGCTGTATCTTGGACAAAGAGAGTAGAAAGATAATCTCATTTTCTAAACTAATCCATTACGTTTTTCAAACTTTTTTTTTCTAGCCAACCGTTGTCGACCATATTTGATGACAAGTTGTGATGGCAGCAATGATTATATCAATGCAGTTTTTCTAAATGTAAGTCACACCTTGAATAAATGTTGACACCTTGCCTTAGTTTGGATAGTCAATATTTATAATGGAAATCTTAGTTGTACTACAACCTTAGTTTGTTGCTGTGTAAATTTTAACATTTTAAGGTATATTGAATTAGAGAAAAAAAAATCTAAAGGAAAAAGTCTCATAACATGTTTAAGTCAGATCATGGAACAAAATGGTGCATAGCTCTAATGAAAAAGTGTATTGCACATAAAAAAAAAATAATGTTCAGCAAAATGAATATAAGTAAGAGGTGTATAATTGTCTGATGTTATCATGTAATAAGATGACCTAGCGATATAAGATGTAAAAAATTTATGATTTTGACTGTTTAGCCAAAAGGCACTAAGATTTAAGGGACATAGAGTAACATCAGTACCAGTTGTTCAATATAGCCTATGTGCCTATACTAACATCACAAAATTTTCTTTACAATGTTGTAAGTAAACTTACCATTTCTTGTGTCTTACAAAACCAGAGTTACTGTAAAAAGGATCAGTTGCTGGTGACACAGATGCCCCTGCCAAACACAGTGACAGACTTTTGGAGGCTGATCTACGACCACAAGTCCTACTGTCTGGTCATGCTGAACGAGGTGGAGAAAAATGATGATGTAGGAACCCAAATTGATTTTTTTATTCCTACATGTCATTTAATATTATTATATACTTTAACTTAGACGCTTCAAATGTGATTTTGGTTTTATTTCATTGCATGATTTTTTATTTTTTTTTATTTTTGTGAATGCCTTTAAAAATCATGTTATGAAAATAAACACAAAATATTTTTGTTTGCAAATATCTAAAGTTTTTTAATAGTTAAAAACAAAATTCTAAAATTAAGTTAATTTTTTATTTAATTATTAATTAATAATTAAATGTGTAATTAATGTTGTTTTCAAACTGATAATTTAACAGACCTGTGAGCAGTACTGGACTGAAGACCCAGGTGGCGTTTTCTACGGCCCATTTCAAGTGGAGACAACCTCAGAAATCAAATCCAATCCAATAGTAACTGTTCGAGACTTCACACTCACCAACACACAAGTGGTACGACAGCATTTTTTAAATCTTTAAAACTGCAACACAGCCTACTTGAGTTGGCATCATCAAACAATTATGTCTTTGCTTCATCTATTAACCCTTTATTAATTCCATATATGCTACGAAGCCAAAAAAAATTTCAGAAAACAAACTTTCAGTTGGGAAAATATATTTTAAAATACTCCAAAATATGTGAATTTTTAAAGTAGTATTTAATGTTTTGTAAAATAAGGAATATTAAAAAAAAATTATCATATTACTTTAATCTCCTTGATAAGTTTCCAGCAGAAAATATCTTTTATGTAAATCACAAGCCAATGTATCTTATGTAAAAAAAAACCTTTGTTTGAAATTACCTCACAGTTTACCACCAAAACTTTTCCTCCTCACTAGCCAGGAGATACACCGCGTCAGATTCGCCAGTTCCACTTCCACAGATGGCAGGAAGGTTCAGCAACTCCGAGCTCCCACAGGGCCTTGCTAGAGCTGGTTGATCTGGCTGATGACTGGCAGAAGTTACATGAAGGGCCCATCACAGTACATTGCATGTTAGTACCCTATTGTGTCAACATTGTTACATGTTAGGTTTACATAAAGTTGGCCTCATTGGAAGTATTTTGTTTTACTTAGCTTAGTGCTGATATTTATCAAAATCACTACTTGATAAAACTATAGGTTTACAAGAATTATCATTAAAGGATTTTTAAAAGCTTAGTACTGCCATTTATCAAAATCACTACTTTGTAGGTTTACAAGAAGTATTAGAAGCTTATGTTTTAAACTTTAGCTAACTACATCTTGTATCAGATTTATTACTTGTGTTAAAAATGTAATTGGAAGTAATTTATTAATCTGAGCTTTGTTCATTCAATTAGCTATGCCATTCATTATTATTTCAAATATACTTGCAAACATTTAAATGGATCCTTTTTAATGGAACACCAGTTTATGCACAAGATTGAATGCTAGAGTGTGTTACAGCTAGCCTAGATTTTTTGAGTACCTAAGCTGTTTGTCAGCACACACTCCTCTCATGGGAAGTTGCCTTAAGACATGTTGGGACATTTCATTTAGAACTATCTTTTATACATAGTTGAGACCTTTCATGGTTATCTTAATGGCTTACACATGTTTAAGGTTATTTTAAAAATATTTTCCCCAGGAATGGTGCCAGCAGGAGTGGTCTCTTCTGTGCTGCCCTGACTATCCTGGAGAGAGTGAAGAAAGACAAGGAGGTGGATGTTTTCCAAGCTGTCAAACAGCTCAGACTAAACAGGACTCAACTCATTGACAATATGGTATGCTATTTCTTTTCAAACCTCAGCTTTTTATTCTTTTTTTTTTTAGTTGTATACCATCTTTTTCACAAATGAATAAATAAAAACGGTAGCTGTTGTGAGGTTTATGCAAATAGTAATAAAATGGGTAGATTTAGTATCCTAACAATTTAATGACAATAACAAATACAATGGACATTTCAATGCAAGATCTTAGCACAGAACAATGTAGTAAGAGGCTAGACAAAAAAGACAAAACAGTGACACAATTTTGGACTTTGAAAACATGTCTTGTCTAAAGGCCATGATACCCAAATGAAAAGACATGTTTAAGGATAAAATTTAGTGTGAAAGGTTAAATGCTAATTTTGAAGTAGGGGGTTTATTAGCATTGTTACCATTATGTCTCTTTTTGATCCAGTAAAAACATTGTTAAAAAAAAAATTTAAAATAAATACTTTTTTTGGTATAAATTTGAAAGCCAAGATATGTTTTATTTTAATCTCATGTTCTTTCTGTTTGCAGGAACAGTATCAATTTTGCTATGAGCTGTTAATGGACTATCTATTAAACCACAGTAATGTGCCCTTGTTATCATGACACTAGTGAAGGCCATCCTTGTCCAAAGTCTTCCACTATTGTTAAGTTGTGAATATGAAGCCATAGTCTTGTGTATATTACAATGGGCATTACTCTGTTGACAGTGCCCCTTCTGACATTTTATACTGCTATACTCAAGGAGAGAAAAAACATGACAATGTAATTGTATATATATATATAAATAAATGTTCATAAACTTTAAGTATTATATGAATACTTGACAAATATGTACATTTCATCTCTTAAATCAAGAATATTTATTTTTATAAAGGCTTTCTTCTACAGATTGACTCTTTCAGTTTTTTTGTTTTTTTATTTATCTTCTTTTGCAAAGAAATTTTACTAGTAAAAACTTGAACCGGTTGTTTTCATTTGAAAATGTATTAACAAGCACAGAATCTGCTGTATCATTTACAGTTTACATTGTGTAAAAATGTAGTAGACCTTGGTGACTAGAGTCTGCAGAGATATGAAAGTTTCCTGAGTATTTTAACATGGCAAGAATAGTACTGCAGTAATTCTATGTAGTGCCCATTCTTGGGTTACTAGGGTTAGTGGGCTACACAATCTCCTAAACCACACCTACATAGACACAGTCTCAAACTTAATGATATAATCTTCAACATAACTCTTTATATCCTCCTTATCCCTACTTTTCATACTAAACAACAAAATATCATGAACATCACAACCTTCTTCTAAGCCCCTTAACCCCAACTGAACCCTAAAATCCCTACATGCTGAAAGACCCCAGCATCTGCTGTAAATTATTGAACCTGGAGATGTAAGCGTTTTTTTTTTTTGCTGTATTGTAGATCTCATTATATCTGTATTATTCAATTACAATATTGAGATGTATATAGTGTAATCAAAACTCTTAAGAGAGCATCATCATGAAAGAATGTACTTACATGTTAGAATGCTGATATGTTATGCATGAGAAGTTAGAATAATTTTTATCCATACACATAAAGTTGTAAGCAAAACGTAACATTTTTATGTATTGCGTATTATCTTATATTTTACAGTTTATGGTATTAACATTATTTGAGACTACCAAAGACAGTGTAAATTGTAAATGAAGTTATAAAAAATATTCTCCTATGCCTTCATGTATGTTTGTATTTCCTAGACCTACAAAACAAATCTCATCCAAGGCTGCTTATACTTTAATCAATTAAATTTATTTCTTAAGATAAAAGAAGTCTGTATTTAAATTCATTTTACTTTTTAGTTTATATATTTTATATGTTAGATCTATTTATAGTGGGTATAATTATGGTAAAATTTTGGTACAAAGTAAAACATTTTAGCTTTTAATTGTAAGTTCATATAACAGATTAACTTTATGTTAAGAATTGAATGAAATAAATATACATAACAGTATAATGGCTACATTTTAAAATAAGTACTGAACATAAGTAACGTGGAATTTATCAGTGAATTCCTTTCTTCATCATCTCACCAAATTGTAAAATTTTAACATGTAAATACTAACAGAGGTTGTGTCACTAGTGCCTCACCACAGCCAGTTTGGTAGAGAAATCCCTTACTAATATTGTTACCTTCATCAAGAAAAAGCATAGTACCTTACTCAAATCAGTGCAGCATCCATAATGTCACCTAAGGTTAATTCACACCATCTCTTCTTTGAAGCAAAATTATTTTTAGAATTAAAAAGTATAAATAGTATAGTTGTACCTCAACATTCAAAAGTTTGGAATTACGGTATAAAGTCTGCTGAATAAAAGAATTTTCGTTTCAAATAAATACAGTATTTCCTTCAAACAACTGTTTTGCTAAATCAGATCATGTTTATTTTTTTATTTTTTAAAAATATGATAGTTAAAAATAATAGTCTAAATGAAAGAAACAAATGTGGCAGCTAATTTTATTTTTTAATAGTATAAAATACTATTAGTCATACTGTTAGTACACTTCTAACATACAAATAAGAAACTAGTAATTATTACTCAGCTTTGCTTTGGGTGTTTTTAAGCATGCATGAGTCTCATGTCTTTCCTCTCATATAATCAATTGTTATCAAGAATTGCTTTGTCCAAATGTTCTTTTTTATTGTAGCATTATTCTTTTAATTCTAGTCACAATTATGACTTTTCAAGAAGTTGGAGAACTGAATGGCCAACAGTTTTTAACATTTGTTAAAACTAATTTGCTTACTAATTTTGAGAGGTATAATTACATATTTTGAGATTTTAAACCACTTGATAAAATAAGTTAAAATATGTAATCATGTGAGTATTTCATTTTGAAATTTTTGTGTGATTTGCTTTATATGAATGATGAAAATTGTTAATAGAAACATCTTTTGTTAGAACATACAACCATTTGTTTTTTATACATTTAGATCTAATTACACTTACAATATTAACTTTCTGTTTTACTTTTCCAACCATCTAGATTGGTTACAATAACTTGATTACTAAGTACAAAAGAATTATAATAATAGATACCCAATTACTAGAGCAATTATGAGGATCTGCAAGATTGTAAGTGTGAGTAGCTGATTTATGGTGTAAATAATGTGCAGGCAATATCCCTGTACATGTTTATCTTATATTTTGATTTAAGAAATTAATTTTCTAGCATTATTTTATCCATTTACATAAATTCTGTAAACTTGCAAACATGGATCTATATGATGTAATTTAGGAAATTTTACTTTAATAAAATTAAGTTGATTTGCTTCATTGAGTTTTAAAAATTTAAAGTTTTATTTAAAATAAACTTTATAGTGATGTAGTAAGCTAATAGCAAATAATTGTTTACAATTTGTTGCATGCCAAAAACAGTGGTCCGATCATCTTCAAATGTTTATTATAACAATTTGATCTAATAAAAACTTGTGATAGTAATATGAATAGTTGAGCCTTTTTTTTTTTTTATTGAAACACAGGTACTTGTGGAGATTTATTTCTATTATTTGAGGAACTTCAGCAACTAATAAATCAGCTAAAAGCAGTTCTATATTAAACCATTTTAATCTGCAAAATTAGTTAAGTATTGTGATATGGGTAACGTGTCTAAACTTTATTAACAGTGTTCAAATATTAGTATTATTAGATAGCTTGTTAGTAGTAGCACCTAAATGTGCAGCATCTGAGGTAAAATACCAAAGTTATCCAGAGCTCATTCACTCACCAACTTTTCCTTCATTTCCTATCCTTTATTAGATTTACAAAAGGTCTTCACTAAATTAATAACCCATGCCAGAAAACTGTCAAAGGTGGAAACTGCCAGAAAGACCAAGAACAGAGAGGTGTAGTTTGGTGCCCCCATACTCAGCCAGAAGAGACAGGAGGTGATGACTAGAGAAACAGCTTCTGGTGAGCAAGGATACAAATTGTCCATCAGTAGACAGAAGACAACACGGAACCGATAGAAAATACCAGCTTAAACCAGATGGTGTATAATGGCAGATGAAATAAGTTTAGTAAACATCTACGTATAAATGAGTGCTGTTGTATAAGAGGGGTGGTGTGATCCAGCAATCCTTAAAAGTTGTGGGGAACCTTTAGTCTGTAATGAAATACATACTCAACCTCCTATCAATGCAATAAATGTAAGGAAATAAGCAGATATTCAAATCAAAACATTTTAAACATGTATACAAATACATGCTTTAAAAATAGTATGTTGTATAATTAATCACTTTTAAAGTGCCCTTTATAGTGACTCCTCAATACTTAACTTACTAAATTTAACAGTAACTTTAAAAATAAAAAACAATTTTCTGTGACAGCATTTAATTTATTTTCATATGGCAAAGGTAATGCAATAAATCATCTGTAATTGTTCAATGTTTGTCTTAATTAATCATTAGAACATTTTAAATTTTAAAAAAACCACAAACTGGTTCTCACTTCTCGTACATGCAAAAAGAATATCACTTAAACATCAATACAAACTATTGTTATTATCCTACTAGTTAAAGAAAAGTGTTTCATTCAAAGCATTTATTTCTCTAGTACTTCCGTCTATTTAACATAGCATCATACAATAATATATTTTTAAAAAAACCATACAATTTTTATAACAATCATACCACTATATTACAATCTAAAGTAATGCAGTCTTTGTAGCTAATATGTGTACACAGCTCCACATTTCTATCAAAATCACCACAGTTTTATGTATTTATGTATTAAAATGACTAAAACAAAATATAACATGAATAAAACTAACACAAAGTGTGATAAAGGTTATGTACATTGTTCAGCTATCCCATATGTTTTACATGCAAGGATCAATAACCCACCTTCAAGTTTTAGAAATTATAAAATCAATTATTTTATTTTAAACATATAATAAGATAACTAGTTAATATGAACAGAAAACCAGAATTTCTGCTGCTCAAATCTCTAGCCAGCATAGCAAATCATCAAGTGTAAATCACAAAGGAAAAATCCCATCTAAAGTTTTAGATTACCCAGGAGTGGAAACTAATTAATTAGTCCTTAATTAAAATTTTAATGAGGCCAGCGTGATTAGTAACATTAAAAACTTACAATACAAAAAAAACCAATATATTTCAGACATAATAATAAAGAATTATTCACATTTTAAAGTTTTAAAATCTATGTGTAAAATTATGTTTTAAATATACACCAATCCCGAATCTTTCCAGCACTGAAGAATGGCAGTAAATTTTGTTTTAAGCCAAAGGTTAAAAATTAAAAAGGTGTCTAAACATAGATAAAAATTCTTTTTACAAACATATTTTTAGATATGGACATTCTTACCAAAAAAAATTATGTGACATGATTTTTAAATTGTGGTTAGTATGTTTTCTCACACATAACATAAACCATATTCACTCATAGATAATCATTCAACACATACCCCAAAAAAAATTTGTGAAAATAAATTATTTTACATTTCTATACTGCTATCTAGAGTTTAAAGTGTAAAGAAATATATTACTGGCAATTTTAATATTCTCCATTAAAATTTTTAAGTTGTTTTTTTTTAAATTGACAGTTTACAAAGTTTTAAATATCTAATCATGCATAATTTAATGCTGCATCATAATATGAGTTTCATTTGTCAAATGCCACTTCCAAAATATTGATGTCTGTTAATCAAACAACTTTATATGTAAATGTATATAAAATATGCAAGATTCAAAGTTGGCAATACATCAAACGGAACACAAAATGTTTCATTCAAATATTTATGTACTGACGAATTTTATAAGATTATGACTGGTATTTTGCACAGCAGATCACTACAGAAAAATGGTATAAACACATATAAATTGAATAACACATGCAAATTTGAATACACCCTTGTGTACAGAAGTGTAGCACAGTGTGATGAGAAATTTTTTTTTAAATGCTCAGAATTCTCTTGCTCAACATTTGCTGGACTTAGAGAACTTAAAGCAATCTGCAAAAGCTCCTGCATTACTGATTTGATAATAATTGCCGTTTTCAAATAAACAAGTTATTAAATAAAAAAAAAACTTTAAGTGTAGGCAGACAAATTGTTGTTTGCTCTTGAAATGGGCACAGCTAAAACTTAACATACAGCCCTACAAAGGTTAATCATATACGAAAATATTTTGTTTAAAAAATAGAGTTAATCAAATTCATGCTGATTAAAATATTAGAAATTTGTTCTGTACTGACTTACTAATTCAATCATCTGTCTACATGCAAATAACTTAAAAAATACAGTTCTCATTTTGTACAGCATCTTTCAAATTGGACTCAGCAAAGTTTGAATGGCATTTCATTACATACCAAATCTATTTTGCTACTTTTAAAGTTCTTTTCTCAGAACAAAAAAAAAGAGAAGGGCAATATCTTTCTTCTTTCTAATAAAAAAAAAAGAGAGAAAAAATTGTATTAAAATTCAAAAATTTAGAAAAATATGATAAAATTTAAAAGCTGTGTATTAAGTAAAACTTAACTAATGTGCTTGTCTTGTAAATTCTAACAAAGGTTATCGCTGCTTGCAAAAGAAAAGATGTTTCACAAAGTAAACAAAATTCAAAGCTGTCTATATCTAAAAAAGTGAATTTAATTTTTAAAATTTGTTAAATGTGGATCAAATTTTGGGAACAAGAAGTTATCATCAATCAGAAGTATGAAAATAATTTGTACTTCCATTTTTCCCGAACCCTTAGCTGCCAAATGTAACACCTTCCCCCTTTAAACTTGATTAAGGCATCAGTTATGTAACTTTAATGTGATAGCATGAATTAGTGTAATGGTAAACAGAAGGGCAGACCTTGATTTGAATGGAATGTTAGCATTTCCTGAAGAAATTTCTATGTGATTCTTAAACCAATAAGGGTGAATTTATAATTAGGTTTCCTATAATTACCATACAGTCTTGTACCAACACAGGTGTAGCTAAAATAAGATCCTATGGGTTGGTAATTCCAAAAATGTATCCATAAGGTATTGAATGCTTTGTTACAGCATAACCCCAACACAAAACACACACATTATACTTAACTACAGAATACACTAGACAATGGATGTGTGAAATACATAATTGGTAATCCGGTTAATTAGCAACATGAAATACTATTGCATTGAACATATTTCAAGTATTTTTTCCTTCTGTTTGACGATTAACCAATTTTTTTAAACAGTCACAAAGACAAACGTGTTTTATGATTTTCCAATAGATCTAGATGACATTCAATCAATCCATCATTATTTGAGTTGGACAGATACAACACTTAGAAAAGAAGGGAATATGGCTGCCTCATTCAAGAACACAACCATAGAACTCCAACAATTTTGTAGACCTACTCTCTATTATGTACTAGACCAGGGGTCTCCAAACTACGGCCCGCTGGCCGGATGCGGCCCGCAAGGTCCTCTCATCCGGCCGCGGAGATCTTTTTGTCCATGGAAAAAATGTTTGTCAGAGGTGGCTGAGGAACTTTGCCCAGAAAATTCAAAACAATTTGAAAATGTAGCTTTGTGTGTAAATACCATACCCCGCCGTGTTGCAGACATTGGTGAAAACATCGTGACTCAAATAGCGAAAAATGCAAGCAAGTTTCGCCATTTTTCAATTGAAATGGATGAGTCGCTGAGATTTATATATATTTATATATAATTTATATTTCGTTGGGGGGGGGAGTTATGTTCTTTTGAGATACCTGGAAGAAACTGGCCCCCGAACTGATATTTGATAGTTAATGCTGCCCTCGGGCTGAAAAGTTTGGAGACCCCTGTACTAGACTATTAAATGTTTATTAATATATTCATTAAACTCAGCCTAAGTAATATCTAGAATAATTGTCTTAACAGTAAACTAAACTAATTAAAAAGTTATTCCTTTAAACAGAATCAAAACAAATTAAATGCTAACCCAATAAATCAAATAACACTGAATTTTAACAATTATTATTTATTATTTTATATCTCCCCCACATTTTATATGTGTATGCAGTGGCTAATATAAATATGAAAAATATAGTCCTTATTTTGTTAAAAAGAAAGTGTTCACATTTACAAAACCAAAATATAAGAGGATAAAAACATAGAAAAAATCCAAGTAAAAAAAATACATTGTTGCACCTTGTTTTGAAATAAAAATAGGAACAAGAATGTTTGAATAACTTCAAGTATTACTATCTGGTGAAGAGCTTTTACTTTATCCAAGAGTATAATCTTGTAACCTTTCAAAAAAAAATCAGCTGGTGCAATGTATTAGTTTAGTGCATTGGTCAGACTCTCAATCCCATTCTACAAGTTTCATGACACAATTCATTACACTGTTAGACAAATAGGGCCTTACATTACTTCCTGAGAAATAATATGAAAAATTGAACAAATCAACCAGTATCCACATATTTGTTTTATAATAAAATACTTCAATAGCCCCATTAAACTTCCTACTGTGTTAAGCTAATTAGAAGCACTATTTCTTTATTTATTACTTTTGAGTGAAGAATGTTTATGAATAACACAGAATCAGAAAAATGTGCATGTATGTAATATGATAAAAATTTAAATAGTAACAAAAAAAGTTACAACTAAATTTTGCTCTGTTTTGAAAAATGATTTGTATGTAATATGATAAAAATTTAGTAGTAACAAAAAAAGTTACTACTAAATTTTGCTCTGTTTTGAAAAATGATTTGTATGTAATATGATAAAAATTTAGTAGTAACAAAAAAAGTTGCTACTAAATTTTGCTCTGTTTTGAAAAATGCTTGGTATTGATAATGAAAAAAAAACAGACAGACTGGTGATGACAGTATTTAAAATTCTGTAATAATTCTCAAGTACATTAACTTTTATCTAAATATTTTATTTCATTTACATTTGTTAAATTTTCATAAAGGCTTAAAAATAAAAAATAAATTATCTATTTTATGTAAAAACAGGTTTAAAACTATCATAATATCAAAGCTATAATTTTAAAAACAAGTCTTAAACAAAAGTCCAGATAAATTCTAATGTCATTAAAAGATTTAACAAATAATGTGTTCTGCTGTAGAGTAAATTGTGTTAAGGCTTGCTAAAATTAACACAAATAGAATTACAACTGAAAGAACTATTTATACACACTACAACCAGTTACATCTAAACAACCACCACTTTGTGTACAAGTATCCTTTACTGTAGTTGGGTCTTCAGTGCTAGAGCCTGGCTCTATAGACCCAGATGGCGAATCACCTTCTCCAGATGCACTAGAGCTCAAGTCCTCTTTCAGGTCTGAAACACTGTGTGTCCCCGAACTTGGTCCATCCTCCACTGTTTGTTTGTCTTCTGTCAGGGCACTGCTTTCTGAGACAGCTGAGCTAACTGGAGCAGCCTGTGAATCAGGCGATGTACTGAACGGAACAGGTGAATCGTTTAACTTGTCCATTGCTGTCTGGGAATCTTCCAAAGTATCCATTGCAGAAGGTGAATCATTCGACTTATCGAAAGCTGTTTGCGAGTCATCCAGGGTGTCCATTGCGGATGGTGAATCGTTCAACATATCTAAAAATCTGCATTCTGCAACATTATCCAATGAACCCAAATCAGTTTGGGAATGGTCCCAGGCACTCAAAGCGTTTTGTGAATTATCTAACACACCTAGAGCAGTTTGTGAATGATCTGATGGAACTTTGTTTTCATTGGATTCCGACCCCTGTTCTTTGCCAAGCAAATCTTCCACACCAAAAGTGACATTTTTATCTTTTTTCTTGCCCTCGTCTAAAATTGAAGCGCAAGAGAATTCTGAGCTCCGACAGTTTCTCGACGCAGCCGTAGTGCTGGGAGCTGTAACGTCTGGGTGAAATATGTGCGAGTAAAGCAAGGGCGATGGTAGTAACGATGGCACAGTATGCAGCATCAGGTGCATGGGCAACACATCTGGTGGGGGAGGCTGAGACACACCAAATGGTAATGGATGGGTGAGAATGGAAGACAGGGATGTAGATGGGCAAGGGAGATAAGTTACACTAGATGAGAGTAACGGTGCTATAGGTGGGACTGGAACATTCAGGGAAGATTTGATCCCAAATATTGAGTCAGAGGTGCTGGGAGAGCTGCCCATACTGTCTTTGGACATGACACTGGAACCATTCATAAATCCATTAGACAAGTCTGACAGAATGCCTGAGGATGAAGTTACATGAGCAGCATCCTTGTTTGGAGAAATAGTACCTGGGCTGCCACTTTCAGTGGTTGGTACTTTCTCACTCGTAGCACCATTTACAGACATGTTCTGAGTATCTGTTCTACAGGTAAATAATGACTCTGCTGAGTAAGGTTTGTTTCTGTCTTCATTTGTAAACTGTGAGGAGGATGGCAGGGCGAGTAATGAGCTAGAAAACGACAGTACAGGATCATAACTTTTTGTGACAGGAAATATAGACTGACAGGTTGATACTACAGTTTCAGTTCTGGGTGGCAAGTAAAATGTCTCACTGCCTTCAGGAGCTTTGGCGCCCCCTGAACTTCTGTTGCGTATATTGAAATCTGCAGGTTCAATAAATTTTATTTCATCCGGGTCTGATTTTGTACTAACGCTGCTGCACACAACTACATCTTCATCATCACTCAGTATGGAAACAACATTATCATTAAAGTTGCCAGCAGTAGACTGTCGTGGCTCATCATTCCAGCTTCTTAACGAGCTACCTGTGCGAGGCTGTGGATTACCTGTGCTGGTGGAAGGCAGCTTTCCCTGATCTGGGAAATTGGCTTCCAACCACTGTTTGGTCCGTGAGGCTGTGGTGCTGGGAGCTGAACTCAGTTCATAGTCCTCTGTGTCATCAGAGTCTGTCTCACTTGAAGATTCACTGATGACAGTGTGGGAGTCCAGGGCAGAGTTGGACATGGAGCTTGAGTGAGGGAGGGAGGGTAAGAAAGAGGGAGGCGGTGGTGGTGGAGGCGCAGGGAATGTGTGAGTGCTTGGCAAAGCTGGCCAGGGGCTCACCCACAAATTCAGCGGGATGGGCTGGAGATTGTCCGGCATTGCTATGTAGTTTGATGGAAATGAGCTGCTCAGAGAGTGCCCGATGTTCTGTGCAGGGATGGGTTGGGCCCGGTGGGTCTCCCATACAGATGACTCCCCTTCCACAGATTGGTCAGAGACAGGCTCTGCTCTTGAACTGTACTTGCTTTTATGTTTCCTTCTCTCAGCATCGGGTAGCTGCGACCTGCCGAAACTCTCAGAGGTTTTTTTATGACCCGAATGGTGTTTTTTATAAGACTGTAAAAGAGAAGGGCTTTGTGAGCTACGGTTTTTATCTTTCTTTTTATGCTTGTGTTTCCCTCTTTCAGATCTACTTGGCTTACTTTGAGGATCAGTGGCTTTACTTGAGCTTGGTCCTTCAATTACTTCAGCTATAGTAGCAGGGATTGCAGCTGCACCCAGTTGTTGGCCGATGGACTCCGCAAAATAGCGATCAACTAATTCCCTATCCCTATCCTTAGACTTCTTTTTCTTCTTCTTCTTTTGCTTCTCGGATGATGTGGAAAGCATTCTCTTTTTCCTTGCTGGATCTGCTGTTACAGGAGCTTGAATATCATCACAAACAACAGTGGCTGTTTTGGACCTGGATTTGTCAGCAGATCTTGACCGACCGGGTGATTTATTATTCTCCCCAGCCCTTGCTAAACTCTCTAACTGCTCCTTCTTTTTCTTTTTATGCTTCGACTTAGATTTTCTCTTCTTTCGACTTTCACCTTCAGAATCTGAAGACAGCTGTATAGGTGATCTCTCGGTCCATGGTTTGTCATACTTCAAAAACACAATATCACTCCCAGCTTTGGAGCTGGAGTCTGAATCGTTCTGGTCTGGCCTAAAGACTGGATCGTCACTTTCTGAGCTGACAGACACAGTATCAGTCTCTATAGGCTGTCGCACGCTGCTCAAGTCAATACTTTCCCAGGATGGTCCGGGGGTAGGGGAGTCCCACCCTGTCCTGAGGAGGCGTGAGCTCCCAGCCACAGGGGATGTTCTACCAGTTATCTCAGTGTCAGAGCTCACGTCTGTAATTTCAACCACGTCATCATCATCATCGCTGCTACTGCTAGACGTGTTTTCATCAAATGAGATAGTAGCATCATGGCGCTGATACATCGCCTTCCTATCATAGGCTTGCATTAACAGAGCACTGTTGGTAAAAGCAACAAATTCCTGAATAAATTGTCGTGACCTGCGACCGATGAGCGGTGAAACTTTATCACTAAAAGTTGTACTGTCAATAGTAACTTGAGTTAACAGGGGCTGGATCACACTAATAGCTAGCCTGACATTGTGGTGACTTTTAACAAGAACTTTCAGCTCTCTCGTTAGCCAGGGCATGATACGTTGCATTCTATGTGGGCTGGCGGCAACCATTGCAGGAGTCAGGCGGTAAGTACTGTTTTCTGTTCCAAGAATAATAAGAGGTGGCCCAAGTGAACGTCTGTATACTTCACGTCTAAAATCTTCTGCACCCCTGGGCCATGATGATGCACACACATGATGAAGATGAGTAAATGATGTGCCCGTGTATGAATATTGATGCTCACCGTGAACTGGGTGGTGAGGCTGAAGGTAACGGTCGTATCGACGACGAAACTGGAACCTGCTGAAATTGCTGAGGGTAAGGTCAGCATCCAGGCCGGGTTGCGTTAAGCTGAAGTAGTGAGTAGGTGCAGCATATGCAGTTATGCTTCTTGGGAGATAGCTGAGGAAGTTGTAGTCATTTTGACGAGGTGGGTTAAGAGGAGGAAGCTCATAAATATCATAACTCTGATCGGATCGGATGTTATGAAATATGCTGGTAAACGGTTGCTTGCATAAAGGGCACTCTGCTTTCACTTTAGACCACTGCTTCAAGCACACAAAACAAAATGAATGTGCACAGCTACTAGTAAAAGATTTATTATTAAATGGTCCCAAGCAAATTGAGCAATTGTCTGGTGATTCCCTTCGATGCTCCTCAGCTTCTGTTGTAGTTTCATCCTTGTCAGGGACCTCTTTGCTGGCACTGGTGTCAGGATTTTCACTGCTTGCTTTTGCAGCATTAGCAGTGTTGGCCTGATTCCGTGTTACAGGCATGGTTCCTGTTTGAAAATTGTACACAATAAAAATTAAATAAAATTGACAGCTGATAACTAAATATTAAGATATGTGTAGGTATAGGTAAAGAATTTATTAATATCGAGAACCAAAATCTCTTGTAGCGCTGGAAAAAGGAGCACTGATGAGATTGTCTAAACAGTCACCAACCCGAGGGTATGATTTAAATGCATTTGTAAATAGCTTTGAGATCTATACCACATGTAAACATGTAAGTTGATAGTTAGCATCATGATTTAGTATGATTGTATTTGTTAATTTGTTATAAGGGGTGTTAGGTTGCTACTGGTAACTAAATACACGTAGATCTATGTCTTGTTAATGTCAATGCTAACACTATTAGTTATTGCCAACCCTATCCCCAACCCAGATTTCTAATCATAAAACTAAAAACTTTCTAGGCTTGAGCTCTTGACTTGTACAAAGGTCTAGATTCTAGATCTATATCCATATTTTATTTAGATGTATCATCAAACCTTGACTAAATCTAGATCTAGCTAGATTCTGAAAAATTGAAATCTAGATTAAGATTATTCTAGATCTAGAATCTAGATCTAGATTAGAATCTAGTCTAGCTAGTGTAGCTAGATCTAGATCTAGTCTAGATCTAGATCTAGAGTCTAGTCAGCAAGATTACCTTTGGGCTTGGGGGTTGATTATGATGATGAATCTTAATCTAAATTTAAAATTTGTAGATCTAGAATAATCTAGATTCTAGATCAGGACTAGAATCTAGAAATCTAGATTCTACATAGGCCTAACATAATAATAAATAACCTCATGCAAACATACATAAGATTCTAAAAAGTTTTGTTCTTTTAAATTCATTATCTAGGTTAAACTATGCTTAAGCTAAGTGATTTTGTTTCTTTTACATGTCAGTAGACTTTGAACGTGTTAGGCCTACTCTGCTGACTTATAAAATCTAAAGAAAGAAACAAATGACAAATAAAAACAGCAGCGAAGAACGGCTGGTTAGTTAGCTAGGTGGACATCAAACATAAAATCATAAGTTTGAACAAACACATAAGGTAGTAAAGAAACGTAGAGTAAAAACATACCTGGGTTAATCCACTGTAAGGGTGTAAAAGTTAATTACAACATCCATAATATTGTTTTCTTGCCGACCATCTACGGGTAATGGCTGACAGAGGCTCGGGATGCACTCAAAACAGGGACGTCCAATAGGGATTGAGACATATTCGAGTATTGTACTCGAGTACGAACAGAAGATTATTTTTTAATTTAAAAATGTGTGTTCAGTTGTTACTTTTTCTAAAAAAAAAATACTTTAGCAAAATCGTTAAGCATCGAATATTAATTTTATTTAAATTACTACGTAACTATGCTGCAGTTTTCTTTTAAATTATATAACGCAGTTTGTGGGGGCTTGTTAAAAACGCAATACATCAAAATGCAACATCATTCCCTGTGGCGTAAGATTGTTTTGAAAAATGACATGGCAATTTCATTTGTTAATCAAAAGCCTTGCGTTTATAAAGCACACATTTATATTCACATAGTAAATTACGTTTGACATTACGTAACGCCACTGTGCTTTTAATGCCTGGATTTTCTTTATTACCAAATGTGGTAGCATCCACGGTGGCAATGTTAAATCTTGCCAGAGACTAGTGAGCTGCAACAACCTATGCCCATATTTATCCTCTACGGCTTACTGTTCATTATTATTAATTACACAATATATATTACTTGTTTTGTTGTATGATTTATTTTTCTTCTCGGTATCTGTAAGACCACGAACAGCAAATATCGGTGTTTGAAAATAGGCTGTATTTGATTCATGAAAACTAAGAAAGAAAAACGACTACTTCAATTTTACCATAAAAACTAATTATTATCATATGATTTAGGTGCTAAACAATATGTTCATTGTTTGAAGTTAGCTCTTGATTTTTTTTTTTAATATCCAGAATAAATTTAGTTTCTTTTTATCATTAAAAAAAAGTACTAATAGGGGGGGGGGGGCAGAAGCGTGAACAAGGGAATCTACTCTCATATTCATGTGTACCGTGCGTGATCATTCTTAACCCCCGTATTTTACAACATAACGTCATTATCGAGCTTTTAAAAGTTGCAAACCGTAGGAAAATTTATACCTTTTAAAAAGAGTATAATAAAATTGTGATATATTTAGACTTTGACTTGTTTTCTTTGTATAATTAAAACTTTGTTTTGAAAATATTTCCTGCGTGTTATGTTGAGATAAAAAAAACCTTGGAAGGACAATATTATTATTATTGTGGGGGTTAAACAGAGAATGCGTTTTATCCATTGCCGGTTATTTATAGTAGTAGGCCTGTAGTATTTAAACTAAAGAATACGAGCCGACCCGCAGCGTATCATACGCCGCTATTTAGTTGTTTTATTTTTTACTTTTCAGTAATTCATAATTTGTGAATTCGACAGTACCAATGCTGCCACTGAAAATATTTGTTTTAAAACACTAACCCCCCCCCCCCCTTCCTTTCCCCTAAGCCCGACTCTACACCCCCCCCCCCCCCCCCCCCCGTGAAAGCAGCCTCCTCTTAGTTATTTCTTAGTTACCTCCTGTAAGTTTAAAATCGAACTAAATTATCTGCCCCTAATAGAAACCCTGCTCTACGGCTCTATGATTTGTAATAATTTAGCTTTGTAAACATTTAGAGTGAACACCGCTCACCAGACAATGTGGGGGTGGGGTGGGGGTGGTAATGATAGTAATAGAGAGAGAGAGAGGGGGGACTGCAAGGAGGCGCTTGCAGCTTGTTTTCTAACGGCTCCCAGAAGAGAATTATATATATAGATTATTATTAATTATTGTCAAAATGTAATTACCAAAGCGATTTTTCTTTCATTAGCATCAAAATGAAAGATTGGAGAATGAACATTTGTGTGAAGGGATGATGTCTGCCCTGCCGCCTTTACATCCGGAGTTTCTTCCAGGCTTCGGGGTGGGGGGGGGGGGGGGGGAGGTCTGCCTCCTTTTCGCACGAAATAGAAAAAAATATTGTAGAAAAGATTTAGTTAACAAGTTTCCGTGAAAAAAAGGACCAATCATGTGAAACTTTAAAAAACTAAACACCATTATGTTTTTTGACACCACGCAAGAGCAACATCTTTGAGGGAAACGCTAGTTGGAGACCACTTTGTAATGACTGTATATAACCCTTCATAAGCCTACGCGGACCATAGGACATCCTTTGAATAGTGAATGTGGTTAAATAATTATATAAGACCAGGGGCGGAACTACAGTGCCGCCAGACCCCGCAATGCGGGGGGGGGGGGCCAGGCCATTTAGGGGCCCAAAGCCGACCAGAATCAACTTTTTTGTAGTTAAAAAATATTTTTTTGCAAAACAAAACAAAAAACAAACAGATTTACCACAGTAGTGATGTCCTACAGTAGCGAACACACGCTGTTTCATAAAGAAATAACATATATAGCTACATCAGTTGTAGAGTGAAAGACAGGGAAGCGTTCAAAACACTTCGATGAATTATTTCCCTTTTTTAAATAGTCAAATATGTGTGCTCTTAATTAAAAAACATTTTTAGCACTAAACAAATAAAAAATCATTTACTTCTCTTAAATTATTATTTTTAAAAAAATCCAAAATAAAGAATGACATAGTATAAAAGGAAATGTATTAAAAACTAACAATATATATACAAAAAAAACTTTAAAATAAACATAATGTCAGAAACCATTACACATACATAGCTTTCATGCTTCATATACTTTTGACCGCCTTTTATATTAGTGTGTTTCTAGACATTAAAGCAAAGAATTTTTAAAAACAGACAAATAGGTTGGGTATTAAGATGGCTTAATTTCATGTCATTACATTTGAATTTTTTAGTAACATAAAAAAAAAAAAAAAAAAAAAAAAAACCAGACAAATAGCACTACAAAAATGGTGTGTTGTTGTTATATGTTTTAATTAATATAAAAACTAAGAATTTTAATTTTTTTTCAAATTTCGAACAAGCCCGATTTGAGTATTCTATGATATTTTCGTATTTAGTTTATATATATACGAGCCGACCCGCTGCGTATCATACGCCGCTATTTAGTTGTTTTTTTTCTACTTTTCAGTAATTTATAATTTGTTAATTCGACAGTACCAATGCTGCCATTGAAAATATTTGCTTCAAAACACTACCCCCCCCCCCCCCCCCCACGTGAAAGCAGCCTCCTCTTAGTTACCTCCTCTAAGTTTAAAATCGTTTCAAACTAAATTATCTGCCCCTAATAGCCGTCACCAAACCTGTCTCTGTGATTGTAAAATGTAAACAGAGTGAACACCGCTCACCAGATCATGTGGGGGTGGGGTGGGGGTGGTAGTGATAGAGAGGAAGAGAAGGGACTGCAAAGGCGCGCTTGCAGCTTGTTTTCTAACTGATCCCAGAAGAGAATTATATATATACGAGCCGACCCGCTGCGTATCATACGCCGCTATTTAGTTGTTTTATTTTCTACTTTTCAGTAATTCATAATTTGTGAATTCGACAGTACCAATGCTGCCACTGAAAATATTTGCTTTAAAACACTACCCCCCCCCCCAACCCCTACCCTACACACCCCCCCCCCCCCCCCGTGAAAGCAGCCTCCTCTTAGTTACCTCCTGTAAGTTTACAAATCGTTTCAAACTAAATTATCTGCCCCTAATAGCCGTCAACAGAGTTTCTTCCAGGCATCTCTTCAGGGGGGCTATGCCCCCCCCGAAAAATTTTTACCGCCCCCCCGAACGAAATGAAATTTATATAATTTATATAGAAAATATATACTTTTAACAGTGTCCGCCCCCCCCGAAGAAAGTTTACCGCCCCCCCCCCCCCGAAGATTTCAAGTGCCCCCCCCCCCCCCCCGGAGAAAAATGTCTGGAAGAAACACTGGCCGTCAACAAACCCGGCGCTACGATTTGTAAACATTTAGAGTGAACCACAGCTTATCAGATCATGTGGGGGTGGGGGGGGTGGGGGGTGGGGTGCTGGTGATAGAGAGGAAGAGAGGGGACTGCAAAGGCGCGCTTGCAGCTTGTTTTCTAACGGCTCCCAGAAGAGAATTATATATATATATATATATATATATATATATATATATATATATATATATATATATATATATATATATATATATATATATATATATATATATATATATATATATATATATATATATATATATATATATATATATATATATATATATATATATATATAAAATATATATTATATATATGGGGCCCAAACATTTTTTTTGCGGGGTGGCCCTTTTTTTCTAGTTCCGCCACTGTATAAGACAAGAGAATATGCCAAATTTATAAGATCCAATATTGACATATTAAGTGGTTTCGAGTGGACCTACATCAGTTCTCTTCCCCATCGCAGTATCGTGCTTTTCGGCTTTTTCTATGTAGGCCTAGAACTAGCAAACGAACTCATTGAATGTTTGAATGATAACACATGTTTGTTGGTTCATTTTGGTTTGAGCATGTTGTTTGTGGAAGAGCTGATTCATATCATCTGCAGAATCGAAAACTTCTTGCTTTTTGATGAAATTTTTATTCATGTAGTTGCTTGTAGGGCTTTACACGATCTAACCAATTACCATTTAAGAATATCATTGTTGAAAGCATGCCTCCCCGTCTGCACTATGAAATGGTTTGCTAGCTTCCCCTTGCAATTGTCTATCTGACAGGTACAGGCCTTAAATATCGTGATGGATATAAATTTTGGGGGTAAACCTATAGTATAATCGTTCACCAGCTTCCATATATACCTCTGGATTCTTACTATAAGACTAATGTATAAGAGGGACTCCCATTCTATGGCTTGTTGCGTAGTACAACAATTGTGTAAGGTGCATGTTGCCTTGACGAAAACCTGCCTGTTCTTCTTGAAGTTTTTTGTCCAATGCCTCTCTGAGTCTCTATGATGATTCATGTCAAAGCAGTACTTGAGACGGAAGTATTTTCCATCACCAGTTGCGACATTGTGACACGTCTTTCTTCGACAGCTTTACAAAGTATAGCTATTTTGCAGTCATAATTAATTCCCTATTACGAATTCTGCTTTTAAGGTGCTTGCATTAAATCCGAAGAAACTTCTACAACAGGACTTAAAATCAATAGAAGTAAAACTGAGGTCGACAGGATCAATTAACGTTTTTTTCAGACAATTTATTTTAGTTCTTCTTCTTAATCCCGTTCGTGCCCAAGACACATGGGGCAGATGAAGTAGAGTTCATCTGATTCGTGACTTTGGGATATGAAGGGATAGTGTGGTCAGCACTATATGCCCAGCCGCCTTTGTTTCCCTTACGTAAGGTAAGTACCATCAGAGCTGGGTGGACTCGAGGACGTTCCATTGATTTGAACCCGGATTTTGAACCGCTAGGCCACGCCGTCCCCTATTTATTTTACTAAACCCCGTAAAATGTGTGATGAATCGGACATGTCCCGAAGAGAACAGATTAAAACATCGTGAAGCAAGCGCTGGACTGGAAGCCTAAGGAAGAGAACAGTGTGCAGGCCCAGAAAATGATGGAGGCAGTGTTTCTTCCAGACTTTTTTCTCCGGGAGACGCACTTGATATTTCCGGGGGGGGGGGGGGGGGCACTGGTAAAAGTATATGTTATAAATTCCATTTTGATCGGGGGGGGGACGGTAGAAACTCTGAAACTCTAGAAGAAACTCTGGAACCAAGGGTTGCGGTGCTTACAGGGCCAATTGAAGAAAGTCGCTGTTGGTGACGTGTCTCTGCTGCTCCATGAGTGCTCTGCAGGGTCAAGCGTGTCATCCCATGTTTTAATTATACTTATAGTCAAGGTATTACATACAGCTTGGTGATAAGTAAAACATATCTTTTAATTGTTTTAAATTGAGCCTCTTAATAAGAAAAGAAATTTAAAAAAAATAGTTTAGTAAAAACTTCCTAGCAAAAACAAAAAATTAAAATTTCCCTAAAAATGTTACCTACACCCCCCCCTCCCCCATTTTTTCCATGGCGTTAGAGGCTCAGCTATTCTGAAGTCATCGCAAAGTTATGTAGGCTTCAGTAAACATTGAAATAGCAAGTGATAGCCAAAAACGTCACAAGGCGGGGGGGGGGGGGGCGGTCCGCACCGGGTGACGCCATTTAGGAGGTGACATCAAATCCAAATTGAAAAAAAAAGAATCATTTACTGTTAAAACAATGTTTCATCCAGTTAAAATAATAAAACAGTAACGGAAAGTGGTGACACCAAAACAAAAAATGCAAAGTTGTTGAAAGGGATAGAAATGTACACCGTCAGTGATAACTTGTACATAATAGGGCTGGTAAGTAGGTCACCAACCAGTTCTTTGGCTCATGCAGGTTTTATTGAGCAGTAGAACTGGATGGTGACCTTCTTACCAGCCCTATTGATGTCACGCATATTTTTCAAACATCGATATAAAAAGCATAAATATCATATAAACACAGTTCTAATCCCCCCCCCCCCCTTTTTTGCACACAATTTCCTCTACAAAAAAAAAATCATTTTAAAAGTACAGTAAAATAAATGAAAATAGATCAAAATGTTTTCTAACTCTCGCTCTCACATTATAAGGACAAATGTACACATTTGTTTTAAATCGAGGGGTAGCGGTTACTAGATCTAGTGATTTTCTTTTTTTAAATGATTATTAATGGGCATAGTCTAAGGACATGTTAAAAAAATCAACATTATATTTACCATTCGAAAACTGGTGTGTTCAAAACGTTTTTAGTTAATATTAATTACTTTTAACGAAAGAAATTATGTTGGTTATATAGACTCTAGATCTAGTCACTTAGGGGATCATCCATAAATGACGTCACACTCGTAGGGGGGAGCGGGGGTCCGTAATTTTGTGACGATGTGTGATGAGGGGGAGGGGGGGGGGGTTCAGATGTTGCGACGTCACATTTTTGCATTATAAAAAAGCAATGTTAGAAAACGAATTTTAGTCGTTATTTCGCGTTTTAGATAACTGTTTTAATAAATTGTAATAGTTTAGACAAGATTTTGGAAAAATATCGATGTTTAAAAAAATTCAACTGCAATTTTGAGGGGGGTTGTAAGTTGAGGTGTGACGTCATTTTAGTGGGGGGTCTGGCTTTTTGTGACGACGTGTGACGGAGGGGAGGGGGGAGGTAAAAAGCTTCCAAAAAAAGCGTGACGTCATTTATGGATGACCCCTTATTTATTTATCAATTTTTAGTTTCCTGCGCTACACTGGGAAAACAAACGTCTATTGATTTAAAATGTGCTAAAATATTAGTGGATTATTTTATGTATGGTAACCGTTTACACGTATAAAATGTAACTTTGCACCGTAGTTGACGAAAACAAAAATGTACACGCTAACCGTACCACTGCCATAGCTTATTGTACGCCAAATCCTAATGATTTAATCCCTCAGACCTAGGCTGAGATGAAATAAGCCGTCGATTCTTTTAAAAACAATCGCTAAAAAGGCCATGGCGATTAAAGATAGGGATGCCCTGTTGAAAGAATGCGAAATTTCAACAACAACAGATCCAATCGAAAGTTCTGGGGGAAAATACTCATTCTGGACGAAGTTAGTAGTGGAAAATTAAAATCTTTATTCTTTAGGCCTATTGCATCTTAATCTTATCTAGATCTAGATTCTAATATCTATTAGATCCAGATAGACTAGAGTCTAGATCTTGATTTTTAGATTTAGATCTCTAGACTAGATGTTTGTACTACAAATTAAGATTGATAATTTAGTTTAGTGTTTAGTTAATAAAATTTTTAATTAAGTCAGTCTTCGCCTGCTTCAGCTTTTATAAATTTAAATTTTTTAGGACTAAAACTAAAAAAAACACTACTCACTACCGCTACCTTACCTACCTACCTACCTACACTAACACCAACAGTAACTGTCTAACAGTAAAATTAAACACTGAAGTAAAAAAAAATAGGCCTTTTTTATATTATTTCTATCCCCTTATTAATTTTTAATTAAAATTTTTTTATGAAGCTCGCAATTAGATCTAGAGTATCTAGATCTAGTTCCACAGAAAATTTCACCAAAGTCAAGTGGCACAATATCTTAATTTAGTTATGCTACAGGGGATTCCTTGTGGTCTTGGGATACACTAGAATACTAAATTTAAACGCTGACCTATAATTTGTTGAGTGGTTGAGTATAGAGCACAACAGCTTGATATCTAGATCTATTTTGAAAGTTCTTGCCTTGGAAATGTGTCCTTATCCTAGAATTCCTTTTTCTTTTTTATAATGCAAATGGCAAATTATAGGCCTATATAATTAACTATATGTAATTTGGAACATAAACTAACTTGAATGTTGAGTCCTGCTTTATCATACATTATTATTGCAATGAACATGGATTACATTTTTTTTTGGTAGATTATGGCTAACACTGTCAGAAAATATCCTTCTAATTTTAATTTTTTAGATATACTCACAGCCAATACTTCAAACCCATTCTAATAAAGTATAGGACTAGACATTATCTTCAAGATTTGTCTAATCTATTTTTAGCCATTTTTTATTCTAATAGATATAAAATATTCTTGTATTTGTAGGAGAGACAAGATCAAATGGACATCATGCCTTTTTTTCGGCACAGCTACTCTATACTCTGCAAGGACAATAATGCCAGTGTGTATTGTGTCCATATCCAAAGAAATGGGATGGGATAAAACTGAATCTGTAAGTTAATTATTTTTAAGTTGAAAGAAAAATCCATAATTATATTTCCATCATTTATAATTATGTTTAAAGTTTTTAATGGACAATACGGAATCTATACTTTAAAAAAAAGCCACTGTACTGTAGTGTACACAATCCTAATATACATTTTAAAGGATTATAATTAATTGAGTTTTTAAACATTGATGTACTAGAGAACAGCATGTTTGTTTATGTACATATTTAAATATATACATATTGCCCTTCTGACCAGTGTCATGCAAGTAAATCTTGGTTTTATTGTGATGTTAAAGCTAGGAAAAAAATGCATGTACTTAAACAATCCTATGCACATAACTTAATAAATGCTATTAGTAAAATATTTCTCTACACTTTCAGGGAACTGTACTGTCTGGGTTTTTCTGGGGCTACACCATGACCCAGTTTCTAGGTGGCTATTTGAGCGACAGAGTGGGAGGGGATGTTGTATTGCCTATAGCAGCTTGCCTGTGGTCACTCATGTGTTTTTGGACACCCCAGTTGGTCTACTTGTCAACAAACCATCACAACTCTCTATACATCATGGTTGTTTCAAGAGTTCTCCTTGGAATTTTCCAAGGCAATTTTTTTGTTTTAATAATAAGTTTACTCTTCCACCATACTAAAATTTTAATGATGATAGGCAAACTCCTTCTTTTGTTGTGTGCTGTAGATGATCACTTTTTAGTAATACCTAACATTTATTGAGAATTAAATCAATTAGCCATTTAAAGCCTTTGTAAATAGAAATTTATGATTTTTAATTACTTTACCAGAAAATTACTTTTCATATATTCAGATACCTCAGTTACCCAATCATTAGTTGTGTGTTTCATGTTTTGTTAACTAAAATAAACACTTAACTCACACTTACTTGTTGGTTTTAGTTATAAAGTAAACAATGCAATCATTTTATTTTACCTATTGAAAAGTAGTATTCCTTACAATCTTGATACAGGTTTTCATTATCCTGGAATAACGAGCCTCATCTCACGCAAAGTGTCACAACAGGAAAGATCCTTCACTTACAGTATAATATCATCAGGCTCACAATTTGGGTAATACATTTTATAGTATCTTTGTTTGTAGTACTTCACTTTAAGCAGATGTACAAACATTTTACTTTAGTTTGAAAGAAGATTTGGCACTACTGGATTGGTGGTGATGGGGGGGGGGGGGGGTGGGGTTGGTACACAGTTAATAGCTGATTTTGTACTGGAGACAGGTCACACTGAGGTCTGATGTATTTTGCTGGATGGTTGTTGGAGGGGTGGGGACTTTATTTTAAATATATTCCACAATAAGCAACTTGAGTATTGAAAACATGAACAGACAACCAGGGGTTCTTTCAGACATTTTTCTTCAGGGTTGGCAACTCTTGTAACTTCAGGGAGTTTTCTATTTAAATTACATATTTAAAAATTCTGTATAAGTAAAGTAAAGTTTCCTTTCAAACATTACGGTCTATGGGGCAAGTGAAGTAGAGTTGTTTCTGTGAAAAAATTCTGTATGGGGGCGGAGAATATGCTGTTGAGGGGGGGGGGGGGGGCATTGCCCCTTTTGGAGAGATGCACAAAAGAAATACAGTAGATATCTGTTAAAACTAGTGACCCTTTAAGTTATTTGAGCTTTGAGAATTAAATCTGTGAAGTTTTTTTTTTTAATTCTGCAATATTATTAAATGTAAAATAGTTAAGATATACTAGGCAGTTGTATAAAATCTGAAAATGCTAGACATTTCACATCTCAAATATTTCAACAGCACATTGTTAGTTGGATGTGTAGGTTCTTTGCTAACAGAATATTATGGATGGTCAGTGCCTTTTTATGCCATAGGTAAAGTTGCCAATTTTTATATTACCATATTTTTATAATCTTTTAATTTTTGTTTGTTGCTTTAGTTTGAACTCAGTACTTATGCAATGCAATGTGTCCTGCGCACAGAAGGGAAAAGATTATGATTTAAACTGTTTATTTGATTGTTTTATTGAGTCTATTAAACAAAGGATATATTTAGATATGCACAAATACCTTTTTTTTTAAATCTTTTATTTTAAAAATTTCCTTTCTTAGTAATGGTTAATGATCTTTATGTTTGCTGATTAAGTCAAATGACAAATACAACTACTTTTGGTCAAATTACTTGTGGTATTGTAATTTATATTGTTATTTCTTTGAACAATGTCTACTTCCTCTTTACTGCAACAAACACATTTTTTTTTTAAAGGTGTGTGTGGACTGTCTTGGATGCTGTTTATTCGCTATGTCTTAATAGCTAGACAACAGAAGACCATCAGTTTGTCTTTAAATGAAGCCCAGTTGTTAGAAAATAAACAAAACGCACCAGAGAAAACATCAGTGCCTTGGGTTGTCCTTTTTACTAAGCCTGCATTTTGGTAAGTTTATCAAATAGTGTGTGAATATGTTGACTGAGTGTAACAGAAGTGTAATCAATTTTGTTGCATTTAGTTTTTATTCCTAAAATAAATATATAAATAAATTCTTAATTTCCTGTAAAATTATACACAAAAAAGGAATTTTGACAGAAAAAATATATGATGAGTGCATTTTTTGTTTGTCCAGGCTTTGTACAGTATATTTTAATGTATCCTTTAGGTCACTGCTTGTTGGTCATTACTGTGAAAACAATGCCTTTTATATTTTAATGTCTTGGATGCCAACATACTTTCATGAAAATTTTCCTACTGCCAAGGTGAGATTTCACTTTAAAATTATTTTTATAATTAAAATATTTAAAAAAAAATACATTTTTCTTTTATTAATAAATGACCACATTGAAAAATGAATTAAATGCATAAAATCTTTTTAACAGAGTTGGGTGTTTAACGTTGTGCCGTGGATGATATCCATTCCTAGCACAGTGGGAAGCGGATGGTTAGCCGATAATATGATCTCTAAGGGTAATTTGAGATCCTTCATTTCTAGTCCATACAGTTAATTTTTTGTTAGTAAATTCCATGTCAACTAAATTAAAAAAAGTTTTTTTTCATTGTTTTAAATATTTCCACAAAAAATATAATCCAATTAATACAGCTGTAATCATTATTATTATTATCAATATAAAATCAATTACTTTTCCAGGTTATTCAGTAACTTTTGTCAGAAAGACAATGCAGGTAATAATAATTTACAATGTAAAAACCTTAAGATTTATTCTTTTTAAAGGAACCATAAGTCAGGAATTATAAACCAATAAAAATGTTTTAAAAGAATCAGTAAATATATACACATTTTTTTTTCTCACAGACTGTAACATTTTGTGGAACTGCCTTCTTTCTGTTTCTAATATCATACGTAAAAAGCTATGAAGGTTGTTTGATATGCATGGCTATGGCTATAGCCTGCTGTGGTTTCCACCATAGTGGAATCTCTGTCAACCCACAAGACATTGCTCCCAAACATGCTGGTTCTGTGTTTGGTAAGTTGTTTGTGTAGGGATGAAAGGGTTAATGTTCAGTACTTCTTGCTGTTTGTGAAAGTCTTGTTTTTTTTAGCCATTAGTTGTTTAAAAGTCAAACTGTCAATAATTATTGTTATGGTCCAGGTCTTTAACTTCTTGTAAAGTGTAAATTATGGTTGCTGAAGTGTCTTTCTTCTTCTTTGCTGTTTATGATGATATTGGAAGGGGATTTTCTTTTACTCCATTACATATTATGTGTGAACATGTACTGCACCACATGACCCGGTGACTACAACTCAGCCTTCTTTTCTTTCCGGGTGTGCTTTTATACCCTTTGACCACCCTAGATTGATTTGGAAGGCAGCAGTTTTTTTTTATTCTGGAGTAATTTACTAGATGGATTGCTGCCCCTTGCTTAGGGGTCTGAACTCAGCAATCATATGCTCTCCCACCCAACCATGCAGTGTGTTTCCTTGCAGTTGTTATTCAGTTTTTCTTGTCTATGTTATTTTACATTAGCCACTTGTTTCTTTTAGTCAATTCCTATTATCAGTATTTTAGATTTTTATCAAATAGTCTTTTTATCTATCTGTGGTGTTTCGTTTACTAAATTTTTAATTATTATTCTGTTTAAAAAAAATCTTTTTTTAGCATTTCTAGTTTATTTTCTTTCTTTTTAATATATTCCTGTTGCATTGGGTATAACAGAAAAGGTTTGCACCAGCACATTCATACCATAAGTGTTTGAGGGGTTGTGTGTTATATTATGTTCCATGTTAGTTTAGTCTGTATGATGTTGTGCGTCATTGTTGTTCTGTATTTTGTAAGTTTGTAAAATGCTGTGCTTCATCATGTACCTATTATTTTTGATAAATAAATAGTTTTTTTAGGTTATTTATAAGTTTTAAAAGGTCACTTGTTTAATAAGATATAATGTTTTTGTTTTTTTTAAATAAAGGTCTTATGAATATGGCTGGTGCTATTCCAGGTAAATATGTTTTATACAAATAAGTTGCAAATATTTCTTACAGTGATTACTTTTTATCCATCATTTCACATCCAATTAGTTCTGTTTATTTCAAAATAGTTATAAGTGATGAACTTCAAACTAAGGATAGTGTCACATAAAGAGACCAAAAAACCCCACAGATTACTGAATGCTAGTCAAATAAATGTTCTGTCAATATGTTCTTTATTAAATGTGATACAAAAAATGTTTACTAACTTTCAAACCATTTTTATCTGCAGGTTTCATTGGTGTTTATATTGCTGGTCATGTCCTGGAGGTGACTAAAAGCTGGAATGCTGTATTTGGACAGACAGCAGTGGTTTGTCTATTTGGATGGGTTGTTTACACTTTATTTGGAACTGGGAAAAAAATTATTTAAAACACTTTTGTAAATAAGATTACAAACAAAATTACAGATAATGAGTACATATTTATTTATTTTAAAAATCTCATAATTGCTTAAGATTGCATTTAATTCCATGACTAAAACATAAAAATAAGCTTTTTAAACACAAATATAAAATTGTTTATTGTGAACTGTGATGCTTGGAGATTATTATTATCCTTAAGAAAAGAGCATATATTTTATTTTAAATGATTCATCATATTAATATAAAACTATTTATTACATCACAGAAAATATTTTACCTCTAAATTTTATATTTGTTTTAGAACTTACTTTTGTTCCACATTTTTGCTTGTAAATATAACTCTACATTTGCTTGTTTGCTTGGTCCATGTATACCGGTATATAATAATTGATATAGGTTGTATTATTTATTAGCAACTTATTGTGTTTTATTTTAAAACCACAATTTTCAAACAAAGGATTCCAGGGGATGAATGAAATCAAAATAATTGCTCAATGATCTCATGTATTTAAAACTGATTCATAAAATCATATTTTCCCATTTTTTAAAGTTGTAAAATAATCACTTTCATCCACGCTGACATGTAATTAAAGTTCACTAAAATTAACTATCACAGGGGAAAACAACAACAAAACTCTTACCAACATAGCTATTTTATAAAATCTTCTAAGTGCAGGTCACTCAATGATATTACAGTTTGTGATATATTAGACCGATTTGTTGAAAATCCAAGGCTCTAGTACACATTAATACCAATACCTCACGGTAGAACTTGGTTGCCAAAATTTTTACTTTAAAAAAATGATACTAGTTGCAATTTTTCTGCACTGTATTCAGTAGAGTAAAATAACAAAATTGTTAACATTATATGACTTAAAATATTTGTTTCTGAATTGATTTTAGTTTTTTTCTTCTTTGTAGCTCATTGTGATAAAATGATCATCCACTTTTGTCAATTTTGGCTTTAAAATATACAATATCTTGCTGTGGGATTTATATTAGTAATATTAATTATATAATTTTAATGCTGCTTCTGTGTTCACTCATTTGCTATTGGCAGAAATGTTAAAAATTATTGTGCAATTTACATTTGCTTTTTTTGTTCTATTAATTTCAAATCGAATGGAGATCTTTGTCTGGGCAAAGCTTCTTTGTCAATGTAGCGGATCACCCTGAAATTTTGAAACTTGCAAGAGATAGGGTAGATCATGTCATGCTAACAAAGTGCCCAGGTTGATTTGAAATTGTGTTTTTTGTTAGAGGAATTTCAGGGTTTTATAGCATTGGGGAGTGCCTGGGCAGTTGAATGTTTATTCCTCGAGGCACCAGAGGCAGTCTCAGCTTCTCCCCAATGTTTATGTTGATAAAAGAACAAAGTACCACCAAGAGTGGACCACCTTTCTCACCCCACCCAATGCTGTTGTGTCATGTGATTACCTTATGCTATTGTCATCAGGTTAGAAATTTTTTTTTAATGAAATACAAGTTCAGACCTATAGGTCCAGTGAAATAGTGCTAATCTGTTTCTGCTACAATTTCAGACCTATAGGTCTAATGAAATAGTGCTAATCTGTTTCTGCTACAATTTCAGACTTATAGGTCCAATGAAATAGTGCTAATCTGTTTCTGCTACAATTTCAGACCTATAGGTCTAATGAAATAGTGCTAATCTGTTTCTGCTACAATTTCAGACCTATAGGTCTAATGAAATAGTGCTAATCTGTTTCTGCGACAATTTCAGACCCATAGGTCCAATGAAATAGTGCTAATCTGTTTCTGCTACAAGTTCAGACCTATAGATACAATGAAATAGTGCTAATCTGTTTCTGCGACCTCAGCAAATGAAGGAATTGTATGTTAACAGCATGTATTGGGCAGGTGTGACTCAGATGTGTCACTCTTGGTTTTTGTGATAAGTAAAGGAGTGATATCTGACATTTTTGTAGTGCCTGACAAAATTAAATGGTAGTTTTCTGCTGCAATGTTAAAAATTTGTTTGCTTTGATGCAAATTAAATGTCATCTGTGAAATACAACCTCTAGTATAATAATGACATAATACTAAGCATAATGTTTTTTTGGATTACAAAATTTGATGAATAGAAATTAATAAAATGGTAGATTAGTTTTCTTCGTGTTTAGGATTTGATATGCTATTGTCAAGAAAATATACAAAAATAATTTCAAAATTTAGACCATTTTTATTATTTTTCAACTGTTTATTGATGTCTTATAAGTCAATTGCCATAAGGTAGTACTTAGTTGAGTTTTTAATACCTTTAAAAAGTGTTCAGCTATTTATGTTAATTTTCCAAATTTTTAAAATTATTGTTTTGAAATTGTTTTGAGTGAGTATGTTAAAATTGTTATTTTACCAGCCAAACATAAAACTCCATTCCAAGTGTTTCTTATCATATGTTGTTAGTATATGATTTTTTTTAAAAACATTTAAATATAGTTTATGTCAAAAACAATGTCACTTTGTTATCTTTAGCAGTGATGTAGACATGTTATCAATAAGATTGCCATCTCTGTTTATATTTTAAAAAAATAATTTACTGATAGATGTTTGTCATGATATAATATTTAGTTTTTAGCCAGATGGTGGTTGTCCAACCATAAATCCCTATTGCTGTTGTAATCATACTTTGGCTATCTTTTACTCTTGTATCTTGACCACCTCGTGCCTAACATTTAGTAGGTGGAATGTTCAACCAGGCAACCTTGCTGTTGTTGTTGTCATACTTTGACCAGGTTTCTGTGGCTAAACCATTCACTCTTATTTCTTTGCCACCTTGTGCCTAATAATAAGTAGGTGGAAAGTTCAACCAGGCAACCTTGCTGTTGTTGTTGTCATACTTTGGCCAGGTTTCTGTGGCTACACCATTCACTCTTATTTCTTTGCCACCTTGTGCCTAACATTAAGTAGGTGGAAAGTTCAACCAGGCAACCTTGCTCATACATTGGCCAGGATTTTTTCATCTGTATCTTTGCCACATTACAATACATGGTTAGATGAAATTCTTGTGATGCAGTGTGTTTCCGCAAACTATCTTGATTATTGTGTTAACTGGTCTTTCTCTTTCAAACTGCTTTGTTTGATTAAACTTAAAAAACTATCATTGTTTACTAAAACAATTTTTAAAAAAAATCACTAACACATATATTATTTAATCATTTGACCACTGACCACATCTCACTATAGTGTGGTCCAAAGAACTTTCCTTTTTTTCATGGTCTGGTCACATCTCTAACTAGAGCTAAAACATTGATAGGGCTTATAGCATCTGTCTTACATTAATTTTAATATTTCTTAAATTGGTAATTTAATCTACATTAAAAAAAAACATCTGGATTTATAATATTGTGTGATTCAACTTTTGAGAGCTTATGTTAAAATTGATCACTTTTAATCTGTAGTGTCTAATAAAGTAATATCAACAATTGCTTACATTATTCACTTCATAAAAATGTAATTCTTATTTTTTGTAATAAATGATAATAAACAAGTTAGTTTCTGAAAACAGCCAGACTATTTTAATTATGTTTGTATCAGCAAAAAAAAAATAATTTATGAGCTGTTCAAATTGTATCACACCATTGCTATGCTAAAGAGAATAATTATATTTTTCACATTTTGTATTAACTCCCTTTGGTTATATTCTCGTGGGATTACATTGTTGATATAAAAACATAATTTTTGAAGTGCCCTTTTGCACAGTTCCCATTACACTGAAATGATGACATTAAAAAACAATACTTTTATATCTGTGTTACTTTATTTTTTTGTTTGAGTATGTTGCGAAATGTTCGGACGTCTGACTTGTAGCATGCCAGCACATATGTGTTCATGTTAATTTAATTGATTTGAAAAGTAAACCTAGTTGATGTTCTGCCTACAGGTATTGGTAACAATAATAAGTTAACCCTCAGCTCTTAGAATATATTCCTTTAAAACAATTAAATATTGCCATTCCCCGTAGAAAAATCAAACACCGAGTCAACGATCTTTGTGTCATCTTTTACAATTGGTTGTGTTTATGTGCAGACGTCTTAGTCATGTCACCTGTTTTAAGCCAAAGAGGGTCGTCCATAAATGACGTCATACTCGTAGGAGGGGGGGGGGGGGAAGGTCCGTAAAGTAATTTGTGATCAGTGTTTCTTCCAGACTTTTTTTCTCCGGGGGGGGGGGGGGGCACTTGAAATTTTCGGGGGGGCGGTAAACTTTCTTCGTGGGGGCGGACACTGTTAAAAGTATATATTTTCTATATAAATTATATAAATTCATTTCGTTCGGGGGGGGGGGGGGGGGCGGTAAAAGTTTTTCGGGGGGGGGGGGGGGGGGTAGGGGGCGAAGCCCCCCCCCCCCCCCCCCGAAGAGATGCTGGAAGAAACTCTGTTTGTGATGGTGTGTGATAAGGGGGTGGGGGTCAGATGGTGTGCCGTCATATTTTTGCATTATAAAAAATCTATGTTAGAAAACTAGTTTTAGCCGTTATTTCGCGTTCTTGAAAACGGTTTTAATAAATTGTAATAGGAATTTATCAAAATACTCTATGTTGACAAAGTTCAGACAAGATTTAAAAAAATATTTCGTGTTCAATTTTGAGGGGGGGGGGGTTGTAGGCTGAGGTGTGACGTCATTTTAGGGGGGGGGGGGCTGGCTCACTTGTGACGATGTGTGACGGAAGGGGGGGGGGGGGTAGAGTTTCTTCCAGGTATCTCTTCGGGGGAGGGGGCAGACCCTTCCCCCCCCCCCCCGGAGAAAAAAGTCTGGAAGAAAGACTGGGGGGGGGGAGGTAAAAAATCGTCCCAAAATACGTGACGTCTTTTATGAATGACCCCCTAAAGCCCAGAGTTTCTTCCAGGCATCTCTTCCGAAAAAATTTACCCCCCCTCCCCCGAACGAAATGAAATTTATATAATTTATATAGAAAATATATACTTTTAACAGTGTCCGCCCCCCCCCCCCCCCAGAAGAAAGTCTACCGCCCCCCCCCCCCCCCCCCCGGAGAAAAAAGTCTGGAAGAAACACTGAGCCTATACTATTGAGGTTTCCGCAATCTGTTTATTAATAAAGATTTCTTTCAGACATTTTTCTCCAGAAATAGGGTGGGGACAGACAATGGTTATAGTAGGCTATATAGTTTCTATTTAAATTTGTTTTTCATATTCGTCCGATCCGATCTCGGCTTGTCCTCAAGCGATCCTGAGTTTGTCTGTTACCACCTCGTAAGTCGTAAGAGTTGGAATATGAGATGCACAAAGCACTTTACAAAGAGATTAAATTCTGAAAATTTGCAACAATCTATTGTAGTGTAACCGGGTGGTAGGTTCCGCTACTGGTCAAACTGATAAATAGTTAGGAGCATGTATTTAAGCTTCATAAATAATTAATAAACTAAATGATCGATATTCTTTCGAAAATTCTTTGCTACACATTTTTGTGTCATCAATACAACTTGTGACGTCATATACTCTTGTGTTTATGTTGACAACATGGCACCATGTGTATTTACATTTGAAACGAAATAGCCTAACTTTAAAGTGTATTTAATTTATATGCCTAATTGGCGTATGTTCTGAAGCTTAGTTATTGCTCTGTTTGTTGACATTAAAAATGGATAGGTACGATAAGAAAATGTCTAAACTGACATCATATTCAACTACATCGGCTGTAAATTCTAGAGGACGAATGACCCGTCCATTCAATCTTCGCGGGAGGTCAATGCGTGTAAGTTGGCACCAGGAAATTTACCCCAGTGTCCTAGGCCAATTATCTAGATGCACATTAATTTTAGCCATGATCTACACAAAAGCTCCATTTCAAGATAAAAGATTAGTTTCTTTGCGAATAATTTCGTTATTCTGTTTAGTTATAATAGACTAGATCTAGATCTAGGTCTAGTTTAGCATAACCAACGCTGAACAAACTTCTCAAAACAAATTATTAGATTTAAACTAGATTATACGCTTGCTAATCATGCTATTAAAAAGATAAGAAGAAAAACAATGAATGTAGGGCACACCAACTAGATCTAGAATCTAGCTAACCCCTATGTGAAAAAAATCTGGCTAAATTGCTGTAGTTTAACAATCATTTGGTAGGCTAGACTTATAAAAACGAATTTAGACTTTAGACTAATTCCAGTTAGATCTAGATCTACATAGTACAACATTTACATACACTACAATCATTGTATGTCTATTTAGTGACTACATCCATCCATGACTCAGTGTAACCCAGCCTTTCTCTCATCAGCCTTTGTGATTGTGTCCTAAGGTACCAAAGTGGTGGAAGGGAGAGAGGAGGGGGGGGGGGGTCATTGGAGGAAATTTTCTAAAAGAAACCTTATCTACAACCAGTAGTATCACTGATCAAAACTAACATTAAAAAAAAGTTTTTTGATTATTGATATACATTTACATAAGCAAACACGAGAGAAACATCATAGGCCCATTATTATTATTTGTATTACAATAAATTTAAATATTTAGGGCATTTAGTATTTAGTATTATTCATGTGTAGATAGTAAAGGTATTGGTAGCAAAATGTTTTGAGCAACCAAAACTGTTACTTATACAATATATACAAATATATAATATATTGTTTAAGCTATTGAAAATTTATTCATTTACAACAGAACTCTAAATCTAACCATTAGAGAACAAATATTTTTGCATTATAATAATAACTGATGAATAATGAGGTTAAGTAACTGATACCTAACCTTACCCTAAACCTACACATTAACATTAGAGAAAAATAAAATTTTACAATGGTCTTAACAAGGAAAAATTGACTCAAATAACATATCTGACAGAATGACAAAGAATGTGAAGGTTGCACAGTTCTTGGTGTCTCACAAATGGATCCAGTATATTTTCTTCCTACTGTTCCCATGAAAAGGGCCAAACCAATCTGGATGACAGACCAACCATCTTTCATTCTGTCTGATAATGGTGTGCTGCCGCCTGATAAACCCAAACCTTTAGCCCTCTGGTCATGCCCAGGTAGGGTTTCATCAATCACATACACTGTTTTCTTGTTATGTAGGCGTATTATGGTTGATTCTTGTATTAATACATAATTCAAAGCATTTGATTTGCTATTAGTTGATCTTTTTTGTCATAAATATATATATATATATATATATATATATATATATATATATATATATATATATATATATATATATATATATATATATATATATATATATATATATTCCAATTACTTATTTTGAGAAGCCTGATCTCTTGTAACTAAGTTAATTGTTTTGTTACGCTAATTTCACGGTGGTTTTCATCTCTTAGTACATGTCTATAAACCTGTTTTTTTTTTTGTTTATTAATTTGCAAATACACAATTTTACCACATATTCATCATTTTAAAAAAATCTTTATAAAAGAACAGTATTTTGGCTTTCTCGATTCTACCTTATTTTTGCTTTGTGTAAAAACCTGAAATTCCTCTCAAAATAAAATAAATGTCTGTTTAGAAGTGTAAAGTAATATATAACATAGACAATGTTTTCTTTGCTAAAAATGATTAGATTAACAAACACCCAGTTTCTATATTGTAGACAAATATGAAACAGTAGATGATGATTTTGAAGAAAAGAAACCAATACGCCAGAGGAGAAGCACAAAACAAGGGCTCCTTGCTTTACAAGAGAGCAGAAAGAGACAAGAAGCTTTTAGAAAATCTTTGCTTAGCATTGTTATGTAAGTTGTATTTTATCACAGGTGTAGAGTTTCTTGATTATGGACATATGTGTAAATTGGCCAAAATAAAGTTAATGTCTAATTTTAATACAAAATGTAAAATTCCATCAATGTTGCTGATTCTTTTTTTTTAAAATACATTTTATCATGATGTGAAATGGATTGAAAAATAACACTCATAAATATGTATGTTAACATATGCATTTAAACATACACATGCATACATATACAATATGTACATCTAATATTCATACAGGTAACAGGTAAAAGTATTTATCAACGTTCATTTCTACTTTCATAAATTATTTTGATATTTCAAGGCAAGGTAAATCAGGAACCACTGAACCGGATGATTCTGAAGCTGGTGGTCAGAGATTGGAAAAAAGGACATCATTTGGTCAAAACGAAGTTGATTTGTTTGTAAGACACGTTTGATTTTCTTCTAATATGTCAAACTGCCAAAAAAGATGATTGCTGGACATGATACAAGTCTTGTGTCTGTGTGTATGTATTGGTATGTGTATAGTATATATATATATATATATATATATATATATATATATATATATATATATATATATATATATATATATATATATATATATATATATATATATATATATATATATATATATATATATACACATGTATATTATAGTATAGCATAGTACAGCATATCTTTTACTAATCTTCCTCAGCGCTATTTTTACTATGTACATAATGGTGTAGATGTAAGTGACGTGCAGCCTTTATCTGAACAAGTTATTAAGAACATTATCGGTCAACTGAGTCCTCAGCTTAAGGTAAGGGAAATCACCCTGAATTCTCTACAGCTGGGTGGTCTTCTCAATTTCATTTGTGGTGTTGTGACAAGTTAGTTAAGTTTGAAAATTAATTGTTGGATTTGTATGGTTTCTGAGTCTTTTTCATCACTTTGAAGCAGAGTTCAAATTTGAACTACATACTTTGTCTTAATCTTCTTTACTCCATGTGGAGTGCATGTGGAGTATATTCAGCACTTTGTCCTACCACCTCAATTTCAAAATCTGTCTAAGATATTTGTTCTGAAGATTTTTAACTTCTCTGAGCTTGTCTTGGAGACTCTCCATGTCTGTTCTCCATACAACAAAACAGTTTTGCCTTGACATATATATATATATATATATATATATATATATATATATATATATATATATATATATATATATATATATATATATATATATATATATATATATATATATATATATATATATATATGCTACACTTTTAATTTTGAAATTATAGTATTGCAGACAACATTCATTGCCTGTAAATTCTAAAACAATTCCCACTTTTGAAAATAAATGTTCACTTTTTGCTCCTCAGACAAGCTTATTTAATATAATTTTTTTTATGTTTTCAGAAAGGCCAAGCAAAAACAATAGATAAACTTTGTAATGAAATAAAAGAGGATTACATATTGAACACTAAAAAATCTATATGTAAGTCATTGCAGACCCTAGGCAATTTGGTATAGGTGTATTAAAAAAAAAAATTAAATATTTTCTATTTTTATATTTTGTAATAATTCTAACTTCATGTAATGTTTAGTATTTAAATGTCTCTTTATTTATTTATTCATTTATTACTAGTATTTGTTAAATTCCATTTGTTTTGTTAAAGAATTACAGTTTGAATTTTAATCTGCTTCTGTTTTAAACTCACTGCTTGTGGCACTAAATTAGAGCGCTAACTCTTAGTAAAAAATATTTACAGTGCTAAATTTTTCTTGTGTGAATCAATTTTTTTAAAAAGGAAAACTAAATGCAGACTTAATAGTCTAAAGATTTTATCATGTAATTCCTATATTTTCTTTATTTTTTTCTTAGTGGACTTTGTTTTAAAAGACCCAAGAAAGCAGATGGAGGATCCCAAAGAGCTGAATGCAGAGATGAAGGAACTGAACGTTGTCCCTCAGCCCTGGCACCAGAATCTAATCAATTACAAAGCAAAGCTTCACAAAAACCTTTGCTTTGTCAATCCTTGCATCAGACAATCCAACGATATATGGTACTCAGAATTCTCGTAAGTAGTATTGGAAATTTTTCTGGCGTTGTTTCTTATTATAATTATTTTCAAGTCTAATTTAAAATCTGAGAATTAAAAAATAATATTTCTTATTAAATACAACTATTAATAATATCAACACTTGATAACTTGTTAAAAAGTATAAATTTAATTAAAATACACCTTGTATAACTTGGTAAAAAGTATAAATTTAATTAAAATACACCTTGGATAACTTGGTAAAAAGTATAAATTTAATTTTCAGTGATCTGCGCTTTATCTACACCAAACAGTTTAAAGAAAGACCCGAAGCCATCAGCTTGTCTGTTTTTAAAGAGCATTGTAATGCCAGCATTGCCTCCTTGAAGGACAAGCTAACCAAAAAGTAAGAGTAGACCCTGTGTTTTCTGAGAGATAATGTAGGCCTATATTCTATTGAAAAAAATGTATTTATGAAAACTTTTCATTAATAATCATGTCCATAAATTGGATTATTATAGGAGATTAGGAATAAAAAGAACAGCTATTTGGAAATTTTCTTCATTAAAGCATTTTTAAAAAAAATGAAGATAAATATCATCTTATTATAATTTCTGACTATACAGTTATTGAATTGTAACTTCCCCATTATAGCAACTTGGTGGCATATTTTATTATTGTACTTTTTAAAACTCTAGGACCTTTTATTTTAATTATTTTATTTTGGATCTATTAATAAACATCCTTTTATTATGCTGCATCATTTCATTTAAAGTTTGCTTAAATTTTAGCTACAAAAACATTTTATGACTGTAGACTGTAAAACAACCACCTATTCAAAAGGTTTGAACTTTTTTGTTACATTTTTTAAACTCTGCCAAACGTTGGTTAAATATAATTTTTCCTTTCTGTTAACTCACTTGAAAGTTGGCTGCTGAAGCTACAGGGCATGTTGATGAATGAAAAAAATAAACGTTTTGCTCCCCCAATGGAAAAGTATGAGAAATTTGACAAGTTTTTTCAGACTCTTAAGACTGCAATGACATTGAATCTGCAGACACTAGTTATGGACTCACTCAAGGAATACATGCATATGTTCAAACCCAGAGAGGTGATTTAATTTTTTTTAACTCACCGTTAATTTTTTTTTTCAAGAAGAAGAAGAGAAAAAGGCAGCACTTAATTAAAATAGTTTATGTAACTCTCAGAACAGTAGTCATTACTAAAGCTTAATGAATGGATGAAAATAAATCGGTAGACAGTAAAAAGTGTTGGACATTTTAAAAAGACAACTCTGGTCATAGCGCTAATTGTATTTCCTAAGGTGATTTGTAGTTCACTGTTCAACTCAACAATATCACTGTGTGTGGCCCAGGGCTAAAGCCTGTGACCACTAACTCATCAGTTGAAGGTCAAGGCTAAAATTAGTGCTGACAAATACCTTGTTAATTAAAAATTAAATGGTACAAATATGTAAAGATTGAAAATGAAGAATAATATGGTATGGTAGGGAAAATGTCTGTTAAAGTGACATACTTTTATACATAATTCCTGATGTGTATGAAATCTACATTGTTTTTTTTTTAAAATTATTTATGGTAGCATGGAAGTTTTAAAGTATGTACATGTTGTGAACACAACAGCCCACAGTTGTTTAGCACTGCATGACACAAACATATAAGACATAACGACAATAATAAAACTATGATCTATATTGTTTTGTATTATAAGTTAGTCTTATTAAAAGCAATGACCATGCACCTATGGAATTCTTCTGAAATGAAAGATATATTTAATGCCCAACTCTAGACCAGCACTGAGGTTCTAGAACACTGCGGCTTTGTGGTCAACCTACTACTCACTGAAGAAGGAACTGACATTGACTTTGAGCCTACCCTGGAAGATATGGTGACCGGTTTCCTAGGCATGTTTGATGAAATAATCAAAGCGTCGCATTTGATTCCTCGATTAGAGCGGAGGATGTTTCCAGACCTACAGGTACACTTGTCATTTTCAAATCTAGTTGCGTTATTAACATGTGCCTTAATCATGCATGCCGACACTCATGGTTGACCTTTGCACTGTTCCTTACAATGGTCACTACTAACTTAGATTCAGATTCTTGCATTTCCATTACATTCATATTTAACTTTGTATCAAGTGACATCCCTAACACTGCGTTTACACTTGCTACACGTATCATATAGACGTCTAGAAAAAAAAACTCCGCCATAAGTTAATTTTTATCAGAACATGATGGGGGGGGGGGGGGGGCTACTCATTTATTGTGAATAGACATGTCTATTTTAGTTTTTAGTATATATGTCGCAAGTGTTAACACAGGATAACTAATATGATTTTTCTTAAAAAAAATTTGACTGACAGATGTTTTTATTTGATTGATCAGTCTAGTGAGAACTGTATTTAAACATTCAACAGATACAAATCTTTGCAAAATTTGTCAATGAAAAACATCTTATTTCACTGATACTAAAATATCATTTCCGATTGTAATGATTAGTTGGTAATTCAACAGTATCCTACAGTCTCCTGCTTTGAAATGTTTACTTTTCTACAAAATTTTCCACACTGCAGCTATATTGGTCCTGGTCATTTTTTTATCATCACCTGTGCCAAAATTAACTTAAGTTTTATTAGATCTCCAGTGCAGATTGGAAACCTCTTTAATTAACATTTGTAATAAAGATTATCTATTTATATTAGCTCCACATTTTTAATTTAATCTTTTCAGAGCTTTTTTGTTTAGTATACATGAGTATATCATCACTATCTTATTATTGAATAACCCTATTTTGATTATCCTACTGTTTACAGTTGGAGGTAAAATACTTGCAGCCAGTTATACCCGAAGATTTTATTCAAGAACTCAAAGAACAAGTTTTAGAAGTTCTAAAGACAGAGTTTGTTCCCTTGCAGGAGTTCCTCAACATTTTTGCTGATCTGGAGTTTCTTATTTCCAATCAGGTAAGAGCGGTTCAAGGGTTCTGTATATGCTTAATAGGGACACAGTTCTTTAAGAGTGGGTTTGAGTCAGCCTGTTTATGAGGTCATGTGTCTAATTTTACACAATAAGGTGTAATTAGCTTTAAAATTATAAGATAATTATTAAAATTTTAAAGTGTTGATGATCACTTATTTTTCTTAAGATTACTTACTGGTCTTAGTCTGAAAATGTTATGTTTAACATTGCAGGCCAAGACTGACTTAGAGTCTTATTTAGCTGAGTCCCACCCATTTGATGAAATGGTGGAGAAATTCAATTACTTCCAAAATATCACCAATCACATTACTTGTGAAATCCCCAAGGTACGTAATCAAAGTTTTTATAAAATTAAAAAAAATTATTTCCCCCCTGGTGTTTTGTTTGTACATTCTGAATGTTGAAACATTTACTGATGTAGGTTGTATGTTCTGTAGGTTGAAACAGTTGGGATGTTTGAAATCAACAGTCATCGAGTGTTAGAAAACCTGGCTGAAAGGACCACAGCCATCTGTGATGTTCTAGCTGAGCAGATGCTGGATGACCATTTGGAAAGCAACAAGCAGTAAGTCTGTGGCTTTAAGATATTTTATGTAAGGTTAATATTTGATGAACATTTCTTTACTTAAGAGTAGTCTTGTAAATAATATAAATTAGTATTTTATTTCACAATTTAAAAAATTTGATATAAACATTACATCTAAAAATAGCTATATGAAACTTTTATTACATAATTTTAAATAAATGTAAAAAAAAATTATTCTGAAGATGGATTCACCCTCATGAATATATTTAATTAATTAACCCACCAGAATATGCGAGCGCTACAGAGAGATGAGCCAGATAGCACTCACCATACCAACCGTGACCCAGGAATATATGAAACTTGAAGAGTATATGAAGAAAGTGAAGCAAGAGACCTTGGGTGATCTGCAGAAGGAGATGCTTCTATCAAATAAAAGGTTTGGTTTTTTTTTAATTCATAAAATTATTTCATGTTTTGGTTAATTCATTAATTATTTCTGTTTCTTAGAGCTCACATTTTTAAAGCCATTATTTTAAATTTATTATTAAAAGGGCAGTGTATAGACAGCTTTAAAATATATTCCTTGATATCCTTTGATGATTTCTTCTACCTTTTAATTTTTGTTCATTGTACCTTAATATTATGTCCCTTTTATTCTTCTGATAAAACTGTTATGTATTGCTTCCCTTTTATTAGTAAATTTCTCTATTACCACAACTTGGTCAAATTTCTCCCTTCTTTCCACACATCACTGAATGTATATAAATTAACTAGAGTGCCCAGCTGTAAAAATAAGATAAGACTTCAGGGTGGATATGCTTGCCTCATTAATTTAATCCCTTAACAAAATGTTTTTTAAAACAATATTTTCTATGGAAAGACTTTAATTACTAAATTAAGATTTTTCAAATTTTTACCACTAAAAAAAACCCAGTAATTTTTTTTTAAATGACTCAACAGACTGCTGTTCTTGGCTGATTACTGTAACTTTAACCCATCCACAATTCGCTTGAACTCAGAACCATTCCAGTGGTACCAGAAAACTGAGCTGATTTTAGAAGAAAACGCTATGATCATGACAGAGAAGTTGAAAGAGCTGCAAGATGACTTAAAGGTATGCAAAGATTTTATTCTACAACCATTAATAGACATGATACTGTTTTCTTTACCCTAACTCTTCAGTTCAAGAATTTTAACAAATTTTTTTCCTTCTGCTGTTGGCACTATTAAGGAAACGGCAAGGCCAACATGTTTTTATCCTGATTCATCCATTGACAGTCCTGCCTCTGCCAGCTGTTTCCTTGTCGTGTATCTCCACGTCTCCCTTAGCCTTCCCTGTTTTCTTTTTTTATTGAGGAGTCCAGTTTAGTGCCATTCATGCAATATCATTTGGATTCATTCTTAGGACTTTGTCCATCTAGCGACATTTTTGTTTGGATTATTTTGGAAACGGCTACCATTTCCATCTCTCCTAGTAGATTGAAGATGTTGTTTGGAAGCTACTTACCTACATGTAAAAAATAGGATATTTTAAAACCTTTAGGCTGTGATGGATAGTCCCCTGAAAATCCAGCATCACAAGGATACCACATTATATTGATTGCACTACTAATAACATGGAACTTCTTTCTTTACCCTAACTCTTCTTCTGTTCAAGAAGTTTAATAATTTTCCCTTCAGCTGTTGGCACCATTAAGGAAACACCAAAGCCTACATTTTAAAATCCCATACATTGTACAGTGTTTATTAAAATAAATTAAAATATATTGTCCACCTAAGCCCACCAAGCATTAATAGGTGCATGATGTTAAGAAAGCAAAGAATTGCCTAGTAAGCTGTTAACCAAGTTGGTTAACACTGTGCCCACTTTTTCTCACCATGATTGCTTGATTTACAATTTTCATAAAATATTGCTTTGAATCACAATTATCATAAAAAAAAATAAAACAATCAAATTGAATGGCACATTAGTAAATGATGCCGAATCGTGTTTTTCTTGATTAGAAAGCTGATTAATTTTTTCCTCCTCAACCTTTTGTACAGATCAACAAGATGAGGTTTGTCAGTGAACTGGAGGAGTACAGCAAGCAGGTGGACGAGCTGGACCTGTGCTCTGATGTCACCCAGATAGACAACTACAACAAGATGGCTTTAGCATTGCAAGACAGGCTGATTGAAGCTGCTGATAAAGTTTGTTGACCGTTTTTTTTTTTTAGATTTGGTTAAACTCAGATTTCGTCATAGGATGCAAATATCTACAATTTTAATTTGCTAAGTTCTGTTACGTAACACATAGACAATTAAAATTGTAACAGAACATTAGGAAAACCTTTTTTGCCTGTTGTTCAATGAGCAGTGGAGCTAGTCTTAATTTAATGAAACATTTATTTTAACAAGTTAATCTGTTCAAATTAAAAAGAAAAACATGAATATAATGTAAAATATGTATTTTTATACGCTTAAGTTTTCAAATATAGAGAATATAGAGTTAATTTATTATAGAAGTAGGGCCTACTTATAAATATTGATGTTATGATATTGTGACAAGCTTATGTTTATGTTAATTACATTGTAAATATTTTGACTTATTTCAGATTGCCAAGTTTAATGAGGAAGAAGAATCCTTTGGTCTCGAAGTTACCCAGTTCCCACAGCGTGTGGCTGCATTGAACAAAATGAGGCCATATGCCAGTTTGTTCAAAGAGTGTGCACAGTTCAATGAAAATCACAGGTATATTCAAATGTGTTACAATATGATGAAAATCAAAGGCATATTTACAATTAAATACAAGTTTCAGACATAGGGTTAATTTAAAGAATGTAAAAGTCTATAAAAAAATTTCAGAAATTCTAAGTTTGTATTTAATTTTTAAAATTTAAAAAAAAAATACGCTAGTTTAACAGTTTCACTAATAATTGTTTTTTTTATACGCCACTGAATATTTTGGAGGTTTTTATACTAATCTTATACATAAATGGAAACTAATATCCAGATTATAAAATATAAATATTTTAATACAAGTTTTAATAAAATACCATACCTCTGGATTTTTTGCCATAATTTTGATGCATTTTGTAAAGTGTAAGGAGTTGTATTAATATTCCAGAAAATGGATGCACGGCCCGATGGTGGATGTGCTCCCAGAAGAAGTGGATGCATCTGTTGGAGCATCCTTCAGGTCCATTTTCAAACTGGAAAAACAATTCTCCAAGAAACCTCGGGCTGAGGGAATCGCTGCTCATGTAAGGATTTTTTTTAATGTGTTATCACACAAATAAAATGTTTTTATTTTCTACATTTTGCATGGAGTTTTATTTTGTAGCACCATTTTCCTAACATAAAATTAAAGCTCCCAAAAATTGTTAAACTTTAAGTTCAGTTAAACTATTCCAGCTAAATAAGTCAGTTTACTAGAGTTGTTTAAAATTTTTTTTAAATATCCCAAATAACTGAAGTAAATGTTTTAAATTAATAGACATGCTACTGTTTAATGAAGAGCTATGTTAAGTCTTTGTACTCTATTTTTACTTTAACGACCTTAAAATAATAAAAAAAAAGAATGTAATGGAGATTTGAGATCTATTATATAGATATAATGATTTATAATATTTAAGAAAACCTCTTGTTTATAAAAATTTCTTAGAATTTTGTTAATGTAGAATTAACATTAACAATTTTTATGATAACAAAGTGAATTAATAATTGATTTTAGTTCAGGGAAAGAGTGGATTCCTTTAAGCAGCACCTACCACTAATCAATGTGCTGTTTAACCCTGGACTCCGATCTCGCCATTGGGAGCAGATTTCTGAAATATCGGGGTATTCACTTGTGTTTTTTGCTTTGTATAATTTTATTTTTAAAAAAAAAGAGTACCACATTAGCTTTGATAGTAGGATAGACAGTTTCCTACTTTTATGTAAAATAAAAGCAGTGATCAAGTCCAATCCCAGAAAATAACATGTAAAGAGTATTCTTGCTCATCTGATAGTTAAGCTCACAAGTTATGAAGAGGAAAGGATTGTTTTGAACACTGCCACCATTTTATAGTCCATATATTCTTTTCAGGAAGATGATTTCCCCAACAGAGTCAACCAACTTGCAGTATTTTCTGGATCTGGATATCAAGAAACATTTGAATGTCTTTGAACTTGTCAATGAGGCCGCCACAAAAGAGTTCTCTTTAGAAAAAGCACTGAAAGGCATGATGGAAGCCTGGTTACCGGTAAGTTAGAGAGAAACTGGTGTGATCTAGGTGGTAAAACATTACAAATTTATTATGGAGGTTATACATGTAACTCTACTATTGAGAAAATACTTCCAGGGGAAGTAACTGTTATCTAATTATTTTTTTTTCTGAAACAATGTAAAAAAACATTACAAATTTATTATGGAGGTTATACATGTAACTCTACTATTGACAAAATACTGCCAGGGGAAGTAACTGTTATCTAATTATTTATTTTTTCTGAAACAATGTAAAAAACAAGCAAAGGTGATTTTCACATAAAGTTTATTATGTTTTATTTAGATGAATTTCATCACAGTGCCATACAGAGACATGGGCACACATATTCTATCTGGTGTTAGGTCAAGTAGATGACCACATAAAGTTTATTATGTTTTGTTTAGATGAAGTTCATCACAGTGCCATACAGAGACACAGGCACACATATTCTATCTGGTGTTAGGTCAAGTAGATGACCACATAAAGTTTATTGTTTTGTTTAGATGAAATTCATCACAGTGCCATACAGAGACACAGGCACACACATTCTATCTGGGGTAGATGAAATCCAACAACAGCTGGATGACCACATTGTTAAAGTCCAGACCATGAAAGGCTCACCTTTTATAAAGCCTTTTGAAGTCGAAATAGAGTAAGTTGAACTCTCTTACGTTGATATATGCTAGCACAGTAATTTTGTATATTATTCATGGATTTTGTATCATAGGATTAAGTTTTAGAATCTTTGTTTAATAGAGTAAGTTGAACTGTCTCTAATGTTCATATATGCTAGTACAGTCATTTTGTATGTTATTCAGGGATTTGTATTATAGGATTAAGTTTTAGAATCTTTGTTTAATATTAAAAAATGCCATTGATAAAGGTTATTAAACTGCAAATAGATTAATTTCTTCTATTTTAATTGCTAGGATTTTACTGATCTTTTTTTTTTGGTGTAGGTTTACCGACAACTTCAACTTGTTAATTAATATGGTATAAGAATTTAAAAAAAAGTCTTTAAGGTTATCTTTGGGGAAAAATATTTTGACCATGAAGATAAAGTAGACCGATTAAAGAACACTTTTGTTTTAAAAAAAAATTAAAATGTGAAAAATGTAATGTTGCAGAGTATTTGAGAAACAGTTAGTCAACCTACAAGATATTATAGATGCTTGGCTCAAGGTACAAGCAACTTGGCTTTATCTTGAACCTATTTTTAGGTAATGTCAACAAAGTCTGCTTTCACTATTTTTTCTGACTTTAAGATTTATTTCTTACTTTTGTTGTCATGCTTTTGTTTTGGTTTCATTGAACATAAAATGTTTGTAATTATTTTCATTTACTAAGCGCTTTACTTTCCTATTGTTTCACTTGATTCACTTTTTTAACAAAGTTGTCATGGTAAATCAGTCCTAATTCAAAACTAGAGGACACAGTTAATTAAATAATAATAATACTTGAAATCTACTTTGAAATATGTTTATATTTTAATTTTTATAAATATCAAATAGTAGTTTAGTTACTTTTTCTTTTTCATAATGTGAAATAGTCTTCATGTTTTTGTTTAACTACTTTCTTCCTTTTCAAAATGTTAAATAATTTTCTTGTTTTTTTTAACCATTATCCTCCCATATTAAATGTGAAATACCTTCCTGTTTTTTTTTTATTTCTTTTCTCCCACATAAAATGTGAAATATATTTTAGGTTTTTTGTTTAGCTTGCCAGCTCTTATGATGCTAATAAAATGTAAAATAATCGTCAATTTTTTGTTTGGTTAGCTCACCAGATATCATGATGCTAATAAAATGTGAAATAATCGTCAACTTATTTTTGTTTAGCTCACCAGATATCATGATGCTAATAAAATGTGAAATAATCGTCAACTTATTTTTGGTTAGCTCACCAGATATCATGATGCTAATAAAATGTGAAATAATCGTCAACTTATTTTTGGTTAGCTCACCAGATATCATGATGCTAATAAAATGTGAAATAATCGTCAACTTATTTTTGGTTAGCTCACCAGATATCATGATGCTAATAAAATGTGAAATAATCGTCAACTTATTTTTGGTTAGCTCACCAGATATCATGATGCTAATAAAATGTGAAATAATCGTCAACTTATTTTTGGTTAGCTCACCAGATATCATGATGCTAATAAAATGTGAAATAATCGTCAACTTATTTTTGGTTAGCTCACCAGATATCATGATGCAGATGCCCGAGGAAGGACGCAAGTTTAAAACTGTGGACAAGACGTGGAAGGAAGTGATGAAAGTTTGTGTTGCTGACCCCAACGTCATGCAGGTCATAGAGATTGAGGGCATCTTAGCAAAGATGCAGAAAAACAACAACCTTTTGGAACTCATCCTCAAGGTGATCTCATCAGACTTGACTTAATCCTCCTTGTGGAGCATAGACTAATTAGGCTAGGTGTCATTTCAAGATCAATGTTTAAAATTTGAGAATAATTCTCAAGGTGATCTCATCAGACTTGACTTAATCCTCCTTGTGGAGCATAGACTAATCAGGCTAGGTGTCATTTCAAGACTAATGTTTAAAATTTAACTATACTCCTCATGGTGATCTAATCAGACTTGATTTAATCCACTTTACTCCTTGTGGAGCATTGACCAATCACGCTAGGTGTTATTTCAAGACTAGGGTTTACAGTCGAAAATAATTATTGGCTCTATGCTGCAGCCATACAGCTGCTTATCTGAAAGTCTCTAGTTGGAATCTCATGTTCGTAGAACGTACCTTAGTCCACCCAGTTTTGATGGGTACCTGACTCATGTTAGGGAAAGTAAAGGAAGCTGGGCATAGTGCTGAACACAATATCCCTTAACATTGGTCACAGAAACAGGTGAACTCTACTTGTCCCATGGACTGTCAGGTTTGAAAGGGAACTTTATTTACATACTTACTTACTTTGCTGCAGTGCTATCGATAAAATAAGGTGAAATCATGTGTGTCCATATTATTATATGCCACAATGAGTGTAAGTAATTTTACATCCCTTATTCTGACTTGCTGCCACATTGCCCCCCCCCCCTTTCACTGCCAAAAAATCCAACTTGTAATTGTGTTTATATATTTAGTGTAGCCCTACTACCTCACTATCACACATGGGCAAACATGTACAACTTCTTTATTCTCCTTCCCTTCTCACTAGTAATGATATGTAATTAGTTAAACCCATAAAGTGAATGTAAATTAATTAAAATCAATTTTTAAACTCTTTCATCTAGGCCCCACTTTTAATATTTTGTTGTCTTGAATACTAAGAGAATGTTATCTTTTTCATATATACTTAATCAATTATAGCACCAAATCTTTTAAAGTTACCAACTTATTGAAGTAAATATTTTGAACCAGGGCCTCAACGAGTATTTAGAAAAGAAACGTCTGTACTTTCCTCGATTTTTCTTTTTATCAAACGATGAGCTTTTGGAAATACTTTCAGAAACCAAAGACCCTACCAGGTATGTTGTGAACTATTTGCATTATGTGTAGTTTACATCTTTGTTTGTAGCAACAGCTATATCTTTTTAAAAAAATAGGCATGAATTATTTTCTCGCTGTTTCATAAAGATCATATTATGTATAATATATATGCCTCGTACATATTTAAAAAAAATTGTTTTCAGAGTTCAGCCTCATCTGAAGAAGTGCTTTGAAGGAATTGCCAGTTTGACTTTCACAGTGCCAGACAAAGACATAACCCACATCAAATCTAGTGAGGGGGAGGTGGTACTGTTGAAAGATGTCATCTCTACGGCAAGGGCCAAAGGTCAAGTGGAAAAATGGCTGCTGGAACTGGAGACAGACATGGTGACGTCCATCCGGGCTGTAAGTAGTGTCCTATTTTCATCAACGTTTCAAGTTCAGATGCGTGAGTTTATTACTAAAAAGTGCTAGAGGCTATTCACCCAACTATTATTGTATTAAATGAGGGTCAGTTTAGTAGGCCTGCTGGAAAGTGTTAAGAAGCTATTTGCCCAACTATTCTAGTGTTTAGCATCAGTGAGTTTAGTATGTTAGTACTGGTAAATATACTAAATAATATACATTTACTGAAATAAATAGTAAACAAAATGCAGTCTTGATGCACAAATAAACATTATAATTAGCAGTTTGTTTTTAAAAAGTTAATGACTTAACAGCTCCATAGGACTGGATGATTTGACTTCATATTTTAAAATGAAAAAGCTATACTTAGGTAATGCCATGAATACAATCCACAACCATAGTGTGATTAACGGTAGATACAGTAGAACTAACCTAAAACAATGGATAGCCCAAGCAAGGTTGTAAGACCAGCCGAGAGCTCAAGCACCCTGTACTACAGTTATTTTGTGCCAGGATTACTCTGCTGCTATTGTTTTATATCCACAATAAAACAACCTATACTTTTAGTTTTGTGACAGTTTCCTTAACCACACATATGAAATATTGTCTATTTTCATGACAACACTTGAAATATATTATTAAAAAATTTATTTAAAAAATATATTTTCCAATGTTTAGGTAATCAGTGAAGCCCTTGAGGCGTACGTAAAAGAACCGAGATCTTCGTGGGTTCGTGCCTGGCCAGGACAGGCAGTGCTGGGTGTAGGACAAACATACTGGACTACGTATGTGACGGAGTCTATATCAAAGGGTCCCAAAGCTTTGGCTAATTATTTAAAAGTAAATTGTATTTTTTAGTCATTTGTACAAAAAGCTTTTTTTCTGTAGAACTGGCTGGTAGAACAAATAAAGTAAGTTAAGTTACCCTTTCAAACTTCTTTGTTAATGGGGCTGATGAAGTAGTGTGTTCATCTATTTCTGTGAACTATGCATATAAAGGTCAGGAGTATGCTCAACCGGCCATTACTTTCCCCAACATTAGTTTGGTACTCATCAGAGCTGGGTGGACTTAGTGAGTGACATCATACTGACTGGTGCCGAACTTAAGACTTTTGGGTTAGTAGCCATGTGCTCTACCATCTGGGCATGCTATCCCATGGTAGAATGAGGACTAAGGTGAAAATGATAGGGTTAGGGCAGTAATAGATTATGGTAGATTATCACAAATACCACTTTTAAAATTCTAACCATAGCATTTCAACAATCTTTTTCTGTTTCAAAATTTAGTTTGTTACACATCTTTAGATAAATATTCTCTCTTTATCTAAATGAAAATTTTAAACGTTTTTCTTTAAAAAGTTATCTCATCTGGCTGTGTTACTTGTTTTTAGGTAAACAATGAACAGATTGATGATATTGTCGCCCTTGTCCGAGGCAAGCTGTCCAAACAGAACAGAGTCACCCTGCAGGCTCTCATTGTCCTTGATGTCCATGCTCGGGACGTTCTGGCTCAAATTGTTGAAGACGAGGTCTCCAATCCACTAGACTTTAAATGGCTCAGTCAACTCCGATATTACTGGGAGGTAAGTCAGCCATTATTTTAACACCAGAAACCAACATCTTTGATGTTCATTCTTGAGACTCTCATGCTCGTATAGTTGAAGATGTAGTCTTCAGTCCACTAGATTTTAAATGGCTCAGTCAACTCCGATATTACTGGGAGGTAAGTCAGCCATTATTTTAACACCAGAAACCAACATCTTTGATGTTCATTCTTGAGACTCTCATGCTCGTATAGTTGAAGATGTAGTCTTCAGTCCACTAGATTTTAAATGGCTCAGTCAACTCTGATATTACTGGGAGGTAAGTCAGACATTATTCTAAAACCAGAAACCGCCTTTGATGTCATTTCTTGGGGTTTTCCGTTCCACAAGGTTTGATATGGCTCAGCCAGCTGCAATACTACTGTAAGGTTAAAAAAAATTCAGTCATTTGTTTTAACGCCGGAAACCAATATGGACATTATTTTACATGAAGCAAAAATGTTTTGAAATTTTATTTCTTTTGCTGTTACAGAATGACAATTTGGTTACACGTATGATAAACTCCCAACTGAATTATGGGTATGAGTATTTAGGAAACAGTGGGCGTTTGGTTGTGACACCCCTAACAGACAGGTGCTACAGGTAGGTCAAAGGTTAAACTCTTAAATGTAGATGTATTTAGAAATGTTATAGGTATTCTAGAAAAATAATTAGCAAAACACTGTTAGATGTACTTTTGTTTGTTTACATTTTAACAACTCAGATTTAAAAAATGTGTTTTACTTAATGTTAAATTTTAAAATTTAAATAAAAACAACTAGCAACGGGATCTACTAAGCAAATAATAGTTAAATTGTTAAAAAAATAGAAACTGTTTAATTTTGATTATAAAAATCAAAGCCAAAGTTATCAGATTTGGTTGAATAAGTATGCTGCTGAGATTTACCCTTGTTGTCATTTTTATAGTTAAACCATTTTAATTAATATTATTTTATCATAACTTAATTTAATACAGAATTGAATCAAATATTTGTTAATTATTTAATAAAAAAATATTGCAAAGATGATTATTTTTTAAGGAGAGTAACTTTTTTTTAAAATGCTTATATTGACTCTAAAGAGGATCAATGTAGTATCTCCAAAAAACAAATTTTTGAGAAAGAAGTTAGTTTTTAATCCTCATTCTGAACAATGCAATATTATGTGACAATGTTTTTAAAATATTTGCATTCTACTTTTCTGACATTTTACATTTGTGTTTTTGTAGCTTGTATTATTGCCAGCATAAGTATAAATGTGTATTGATTTCATAAAAAGTGGACACACTCCCATACAGTCAATATATTAATGAAATGTTTAAAGTGATAAAAAAATATAACATCTTACTGGTTGATTGAGATGTACCCAATCATTATTTTTGACCTGATAAACAAATTGTTTTTTGAGCAGAGAATAACACTTAAAAAATATTAAAATTAAAGTTTTTATTTTTTATTTTTCATATTTTTAAGAATATATCTAACATATCTTTTAATTGCCTTGATGTTTTCCAGAACTTTCTTTTGTGCATTACACTTACTTTATATATATATATATATATATATATATAAAACAATATATAGGGATAAAGAAGATCTTTTTAATGTGCATAATGTTTTCCAGAACTCTCTTTGGTGCATTACACTTACACCTTGGTGGTGCACCTGAAGGACCAGCAGGTACAGGTAAAACTGAGACCACCAAGGATTTGGCTAAAGCTGTGGCCAAACAGTGTGTGGTCTTCAACTGCTCAGACGGCCTGGACTACATTGCCCTAGGAAAATTTTTTAAAGTAAGGATTTTTACACTGTTTATTCAGTCCAGAATAGCGGGTTCCCAAACTGGGAGGTGTGAATTGTGCTAGGGAGACACAGAAACTATTAAAATTTAAAGTCACTTCATTCTAGATCTAACATTGATAAACAACAAGGGTAAAGAACTCATTATAAATTCAAGGTAACAAAGGGAAACAATCTAAAACTATGTTCCCAAAAGTTTGTAACAATACAGAGAAATTCAATACTAACTAAATAAAATTGCAGATCATTGTTTATTATTTTTCTAATCATGAATGAAAACCTTTTATGACTGTATGTCTAATCACTATACTTAATAATTTAAGAATTACAATAAGAGCCTAGTTTAAACAGAAAACCCTTAGAATTTTGTTTTAAGAAAAACAACTTATAGAGTTTTCTAAATTGCTTATTCAACTTTAGTCAAGAATCTGAAAGTTTGTTAATATGAAATTATTTTTAATATTATCAAATAAAAAAACAATTGTGGGAGGATTGCTACAGATATAAATAAAAAACAATTGTGGGAGGACTGCCATAGATATAACTATTTGAAGAGGAGAATGATAGATTGGATATGGTATTATGTTTGATGGTGCTCAACTTCATTTCCGCAGCTTTAAATATTTATATTATTTTCTTTACTCCCAAATTTATTTCAGCTCTACTTAAAAGCCCAAACCTCCTCTACCCACCACGCGTTTTCACGTTTAAAAAAAAAATTGTAATTAGGTGTTTTGTATTAGATCTAGGTATAAGTAAATCATCTTAAATGAATGAAAGTAGGCTACGAGTAAGAAAGAAGTATTAAAATTGTAAATCTGTATCAGTACTCACAAGCCAATGATGAAAACTGTAATATTAAAGCGAACACGCAAGGCAAACTGTGGCTGTAAATGTCTGAGGCAAAAAAGAGAGAAAAAAAAGAAAACAAAAGAAATATATTGAAAATCTATTTAGAATGCCCCACCATACAAACGAATACAATAGGAACCAAAATAACTACTAGAAACGAGACCTTTAATATAGACATAGCTATAAAACTAAACAAACTCCCTAAACATGGAGACAGGATGGACCTAGAGCAAAAAGCAAGGACTGTAGCTATCTATAGACAGACTATTTGGAACAGTAGAAATAGAGCAAATCACGACAGGGTACAGTTCACTGGAGAGATACAAGACTTGATTACTAGTAGACGATTTGAAAATGACAGCATTCGAACACATACACCAACAATAGCAGCACCACAATGTAAAGAACATGGGACACTGCTTTGGTCGCCTGGTCCTCCCCATCCTAACTGACACATCCCCTATCATCACACCTCCGCCTATATCCTATTGCCACCATAATCGCATCTCCTTCATCCCCATGACCCCCACTCCTATACCCCCACTACCCGCTTCTCATCCAATTTAAAAAAGTATTATTTATGATTATAAAAAAAGGTTAGATCTATATCCCCCCAAACCTCATAAAAAGACAAAATCACCAGAAACAACTCAACATGTCAGGTTTTTGTCTTCTTTTCCCCCTCAGAACCACTCAACAGGCAGTTCGCTAGATTCACGCCTGCCCACCCCTACCCCATACTAAAAAATCACACAACCTATAAACATTATAAAGACACAAAACACTGTATCAGGACCCTCACATACCCACCCTCTTTTAAACGTTTTTGCTCCCATGACCCCTCCTCTCACTTGACTTTGTAGTTTTTCAATAGCACATACTATTCTTTACCTCCCTGTATACACATTGTATATAAAATGTTGTTAAAATAGTTTAAACAGCATATTTGTTTTTTGATATGTATATATTTGTAAATCCATCTTCAATATGTTTATGTAATAACCTTTGGAGATTATTTATTACCTTTGGAGAACACTGTAAACCACTTTGTTTAAAATGAGTTTGATGTTGTTTTATTTGTTTTATTATGAAAATAAAAGTATTTAAAAAAAATATTTAAAACCTGGGTTTAAAAGAATGTCTTGCTCCTTGTAGGGTCTTGCATCCTGTGGTGCTTGGTCCTGCTTTGATGAGTTCAACAGAATTGACCTGGAAGTATTGTCTGTTGTAGCCCAACAGATTCTGACAATTCAGAGAGGTCAGCGCCTGTTTGTTTTGTTTTTTGATCACCAGTTACTTTTTTTTTTGTCGTTAAATCTTACTTACTTAATCCTCGTCACTCCCTGTGGAGTATAGGGCAACAACAAATCTCCGCCATTCCACCCTGACCTGGGCGAGCCACTTTAGTTCATGCCAGGTTTTGCCAGTAGCCTGTACTTCTTCTTCCATCTCCCTCCTCCATGTTCCCAGTGGTCTTCCTCTACTTCTCTTTCCGGGTGGGTTCCACTTCAGCGCCATGTTGGGGAGTCTTTTTTTGCTCATGCGTAGGACATGGCCCAGCCATCTCCATCTCCTCGTTCTAACTTCTGAGACAATGTCGTTTAATCCTGTCCTTCGCCATATTTCCTTGTTAGGGACTTTGTTGTCCTGAGGATGCGTTGGAGGGATCTTCTTTCAAAGCCTCTGAGTCGGCTGTCTACTTTCTTTTTTAGTTTCCATGACTCTGCAGCATAGAGGAGTACAGAACGTACATTAGACTTACAGATCCTTATTTTAGTTCTCTGCTGCTGTCGTTAAATCACAGTTTATTAAATCACCAGTCACTTACCTTTTTGTTAAATTACAAGTTACTTTTCTTTTTGTTAAATTACCAGTTACATTTCTTGTTGTTCAGTCACCAGTTAATTATCTTTTATTAAATCACCAGTTACTTATCTTTTGGAAAAATATCTAGTTACATTTCTTTTTGTTAAATTACCAGTTTAATTTCTTGTTGTTGAATAACCAGTTACCTCTCTTTTTAATCAATACTTATACTTTTTATACAGTTTTTTTTTTCAAAAGAAATAGACAAAGGCAATGTAGTTAATGCACTATTTTAAGGCCTAGACTAAAAAAGTAATATTTCTAATAGTAAACTAATTTGATGTACAACTTATATGATGATTTCATTTTGTAAAGGGTTCCTGTGCATCTGTTTAATCTGCTGTTTTAACATAGCTCATGATTAACAGTACGCTATATGATGATTTCATTTTGTAAAGGGTTCCAGTGCATCTGTTTAATCTGCTGTTTTAACATAGCTCATGATTAACAGTACGCTATATGATGATTTCATTTTGTAAAGGGTTCCAGTGCATCTGTTTAATCTGCTGTTTTAACATAGCTCATGATTAACAGTACGCTATATGATGATTTCATTTTGTAAAGGGTTTAAGTGCATCTGTTTAATCTGCTGTTTTAACATAGCTCATGATTAACAGTACGCTATATGATGATTTCATTTTGTAAAGGGTTTCAGTGCATCTGTTTAATCTGCTGTTTTAACATAGCTCATGATTAACAGTACGCTATATGATGATTTCATTTTGTAAAGGGTTTCAGTGCATCTGTTTAATCTGCTGTTTTAACATAGCTCATGATTAACAGTACGCTATATGATGATTTCATTTTGTAAAGGGTTTCAGTGCATCTGTTTAATCTGCTGTTTTAACATAGCTCATGATTAACAGTACGCTATATGATGATTTCATTTTGTAAAGGGTTTCAGTGCATCTGTTTAATCTGCTGTTTTAACATAGCTCATGATTAACAGTACGCTATATGATGATTTCATTTTGTAAAGGGTTTCAGTGCATCTGTTTAATCTGCTGTTTTAACATAGCTCATGATTAACAGTACGCTATATGATGATTTCATTTTGTAAAGGGTTCTTCCAGTGCATCTGTTTAATCTGCTGTTTAACATGATTAACAGTACACCGCATTATATGCATAGCCTTTGTTTTGATTAGTATCTACAGTCAGGGTTTAATGTCTTTGTACAGGAATCAACTCTGGAGCAGAAACTCTTGTGTTTGAAGGGACGGAGATCAAACTAGATCCTACCTGCTCTGTGTTCATCACAATGAATCCTGGGTACGCCGGTCGATCCGAGCTGCCTGACAATTTAAAGGTGGGCGCTTGTAGAAAGAAGTTACATAGTGATTTTTTTCTTGGACAAGTGGTGATCCTACTCTAATCCAGCCATGCTGTTGAATGAGATTGTGTGGACAGTACAATACCCTGCTCTCTTTTACATTCCCTGTATCAAGTTTATAGGTTAACAAAGCCAGGAAAACTAATCTGTGACTTGAAGATCTATAATCATGTGCTGAACAGATTGTCAAAATTGTCCAGTGTATCTTCTTCTTTTTTGCCCAAGTGGAGCATAGGCCATTTACTTTCCTGCTCTTTGCTGGGTTTTTTTTTCTACATGACAAGTGTATTTGGGTCTCCCTCTTTCTCTTGATCCTTGTGGATTCCATGAAATCTGGTCTTGTAATACTTGTTGCTAGTTTCCTCAATGTATGGCTAATCCATCTCAACTTCTGACCAGTGTATAGGTCTCATTTTTATATACCATTAAAATGGAGTATATCAGCAAGAAAAAGGTCTTCCTAATTTTATGTGTTCCATTCATCTAAACAACGGATAAGTAAAAAAAGTAAAGAATCCAGTTAAGACCTAGCCATCCATTGAGCAGATGAAGTAGAGTTCATAAATATGACCTCAGTATATGAACGGTAGGTGTGGTCATCACTTTGCCCAGCTGCCTTTACTTTCCCTAACAGGAGTAAGTTACCCATCAGGTGGACTGGGATGTTCTACTGCCTTGGACCCGAATTCGAACTAGAACCTTACTGCTTAGGCCACACCTTCCCATTTAACAACGTATGACACCTGATTAAAAAGTTAAATTCTTTTTACCCTAGGCTTTGTTCCGAACAGTCGCCATGATGGTGCCAGACTACGCCTTGATCTCGGAGATATCCCTGTACTCGTGTGGGTTCGTCTGGGCCCGGCCCCTCTCTGTGAAAATTGTGGCAACCTACCGCCTTTGTTCCGAGCAGCTCTCCTCACAGAGCCATTATGATTACGGCATGAGAGCTGTGAAATCAGTGCTCACCGCAGCTGGAAACTTAAAGGTTTGGGAGCTGTTGATTAAAATATAAGTAACCATTTATACTTGTAGTATGAAAGCTGTAAAGATTCACCGCAGATGGAAACTTAAAGGTTTGGGAGCTGTTGATTAAAATATAATTCACCGCATCTTGAAACTTAAAGGTTTGGGAGCTGTTGATTAAAATATAAGTAACCATTTATACTTGTAGTATGAGAACTGTGACGTGGTTACTAAAAACGTAACTGTTTGGGGATGTTCATTTATTCTGGTAACTGTTTTTAGATATGGATTTTCTATTTTTCATGTATGGCGAAGCTGATCATCAAAATCAAATATATTTATTTAAAATAACTTTTTCTAATCAAATTAATTAGTAGAGAAAAAAATTTCATCTAAGATAAATATACAACCCTCCATACCTGATGAAGTTACTTTTTTTTAACAAACTAATGCAGCTGAGGTACCCAGAACAAGATGAAAACATTCTAATGCTGCGCTCCATCATTGATGTGAACCTGCCCAAATTCCTGAACCAGGACCTGCCCCTGTTTGCAGGCATCACGTCTGACCTGTTCCCTGGCATCAAGCTGCCAGAGCCAGACTACGTTATCCTGAATGAGAACTGCCGAGCTGCTTGCACCGAATACAACTACCAGTGTACACCATTTTTTCTCACCAAGATTCAAGAGGTCATTTGTCTGTGTATTAACTTTGCCTTAGATATTATAAATAAAATGGAGTAACTGTAAGAAAAAGTTTTCTTTCAAACCTAGCGGTCTATAGGGCAAGTGTTCCTTGTGTATTAACTTTGCCTTAGATATTATAAAATGGAGTAACTGTAGGTTTTTAAATGACATTTTTTAAAAATGATTTAGATGTAAAATTATTTGGCAACACAAGAAATTGTAGTATACCTTATAGTATAATACTTATTTTTCTTAAAAAAATGTTTTAACAAAACACTTTAAAACTGATAAATAGTATTTTTAAAAATAGATTTTAAAAAAAAATTCAGCCAGCTTGGATTAATATTTGCATACATTTATCCTGGTATTATGTGAATGAATTCATTTTTATACCTTTTTAACATACTGTATTTATTAGAGTTTGTCAGAGCAGTGGAATAATGTAAACCTTGCTTATAATTATTGACAGATCTATGAGATGATGATTGTACGTCATGGTTTCATGATTGTTGGTGATCCAATTGGTGGCAAAACATCTGCTTACAAAACTTTAGCTAATGCCCTGGGCAGGATTGAAGAACAGGTGAGATTGTGTACTCTAGGATGATTTCATTTTGTTCAGGAGATGATCCTGTATACCCTAGGATGATTTCATTTGTTCAGGAGATGATCCTGTATACCCTAGGATGATTTCATTTTGTTCAGGAGATGATCCTGTATACCCTAGGATGATTTCATTTTGTTCAGGAGATGATCCTGTATACCCTAGGATGATTTCATTTTGTTCAGGAGATGATCCTGTATACTCCAGGATGATTTCATTTTGTTCAGGAGATGATCTATAAACACATTACATTTATGATAGATTTATTTTTAAATGTGGCCTGCAGTTCTTCCCTATACAAATTTTTTTTGGTGATATTTAGTGGAGGAAAAATTATTATAGTTAAATTGTTTTATGTTTATTTTCTGTAAATGTTATCGTTCATTTTTGCAGGAATGTGTGTTGATTTGCATCTGATAAAGACTATGGGTTCTTAAAAAATCAGTTGTTACTTGCTCAGTGTTTTAAACATGTTTTATTGTAAATGTAGCTACTTGACAAAGGGAAAAAGAACTATTTCAGACTAGATCTATCATCTAGAGGAAGTAGATTTTATCTTTTTCTTTGACCAAAGCATTTGATGTGATAGTGATATAGTACAGTCAGCCCTTTAGTCTAGCCATCGTTAGTTACGAGACTTGTGTCACCCATCAGATCAGAGTGGGCTTTGAACCTCTTGTGACCTTAAACCAAATTCTGTTAATCATATGTTTTACTTCTCTACCATGCCATCCCAGTTAGGTTGTGTTTTTTTAGATGAATTCCAAACCTAGAGTCACAAGGCAATCTCTTGACTTACTTTTTTTGACTTAGTCCTCTTTGCTCCTTATGGAGCATAGGGCCTCCACCATTTCCTTCCATTTCTTCCTATCCTCGGCTAAACCTCTAGAGATTGTCTCTCTCACAAGGCAATCTCTAGAGGTTTAAAAACAAAATTGTAGAGAAGTTTCTTCCATGTTATTTGGTTACCTAAATTGATTTCAGGACTTGATGGAGGAACACAGAGTGCAAATAGCAGTCATCAACCCTAAAGCAATTACCATGGGTCAGCTCTACGGCAGATTTGACCCTGTGTCTCATGAATGGTCTGATGGTATTCTGGCAGTACACTACAGGAATTTCGCTATATCAAACGTAATTTCTAACTATTATTATAATTATATAGACCAGGGGTCTCCAAACTACGGCCCGCGGGCCGGATGCGGCCCGCGAGGTCCTCTCATCCGGCCCACGGAGCTCTTTTTGTCCACTGAAAAAAACATTTGTTGATGATGGCTGAGGAACTTTGCTCAGAAAAATCAAAGACATGCCTGGAAGAAACTGGCCCCCGAACTGCCATTTGATAGGTAATGCGGCCCTCGGACTGAAAAGTTTGGAGACCCCTGATATAGACTAATAACATGCTACAGGAATTTTGCTTTATAAAATGTAATGATTTCTTGCTATTATTATAATAATATAGACTAATAACATGCTACAGGAGTTTTGCTTTATCAACTATAATGATTTCTTGTTACTATTATAATAAATAGATATATAACATACTGCAGGAGTAGTCTGGCTTTTTAATTTTGCTTTAAAAACTTTATCATTACCTAACAAAAGAAAAGTGGACGGAGTGGCCTAGTGGTAGAGAGCTAGATTGCTAACCTGTAAGTCTTGAGTTCGAATCAGGTTTCAAGTCAGCAGACTGTCCCTGAGTCAACCTAGTTCCTATGGGTACCAAACGCAGGTTAGGTAGGTAAAGGCAGCTGGGCATAGTGCTGACCACACTATCCCTTAATATACAGAGATCACAGAAACAGGTGAACTCTACTTCACTTGCCCCATAGACTGTCAGGTTTGGAAGGGGAACTTTACTAACAAAAGAAACAGCAGATATAATTAAAACAAGAATTAAAAAACCCATCTGTTTTTGGTAATTACCAAATAACCCTTGTTTGATCGCTTTTTGTGTCAGAACAATGATAGGAAGTGGCTTATATTTGATGGACCAGTGGACGCAGTGTGGATTGAAAACATGAACACTGTGCTGGACGACAACAAGAAGCTCTGCCTCATGAGTGGGGAGATCATCCAGCTCATGCCCACAACCAATCTCATCTTCGAACCCATGGATTTGGAGGCGGCTTCCCCAGCAACTGTATGTGTTCAAAATTTTTTTTTTGTTTTAAGTTAATAATATGGAAGGATGTTTTGTAACATGGAAATCATACAACTTTTCCAGCAACTGTATGTGTTCAAAATTGTTTTTTTGTTTTAAGTTAATAATATGGAAGGATGTTTTGTAACATGGAAATCATACAACTTCCACAGCAACTGTATGTTCCCAATATTTTTGTTTTTAAGTTAATAATATGGAAGAATATTTTGTAACTTAAAACATAGAGATCATACAACTTCCCCAGCAACTGTATGTGTCCAATATAAATTTATGTCTTGATGTGGTATGATCTACATGGAGCCAGCAACCTTATGATGGCATCCACTTGTAAAGCCATGTTGTTATCTTATGTAGGTGTCTCGATGTGGTATGATCTACATGGAACCAGCGACCTAAGGCTGGCGTCCACTAGTAAAGCCATGTTGTTATCTTATGTAGGTGTCTCGATGTGGTATGATCTACATGGAGCCAGCAACCTTAGGCTGGCGTCCACTTGTAAAGCCATGTTGTTATCTTATGTCGGTGTCTCGATGTGGTATGATCTACATGGAGCCAGCGACCTTAGGCTGGCGTCCACTAGTAAAGCCATGTTGTTATCTTATATAGGTGTCTCGATGTGGTATGATCTACATGGAGCCAGCGACCTTAGGCTGGCGTCCACTAGTAAAGCCATGTTGTTATCTTATATAGGTGTCTCGATGTGGTATGATCTACATGGAGCCAGCGACCTTAGGCTGGCGTCCACTAGTAAAGTCATGGCTGTCAGCCAAGCCTCAGATTTTTTTGGATACAATGAAAGCCCATGTCAACAAACAGTTTGAAAGATTTGTGGATGCTGGGCTTGCGTTAATTCGCAGATGTGGAATCAAGGTATGGGTTTTTTGTGTTTATGATGTTGATATTTTCTGTATGTTAATGTTTAAACAGATTATGTACAGAATAAGTCTAGCAGTAAAAAACATGCCATATTTGACTTGTTATTGTGGCTTAAGTTTATGGTAGGATGGAAGAGTGCATGACTGCCAACCCTGAAAGTCCAGAGTTGGGTTTGCAGACCCTATCCAGATGAGGCTCTTTATCTTGGGACAGCAACCTATCCAGGAGAGAAAACTCTTAAGCTGGACAGCTGCTGTCTTTACAGAAGTTCTTCTGAGAACTTCTACTATTGAAGAGCATCCAAAAATAAATGTCAATTGAATAAAAATCTACATGCCATATGACACTGCATGTTTAAATGTAATATTTAATTATGCTCCAGGAAATCCCCTCCAGTCTTAGAATTTAAAAACAGGGAAAAAACCCAGAGAGCATAGGCTCTAGCTTTTATTTTTTTATCTGCCTTCTTGCTTTGCTTGATGTTTACAATTTTGTTTTAAAAAAAAAAATCAGGAACTCTCCCCAACTACTGACCACAATTTAGTGATGTCACTGATGCATTTGATGGATGCCAACATGGAAGAGTTCCACAGTGATGTGAAGATAACCCAACTGGATGAGAGAGAGATTGTCATGTGGCTTGAGGTTAACTCACTTCTTTTAAATAGCATTACAATACCTGTTACTGTGTTGTTGTTTTTTTTCACTTTATAAAATTTAATATTGAGGGATCTAATGTTTATAGAAGTAACTTATATTTTTAAAATTTATGTTCATATCTTTGTTTAATATTTCATTTAAAAACTTTGCTATGTAGGTGTAATTAGTTATTTTCCCCCCTTATTTTGGCAGTGCATCTTTTTATTTTCCTTCACGTGGTCAATTGGAGGAACTTGTGATCAAAACGGCAGACTACGTTTTGATTCCTTAGTCAAAGATCTCATCAAGGTAATAATTTCAATTACATGAAGTCAAGTTTAGGTCAATAATTTTATGTGAATAAGTTTAAATAATGTTTATTGAATTGTTACAGATTTAGCTGTTTTCATGATATGGACAAATTATTATAATTCCAGCAGTAATCTCATTACCCCATAGTCTCTATAGTATTTGTTTCCCTTTAATTTGTTTCCTCATAATACGTTTTTAAGTAAATAGAATTTTGTCTCCCTATGCAACACTTTTGTCTACTTTTAATAACATTTTCTCTCCATTTTATTAGCTTTATCTCTCTTTATTACCCTTTGTCTCCCATAATACCTTTTTTCTCCCCTTAATTCCTTTTGTCTCCCTTTAATACCTTTTGTCTCTTTAATTCTTGTTGTCTCCCTTTTATACCTTTTGTCTCCTAGTATTTCTTTTCTTCTTCTTCTTCGTTCTTAATTATTAGTGTTGAAGGGGATTGAGATTTATCTGCCAGTGGGTTTGAACTCGAGACTTTGTTCGAATTTATCAACCATGAGCTTTTTGCCGACTCGACCACACCTCCAACACAATTAAGCGTTACGTGTCAACTGGTTATGCGCCATTGAGGCCATTGACTCCAATTTCAGCCTGCTTTTCTTTTTAGATTTGCTTCCATAGCCTTTGTCCAACCAAGAACAAACTACAAGGCAGCAGTTGTTTAATTTTGGAGTTGTCTCTCCTAGAAGAGTGGCTGTCCCCAGCTAACGAGCCTCATCTGCCCGAGGGTTCGAACTTGAGACTTCTCGGTTTAGCAACCATGAGCTTTACCGACTCGACCACGCCGACCCCTTCTCCTAGTATTGATCTGTCTAATTTTACCATTCTGGCTTCTCACTGTTGCTATCTGTATGTTATTCATATGATGATTAAAATTTTTAAAATTATGATAATGTCAAAATGTCATGTTTTCAACAATATCATCTCCACTATGTCTAGGGCCCATTAACTGAAAGCATGAGAGCAGCACTGGGCTTTGTTCATAATGTGGCCCCCTTAGAAGCTCCTTACATGCTGCCTTACCCCCCAGAAGGGACAATCTATGATTATCAGTTTATGAAAGAGGTACAGCCATTGGCAGTTTTGTAGTGTTTTAACTCTGTTTTCTTTTTTTTTATGCCTTATTTCCTACATGAAAATATAAATAATTTTTATAAGTTTGAAGAAAAATTAATGCACTAGGAAAAACAAAAAAAGTCTCTAAATCATGTCTGAAATATTATTGTATGGCTTATAGTAAAAAAAAAAAAGCGTAAAATAAATGCTGGTTTATTGTAGTTAAAATGAATAGAATAAAAATATATTTGTGTATTTGAACAGAAATTTGAAAAACCCAAGTCCAAGAAGAAAGGTGGAGAGGAAGAAACAGAAGACCTGTTTACAGAGGATCTGATGGAGCTCTTGTCTAAAGATAACGCAGGAGCAGAGAAAAAGGTATCAGATACTGGAGGATAATGACCCCAGTTGTTTTTATTTATTTATTTTTGTTGGAGAAAGCTCACACATCTTAAGTAATCAAGTCAAATAATTTAAGGTGTTGCCTAAGATTTTAATCTTCATTATAGTTTAAGATGACTTAAACAGTTAAAAACTACATTTATTTACCTTTAATTTTAATATCAATGTTAATTATCAAAATTAATTGGTAGCCTAGAAAATGATTTTGAAAAAAAAAAAAACGTTTTTGTTTTTTAAATGGCTAAGCTGATATTACCTATATGGCAGGTTAGTTTTTAATGAGTGTTGTTATGACGTGATATGAGTGTAGTTTTCTAGAGTCTTTCCCATTCAAATACACAGAGGGCAAAAATGGGCGGCTTAGTGTTTCTGTTCGCTTGATCAAGTTATTATTTTCTTTAATTTTTCTTTAGGTTCTGAAATGTTGTATTGATTAAAATTTCAGATCTGTGGGAGATGGGCATTGTGGTCTGAAGACCTGGTGGATGCCAGTCCAATCTCCCCTGAAGCAGCCTTCAATGAGATCATTGTGCCCACAGTGGACACAGTGCGCTACACAGCACTGATGGAGATGTTGACAGTGCATGAAGCACACTTCCTTGTTGTAGGTCCCACTGGGACAGGCAAGAGTGTCTACCTTACAGTAAGTTTTTTATATAGTGTAGAGTGTCTATCTTACAAAAAGTTGTTCATATAGTGTAGTTTGTCTATCTTACAGTAAGTTGTTCATATAGTGTAGTGCAGGGGTCGGCAACCTTTTGAAGCGGAAGAGCCAAAAGTTACAATTTTCAAAATTTCCCTGGTTTTAAAGAGCCACTAACATTTTTTTATTTCAAATAATTTGTTTTTTTATTAAGATTATTAGTATTTGTTCAAGGAGCTGGAGAGCTGCATCTTGATATCAAAAGAGCCGCATGCGGCTCGCGAGCCGCAGGTTGCCGACCCCTGGTGTAGTGTGTCTACTTGTTGTTGATATAGTGTAGTGTGTCTACCTCACAGTAAGTTGTTCATATAGTGTAGAGTGTCTACCTTACAGTAAGTTGTTCATATAGTGTAGTTTGTCCATCTTACAGTAAGTTGTTCATATAGTGTAGTGTGTCTATCTTACAGTAAGTTGTTCATATAGTGTAGTATGTCTATCTTACAGTAAGTTGTTCATGTAGTGTAGAGTGTCTATCTTACAGTAAGTTGTTCATATAGTGTAGAGTGTCAACCTTACAGTAAGTTGTTCATGTAGCATATTGTGTCTACTTGTTGTCTGCTTGTTGTTCATATAGTGTAGTGTGTTTATCTTACAGTAAGTTGTTCATATAGTGTAGAGTGTCAACCTTACAGTAAGTTGTTCATGTAGCATAGTGTGTCTACTTGTTGTCTGCTTGTTGTTCATATAGTGTAGTGTGTTTATCTTACAGTAAGTTGTTCATATAGTGTAGAGTGTCAACCTTACAGTAAGTTGTTCATGTAGCATAGTGTGTCTACTTGTTGTCTGCTGTTTGTTCATATAGTGTAGTGTGTTTATCTTACAGTAAGTTGTTCATATAGTGTAGAGTGTCAACCTTACAGTAAGTTGTTCATGTAGCATAGTGTGTCTACTTGTTGTCTGCTTGTTGTTCATATAGTGTAGTGTGTTTATCTTACAGTAAGTTGTTCATATAGTGTAGAGTGTCAACCTTACAGTAAGTTGTTCATGTAGCATAGTGTGTCTACTTGTTGTCTGCTTGTTGTTCATATAGTGTAGTGTGTCTACTTGTTGTTCATATACTATATGATATAGTGTAGTGTGTCTACCTTACCGTAAGATGTTCATGTAGCGTAGTGTGTCTCCCTTACAGTGAGTTGTTCATGTAGTGTAGTGTCTACCTTACAGTAAGATGTTCATATAGTGGAGTGTGTCTTAAAGTAAGATGTTCAGATCATTAATCTTGAAATTAATCTATTGTTAAGGTGGGATTAGTGTGTCTACCTTACATTTGTCTCTAACTTAAATTAAAATTGGTTAGTTTGTTTACTTAACTGTAAATTCTTCAGTCTAACTTCAAGTTTTCTTAAAATGGGCTAATTTGTCTACCTTACTAACAGATTTTATCCTTAGTACAGGGTACACTGATTTTTTATTGTAATGTGTTCAATGTTGTATGTACAATTTTTTTTAAATTTACAATATTACAGTTTGAAAAGTAAACAGGCTGCAATGTAACAAAGTAGAACAAGGGAGGTAACTGAATTTTTTATCTCTATACAAACAGGATTTCCTCCTAAATAGGCTGGACAAGAATATTTACAAGCCCAACATCCTGAACTTCTCAGCCCAAACCAGCTCGACCCAGACACAGAACATCATCATGTCCAAGCTGGACAAGAGAAGAAAGGGAGTCTATGGGCCACCTCCTGGGAAAAGAGCTGTTAGTTGGGTTTTACTGTATTAATGCTTCATTAGGGCTAGTTAACTAATCACATGTAAGAGGTGTCATACATTAGGGTTAGTTCACACATTATTAAAATCAATTTCTAGTGACAAGCAATAGCTCAACTTGAATAGGAGTTTTCTATATTTTTTAAAACAGATTATCTTTGTGGATAACTTATACATGCCCCAACCTGATCTATTTCAGTTAATCTTTGTGGATGACTTAAACATGCCACTACCTGAGCAGTGGGGGGCCCAGCCACCCATAGAGCTGCTACGTCAGTGGCTGGACCACTGGAACTGGTACGACTTGACTGACACCAGCAACATCAGACTAATCGATATGATATTCATCGGAGCCATGGGGCCCCCAGGTTAGTCACCATCATTTGTTCTGTATTGTGACACCAGCAACATTAGACTGGTGGATATGATATTCATCGGAGCCATGGGGCCCCCAGGTTAGTCACCATCATGTGTTCTGTATTGTGGCACCAGCAACATTAGACTGGTGGATATGATATTCATCGGAGCCATGGGGCCCCCAGGTTAGTCACCATCATTTGTTCTGTATTGTAACACCAGCAACATCAGACTAATTGATATGATATTCATCGGAGCCATGGGGCCCCCAGGTTAGTCACCATCATTTGTTCTGTATTGTAACACCAGCAACATCAGACTAATCGATATGATATTCATTGGAGCCATGGGGCCCCCAGGTTAGTCACCATCATTTGTTCTGTATTGTAACACCAGCAACATCAGACTAATCGATATGATATTCATTGGAGCCATGGGGCCCCCAGGTTAGTCACCATCATTTGTTCTGTATTGTGGCACCAGCAACATCAGACTAATCAATATGATATTCATCGGAGCCATAGGGCCCCCAGGTTAGTCACCATCATTTGTTTTGTATTGTGACTAGTCTGTCCATGCAGTTCAAAATAATTTTACCATTTATCTTTAATTGACACAGGGGCTACACATAATTTTTTTTTTTACGGTTTGTTATGTTTCTTACAGGAATTCTTTTTTTTTTACTTAAAAAGTACAAATGCTGTAAAATTAGTAGTTAATTTTAAATAAAAGTTCAGAGTGTAAATAATAATATTCTAAATTGTTATCTGATGGTCAATAGCGCAAATGAAGTAGAGTTAATCTGTTTCCATGACAAAGGCATATGAAGGGATAGTATGGTCAGTTCAATGTTCAGACACCTTTACTTTCCCTTACATGAGTCCATTCTGGTACCCATTGTATCTGGGTGGACTGAGTAACATCCCACAAACTACAGCCAATGTGAATAATAATGTATTAGAAATATTTAATTATTTAAAAACATATAACTATTGGCTTAAACTTTAGCCAGTAAGTAATTGCAACTACATTGGATTCTACTTGTTACTTGTGAATGAAGATAACGTTAAGTTTTTTTTCTTAAATGTGTAAATTTGTATTGGCAGGTGGTGGGCGCAACTTTGTTACTCCCCGCTTTCTGCGACACCTGAACTGCATGAGCATCAATGAGTTTGATGATGCCGCCATGGTTACCATTTTTAACAAGATTCTCTGCTGGCATTTTGACACACAGTAAGTTTTGTTGGTTCATGCACCAGGATAAAAAGTTAATCATGTTTTTTTTTTTTTCTTTCACTCTTGATGGTCCGTCTGGCAGGTGAAGTAGAGTTCATCTGTGTCCTTGGCCTCTGAATCCCTTCGTAGAGGTCACAGACACAGGTGTGCTCAACCTTATCTACCCAGTGGACCTCCAGGTACAAAAAGGGTAACTTTACTATATGAAAGAGTTGTGTGATGAGTACTGTACTGTGCCATCTTTACTTTCTCTGGCTGGGTTCGGGTACCCAACTAAGCTGAGTCAACTCACTTTTTTCCAGCAAATGAACAAAAGCTTGAGCTGGTAACGACAGTATGTGAAAGAGATAGAACAGATTCCTCTATTGTTTGACCATAATGTCATGTACATAGAATAAAGATACAAGCTACAAGTACTTGGTTAAAGTGGGGGATGGTAAATATTAAGTAGCAGATAAAAATAAAGGGCTTATTGTGTAGCATGGAGGCAGCTTAATAAACCAAACTTTGGTACCACTTGTTAATATGGATAATTTGTTTTGATTGGTCTAGAATACCAGAGCAACATGTTAATTTCTGTGACCAATCCCTTTCCATATGGGCTTGGTCCTAAAAATTAGTTTTGTGTTAAAAGAGCAACAGAATACTTTTGGTTATAGAACTAACACAGCCAACACAATTCATATTAAAAATATTTCATATCTTTACAAGCTTCTGAATTCCAGCTTTGTCCTGTTTTAGGGAATTCCCAGAGACAATGAAATCAGTTATACCCCATGTCATACAAGCAACCCTGAAAGTTTACCAGCAGGCAATGTTCAATCTCCTGCCTACACCTGCCAAAAGTCATTACCTGTTCAACCTGCGTGACTTTAGCCGAGTCATTCAGGGGATTTTATTGTCCACCCCTGCGTCCGCACCAGATGCCCAGGCTATCAAAAGGCTCTGGCTTCATGAGGTCAGTCCGGTTTACTTCAGTGTGTCAGGTGACTGTCATGTGACCTGAGTGTATTTAGAAGTTGAGTAGGTTGTTATTTACAAATTAGTTTCTATTATTGGTTAATTGTTTTTATCATTGGTTGATTACATTTATTTTTTTTGTAAAAAATTTGTAAGGAAATTGAATTGATGAGATTTTAACTTGCTCCAATGTGACACCCAAAATGTTGCGTACAAAATTTATAAATATTGGTTATAAAAGAGTTAAAGAATGGTTTTAACTTGCTTACAGTAGGAAAAGAGTTAAAATATTCTCAATTTGCTTACTGCTGGGAAAGAGTTAAAGAATGTTCTATACTCGCTACAGTAGGGAAAGAGTTAAATAATTTTCTAAACTTGCCTACAGTAGGGAAAGAGTTAAAGAATGTTCTAAACTTGCTTACATGTTCTAAACTTGCTTACAGTAGGGAAAGAGTTAAATTATGTTCTAAACTTGCTTACAGTAGGGAAAGCGTTAAAGAATGTTCTAAACTTGCTTACAGTAAGGAAAGCGTTTAAGAATAATATAAACTTGCCTCCATGTTTTTCAGCAAACAATGGATTGGTTCCTCCAATGTTTCAGGTACAAAAGAATAATATAAACTTGCCTCCATGTTTTTCAGCAAAGAATGAATTGGTTCCTCCAATATTTCAGATAAACCGAGTGTTTGGTGATCGTCTGATTGACGACTCTGATCGCACCTGGCTCTTTGAATGCTGCCGGGATGTCATCAAAGACATCATGAAGGAAAACTTCAACGTGCTGCTGGCTCACCTGGACACAGAGGGCACAGGTGAGGTGACAGAGGACAACATGAGGTCCCTGATTTACTGCGACTTCACTGATCCTACGGGGGAGAACAGGCTGTACGTGGAGGCCAGGGATTTGGACGCTGTGCAGAAGATTCTCATGGGGTACTTGGCCGAGTTCAACCAGATCAGCAAGAAGCCAATGGACTTGGTCTTGTTTCGGTACGTCCAGCTGGTCACTTGCTGTTATTGCATGTTGTTTAGCACTGGTGTCATTTAAGGTTGAGGATATTTTTTCTGTGGTAATGCCCAGCTGGTCAGTTGATGTTGTTTAGTGCTAGAGTTATGTAAAGTAACATTCTCATTTTTTGTGTTGTCCAGTTGGTCAGTTACTGTCAGCTGAAGTTGTTTAGTGCTAGAGTTATGTAAAGTAACATTCTCATTTTTTGTGTTGTCCAGTTGGTCAGTTACTGTCAGCTGAAGTTGTTTAGTGCTTGAGTTATGTCAAGTAAAATGCTGTTATTTAATGCTATGGTCTTAAGGAGTAAATGACAGAGCTCAATGTTTCTGAAATTTGTGTATGGCTAGCTGGTCACCAGCTGATATTTGATATGTGGCTAGCACTAGAGTTGAGTAAAGTAAAATACAGATCTAATAAGGGCATTTAGAACTTGTTGTTCCTGGTATATATATATATATATATATATATATATATATATATATATATATATATATATATATATATATATATATATATATATATATATATATATATATATATATATATATATATATATATATATATATATATAATGAAGTTACCACTGATACAAATACTGAGACAACTAATGATCTTCATTTTAACAAGAAAAAGAGAATACAAACCTTTAAATTATTTATATCTTTATGAAGCAATATGTCTACATTTTTATGATTAATTTGATGGTTTGTGAAGATACCAAACTATTGAAGTAAAACATAATTATAAGGGAAACAGTGTTGTTAACTTTACCATTACGTCTATCCAGTGTTGTTAACTTTACCATTATGTCTATCCAGTGTTGTTAACTTTACCGTTATGTCTATCCAGTGTTGTTAACTTTACCATTATGTCTATCCAGTGTTGTTAACTTTACCATTATGTCTATCCAGTGTTGTTAACTTTACCATTATGTCTATCCAGTGTTGTTAACTTTACCATTATGTCTATCCAGTGTTGTTAACTTTACCATTATGTCTATCCGGTGTTGTTAACTTTACCATTATGTCTATCCAGTGTTGTTAACTTTACCATTACATCTATCCTGTATTGTTAACTTTACCATTACATCTATCCTGTATTGTTAACTTTACCATTACATCTATCCTGTGTTGTTAACTTTACCATGACGTCTATCCTGTGTTGTTAACTTTACCATGACATCTATCCTGTGTTGTTAACTTTACCATTATGTCTATCCTGTATCCTGTCTTCTAAATATAGGTTCGCTATAGAGCATGTGTCCAGAATAGCCAGGATACTAAAACAGCCATGCAGCCACGCCCTGCTGGTGGGGGTTGGAGGATCAGGGCGGCAGTCCTTGACCAGACTAGCAGCTTATATTTCAGACTACGAGGTCTTCCAGGTTAGTTAGTGCTTCCTGGCTGAAGTAATTAATTGGTGTTTAAACTGTAGGCACCAAAAAAAAATTTTTTTTAAAGAGCTTAAATCCTATTTTATATGTTGTGATTAAAGTAAAAGGAAAAAAAATAAATCACTTAAAGAAACTTCAATACATTTTTTTTTAATCTCTTATAGCAAAATGATAAAAGGCTTATTTATTATAAGGAAAAACAGTCAGCTTGTTCAGTGAAATGTAAATATATATGCCTACCCACAACAAAAACACACTCTTCAATAGTGTATCAAATAAAAAAAAAATTGCTCTGTAATGATTGAAACATTGTCTTTAAATGTTATCTCTTTAGTGTTCTTTTTTTTAACTGTGTGTTTGATTTAAAAAAAAAAATTGTTTTAACTAAGGAGTTTTCTAACTTTTGAGTAGATAAAAAAGTTGAAAGAAAGGCTACAATGGAATTGTTTCTTCTAGGATATGTAAAAGTTAATGATCTATATTAAAGCTAAGCATTAGTTATCATGTTATAATATTGACAACCCAGTATGCAATATTGACCAGAGATGTTATCTGACCAGACATGTTATCTGACCAGACATGTTAACTGACCAGACATGTTAACTGACCAGACATGTTAACTGACCAGACATGTTAACTGACCAGACATGTTAACTGACCAGACATGTTAACTGACCAGACATGTTATCTGACCAGATATGTTATCTGACCAGACATGTTATCTGACCAGACATGTTAACTGACCAGACATGTTATCTGACCAGACATGTTATCTGACCAGACATGTTATCTGACCAGACATTTTATCTGACCAGACATGTTATCTGACCAGACATGTTATCTGACCAGACATGTTATCTGACCAGACATGTTATCTGACCAGACATGTTATCTGACCAGACATGTTATCTGACCATGTTGACCAGACATGTTATCTGACCAGACATTTTATCTGACCAGACATGTTATCTGACCAGACATGTTATCTGACCAGACATGTTATCTGACCAGACATGTTATCTGACCATGTTGACCAGACATGTTATCTGACCAGACATGTTATCTGACCATGTTGACCAGACATGTTATCTGACCATGTTGACCAGACATGTTATCTGACCAGACATTTTATCTGACCAGACATGTTATCTGACCAGACATGTTATCTGACCATGTTGACCAGACATGTTATCTGACCATGTTGACCAGACATGTTATCTGACCAGACATTTTATCTGACCAGACATGTTATCTGACCAGACATGTTATCTGACCAGACATGTTATCTGACCAGACATGTTATCTGACCATGTTGACCAGACATGTTATCTGACCAGACATGTTATCTGACCATGTTGACCAGACATGTTATCTGACCAGACATGTTATCTGACCAGACATGTTATCTGACCATGTTGACCAGACATGTTATCTGACCAGACATGTTATCTGACCATGTTGACCAGACATGTTATCTGACCAGACATGTTATCTGACCATGTTGACCAGACATGTTATCTGACCAGACATGTTATCTGACCATGTTGACCAGACATGTTATCTGACCAGACATGTTATCTGACCATGTTGACCAGACATGTTATCTGACCAGACATGTTATCTGACCATGTTGACCAGACATGTTATCTGACCAGACATGTTATCTGACCATGTTGACCAGACATGTTATCTGACCAGACATGTTATCTGACCATGTTGACCAGACATGTTATCTGACCAGACATGTTATCTGACCAGACATGTTATCTGACCAGACATGTTATCTGACCATGTTGACCAGACATGTTATCTGACCAGACATGTTATCTGACCATGTTGACCAGACATGTTATCTGACCAGACATGTTATCTGACCATGTTGACCAGACATGTTATCTGACCAGACATGTTATCTGACCAGACATGTTATCTGACCATGTTGACCAGACATGTTATCTGACCATGTTGACCAGACATGTTATCTGACCATGTTGACCAGACATGTTATCTGACCAGACATTTTATCTGACCAGACATGTTATCTGACCAGACATTTTATCTGACCAGACATGTTATCTGACCAGACATGTTATCTGACCAGACATGTTATCTGACCATGTTGACCAGACATGTTATCTGACCAGACATGTTATCTGACCATGTTGACCATGACATGCTATCTGCCCAGGTGGAGATCTCTAAGAGCTACACCAATGTGGAGTGGAGAGATGACCTGAAAAGAATTTTAAGAAAAGCAACAGAAACCTCTGGGGGTTGTGTGTTTCTCTTCTCAGACACACAGGTGAGGTTAGATAGACTGTAGGCTGCTTGATGTTATACATTCTTTACAGAATATATGGAAGGTCATGACCTGCAGGGGGATTTATGTTATACATTCTTTACAGAATATATGGAAGGTCATGACCTATAGTGTGCTTGATGTTATACACTCTTTACAGAATATATGGAAGGTCATGACCTATAGGGTGCTTGATGTTATACATTCTTTACAGAATATATGGAAGGTCATGACCTATAGGGTGCTTGATGTTATACTTTCTTTACAGAATATATGGAAGGTCATGACCTATAGGGTGCTTGATGTTATACTTGCTTTATTGAATATATGGTAGGTCGAGACGCATTGGGGGCTTGATGTTATATCTGCTTGTATTGAATATATGGAAGGCCATGACCTACAGGGTGCTTGATGTTATATCTGCTTGTATTGAATATATGGAAGGTCATGACCTACAGGGTGCTTGATGTTATATCTGCTTGTACAAATAAAAAAGAGGTCACGACCTCTGCACTGCTTAATTTTATACATTTTTGTTCAAATAAATTAAGGATCATGATCTATAAGATGCTTATATACTCGCTTGTACAGAATATATTGAGAGTCATGACATAATAATCACTAAAATTCAGGGTTAAATTATTTTCCACTTTAACAACTGCTGATACAAATAGATCAATAAAATACTTTTGTTTTTTTTTCATTCCCATCAAAACCTTTAAACAGTCAGCCAGTAAAAAAACATTTTTTTTTAAAAAGGTGAACCCTCACAGCATTAGTCAATTGTTTTTGTTAGTTTTTTAAATGGAACCCCTAGAACTGTCCGTTAAAAGAAGAACCACTTTAAGATATAAATATTCTGTATATCGTTACTTTTGTTCAATGGAATAAGGTTTGTTTATAAGATTATTCATAGCAGTTTTGATGGTCAAATATCCCTTGCAACTTTTAGATAAAGCAAGAGTCATTTTTAGAAGACGTTAATGGCCTCTTGAATGCTGGTGAGGTTCCAGGCTTGTTTGAGATGGAAGAAAAAATGGAAATTTGTGAGAAAATGAGAGCAATCGATAGGTAAACTGTACACTGAGAAAGTTTCAGTGCACCTGTTGATTCTTTGTGTTACATTCAAGTTTATTTTTACTGTTTGAGCTCGGTTAAAATTATTTCTTTGTTTTATTTTAAAATGCTGGCTGATGGGCAAACATGTAACTACCTAGCTAATTCTGCTTGGAAGGAAAAAAAACAGAATGTTTTTACTAAAGCAAAAATTTTGGTTCTAAATATGTGATTACCTTCTTTTCTTTATAAGGTCAACCCCCCCCCCCCCCCCACACATACACACACATCAAGTGCTTAATTTACAATAATCATTTGATCAAACTTCACTTGATTGTTGATGTATCTAATTAGTTAATTGTTATCCAGTATTCAGTAAGAATTAGTTCTAAACAAAACATTTTTTTTTTAAAATATGTTCTGATTGCAGCAATAAAACAACTTAAAATCTCAAAGATTAAAAATATTTATATATTCTTATTGTTGCAACAAAACAACTAAAAATCTTAAACATTTAAAAAAAATATAGGCTCTTTTTGTAGAAATAAAACAATATAAAATCTTACAGATAAGAAATAATCATAGGTTCCAATTCTCAAAACAATACAACTTAAAGTATTTAAATTTTAAAAAAGTCCTTAGCTCTAAACAAAACTGTGACTTTAAGTTGTGTTTTACCTTGATTCCAGGATGAGAGACAAAAGTCAGCAGACGGATGGGTCGATGCTGTCACTGTTCAACCTGTTTATCTCCCGCGTCAGGGACCAGCTACACGTGGTGCTCTCCATGAGCCCTATAGGGGACGCCTTCAGGAGCAGACTCAGGAAGTTTCCCTCCCTGGTCAACTGCTGCACTGTCAACTGGTTTCAAGTGAGTCACAACAAGTTACAAGGTTTTAAGGTGGTGGGTTTGGTTAACTGGTTTCAAGTGAGTCACAACAAGTTACAGGGTTTTAAGGTGGTGGTTTTGGTTAACATGGGCTGGTTTCAAGTGAGTCACTACAAGTTACAGGGTTTTAACGTGGTGGGTTTGGTTAACATGGGCTGGTTTCAAGTGAGTCACTACAAGTTACAGGGTTTTAACGTGGTGGGTTTGGTTAACATGGGCTGGTTTCAAGTGAGTCACTACAAGTTACAGGGTTTTAACGTGGTGGGTTTGTTTAACATGGGCTGGTTTCAAGTGAGTCACTACAAGTTACAGGGTTTTGAGGTGGTGGGTTTTGTTAACATGGGGCAAGGTATTAACATTGTGGGTTCAGTTACTTCAAGAAATTAGATTTTTTTTTATATAACTCACAATAATGGGTTCCTATTTTATGTTGGTATTTGATATTTGTTAGGTTGGTATGTGAGGTCTTTGATATGTTAGGTCTATGGTATGTTAGGTCCATGGTATTTTAGGTCTGTGGTATGTTAGGTCTCTGGTATGTTAGGTCTATAGTATGTTAGGTCTCTGGTATGTTAGGTCTATGGTATTTTATGTCTCTGATATGTTAGGTCTATGGTATGTTAGGTCTTTGGTATGCTATGTTTATAGTATGTTAGGTCTATGGTATGTTAGGTCTATGGTATTTTATGTCTGTGGTATGTTAGGTCTATGGTAGGTCAAGTTTATGGCATGTTGTTCGGTCTATGGTATGTTAGGTCTAATGAATGTTAGGTTTAAGGTAAGTTAGGTCTATGGTATTTTATGTCTCTAGTATGTTAGGTCTATTGCATGTTTGGGCTATGGTATGTTATGTGTCTTGTATGTTACATCTAATATGTTTGATGTTATATTTAGTGTTGTCCTTTAATGTTGTGATGTCTAATCTAGAATTTCACCAGCCTGTTTATTTAATGTTTGACATCAAATCTCCCAGGCCTGGCCAGATGATGCACTAGAGGCTGTTGCATCGCGTAACCTGGAGGCTATAGAAATGGAGGATCATGAGAAACATGGGGTGATTGTCATGTGCAAACACTTCCATCAGACCACACAGGTAAGTCACCTGGAGGCTATAGAAATGGAGGATCATGAGAAACATGGGGTGATTGTCATGTGCAAACACTTCCATCAGACCACACAGGTAAGTCACCTGGAGGCTATAGAAATGATTGAGCTTGATCAGCTCCATTTTTACATATGCAGGTGAATCATTTGTACACTCACAGGAAAACCTACTTTTGTAGGTGAACTACATGCCTTTATTATATACACAGAGGCGTAGGTAGGTTTATAAGTTTTGGGAATGAGGCTAGACATATACAAATATATATCCTGGTGAGGGCTAAGCTGCCATGACTCTTTTAAGATCCACCCATTGCTATAGAAATGTACATGAGGAAACATAAAGAACATTTTATTTATTATACCAAAAAAATGAAACTGCTACAGCCAAAGATAATAATTATCTCTGGCTGTAGCAGTGCTATTATTACAATTCCCATCTCCCTCAACTTGCTTCAGGAACTGTCAATGAGGTTTTTACATGAGCTTGACCGTCACAATTATGTGACACCTACCTCCTACCTGGAACTGATCAGCACATTCAAGAACCTGCTCACCAACAAAAGAGAGTAAGCACAACATTTGTATGTGTGGTGGTGTTTTTTAAAAAATTATCTCATTTGACAAGAGATTTTTCTTTTAAAAAAGCAAGTGCAAATGTGAAAGATGAATTGGTTGTGTGGTGAAGTAAATGATTACAAACAAGAAGGACTTGAGTTCAAATTCTAATACTAGTCTATCAACGAGTTCACTCAGCTCGTATGGGAACCTGTCTCTATTTGGGGAAGTTAATGCAACAAAGTATGCAACATGTTACTTAATGTTTGGGTAGATGAAGTAGAGTTGACCTGGTTCCTTGACCAAAGTGCATAAAAAGATATTGTGACAGAGTTCTATGCCCAACTGCCTTTACTTTTTAAATGTGAGCTGGGTGAACTCAGGTTGCCCTACAGACTTGACTCTGGTATACACACTTGAAACTTTTGGGTTAGCCTTCATGTTCTTGACCCATAGCACCATCCCATAACAGGTCAATAAGCCCCTTAATATACCATGGCCAAAGAGAAGGACTAACAGGATTTCATCTGCCCTATTGACCATTGACCACACATTAGCCATATTAAACATCAAGTCAGAAAAGTTACTCTGCTTGCCTGTAACATTAGATAATGATTGTTGTGTCTTTTGAAACTTTCAGTCAGGTGATGACCCAGAAGATGAGGTATGTCGTCGGCCTGGAGAAGCTGGCGTCTGCCGCAGCCCAGGTGTCGGTGATGCAGCAGGAACTGACGGAGCTGCAGCCCCAGCTCGTCGTCGCCTCCAAGGAAGTCTCAGACATCATGGTGGTCATTGAGAAGGATTCCGTGGAGGTTGCCAAGGTTGAGAAGGTGAGACTCGCTCTATGATATTTTCTTAAAATTTAATTTTATTGGCCGTTATCTTTATCATTTCATCTTTATATATAAAAATAATTTCTATTTACTGGTATGTATTATTTTAAAATTTTAATGAATTTTTTTGCTGTTTGTGGTAAATATTTTTAAATTTTTTAAACTATTTTGTTAATTTACTGGTATACTGTGATGATGCAAGATTTAAACATAGGTCATTGACCTCCCCACCAAATATATATTATTTTAAAATTTTAATTAATTTTTTTGTCAATTTACTGGCTATGAACAAATGTTGTAGATAAAATGTAAATCCTATTGAATTTTTTATTCTATGTTTAGGTAAGGAAAATAGAATTGAGTTTATAAAGATAACTAAATTTTAGAAGAATTAATATGTAATGTTTGTTAGGGTTGCTGTCATATTTTTGTTTTTTCAATGTCTTGATGAAACTTCTTTGAGAATGTGAAATTAATAAGTAATAAACTAAATCCTTTCTTTTACATTAGATAGTGAAAGCTGATGAAGCTATAGCCAATGAACAAGCTTCTGCAGCGAAAGCTATAAAAGATGATTGCGATGCTCAACTTGCCCTCGCCTTGCCTGCCCTGGAGGCTGCACTTAGTGCACTAAATACCTTAACACAAAATGTAAGTAGGTTTACCCTACACTACACCTGGTCTTACCTTAGAACACACCTGGCTTACCTTACAACACACCTGGTCTTACCTTACAACACACCTGGTCTTACCTTACAACACACCTGGTCTTACCTTAGAACACACCTGGCTTACCTTACAACACACCTGGTCTTACCTTACAACACACCTGGTCTTACCTTACAACACACCTGGTCTTACCTTACAACATACTTGGTCTTACCTTACAACACACCTGGTCTTACCTTACAACACACCTGGTCTTACCTTACAACACACCTGATCTTACCTTACAACACACCTGGTCTTACCTTACAATACACCTGTCTTACCTTACAACACACTATCCCCACTCGCTGATGGGAAACTTTTTATTTTAAAAACTGAGTACAGGATGTAACGGTGGTGAAAACCATGAAGAGCCCCCCATACCTGGTCAAACTGGTGCTAGAGGCAGTCTGTGTACTCAGAGGAATTAAGCCAGAGAGGATCAATGCCCCGGATGGATCTGGCAAGAAAATTGACGACTACTGGGGCCCATCCAAAAAAATGCTTGGTGACATGAAATTTTTAGAACAGTTGCGTGAATTTGACAAGGTTTGGACTTTTTTTGTTGTTGATATTTTCTACTGGGTCATGTTAAATCAATTTTTATTATTTATTTTTAAAAATATCTGACTTAAATTTTTTATTATACTGTAGTCTCTTTGTATATTTGTGTACTGCATCATAAGGATTCTCTTGATGTTCAATTTTATTCTACATCCTAAGGATTCTCTTAATGTACATTTGTGTATTACATCATAAGGATTCTCTTGAATTACATTTGTATACTACATCTTAAGGATTCTCTTAATGTACATTTGTTTATTACATCCTAAGGATTCTCTTGATGTAAATTTCTGTATTACATCATAAGGATTATCTTGATGTATATTTTTCTATTACATCCTAAGGATTCTATTGATGTAAATTTGTGTATTACATCATAAGGATTCTCTTGATGTAAATTTGTGTATTACATCCTAAGGATTCTCTTTATGTAAATTTGTGTATTACATCCTAAGGATTCTCTTAAATTTGTGTATTTTATCCTAAGGATTGAGTCTCTCAAAGTGTGCTTGTGTACCAAGTCAGAAAAATGATAAGAGTTATTGCTCTTTAATGTTACAGGATAACATCCCAAAAGATAATATAACAAGGATAAGAAAACAGTACATCCCAAATCCTGATTTTGACCCGGATAAAATCAAATCAGCCTCCACTGCCTGTGAGGGTCTATGCAAATGGGTCAGGGCCATGGATAAATATGATGAGTAATGTCTTTTTAATTATCAGATAGAAGCTATTGTTCTTTAGTATCATGCAAGAGTTAAATTTAACCATTTTATTTTTCATTCATTCTCAGCATAAGGGTCGGCATGGTCAAGTCGGTAAAGCTTATGGTTGCTAAACCGAAAAGTCTCGAGTTCGAACCCTCGGGCAGATGAGGCTCGTTAGCTGGGGACAGCCACTCTTCTAGTAGAGACAACTCCAAAATCAAACAACTTGTAGTTTGTTCTTGGTTGGACAAAGGCTATGGAAGCAAATCCAAAAAGAAAAGCAGGCTGAAATCGGAGTCAATGGCCTCAATGGCGCATAACCAGTTGACACGTAATCCTTAATTGTGATGGAAGCATGGTCGTGTCGGCAAAGCTCATGGTTGAAAAATTAAAAAAAAGTCTCGAGTTCAAACCTTCTGGCAGATAAGGCTCGATCCCTCCCAACACTAAAATTAAGAACGAAGAAGAAGAAGATTCTCAGCATTTAAGATGTTTTAACTGTGGAAATATGGACATCTTTTCTTTCTTATAAAGGGGGAGGGGGGAATAGTTTAGTGCAACTAAAATTGATTTTTTTATTTACATACTTTAATTTGTTGATAGTGTGGTGAAAATTGTAGCCCCCAAGCAAGCAGCTCTGAAAGAAGCAGAGGGGGAGCTCAAAGCTGCCATGACTTCCTTAGAAAAGAAGAGAGCTTCACTGCGAGAGGTTCAAGGCAAACTGCAGGTGAGTTATCCCCCCACCCCGACCCCACCCGGTCATTTGAAGATAGGGATAGGTTTCAGATAAGTTGGGGGCTAGGGTTGAAGAAAGGGTTAAGGGTAGGGTGGGAATTAAAGAATAGCCCTGGATATTGAGATGGGTGCTGATAGGGACTGATATAGGGAAAGAGAGCTGGATATGGAGAGGCATAGGTTTAATTTTGATATGTATTGACACAAGGGGGTATTTATCCAGGGGTAATTTTCTCTGGAGGGTGGGGGTAATGTCCTAGACCTTAGTTACTTGTTCGGAGGTTCAAGTCAAGCCTGAGCTTGGTGCTTTACACAAGACCTGTCTTTGTTTCTTTTTAATTTTTTATGTCCCATTTTATTCTTTTTAGTTTATACTTCTGTTTAGTTTTTATGTAGCATTTAATAGGACAGAAATTAGAATTCCAATAATACAAAATCAAATGAGTTTTTTTTTAAATTTTGGACCATAATTTTGTGTGCAGAAACTTGAAGACACACTAGAGAACAACAAACAAAAAAAAGCTGACCTTGAGAACCAAGTGGATTTGTGCCAGAAAAAGCTAGAGAGAGCCTCACAGTTGATTGGTGGCCTTGGAGGGGAGAAATCCAGGTACAAGATCTTTAGTTGTCAGTGCTCTTCTAGCATACCCACATAGCTCTATCTTTAGCTTTTTTGTTACTAAAACTGGACATTCAGTGATGACTTTTAAAATTTTGATTTACACCTTTGTTTTAGAAATAAATACTATACAATGTTATAATAGTAAATAAAACATGAAGTAAAAGTGTAGGTGATGTTGATTTAAAACAATTGTGTGAATGCTTTTTTGATCAGATCAGTCAGACTTAATAAACATTGTATAAAAATTTGGCCATTAAAGTTTACCATGATTGTTTGAATATAAGTTTGGCCTTTCAAGTTAACTTTATTGTTTAAATATATAGGTGGGAAAATGCTGCCAAAAGTCTGAGTGAAACCTACAGCAATTTAACAGGAGATGTCCTAGTATCATCTGGAATTGTTGCTTATCTTGGGGCTTTCACTTCAGCATTTAGATTTGTGAGTTGTTTTCCTCTTAGCTTACAAAATATGTTCATGAAAAGTTAATAATAATGCTACATGAATTAATACCATGAAAACTTTAATATATCTTTTCTTAAATTTTAAAATAATACAACTGTTTATATTTTGATTTACATAAAACAAATTAAATAATTATTTGCTGGATTATTTTGTAAGTAATTTGATGGGCTTGCACAATTGTTTTTAATAACATGAGGTGCCAGTATAGTTTTGTAATATCGTGAATTGTTAATAGTTTTCTAATAATATGAGATGCTAGTATAGTTTTGTAATATCATGAGATGTTAATAGTTTTCTAATAATATGAGCTGCCAGTATAGTTTTGTAATATCATGAGATGTTAATAGTTTTCTAATAATATGAGCTGCCAGTATAGTTTTGTAATATCATGAGATGTTAATAGTTTTCTAATAATATGAGCTGCCAGTATAGTTTAGTAATATCATGAGATGTTAATAGTTTTCTAATAATATGAGCTGCTAGTATAGTTTAGTAATATCATGAGATGTTAATAGTTTTCTAATAATATGAGATGCCAGTATAGTTTTGTAATATCATGAGATGTTAATAGTTTTCTAATAATATGAGCTGCCAGTATAGTTTTGTAATATCATGAGATGTTAATAGTTTTCTAATAATATGAGCTGCCAGTATAGTTTAGTAATATCATGAGATGTTAATAGTTTTCTAATAATATGAGCTGCCAGTATAGTTTTGTAATATCATGAGATGTTAATAGTTTTCTAATAATATGAGCTGCCAGTATAGTTTAGTAATATCATGAGATGTTAATAGTTTTCTAATAATATGAGCTGCCAGTATAGTTTTGTAATATCATGAGATGTTAATAGTTTTCTAATAATATGAGCTGCCAGTATAGTTTTGTAATATCATGAGATGTTAATAGTTTTCTAATAATATGAGATGCCAGTATAGTTTTGTAATATCATGAGATGTTAATAGTTTTCTAATAATATGAGCTGCCAGTATAGTTTTGTAATATCATGAGATGTTAATAGTTTTCTAATAATATGAGCTGCCAGTATAGTTTTGTAATATCATGAGATGTTAATAGTTTTCTAATAATATGAGCTGCCAGTATAGTTTAGTAATATCATGAGATGTTAATAGTTTTCTAATAATATGAGCTGCCAGTATAGTTTTGTAATATCATGAGATGTTAATAGTTTTCTAATAATATGAGCTGCCAGTATAGTTTTGTAATATCATGAGATGTTAATAGTTTTCTAATAATATGAGCTGCCAGTATAGTTTAGTAATATCATGAGATGTTAATAGTTTTCTAATAATATGAGCTGCCAGTATAGTTTTGTAATATCATGAGATGTTAATAGTTTTCTAATAATATGAGCTGCCAGTATAGTTTTGTAATATCATGAAATGTTAATAGTTTTCTATTAATATGAGGTTCTAGTACAGTTTATTAATAAAAATCAAAACCTGACTAGGAAGAGTCGATGGCCTGGCTGAGAGATGTGCGCAAAATGCGTATCCGATGCTCCGAGGATTTCTCACTGATTAACACTCTGGGAGACCAAGTGTTGATAAGATCCTGGAACATTGCTGGCCTACCTACCGACAGTTTCTCTTTAGAAAATGGTATCATTATCAGGTATGTGCACATCATTATTTAATATGTTCATATCATTATCAGGTATGTGCACATCATTATATAATATGTTCATATCATTATCAGGTATGTGCACATCATTATATAATATGTTCATATCATTATTAGTTGCTTGTCATTACAAGATAAGTCCATTTCATAAGATAAGTCCATAATCTTATAATGTAAAAAAAATTACTACAATTTTTGTATAAAATTTCAGTCAGATGGGTGTGTAATTTGTTAACCCATGCAACATAACATGTATCTGTCTTGTCTTACAATGAGAAATTCATGTAAAATAAATCTTGAAACAGCAACTCAAATCGTTGGCCACTGATGATTGACCCTCAAGGTCAAGCCAACAAGTGGATCAAGAACATGGAAAAACAAAACAACCTCCACGTGGTCAAGTTCACTGACCGTGACTTTGTGCGCAACTTGGAGAACTGCATTCAGTTTGGAACACCGGTAAGTGGACAGACTAGGGTTAAAACAGATTTACCAAACTGTAATGTTTACATTTTTTTCTGTTTCTGTTCTCTGTCACACAGGTGAGGTTTGACCAACAGTAGGATGCTTTATGTTATAATAAAAAAAACCTTTTCAAACCTGACAGTCCATTGAGCAAATGAAGTAGAGTTCACCTGTTCCTGTGACTTTGGGATATGAAGGGATAGTGTGGTAAACACTATGCCCAGACACCTTTGTTTTCCTAACATGAGTTAGGTACCCATCAGAGCTGGGTAGACTCAGGGACATTCTACTGAATTGAGCCCGGATTCAAACTCGAGACTCCGAGCTACCAGTCTGTAGTCTTATTGTTTTATAAGTATCAAAGAAAAAACAAAGTCTTAGTTTGATAGTGTTGTTAGTTTAAAAAGATTTTTTGATACCAGTTCTGTCAGAACATTAAGCAGAATTTTATCAGGGAAGAATTTTCTATTGTATGTTTTCTTTTTTTTTCACACGAGGTATTAACCACAGACATTCTTATTTTTAGTTCTGTACCCTTCCTTAAAAGCTAATTGTTTTGTTTTTTATAGATCCCATTAGAAAACACCCAAACCAGTTTGGATTTAAGACAAAAAAATGTTTGTTAAATGTTTCAAACAAAAATAATTAGCTTTACTTCTGCGATGTCCAAGAAATGTAGTTTGTTGCAGGTTCTGCTGGAGAATGTGCAGGAAGAGTTAGATCCCATGCTGGAGCCACTCCTGCTGAAGCAGGTGTTCAAGCAAGGTGGCGCCATGTGCATCAAGCTGGGAGACTCCACCATTGAGTACTCCTTTGATTTCAAGTTCTACATCACAACCAGCTTGAGGAATCCTCACTACTTACCAGAGGTGGCTGTCAAGGTAAGGGCTAGTTTTCATGTTTACCTGTGGTTGCAGTGTAACAACAAATTTTGTTATGAAATAGTTTCATAGTTTTGAATATTAGAATTTGTGTCAGACCACATGTATTTATAAAATTATATATTAATGGAATGGTGTCCACTCGTGGTATACATGATGTTACTATTTTTATAATTGCAATGTTTCCACCATAAATAATGTTGGTATGGTGTCACCCCATATATCGGGATGATGTCACCACATATATTGGGATGGTGTCACCACATATATTGGGATGGCGTCACCACATATATTGGGATGGTGTCACCACATATATTGGGATGGCGTCACCACATATATTGGGATGGTGTCACCACATATATTGGGATGGTGTCATCACATATATTGTGAAGATGGCATCCCCTCATGTATTGATGGGATGGCATCACCACAATCCCATTACTGGTGTTGTCCAGGTGACCTTGTTGAACTTTATGATAACACCTGAGGGCCTACAGGACCAGCTGCTGGGTATTGTAGTGGCCAAAGAGAGGCCAGAGCTGGAGGAAGAAAAAAGCATGCTGATCATTCAAGGTGCTTCAAACAAAAAGTAAGGCTGCAGCGTTTCATCTTGTAAGTGGTGATCATTGCCCAATTGAAATTTAAAAATAAAAAAAGAGTCAAAATCACATTCTTAAAATGTTTGTGGTGTTTTATAATTCTGTAAATTTTTTAATTTTGTAATTTTATGCAGCTTATATGCTATTTTATTAAACTGACTTAATTTTTTTTTAAATTTAAATTATTTCTCTGCATTTTTTTTAAATTTTTAACAATACAAGTTAGAGAGTAGTAATTTAAAAAAAAATAATTAAACAGAAAGATGATTAACCTTTCAGACAACTGAAGGAAATTGAGGACAAGATCCTTGAGGTACTGTCTACTTCTGAAGGCAACATTCTAGAAGATGAGACGGCCATAAAAATTCTTTCCTCATCCAAGACATTATCCAATGAGATTTCTGAGAAACAGGTTCAGTACTTTAGAACTATGTATTTGTATAATGTATGAAATGTATGCAGTATGTCTATACATGTACATATATATTTATAAATATATCTATATTAATGTAAGTTTCTGTACAAATATATTTTAATACATTTTTTAACATAATTAAAATATTCCTAAATTAATTACATGGATATTTAAATGAAATTAGTCTTAAACTAATTTTAAAAATTTATTGTTTGTCTTGTGAGATGTAAATTTTAAAGGATTTAAAAACATATTTTCACATTTTCCCTTTTAACAAGGCTTTTGCTGAGGAGACAGAGTTAAAAATTGACGAGGCACGTATGGGCTACACCCCCATTGCCATACACTGTACGGTGCTTTTCTTCTCCATCGCTGACCTGGCCAACATTGACCCCATGTACCAGTACTCTCTCACCTGGTTCATCAACCTGTTCAACATCAGCATCGAGAACGCTGACAGGTCCGATGTACTGGAGGAGAGGCTGCAGAACCTGCACAATCACTTCACATACCTGCTCTATTGTAACGTGTGTAGGAGCCTGTTTGAAAAGGACAAGGTATGTCAGGGGTAACTGCTGGACAAGGTATGTCAGGGGTTACTGCTGGACAAGGTATGTCAGGGGTAACTGCTGGACAAGGTATGTCAGGGTTACTGGAGGATGTCAGGGGTTACTGGAGGACAAGGTATGTCAGGGGTTACTGTAAGACAAGGTATGTCAGGGGTTACTGGAGGATGTTAGAGGTTACTGTGGGACAAGGTATGTCAGGGGTTACTGTATGACAAGGTATGTCGGGGGTTACTGTATGACAATGTATGTCAGGGGTTACTGAAAGATGTCAGTGGTTACTTTAGGACAAGGTATGTCAGGGGTTACTGTTGGACAATGTATGTCAGGGGTTACTGCTGGACAAGGTATGTCAGGGGTTACTGTATGACAAGGTATGTCAGGTGTTACTGTTGGACAATGTATGTCAGGGGTTACTGAAGGATGTCAGTGATTACTTTAGGACAAGGTATGTCAGGGGTTACTGTTGGACAATGTATGTCAGGGGTTACTGAAGGATGTCAGTGGTTACTTTAGGACAAGGTATGTCAGGGGTTACTGTTGGACAATGTATGTCAGGGGTTACTGAAGGATGTCAGTGGTTACTTTAGGACAAGGTATGTCAGGGGTTACTGCTGGACAAGGTATGTCAGGGGTTACTGAAGGATGTCAGTGGTTACTTTAGGACAAGGTATGTCAGGGGTTACTGTTGGACAATGTATGTCAGGGGTTACTGAAGGATGTCAGTGGTTACTTTAGGACAAGGTATGTCAGGGGTTACTGCTGGACAAGGTATGTCAGGGGTTACTGTATGACAAGGTATGTCAGGTGTTACTGTTGGACAAGGTATGTCAGGTGTTACTGTTGGACAATGTATGTCAGGGGTTACTGAAGGATGTCAGTGGTTACTTTAGGACAAGGTATGTCAGGGGTTACTGTTGGACAATGTATGTCAGGGGTTACTGAAGGATGTCAGTGGTTACTTTAGGACAAGGTATGTCAGGGGTTACTGTTGGACAATGTATGTCAGGGGTTACTGAAGGATGTCAGTGGTTACTTTAGGACAAGGTATGTCAGGGGTTACTGCTGGACAAGGTATGTCAGGGGTTACTGAAGGATGTCAGTGGTTACTTTAGGACAAGGTATGTCAGGGGTTACTGTTGGACAATGTATGTCAGGGGTTACTGAAGGATGTCAGTGGTTACTTTAGGACAAGGTATGTCAGGGGTTACTGCTGGACAAGGTATGTCAGGGGTTACTGTATGACAAGGTATGTCAGGTGTTACTGTTGGACAAGGTATGTCAGGTGTTACTGTTGGACAATGTATGTCAGGGTTACTGAAGGATGTCAGTGGTTACTTTAGGACAAGGTATGTCAGGGGTTACTGCTGGACAAGGTATGTCAGGGGTTACTGAAGGATGTCAGTGGTTACTTTAGGACAAGGTATGTCAGGGGTTACTGTTGGACAATGTATGTCAGGGGTTACTGAAGGATGTCAGTGGTTACTTTAGGACAAGGTATGTCAGGGGTTACTGCTGGACAAGGTATGTCAGGGGTTACTGAAGGATGTCAGTGGTTACTTTAGGACAAGGTATGTCAGGGGTTACTGTTGGACAATGTATGTCAGGGGTTACTGAAGGATGTCAGTGGTTACTTTAGGACAAGGTATGTCAGGGGTTACTGCTGGACAAGGTATGTCAGGGGTTACTGCTGGACAAGGTATGTCAGGGGTTACTGGAGGATGTCAGTGGTTACTTTAGGACAAGGTATGTCAGGGGTTACTGTTGGACAAGGTATGTCAGGGGTTACTGAAGGATGTCAGTGGTTACTTTAGGACAAGGTATGTCAGGGGTTACTGCTGGACAAGGTATGTCAGGGGTTACTGAAGGATGTCAGTGGTTACTTTAGGACAAGGTATGTCAGGGGTTACTGCTGGACAAGGTATGTCAGGGGTTACTGCTGGACAAGGTATGTCAGGGGTTACTGCTGGACAAGGTATGTCAGGGGTTACTGCTGGACAAGGTATGTCAGGGGTTACTGTATGACAAGGTATGTCAGGTGTTACTGCTGGACAAGGTATGTCCTGCACAATCACTTCACGTACCTGCTCTATTGTAATGTGTGTAGGAGCCTGTTTGAAAAGGACAAGGTATGTCAGGGGTTACTGTATGACAAGGTATGTCAGGGGTTACTGTATGACAAGGTATGTCAGGGGTTACTGCAGGACAAGGTATGTCAGGGGTTACTGAAGGATGTCAGTGGTTACTTTAGGACAAGGTATGTCAGGGGTTACTGCTGGACAAGGTATGTCAGGGGTTACTGAAGGATGTCAGTGGTTACTTTAGGACAAGGTATGTCAGGGGTTACTGCTGGACAAGGTATGTCAGGGGTTACTGCTGGACAAGGTATGTCAGGGGTTACTGCTGGACAAGGTATGTCAGGGGTTACTGCTGGACAAGGTATGTCAGGGGTTACTGTATGACAAGGTATGTCAGGTGTTACTGCTGGACAAGGTATGTCCTGCACAATCACTTCACGTACCTGCTCTATTGTAATGTGTGTAGGAGCCTGTTTGAAAAGGACAAGGTATGTCAGGGGTTACTGTATGACAAGGTATGCCAGGGGTTACTGTATGACAAGGTATGTCAGGGGTTACTGCAGGACAAGGTATGTCAGGGGTTACTGTATGACAAGGTATGTCAGGGTTTACTGTAGGACAAGGTATGTCCTGCACAATCACTTCACGTACCTGCTCTATTGTAATGTGTGTAGGAGCCTGTTTGAAAAGGACAAGGTATGTCAGGGGTTATTGAAGGACAAGGCATGTCAGGGGTTACTGGAGAATGTCAGGGGTTACTGTTGGACAAGATATGTCAGGGGTTACTGGAGACTAAAGTATGTCAGGGTCAAAATTAGCATACTGCTCTTTTGTCAAAGTCATTTGGTGTGCTAATCATAGAATTTACTTTATCCTTTGTTTTCTAAATGCAACCATTTATAAAAAATTACAATGTATTGAGATCATTCATGTTTTTTTTTCTCCAGCTTTTGTTTTCTTTTCTGCTGTGTGTGAACATTTTGAAACACAACAAAGAAATTATTGAATCAGAGTGGCGGTTCTTCCTAACTGGGGGCGTGGGCCTGGATAACCCAGTGAAAAAACCAGCAGAGTGGCTTCCCCAGCGCTCCTGGGATGAGCTGTGCCGTGTTGATGAGATGGAACCCTTTAAAGGCATAGCTGATGCTTTTGCCAAGGAGGCCAATGACTGGAGAACCATCTATGATAGTTTGGTATTAAAACTTTATTTTTAACTTCTATATTCTTTCTTCTAGCTGAGCTTAATTGTTTGGTATTAATATTTTAAAAAAAAATTATTATTTAATCGCTTATATTTTTGGTGATTTATATTTCAAATTTGAATTTTTAAAATAAATTTATCTAAATTTTATTTTTTTAATTTGAAAAAAAAAACATTATTTGACTCAATATTTAATTTTACATAAATTTAGTATGTTGTAAAATGGAGTTATTAGTTAAAATACAAATGTTCTGAGTAAGATATTTTAAGATGTTGATTGATATGCTATCGGAAATGTGAAAAAGCTCTTTTAAGTAGACAGTATAATGTGTGTTTTCTAGGAACCCCATAAGGAGCAAATGCCCAGTGCCTGGCAAAAATTAAATTCATTCCAAAAAATGCTGATATTGAGAATTTTCAGATTTGACAAGGTGAGAAATTTTTATAAATATTTACATTTTATATCACAGGAGCATTCTTTAATTTAATTTTTTTCATACAATGTAACCTACATCTGTATCCCCAAAGTCCTGCTCTATTAGTACTCTGACACAAGAAGCATTTATTGGCAGTGCTCCATAAAGTGATTGTTTACTAAATAATTTAAAAGACAGTATCTTGTTTGTTTTTTACTGTGACATGGTTTATTAATGAATCTTTATGTGTAAGATTGATTTTTAAATTATTGCTACTATTTGTGTACAGTTTTTAATGTATTTATAGTTTCAAAGAATGCCCCAATCAGCAAACAGCCCAAAATGTTTCTCTGATCCAGGTTATACCTGCAGTGCAGGACTTCGTCACAGAGAAACTGGGAAAGGTTTTTGTCGAGCCCCCACCGTTTGATCTGCCGAAGTCGTTTGCTGACAGCAACTGCACGACGCCGCTGTTGTTTGTGCTGTCTCCAGGCTCAGACCCCATGGCGGCTCTACTCAAGTTTGCTGACGACAATGTGAGAACTTTGAACTGAACATTTTATTATTTGTGCATTACACAAGTACTGTTGTGTATTCAACACATTTTAACTTCTAACTCTATTGGTGAGGTGTATCAGATCTATTTTTTTGCTAGTGTTACTACCCTAATCCTAACATAAAAATGTTACCTGCAGGTGGAAAAGCATATTATTTCACTGTTTACGCATTCTCACATGACTATATTTTTCAGGTAGTATTTTGAGACAAATTTTTACTGTTTTTTTTTACTTCTTTGGATCAGAACTTTTTTTTTGCATTATCTTAACCCTGGCAATGGAGACAGTGTGGCCTATCGGTAAAGAGCTGGACTGCTAACCCAAAAGTTTTGAGTTCAAATCAGGGTTTAAGTCAGTAGACAGTCCCTGAGTCTACCCAACTCTGATGGGTTCCTAACTCGCATTAGGGAAAGTAAAGGCATAATGCTGACCACACTATCCCTTCATATGCCGAGGTCCCTGAAACAGATGAACTCTACTTCATCTGCCCCATGTGTCTTGGGCACGAACAGGAAAAGATGATAGACCCTGTTTGCAATCCTGTCCCCCTAACCTACTTTTTTGATGCCCTTTGAATAACTCATAGTTAAACATCACAACGGCTAATATGTTGCAAGTATGGTGAGTAGATCTGTAGCAAATTATTGATTTATTACCAAAGTTGATGTTGGCCACTTGTTCACTGTTGTAGCTGTGTGCTGTCTCTTGTAAGTGGTCGCCATGTTGCCTTTCAGAACATGGGTGGTGAAAAGTTTGACTCCCTGTCCCTGGGTCAAGGTCAAGGTCCTATAGCTATAAAAATGATTGACAAGGCTTGTAAAGACGGGCTGTGGGTTGTCCTGCAGAACTGTCATCTGGCTGCCTCATGGATGCCCACACTAGAGAAAATCACTGCAGTAAGAAAGTGCTTGCTATTGATTTCACAGTAGTTGTAAAAAATGTTTCACATGGCACTGGCTGAGTTTGGCAGTTTAAAAATATGGGATGAGTAAAACAAATATTAGGGAACAAAATATTTAAATTTTTTAACTTTCTAAAAAAAAATCAAATTTATTTCCTTTATTTTATTTTCTCTTAGTTTCATTTACAAGGTTGAGAATTAACATTTTTAAAACCAGCTGTGTCTTGATGGGAGACTCATTCCTTAAGCTTAATCCCATTTCTGATGTTCATTCCTTAAGCTTAATCTCCTTGCTGATTTCAATTCTTTAAGCTTAATCTCCTTGCTGATTTCAATTCTTTAAGCTTAATCTCCTTGCTGATTTCAATTCTTTAAGCTTAATCTCCTTGCTGATTTCAATTCTTTAAGCATATTCTCCTTGCTGATTTCAATTCTTTAAGCTTAATCTCCTTGCTGATTTCAATTCTTTAAGCTTAATCTCCTTGCTGATTTCAATTCTTTAAGCATATTCTCCTTGCTGATTTCAATTCTTTAAGCTTAATCTCCTTGCTGATGTCCCCAGGAATTTTCAGAAGACCAGACCCACCCAGAGTTCCGCCTGTGGCTGACCTCGTACCCATCCAGTGTTTTCCCAGTGACCATCTTACAAAATGGTGTCAAGATGACCAACGAAGCACCAAAGGGATTACGTTTCAACATTATAAAATCTTACAAATCCGACCCAATCTCAGATCCTGAATTCTTTAATGGATGCCAACAAAATGTAAGCACCAAAGGGATTACGTTTCAACATTATAAAATCTTATAAATCTGACCCAATCTCAGATCCTGAATTCTTTAATGGATGCCAACAAACTGTAAGCCAATTATAAAAAAATTCTTAGACAGTCCCTATAATTTGTGCATTCTAGCATATTAACTACTGATAAAGCACCAAATGGATTACGTTTCAACATTATAAAATCTTACAAATCCAACCCAAATCCTGAATTTTGTAATGGATGTCAACAAACTGTAGGTCAATTAAAAATAATTTGTGCATTTTAACATATTAACTATTGCCTAATATTTTAACTAACTTTACATTTTTAAAAATTGAAGATAGTAAAGTTTACATGAGGCTTTATTCTTTAGTAATAAGAATGAGGTTGAGCGTTGGAGTACACAATTTCTAATGTAAAAGTGTCTAGTTCAGTTCACTTGCTGTAGTGCAACCATCTCCACTGAGTACACCCAGCTCTGATGGGTCTGACTTAAGTCAGGGAAAATAAAGGTTCAAAATCCTGAATACATATCCTTTCATACAGTAAAATCATAAACAGATTAACTCTACTTTCTCTGCCTCGGATTATCTGTTCTGTACAGAGTGCTTGCTGTATAACTAAGAAAATGCAATGAATATTTCAATAACTTTAATCTGTAAGCCGTTTCTTCCACCTTCAGGAAATTTTCAAGAAGATGCTCTATGCCCTGTGTTTCTTCCACGCCCTGGTCCAAGAGAGGAAGAAGTTTGGTCCCCTGGGCTGGAACATACCATACGAGTACAACGACACAGATCTGCGCATCAGTGTCCTGCAGCTGCACATGTTTTTAAACCAGTACGAGGTGGGTCTAGCAACAATTGGGGTATGAGGTGGGTCTAGCAACAATTGGGGTATGAGGTGGGTCTAGCAACAATTGGGGTATGAGGTGGGTCTAGCAACAATTGGGGTATGAGGTGGGTCTAGCAACAATTGGGGTATGAAGTGGGTCTAGCAACAATTGGGGTATGAGGTGGGTCTTGCAACAATTGGGGTATGAGGTGAGTGGCTAAAGTTAGTTTTATCCAAGTCCTAGCAACAATTGGGGTATGAGGTGAGTGGCAAAACTTTTATCCAGCAACTTGTGTTTATGAAGTATTTGATCTGTTCTTGTCTGTTTTATGGGACGATGTGGTCAGATGGTAGTGATTATGACTACCAACCTGAAAGTCTTGTGGTGAGATATTGGGCTCAAGTCCATAGGACATCCCTGAGTCCACCCAGATCTGATGGTTACCTGACTCACATTATGGTAACTAAAGCTGGCCACACTATTCCAAAATAGTTGAAACAGATGAACTTCATTTGCTCCATGTGTCTTGGTCACAAAGAGATGATGTCTATTTTACAAATTCTTAAATTGATTTCATAATTATGTGTATGCATGTTTCTAAACAATTTAAAATGTTTTAGTTTGCTTGTTTAGTCTTTTTGTTGTTGCTCAATAAGTGACAGACCCATTTTTTATCTAACTTCCCTGCAGTATTTTGCTTAACCAAATGAAAACTATGTTTATGTTTTAAAATAAAGGGAAGTAATTCTCTCCTCAGGAAGTTCAATTTGAAGCCTTACGTTACCTGACTGGAGAATGTAACTATGGAGGTCGTGTGACGGACGGCTGGGACAGGCGCACACTGAACACAATTCTATTTAAATTCTACTGCCCTGAGCTCCTGGAGGCTGAGGAGTACTACTTTGACCCCCACAAGAGGTACTCACTCCCACCAGATGGCGATGTGAGTAGCAGTACTTTGATTTGTTGCTTTGTTTATGGTTGGCTAACATTTTAGGCTGTTACACAAGTGGACACCTGACTTGAAATAGCGAAAGTAAAGGCAGTGGTGCATTATGTTGATCACTTTATGCAGAGGTCACAGAAACAGGTGAACTCTACTTCATTTGTCCCATGAACCACTGTGTTTAAAAGGGACTTAACTTGAACTGTAGACCTGTTCACCTTTCAGTTGCTACCCCCACCCAGTTTGTCCCACTAACATGTCACCTGTCCACCTTTCAGTATGAGAGTTACCTGACATTTACCCAGTCCACTAACATGTCACCTGTCTACCTTTCAGTATGAGAGTTACTTGACATTTACCTAGTCCACTAACATGTTACCTGTCTACCTGTCCACCTTTCAGTATGAGAGTTACCTGACATTTACCCAGTCCACTAACATGTTACCTGTCTACCTTTCAGTATGAGAGTTACCTGACATTTACCCAGTCCACTAACATGTCACCTGTCTACCTTTCAGTATGAGAGTTACTTGACATTTACCCAGTCCACTAACATGTTACCTGTCTACCTTTCAGTATGAGAGTTACCTGACATTTACCCAGTCCACTAACATGTTACCTGTCCACCTTTCAGTATGAGAGTTACCTGACATTTACCCAGTCCACTAACATGTTACCTGTCTACCTTTCAGTATGAGAGTTACCTGACATTTACCCAGTCCACTAACATGTCACCTGTCTACCTTTCAGTATGAGAGTTACTTGACATTTACCCAGTCCACTAACATGTTACCTGTCTACCTTTCAGTATGAGAGTTACCTGACATTTACCCAGTCCACTAACATGTTACCTGTCCACCTTTCAGTATGAGAGTTACCTGACATTTACCCAGTCCACTAACATGTTACCTGTCTACCTTTCAGTATGAGAGTTACCTGACATTTACCCAGTCCACTAACATGTTACCTGTCTACCTTTCAGTATGAGAGTTACCTGATTTTTACCCAGTCAACTAACATGTTACCTGTCTACCTTTCAGTATGAGAGTTACCTGACATTTACCCAGTCCACTAACATGTTACCTGTCTACCTTTCAGTATGAAAGTTACCTGACATTCACCCAGACCCTCCCACTAACATGTCACCTGTCTACCTTTCAGTATGAGAGTTACCTGACATTTACCCAGACCCTCCCACTAACACAGTACCTGTCTACCTTTCAGTATGAGAGTTACCTGACATTTACCCAGTCCCTCCCACTAACATGTCACCTGTCTACCTTTCAGTATGAGAGTTACCTGACATTTACCTAGTCCACTAACATGTCACCTGTCTACCTTTCAGTATGAGAGTTACCTGACATTTACCTAGTCCACTAACATGTCACCTGTCTACCTTTCAGTATGAGAGTTACTTGACATTTACCTAGTCCACTAACATGTCACCTGTCCACCTTTCAGTATGAGAGTTACCTGACATTTACCCAGTCCACTAACATGTCACCTGTCTACCTTTCAGTATGAGAGTTACCTGACATTTACCCAGTCCACTAACATGTTACCTGTCTACCTTTCAGTATGAGAGTTACCTGACATTTACCCAGTCCACTAACATGTCACCTGTCCACCTTTCAGTATGAGAGTTACCTGACATTTACCCAGTCCACTAACATGTTACCTGTCCACCTTTCAGTATGAGAGTTACCTGACATTTACCCAGTCCACTTACATGTCACCTGTCTACCTTTCAGTATGAGAGTTACCTGACATTTACCCAGTCCACTAACATGTCACCTGTCTACCTGTCCACCTTTCAGTATGAGAGTTACCTGACATTTACCCAGTCCACTAACATGTTACCTGTCTACCTTTCAGTATGAGAGTTACCTGACATTTACCCAGTCCCTCCCACTAACATGTTACCTGTCTACCTTTCAGTATGAGAGTTACCTGACATTTACCCAGTCCCTCCCACTAACATGTTACCTGTCTACCTTTCAGTATGAGAGTTACCTGACATTTACCCAGTCCACTAAAATGTTACCTGTCTACCTTTCAGTATGAGAGTTACCTGACATTTACCCAGACCCTCCCACTAACATGTTACCTGTCTACCTTTCAGTAAGAGAGTTACCTGACATTTACCCAGTCCACTAACATGTTACCTGTCCACCTTTCAGTATGAGAGTTACCTGACATTTACCCAGTCCACTAACATGTCACCTGTCCACCTTTCAGTATGAGAGTTACCTGACATTTACCCAGTCCACTAACATGTCACCTGTCTACCTTTCAGTATGAGAGTTACCTGACATTTACCCAGTCCACTAACATGTTACCTGTCTACCTTTCAGTATGAGAGTTACCTGACATTTACCCAGTCCACTAACATGTTACCTGTCCACCTTTCAGTATGAGAGTTACCTGACATTTACCCAGTCGACTAACATGTTACCTGTCTACCTTTCAGTATGAGAGTTACCTGACATTTACCCAGACCCTCCCACTAACATGTCACCTGTCTACCTTTCAGTATGAGAGTTACCTGACATTTACCCAGTCCACTAACATGTTACCTGTCTACCTTTCAGTATGAGAGTTACCTTACATTTACCCAGTCCACTAACATGTTACCTGTCTACCTTTCAGTATGAGAGTTACCTGACATTAACCCAGTCCACTAACATGTTACCTGTCTACCTTTCAGTATGAGAGTTACCTGACATTTACCCAGTCCACTAACATGTTACCTGTCTACCTTTCAGTATGAGAGTTACCTGACATTTACCCAGTCCACTAACATGTCACCTGTCTACCTTTCAGTATGAGAGTTACCTGACATTTACCCAGTCCACTAACATGTTACCTGTGTACCTTTCAGTATGAGAGTTACCTGACATTTACCCAGTCCACTAACATGTTACCTGTCTACCTTTCAGTATGAGAGTTACCTGACATTTACCCAGTCCACTAACATGTCACCTGTCTACCTTTCAGTATGAGAGTTACCTGACATTTACCCAGTCCACTAACATGTTACCTGTCTACCTTTCAGTATGAGAGTTACCTGACATTTACCCAGTCCACTAACATGTTACCTGTCTACCTTTCAGTATGAGAGTTACCTGACATTTACCCAGTCCACTAACATGTCACCTGTCTACCTTTCAGTATGAGAGTTACCTGACATTTACCCAGTCCACTAACATGTTACCTGTGTACCTTTCAGTATGAGAGTTACCTGACATTTACCCAGTCCACTAACATGTTACCTGTCTACCTTTCAGTATGAGAGTTACCTGACATTTACCCAGTCCACTAACATGTCACCTGTCTACCTTTCAGTATGAGAGTTACCTGACATTTACCCAGTCCACTAACATGTTACCTGTCTACCTTTCAGTATGAGAGTTACCTGACATTTACCTAGTCCACTAACATGTCACCTGTCTACCTGTCCACCTTTCAGTATGAGAGTTACCTGACATTTACCCAGTCCACTAACATGTTACCTGTCCACCTTTCAGTATGAGAGTTACCTGACATTTACCCAGTCCCTCCCTTTAAAATGTTACCTGTCTACCTTTCAGTATGAGAGTTACCTGACATTCACCCAGACCCTCCCTCTGATTGCCTCACCTGAAGTGTTTGGCATGCATCCCAATGCTGAGATAACCAAAGACCAAGCTGAGACACAGCTGTTGTTTGACAACATCCTGCTGACAGTGGTAGGTACTCATGTCATTTGACCTGTTGACGGTACCTGTGTCATTTGATTTGATGACAGTAGATGTGTTATTTGATGTGTTGAAAATACTCATGTCATTTGACATGTTGACAGTACTCATGTCATTTGATATGGTGATGGTACTCATGTCATATGACTTGTTGACATTACTCATGTCATTCGACATGTTGACAGTACTCATGTTATTTGGCATGTTGACAGTACACATGTCATTTGATATGTTGAAGGTACTCATGTCATATGACTTGTTGACATTACTCATGTCATTTTACCTGTTGACGGTACCTGTGTCATTTGATTTGATGACAGTAGATGTGTCATTTGATGTGTTGAAAATACTCATGTCATTTGACATGTTGACAGTACTCATGTCATTTGATATGGTGATGGTACTCATGTCATATGACTTGATGACATTACTCATGTCATTTGACATGTTGACAGTACTCATGTCATATGACTTGTTGACATTACTCATGTCATTTGACCTGTTGACGGTACCTGTGTCATTTGATTTGATGACAGTAGATGTGTCATTTGATGTGTTGAAAATACTCATGTCATTTGACATGTTGACAGTACTCATGTCATTTGATATGGTGATGGTACTCATGTCATATGACTTGTTGACATTACTCATGTCATTCGACATGTTGACAGTACTCATGTTATTTGGCATGTTGACAGTACACATGTCATTTGATATGTTGAAGGTACTCATGTCATATGACTTGTTGACATTACTCATGTCATTTTACCTGTTGACGGTACCTGTGTCATTTGATTTGATGACAGTAGATGTGTCATTTGATGTGTTGAAAATACTCATGTCATTTGACATGTTGACAGTACTCATGTAATTTGATATGGTGATGGTACTCATGTCATATGACTTGATGACATTACTCATGTCATTTGACATGTTGACAGTACTCATGTCATATGACTTGTTGACATTACTCATGTCATTTGACCTGTTGACGGTACCTGTGTCATTTGATTTGATGACAGTAGACGTGTCATTTGATGTGTTGAAAATACTCATGTCATTTGACATGTTGACAGTACTCATGTCATTTGATATGGTGATGGTACTCATGTCATATGACTTGTTGACATTACTCATGTCATTTGACATGTTGACAGTACTCATGTTATTTGGCATGTTGACAGTACACATGTCATTTGATATGTTGAAGGTACTCATGTCATATGACTTGTTGACATTACTCATGTCATTTGACATGTTGACAGTACTCATGTTATTTGGCATGTTGACAGTACACATGTCATTTGATATGTTGAAGGTACTCATGTCATATGACTTGTTGACATTACTCATGTCATATGACTTGTTGACATTACTCATGTCATTTGACATGTTGACAGTACACATGTCATTTGACGTGTTCATAGTACTCAGTAATTTGACATTTTGTTTACATTTTCTTTTTTTTTTTGGTTTTGTTTGTAGCATAGTTCCAAAATTTAATTTAAGTCATAAGATAAAGTTTTGTAGCTGAGCATGTTTTTTTTATCCCCAGGGAAAAGCAGCAAGTAAAGGAGGCAGCTCCGCGGATGAGATTGTGGACAGCGTGGCCATGGATATCATCGAGAGACTCCCAGCCAACTTTGACACAGACATCGCCCTGAGGAAGTACCCCACGTCCTACACCCAGAGCATGAACACCGTCCTCGTACAGGAGATGGTGCGCTTCAACAAACTGCTCTCACGTGTACGCAGCACTTTACTCAATATAAGGAAAGCAATAAAGGTAACTCATGGAGTAATAATTTGCTGAGAGTTGTTGGTCTTGTTTCAACATACATTTGTTGCTCAGTCTGTGAGTGTGTTTAATTTGTAGAGGTAGTTCAGACTTATTCAGGCTTGATAGTTCAGGAGTTTTTTTTTACAGAACAAATGCTAGTCCCCCAATGTTGGTAGGCCAATTATAGTCAGGTCTGTACTATTGTGTACTATAGATACACAAATAGTGCTGTTGCATATCTTTTTTATGATGCTGCTAAGTAAAAGAAAACACTATTTAATAATTTTAAAATGATAGAAGATAAGAAATATTAGCACTGTATGTTGTTCTAATTTGATCCTCTTATGTGCACATTTATGATAGACGATAACTTTTTTTGTGGTAGGGCCTACCAAAATATAATGCAAAATGTCATACAAACATTGTCATGCAGTTTTGTATTATGTATACTGGACACACTTAAAACTCTTTTATATTGTAGACTGACAGCAACTGTTTGATACCAGTTTGATTGACTGTAAACAAAACCTTGCTGTTTCTAGGGTCTAGTGGTGATGTCATCAGACCTGGAGGAAGTTGTCAGCAGTATTCTGACTGGCAGAATCCCCAACATGTTTAAGAAGGTCTCCTACCCTTCTCTAAAACCACTGGGCAGTTACATCAATGACTTCCTAGCCCGCTTGCAGGTACCATCTAAACATTATTTTTTAATCAACAAACATGATTTTAATCAACTGTTGATCACACACATGCACAATGTAAACATGTCAAGAGACTAAAACAAAATCAGAAAAATTCCATAGAATGATGACAAGCAGAAACACTTAGATTCTGCTTGATTGCTTGAAAGTTTTTTTCAATTTTAAGTGCAGTATTTTCACACAATTTGTATGTTAATAATTTCTTAAAATTAAAAATGTATTTCATGTAACTATAATGATTGTTGGATTATATTTTAGATCAGTATAGTTGACCTGCAATAAATTTTAAGTTATGGTTTAAAATTATTTTCAGTTCCTGCAAGACTGGTATGACAAGGGCCCTCCACCCACATTTTGGTTGTCAGGATTTTTTTTTACTCAAGCTTTCCTTACAGGTGCCCAACAGAACTATGCACGAAAGTAAGCCTGACTTTGTCAGTGGTTGTTTTTTTTTCCCCATTGTAGTTGGTTTTAACAAATGTAAGATTAAGAGCTAAACAGGCATGAATGTAACCTGACTTTGTAATGAGACAGTAATTCTTGTTTTTCTTTCACTGTAGGTGGTAATTTAAAAAAACCTTAAGATTATTATTATTAACTAGACCAGGTAGTTATTATACTAAACAGAATTTAGTTAGATGAGACTACTGACTGAGGTATTTAAATCACAATGAAACACTTTATAAAACACAATAGGATGATAATGAACTGTATTGAAAGCTAAGCTTTTAAAGTGATGTTTTCATCCTTATAATTTCTCATTTCTCCTCCTAAGTTCTCTGTATATCATCTGCTGCTTACTATGTAACACAATGCTTGCTATGCCTCTAACACATCTGCTTGCCTGTAGTTTCTAAAGCTTGCTTGATGATGTTGGTTAACTTGCTTTATGTACCTACCTATTGGCTGTTGACTTAATTTCTTGACTCAATGATAGTTGACAAGTAGTGTTTTATTTTCTCAGGTATACCATACCTATTGACTTGTTGACTTATGCTTTGATGACTTTAATGATAGTTGACTTGTTTTCAAGTAGTGTTTTATTTTTTCTCAGGTATACCATACCGATTGACTTGTTGACTTATGATTTTGAAGTACTGGAGGACAAGGATTACACTAAAGCACCAGAAGATGGTAATTTATTTCTTCTAAATAGCTACATCAATAATGCTGAATCTTTTATAAAAAGAACTAGTTGGAATGTCGTGGGAAAAAATATTTGGAACTGAGATGGTATATTTTATTTTGAAAAGAAGAATATAATATAATATTTAAGCTACAGGAATGTTTTTTTTTTAGTTTTAGTGTACATCATCAATAATGTTTAACTTACAATACCCTGTGCAGTGTTTAATTTTGTTTGTTTTATTTTCAGGAGTTTATGTCTATGGTTTGTTTTTGGAAGGAGCAAGGTGGGATAGAAAGAAGAAAGTACTCAATGAATCATTACCAAAAATACTTTCTGACCCTGTCCCTACTGTAAGTTATTTCTAACTACTGTTTTTGTAATCAGTAGTTATTAATTTGTATTTTAAAATATGAAATGTCACTTTTATGGCTAATTTTTAAAAGTTGTTTTTAATAAATTTGTTTTTTAATTTTTACACTTTGAAAATTGTAGTGCCAATATTTTCTTAGACAAAATTTCACGCTACGATTTTTTCCCCAGATGTGGTTAAAACCACTGAAGAAGGAAGACCTAAAGCCAGAGAATGTGTATGAATGTCCAGTGTACAAGACCACGGAGCGCAGAGGGACACTCTCCACAACTGGCCACTCAACAAATTACGTCATGGCCATGCTGTTGCCCTCAGACAAGCCCCAGGCACACTGGGTGTGCAGGGGTTTAGCTCTGATGTGCCAGCTTGACACTTAAAATTTTCTTTTTTAGTTTTCAGATTTTATGTTTTATACAGTTGAATATAATGAGAAAGCAATAAGAATCTCTAAAAATTGTGCTGTGAAATGTTTTATTTTTACATCGCCTGTATCTTTACATCTTTTATCATACAAGTTGGATAACTCCTCAAACCATCAATGAATGTAATTATTAGTGAATGTTGATTTATTAGACTAGACATACATTTATACATTGATCTAGCATATATATGTCATGATTTTTAGAGATTGATAATACATTATTTTATAACAAATGAATTGTGGTCTTTGTTTTTTTATTGCTTGTCATTGTTTCACTCATATTTAGTTATCCTAGGCCTTGCATTTAGTGGAGAAGAATGACAGAGAAATTCCTATTCAACTTCAACACACAAAGTGTAGACCTATTTCAAGATCCATTTAGAATGACATTAGTCACATGTTGATTGACTGTTGGGGAGGGTAGAGGGAAAGGAAAGGCATTTTATTATAGTAGTCTATATTACACTACTTCAGTTTTAAGAAGGTTTACATGTGAGTGCAGAACAGTACCCAAAAGAAAGTATAATATAATCTGTTATATTACACTCTTCTAACGTAAGGAGATTAATGATGTACCATAACCCTAATCAACTATCCTACGATATATGGGTTTGAATACCAACACTGTTATGCTAATTAGCAACTTCAAACAGCTGATCTGGCATGTCGTTGTAGACAGAATGAGATACACTTTGCTTTCAATAATTCTATGTGGTATTGAAATTACTTTAAGAATCTGATTATCATAAATTTTAATAAATACAAATTTTGTAATATATGTTGGATAAATGCCGTTAAGGGCTTTTTACTTCTGTTTTAAAAACTGAACAAATCTATTTGGCATAATGCTGCGAAGAATACCTGGCTAAAAATTATTGTTTATAAATGGCTACCAAGAGAATTATGGTTCTCATGGTTAAAAGTTGACGTTGCAAAATAATCCTTTGAAGTTAATCCGATCTACTCCATGTGAATGACAACAGTATGTATCTACATTACAAATAGTATTCATGTTAGATCTAATCTAGGACTTTTTGAATAGGACAATCCCTATCATTCCATTATAATCCATAGACTAGTAACGTAGTAAATAATAATAGTTAATAATACAAATAGTGTCAAATAGTAAATAGGCAAGGGCCAACACTACACTTACAGTAAGGCAGTTCACCACACAAAAAAAAACACAATAAGTAACACGCACAGGACTGAGTCGACTCTTCTTATACTTGCATTCTATTCTAAACTCTGAGTCTAATCTAGTTACTAGATCTAGTCCTAGGAGTAGGCTAGGACCCAAGGAGAAGTAGAAGATTACGATAATACTAATACCAGAAATGGTTAATTATAAAATAATTATATGTGGATCTGTAGCTGATTAAACCAAGGGGGGAGGGGGGGGGGTCTGAATTTTTATTTTTTGTGACAATAATGTGTGATAAGGGGGAGGGGAAGGTTCGTTCTGCCAAGGATACAAAGTTACAAAGGGTCGACTTGAAATATCGTCCAATTATTATTATTTATAAACTGGATTTTAGCCATTATTTTGCGTACAGCAATTTTGTTTTAAAAATCTAAATTGCAATTTTGAGGGGGGGTGGTGGGGGGGGGGGGGGGGGGGGGGTATTAGTTGAGTTGAAAATCAACATCATTATTACAAGATGGGGTCTAGCTCTTTGTGAGGATGTGTGGTGATTTGATCTGTGCGTTGGGGGGGGGGGGGGGGAATCATCCCAAAAAGTGTGTTAATTTATGAATGAATGATTAGGCCTATTTGTCTTTTACTTATTTACTAGATTTTACTAAGACCAACTATTATTTCATTATCAACTCAGAAATTGATTTAGAAAATCAAAATGGGTCTGAAGTAGAGTACACCTGTTTCTGTGTCCTCAGCATATGAAGAGATAATGTAGTCAGCACTATGCCCAGCCGCCTTTACTTTTCTTAACGTGAGTTCGGTACCCATCAGAGCTGAGTGGACTCAGGGATGGTCTAATTGACTTGAACCCAGATTCAAACTCGAGACTTACAAATTAGCAGTCTAGTTCTCTACTGCTAAGCCACTCCGTCTCTAGGCCTGCTTGTAAAACAAATTAGATCTATAAACAAGAGATGACAATAGTTAAGTAAAATAAGCTCCCCTCTAATCTATTTTATTTAAAATTAAAAAGGGGGAGGTATTTTTACAGTTTAAAAAATTCTATTTAGTTGTAAAAGAATGCATAATAAGAAATAATTTAGTAATATTTGTTCTTGGTAAACAAAAATACAATCATTTATAGATTGTATTGCATCCATGGGTATTCATGTAATTACTTTTCTGATTTTTAAGTGCACTGATCTAACTGATTAGACAAATTTAAAAAAAAAAGCTGAATCATCTATGTTATTGTTATTATTAAACCAAACTCTAAGTTCTAAAAGTTTAACGCAATTAAATTTTATTTGAAATTTCTATTTCAGATTACAGTTCCTGTCAACTAACTACTGAGAACTGTGCAATGCGTTTGACTCGGACTTTTCTCCAGAGTTTAAGTATAGATTCTAGCATGGCTTATGAACTGTATGATTTGGACGACAGCCCCAAGGCCCTCAATGCACAGGTTATTCGTGGTATTAGATTTGCATTACTGTGCTTTCTCGCCATTGTACTTGTAAGTACTTTTTATACAGTTTTACTCTTTTATGAGAATTTTTACACTTTTATCAAAATGCTTAGATTGGCTTGTATGTAAATATTATTTTCTTTCAATATGATTTTTTTTTGAATATACAAGTGCATGTGTGATATTTTAAATCTTAAAATTTAAATAAATAAGGCCTACATCTAAAATTGTTTATTTCATTATATCAGATTGGTGCGGTCAGCATTTTAGGCATAGGGATCTGGACATTAGAAGCAGAGTATGGCAACAAACAAGTGTCTGAACTAATCAATGCTCAGCTGTATAAGGTGGACTCGTACCTGATGATTATTGGTGGAAGTGCTATCATAGCCATTACCGTTGTAGGCATACTGGGAGTGTTAAAGGAGTACAGGTGTCTACTAGGACTGGTAAGTAAAGTAAAATATCACTTATATGTATGGACAATGTTGTTAGATGAGATATTTAGAAATTATACTAAAAACTATATGAAGACAACAGATTAGTTTTAGTTACTACTATATTACATTAATACATCTTAGCCTAAGAATTTTATGTTACATTACATTGCTTATTTCTTTACTTGCCAGCATTTAGGCCTTCTAGCTTTCATGTCGGTGATGCTATTTGTTGCTGGAGTTCTTGGTTATGTTCTTGTCAGTGAAGTAAGATGATGATTTTTTTCTCAGATTTTTAAAGTTTTTATGCCTTAGAATTTGACACATTATTTTTATTCACTATAAGAGTTCATTGTAAAAATACTTTATTAGAATAGTATACTATTTACTATATTTCTTTGCCCAAACTTGTTTCTATAGTATTTTGTTGCACAAAATTATTACTTTAATATTTCTTTATCCCTTGAATGTTAGTCGAGATTTAATCTTTCTATACTTTTAGGTCTTTTAAAAAAAATTATAGTGGTTATTAAAATATATTTTTGATTTAACCCTGATGAGGTCTAGCTATTCTTGATATTTAATCCATAAGCCTAATTTAAAAATATATGTTTTGTGTCAGTGTGTTATTGTATGTTTCAATGTGCGTTAGGTCAGTGTGTTGGATGTGTGTTGTTCATACCTTCCCTAATTAATGTGTTTTGTTGTATGTTCCTTTGTGCCTTATGTCAGTGTGTTACACGTTGTAAATATCTTCTCTAGCTGGAGGATAAAGTGAAAGTGAAAATGGTGAACGCTGTTTTACACAACTACGGTGTTGATGTTGTCACCAGCACCAGCAATGAGGTCATCACATCAGCCTGGGACAGAGTGCAGCGAAGTGTGAGTCAATACACTTTTGTTCTTGCTGAATTGTTTTTCTGTCTATGGGTTTTAATAGTTTATTATTAATACTTGTTAATTATATTATTTTAAAAAAATTAAATTTCTGTTTATTATTAGGGGTCTTCATTTATGACGTCCACATTTTTTGGGGGATTTTGGACACCCCCCCCCCCCCCCCCCCCCCACAAAATCCACTTTTTTTCCGTATAAAAGTCCATAAAGTCATTTTTTTTTACGGAACCCCCCCCCCCCCCCCCCCCCCCCCCGCGTGTGGACGTCATAAATGGATGACCCCTTATTTCATTTTGAATGTTGTGGTGTGGATGGGTATTGGAACACTCTGTACATAAAAAAATAAATGGTTTTTAAATTTGTTATTGCGTGTCAATGTGTTATGTGCCATATGGCCCATTGGCTCATACTATCGCCTACTTTTCTTCTTGGATTTGTTTCCAAAGACTTGTGTCCACCCAAGAACAATCTGCCTTGAAGCAGTTGTTTAATTAGGGAATTTTCTCTCTTAGCTGGGTTGCTGTCCTAAGATAACAAGCCTCCTGGGGTTCGAACTCAAGACTTTCGGAGTTAGCAACCATACTCTCTCTTGTTTAATCCCCCTTAACCCAAATTAACTTGAATGAGGTATAAAGTGTATCGTATGTATCAATATTTCAGTTTGAATGTTGTGGGGTGTATGGAGATGATTCATCAAAACCATGGAAGATTTACCAGAAGAGTGATTGGTTTGATAAAGGATTTAGTAGTAAGTTGATAACTTTGTTGTTTTTCTAAGTACATTGCTAAGCTTCTTTAGTTATTAAAAAACAATTTTTTTTATTGAATACATAAAGTAAGAACTGTTTTCAGATGGGAGTTATGTCCCTGAGAGCTGCTGTAAAGACACTGTAAACATCCAACAATGCACTGGGTTAGTTGGCTATACCTCTGTAACTCCCCCCACTGATTCTCTGCACCATAACAACTACACTCTGTTTACAAAGGTAAAGATGATTTGATATTTATACTTTATAAAGTAGGAACTACACTCTGTACCTTTGTATAATTTATATTTGTTTGGTCAGCATTATGCCAAGAATTACCAAAGTCAGGTATGCACTAGTGTTGAATGGACTTTGTGTCATCCTACATGCATGACTTCTTTTATTCTGCAATGGTTAAAGATATTTGTATTGACTTCAGGGTTGCTTTGATGCCTTAGACTCATACCTGCGTCGCACAGGAATCGTCATTGGAACAACAGCCATTGTTGTTGGCCTATTTATGGTGAGTTCAATGTTTGCACAACTTCAGAATAGAATCACCATCATCTTTTGCCATTGGTGCCCAAGTCACATGGAATAGATGAAGTAGAGTTCACCTGTTTCACTTACCTTTGGCATTCAGGGCGATAGTGTGTTCACTAGGCTTAGCCGCCTTGTTTCCATAACGTGAGTTAGGTACTCATATCAGATTTTGGGGGAAACTCAGATACATCCAAAAGTCTTAACACGAATTCAGAACTTTTATGTTTGCAGTTGTAAGCTCTACAGACTATGCTGCCCCCTCCAGAACAGAATCCTTTATCGCATTCTTTTATTTTTGATTCATTTTAGCCTAGTGTTATGTTGAAAATGTATTAAAAGCAATAGAATGCAATACAAGTTGGGTTTTTAAAAAAAAATTGGGCACAACAGAAGTTTAGATGTTTTTTCTTGTATTTCTTTCCCCAGTTAGTTGAGCTGGTTCTTTCCATCTGCCTGTACAGAACTCTTCCAGAAAAAGTTTAGTAAAGAAGTCTTCATATTGTATGGTGCAGCCAATGATGTTGAATTTTCAAAACAGAAACGGCTGTGGCCAGTAGCAGCTTCTAGGCTTTTGTGCTCCATTGGAATGATTTTATGATGTGAGGCTCAATGTTGTAGGATCACTTTCTGACAGCAAGTTGATCAGCAGTTCAGGTTTTAAATAGTTTTATCTTCACTTTGTACTGGTAGTCTCTTGTGTAGTGCAGTAGATAATTTAAATCTCGCACTTGTAGAAAAATAATTTTCTTCCTAGCTGCCAATTCTATTTATAATTAATAATTATTTAATAATGTACAAGTTAAGCTAGGTAAACATGTTACTATAGTCATTAATTATTAATTGTAGGATTTATTCTTCAACCTTTTACTCCGCTGAAAACTTAATGAAAAATGTTACTGTAGGGTTTATTCGTCAATTATATTTATATTAAATTACCTGAAAACTAAGTAGGTTGCAATGAATGGAACAGTCATGAGCTATACTGTTGTATTGTACATTTTGCCCTTGTTCAAGTCAAATAGTCATTGCCTTTACAGACCATTGATATCAGTTGTTGTGAGGTTTGTATATATCAAAGTAACTTGCATTTTATTACAATAATTAGTTTTAATAAATGACATAGGTTTTTATGTAAAATAGTTTTAAAATGACATAATTTATGTAAATTAACTCTTTAAAATGACCAAGGTCAATTGTAAAAAAAAAGTCTTAAAAATGACTTTTTTATGTAAAATATTTCTTTAAATCATCTATAATTTATTTAAAACAGTCTTTAAAATTTTTAAATGACATAGGTTGTATGTAAGATATTCAGGTTCTTACTTGTAGGTTGTGAACAGTATTTGAAGACATTTCTTGAGATTAAAGTTACTTAAGGAAGCTGATATAAGTTTTATACTTCAAAAGTGATATTTTAAAGAAACATGTTTTGCTTGTGCTATTAAGTAGTCATTTTTGTGGGTTATTTTAGGTTCCTGTTTATATTTTAAAACTAAACAAACTTTTGAACCTGATTCTTATTAAGACAAAGATTTTTAAGTACTAATTTTTAATTAGCATGCACATAGTAGAATCTACTTGATCTTGATAAACTTTTTTATAACTTCCCTGACAAACTGCTTTCCTGAAGGAAAACTGCTGACTGTAAGAATAAGAGCACAACGATTAGATTTAACTTTGGTGGTAGAAGTTGATTTTACTTAAAGAAGTTAGATGGGTAACAGAAGATAGTTTTTCTTTTATAAATTTGTTTAAAATGTTTTTATACATACAAGTTTTAAGTACAGTGTTTGGACTAGCTGATGCTTTTAAGGTTGCAGATTGGGTCAGTACAATATTTAAGTTGTATAATTAATGGTTTTAAGATCTCTGTAGGGGTCAATAACGTTTTTCACTAATTCAAAATTTAGGTTTGAATTTGTTGTCAGTACAGTTTCTCAGTTTTAGGGCCAGTAAAATTTCTTCACTAATTTAATCCTGAAAATTAATTATTAGTTTGGCTTCCTATGCTTCCCAGATATAGTTAAAGGCTTCGATATTTGTGGTAGCTCTAAAGTTTTATATTTCTGAACAGAAAAAAAAAAAAAATTTGCAAACTCACTGAATAGTAATCTTAAACAAAACAATTTTTGAGACACCGATTTCTTTGGGTTGGCAGTTTGGACTTGTGTTAAAATTTTCATTTTCAAATGTTGCTTTTCACTCAACGAAAAATTGAATAAAATTTTAATGTTTATTCTTGACCGAAATTTTCACACTGATCTCAATATTAACATTAATGAACAATTACATTTTTATTACTTAAATAAATAGATTTTTATAACTTAATATACCACAAAATATAGATTGATATTTATTCATATAAGTGATTTGTGATATAGTTTTAACATAATATGTGTACCCACCTCCCCCTAAATATTAGCACATATGTTAAAAAACCACTTAATGCAGCATATGTAAGATAAACAATTTTCAGAATTAGCAAAAACAACTTGTTGACTGTAACTTTGATTTAGTAGTTACTTGATTCATCAATAAGGTGAAATAATTTTTTTTTCCAAATATTAATTACAGTAAATTTGTATTTAAAATTCTACCCCCCCCCCCACCTAAGCAAATTCATGTACAAAAAAATAATATAACTTCACTTAATATAGATGTTTTTAAAAATAAGCTATTATATATTACAAGACATATCAAGAATGTAAATGTGGCGGAGATATTATAATCTAATGATTCAGCATTGTTGATACAATAATTTAATTGTTCAATTTTTTCTTCTGATATAAATGTAAGGATGGCTTTTTTCAAAAAGTATGTAAATTACAATATCAGGTAGGCCTACATATGAGTTAAAAGGTTTTTGCCTCTTCATAGTACAATAAGAAGGGCTAGGTGGTACAGTTATGAATGTAAACCATAGGCTGGAATGTGACAGCTTTACAACAAGGCATAATACATTTTTAAACACTTTTTACATGAGAGTGGGATTAGTTCAGTTTTGTTATTGTACTTAAGCACTTTTTAGAAACAGATGAACTTTACTTCATCTGATTTATGGACCGCAGGGTCTAAAATGGTAATGTACATTACTTAAGCAGTTTACTGCAGCTTTAGCACATATGTAACAACTTTGACACCGTTGGCAATAGTGCACTGTTACTTTTTTACTGTAAAACTTACTATGAAGGGAATTTTATTGTATGAGTACACCTTGAAGATTTTTTTTTTACACTTTTTAATGAATATACATATTTTTAGAAACAGTGACTAAAAACAATGAACCCCAATTTATGTTCAAAGGGGAATATTTGGATGAGTGTCCACTATAGAAGAAATGCCAGTCTTTCACATGTAATGTTTTCAGATTTGCTTCACTGTACAAATGTTGTTTAATCAATCATGACAATTCTTGAAAATAGCTGATTTTTTTTTTCAAACTTGCACAACTTACACTGCTAATGTATGAGGATCACCATTTTTTTAAATACCAGTATTAATGTTAGTATAACTCTTAAAATGTTTTAGGTGTTTTTTTTGTGATTGGTAACAATTTATATTTCATTTTTTAATTTCTTTTTGTAATTGATTTTGTAGTTTATGTGTGGCATTTTTCTTTCTTTTTTTTTTTTTTTTGGAAAAACGCCTCTTACTGTTAAGTGTCCATTTTTTTTTCACCAGTGATTTGTATAATTATTTATTTATTGTATTTTATGTTTATCAGTTATTGGTTGTTTTATTTTCTGTTGTTTTTAAATGTTTATATTTTTTTCTAAATTTTTGTCTACTTTGATACCACTTTAACTGGTTGTTGATTGGTAAAACCCATCTGTTTGTAAATAAACCCAATCTTGCTTGTTGTTAGCTTTGCTTGTTGAGGTGATGACACAATCAAGTCATTCAAAGCTTTTTTTGTTGTTCATCACCGGAGATTGTTTTAATTTTGGGCTTAGATATTTCAACCTGCATTCTGTGATAAACCCACTTTTTGTTCTTTTTGAATCGTTCATTCCATTGATGTAGCTTTAGTAGTTAGAGAATTTTAAATCTGATCATGTTTTTTTTTTAGCATTTGAGTATGTTATAGATCAGGTTATGCCCCGTATACTTAAGCTTGATTGTATTTATCAGTGTGGTGAGGCACTCTACAGTGTAATTACCTACTCCATTTTAGTCGTGTTTACATGGTTGATTTAAAATGTAGCCATCTTTGTACATGATTCACCTGCTCCAGTTACTGTATTTAATTTACTTTTATGAGAACGAATTTTTTTTACACTGTGTTTTTTGCTTCTTAATGTCATTATTGACATTGTTGTTTAAAAATTTGAGGTGAGGTTTTTGCTTTTCTGTGCAAGAAAGTTTACAAATGTATTGCTCTTGATGGTTTAGCTGTTGTTGCTCTAAAACATATCATATTAATAATGTCTGATTGTTAAAGATAATTCTGTTTCAAATTAGATTTAATTTATTATGTAAATTGCAGCTCAATTTTAAGCCATGGGTCAGTTTTTAAAAGATTTTTCTTTAGAAATTTGTGCTTTCATTTTCAGAACTTAAATAGAAAACTTGATTCCAAACTTTATAAATGGCAAAATTGTATAGGCTGGTTCAAACCCATAATAATGTTTTTTATAGAGCAAAAAGTTTTTGTGTGCATAATTACGTGAATGTTATGATTTTGATGTTTATTGAGATACATATGTGAGAATTTTACCTCCTTGTATTTATTTTGAAATTAACTCTTTTTTATACTTATTTTAAAATTGGAACTTATGTGAATAATCATTTATAAAATGATTAATACCAGTGATAATTGATTTTAAGTTGGCTAGAGTCTCCTGAATTCGCTAATTCTGTTGATTGATGTAAACCTAAGTTGTACCACATACTACCAGTACTCCAGATATTTTGGTCTAATTTGTACAGTCTGCTGCTATTGTTTTTATTTCATATTCACTAGCTGCCTGGCTCATTAGCTTATTAGGTTGTTTCATATCATTTCACATTTGTAAAGTGGCCAGGATTTTTTGAAGAATGGGTTAAAGTTTATGGAATGGCCAGGTTTTTTAAAGAATGGTGTGTAACTTGTATAATGGCCAGGATATTTTTTACATCATAGTTATAATTGCATACCTTCAAGATAACATCTGTGACTCAGTGGGCATAGCTCTCACACTAGCCAGGCAGGCTGAATATTTGGTCAAGTCTGGCTTTGAAGATATCTGTTTCATCACCATATTCAGCCGTATTTCTATAATTGTATACTGAAAAGTCCCATCTTTCCTTGCTATATCATGTAAAATAATGTTATCTGAAATTTTTAAACTAAGAGCCAACTGGGCCTTTGCTCAGGTTTTTTTCTTAGTTAAAAACAACATGACAAAGTTAGGCTTTTTAATAGTGCAGTACCTGGTTTTCTGTCAATTCTAGACTGAACTAATGGCATCACTTGGCACTTGATGATTTTCAGAAAGTAAATGAAGGCATCTTTTTAAGTGACTTAGCTAGTTATAATGGTGTTTTCTTTTTCTGAATTTGGACTGTGTGATATACATCAAAGAATTTGTAAAATATATCAGTTTTGGCAAATTTAGCTATATGCAGTTTCTGGTGTGGGAAATATTTCCCATTTTTAGATAAGAAATATTTCCCACGCCAGAAATTGCAACTCATTACCAGCTTTTTATGAGCTGGAAAGCTCATGTTTAAATTGATAATAATATTATTTCTGAGTGAAGTCATAGGATATTTATGAAATATTTATTTCTAAAACATGTTTTTATTCTACACCAGGTATGCTGTGTTTGTGCATGTTTTTGAACACACAATTTTTTATATGCTCAAATGTAGTTTTAAAATATTTTCATTTCATGACCAAAAATCTCTGACTACAGAATATATCTCTGATTAAACAGAAATATATGCAATATCATTCCAAAAATTCTTTAAATTAAATGAAATCTAATATCAAGTCATCTAGATCTACCTTGTAAAAATTAATTTAGGCTTACACAAAAGAGCACTGCATTCAGTAAAAAATTTGGCAGGTTTGGAAGTTTGTTGTTTCTGGCTTGTCCGTTTGTACTATAATATATGCAAGTGTCATTAATTTCTATGTTAATCAACTGCGTTATGTGAAATATAATCAAGCGGAGTGTAGAGTTCATGACTTTTGAGATCAATTTTTTATCTTTGAAGCTCACTGTTAAAGCAGCTGGGCCTAGGCCTTTAGAACTCACCTGGGTGGTGACCTTTTTTTTTTTACACCACCTGTTTGCTCACACATAGCTGACCACACCATTTGATTGGTTACCTTGTCATAGCTGACCACACCATTTGATTGGTAGATGACCACACCATTTGATTGGTAGATGACCACACCATTTGATTGGTAGATGACCACACCATTTGATTGGTTACCTTGTGGTAGATGACCACATCATTTGATTGGTAGATGACCACACCATTTGATTGGTTGACTTGTCATAGATTTGATGCAGCTCTAGTTTAGGTCAATCATGTAGAAGGCATTTATACCTTTTGTCAAACCCTTGAGGGTTTAGTAATACCAAACTTTTTTAACATTACCCAACATTAATTTACTATAAACTTTTGAAATTTATTTCACGCTACCACTAACGTGTGTACTTTGATTAGCATAATTTTTTATGGTAGTTGAAATTTTTAAAATACGTAGATTCTTCCTTAAGCACCAGAAAACATAGTTTTTTTATTGATCTTTTGATCATATTTTTGTACACATACACATATCAAGTCGATATTTGCAAGACTTAAGGTAGTTGATGTTTGTTAATTATGTAGGTATTGTTGTTAAGACTTACATTGGATGTATGTAAGACTTAATATAAGAAGTTGATGTATGCAAGTCTTACGTGTATCAAATTGAAATGTGTATCACATACCCAGCTGAAATAAAAGGTTAAACTGAAAAGATTGCTTGTTTTTGTCTATATCTCTTGTCTATTGCCCCAGAGATTCTGTTGTGTGTATGGCTTGGTGTCATGTTTGTCCATATTATGTTGTGTGTATAGCTTGGTGTCATGTTTGTCCATATTATGTTGTGTGTATAGCTTGGTGTCATGTTTGTCCATATTATGTTGTGTGTATAGCTTGGTGTCATGTTTGTCCATATTATGTTGTGTGTATAGCTTTGTGTCATGTTTGTCCATATTATGTTGTGTGTATAGCTTGGTGTCATAATTGTCCATATTATGTTGTGTGTATAGCTTGGTGTCATGTTTGTCCATATTATGTTGTGTGTATAGCTTGGTGTCATGTTTGTCCATATTATGTTGTGTGTATAGCTTGGTGTCATGTTTGTCCATATTATGTTGTGTGTATAGCTTTGTGTCATGTTTATCCATATTATGTTGTGTGTATAGCTTGGTGTCATGTTTGTCCATATTATGTTGTGTGTATAGCTTTGTGTCATGTTTGTCCATATTATGTTGTGTGTATAGCTTGGTGTCATAATTGTCCATATTATGTCGTGTGTGTATAGCTTGGTGTCATGTTTGTCCATATTATGTTGTGTGTATAGCTTGGTGTCATGTTTATCCATATTATGGTGTCATGTTTGACTTGATTTCATATCTGGCACACGTATTCTGTTGTGTGTTGGAGAGATTCCAGTATAGCTTGATCCAGTTAGAAAAGATGGCAGTAACTGTTCCGCCATTAAGTCTGACAACTTACGACAATGATGATCGTAATTCTCTGTTTGTTGTTTGTGTAACAAGCTTGGGCTACACGTGCAAACATGGTGAAAAAACTATTCTCCTGGACATAGGACTGGAGGTTTTAGGTTGGCGGTCATTGTTCCTTCCAGACTTTTCTCTCCGGGGGGGGGGGGGGGGGGGTCGGCAGACACTGATAAAAGTATGTTTCCTATATAAATTCCATTTAGTTCGGGTAGGGGGTGGGCGGTAGATGCCTGAAAGAAACTCTGTTGGTGGCCCTTACCTCAGTAAATGTGATTGTCAGTGATACCACCAATAATAATCCATTGTTTTTGTTTCTTCTTAATAGCTAGCTACTTTAAAGTTATAATTTATTTCGTCATCAATGTGGTAGTAATGGACTTTCTCCGCCGGCTGACACTAGGGTTGCCAGATACCTTTTCCGAAAATACTGGACACCTTTCCATCCTTCCCTTCTCAGGTATGCCGCAAAGCAGATGAAGGGGGGTAACAGAGTATTATTCATATACTTGTCCAGTATTTATATTTATTTTATCCTGGACAGTCTGCTCAAATACTGGACTGTCCAGTTCAAAACTGGACACCTGGCAACGCTAGCTGACACCAAATGAAAATATCTTAACATTTACGGTCAAAACTAGATCTATGTCTTGTACAGTTGAAATAAGAAAATAGTACGGAAGAGTAGTGATACCAAACCAAAAATTAAAAATTGTTTGGGGTGATTCTGGGAGACGTTAGAAAACAAGCTGCAAGCGCGCCTTACAGTCCCCTCTCTTCCTCTCTATCGCTATCACCGCCCCCCCCCCCCCCTCACATGGTCTGGTGAGCTGTGGTTCACGCTAAATATTTACAAAACAATCGTGGAGCCGGGTTTGGTGACGGCTATTAGGGGCAGATAATTTAGTTTGAAACGATTTTAAACTTAGAGGAGGTAACTAAGAGGAGGCTGCTTTCACGTGGGGGGGGGGGGGGGGGGTTTAGTGTATTAAAGCAAATATTTTCAGAGGCAGCATTGGTACTGTCGAATTCACAAATTATGAATTACTGAAAAGTAGAAAAAAAAAAACAACTAAATAGCGGCGTATGATACACCGCGGGTCGGCTCGTACTAACTATTCGCACTAATCATAGGATGCAAAATTAAAAAGACAAAACAGAAAATTTACTTTAAATAAACCGGGAGTGATCTCCCCTAAACTTTCTCGAATGTTTTTATATAAAATAACAGGGGATGGGAACTCGGGCTATAGACATGATTTTTAATCCATTTTAAATACTTAAAGTTTTAAAAATAGAATAAAATCTCGTAGACAAATTAATTGCACACCAAGTGAACGCCAAATAAAAAAGCGCATAATAGTGCGCAATATTATTATTACTTTTAAAATTTACATTAGTTTTTTGAGAAATCGGAAGTAGCGTAAAGTACTACTTCCATTCAACGGAAATGACTCAAAATTTAATAGAAGGTAGAGAATTAGATCTTTTACTTACGTATGAAATTTCATTTATCTATCTGAAATAGTACTCAAGTTATAGGCTTTTGAAAAATTCAAAGTAGGAAAAGTACCACTTCCGGTTATCGGAAATCGCTCAAAAGTTGATACGGATCTACGATTTTGATTAAATACTTATATATGAAATTTCATCAACCTAGCTGTAACGGTACTCAAGTTATCGTGTTTACACACGGACAGACAGACAGGCAGACAGACACACACACACACAGACACACAGACATACGGACAAGATTGCAAAATTATGTTTTTCCGTATCAGTGAGGTGTGAAACGTCGAGATTTGTAAAAATCTCGATTTTTTTTTTTGCACGATTACAAGACTTTCTCTATACTTCGTTTATACGAGAAAGTAAAAATCGAATAAAAAACAAATTGATTATAACTATCCGTTGCATTTATTGTTTAATTAGTTCTAATTACGAGTATGATTACACGACGTGAAGAATGATGATCTTGATAATTAGACAAAAAAACTAAGGTGATCTTCTGTTTAGGAAACCTTTTTATACGTTCTTGTACAGGAGACTCCGTCGTTTGCTGTCAGCGTCTGGCGGAGAGAAAAAAATTGTTAATTAATTAATTAATTACCAAGGTCTACACTTCATTATGGTTTTCTTCTAGAGATCTATAACATTCGTGTTTTTTTTTGTACTCGTGTTATCATCGATCTTTGGAGAAATTGTTTTTTGCTAATTAACTGAAGATCCGACGGGTGTTATAAATTCGGTAATGGCTAAGAAAATGTCCACGACTATGAAATGGCTTCACCAAATCTGCGCTATGTACGCAGCAGTGTTTCTTTCGGACATTATTCTCCCGGGGAGGGGGTCACTTACGATTTTACGGGGCGCCAAAATGGGTTTGAAAAACAAATTAAAATATCATTTTAGCTGCAGATTTGAATTATAAATATAACAAATAAATGGGGGGGGGGGGGGGGTGCAAATTGAAAGTTTGAGGGGGGGGGGGGGAGGGCAAATTGAAAGTTTGAGCGGAGTGCAAATCGAAATTTTGAGGGGGGGGGGGGGTGCAAATTGAAAAAGGTTGCTCCTGAGGGGGCGCCAAATTGAAGGTTTGTTTTGTACCCGGGCGCCGGGAAGGGTCCCTACGCCTCTGTATAGATTAGTTAACAATAATCCACTCCTTTTGCAGTATGTGTTTCCTTCAGTTATTTTTTTACCGGGCAATATCTGAAAGAAACTATAAAAATGTGATAATTGATTTGTTCGTAATAAACTCGTTATTTAATTAACGAATAAGTAGTAATGATGTATTTTCTGTAAAATACTCGGCTTCTCCCCCCCCCCCCCCTTCTCCCCCAGTACGTGACGCAAGTTAAAAGGATTCCATAATGTGTTTATTCGCCAGAAGGTTTTGACCGCGGGCTGAAACAGAACTGAACCGGACATATGGCGGGAAGCACGTTCGCTGCTAAAACATTTGTGTTAGGAACAAGAGAAACAGTTGTTTCAACAAAGAAGAGTTCCGCTGTTTGATTGATGGTCCAATCTGCATAAAAATATAGAAAGAAAAAAATATTTCTCTTGTTATGGAACATTCGTTTTTTTTTCTCTCGTTATTTTAGGAGGTTTACGCGAAAAAATAAACTAGCGACTGAATGAAATATTTTGTCGTTGGGATTAGTTATTTCAGTTGTATCGAGTGGAAGATATATGATGAAATGTCTAGGAGATGTAACAGACTTAACAAATAGTTCTAATAGTCAAAGTTGTGCAACAGACAGATAATTTAGCCAATAGGTAAAACTTTACATATTTGACAAAGAGGCATGTTTAATACTACAGACTCAAATGTTGTAACATGACCAACAGACTAGCTTAGTAAATAACCACATATACACATAACAAAGGTGTAGCATACAATTACAAGCATAACACTAGACCACATATACACATAACAAAGGTGTGGCAGGCAGGTATAAAAGTAGACTACATATACACATAACAAAGGTGTAGACTACATTTAACACTATACCACATATACACATAACAAAGGTGTAAGATATAGGTATGACACTAGACTCACCATCGTCAGTATATCCCCGTTGACCGTTCGAACATTTCTGGATTCGAATCCGTCTCCCTTTTGATTCTCCACCAGACTATCGCCCTCGAGACTGTAAACAGCCTGGTTTAAACAACAATTATGGTAATAAAGGGGCAGTCTGTTGTTAAGTCTACACTAGCCCATTTTAATTCTACTTATGTTTTTGTTTGCTAACGGTACAGTTTGATGAACATTAAAGCAAGCATCGTCGGTTTTAGGGGTGGTTTGTGAGAGAGGGCTGCCGCCTTACCTCCTCCCTAAAATAATTTAGGAATATTTAATGGGACAATATGGCCTATAACAAAACAAATCTAAGGATATTTGTGGTTTTTATATTTTGTATCATCATTTCTTATTTATTGCTGTATTTTCAATTACATGAATTCGCGCCCACACCAAACTTTCAAACTAATCGGCCTCTGATAATTACACGACGTCGTTTGTAGTGTATTTGTGAATTACAAAATCCCTTAATGAACTATGAACCCAACAGCAGTGTTTTCAACAACATTTCCCAAAATGCCACACAACAGGAAGTTGACACCCACCGTGACCTTTCTGCCGTCCAGCGTGAACACCTCTGTGGGAGTCCCCTCCGTGTAGACGTCAGCCTTCTCGCCCTCCTTGGTCACCACGCCGACCGTCCACTTGGTCCCGTCTCGCGAGATGCTCTGGACCAGCTTGGACCCGGCAGTTAACGCCGTCTTGGCTAGCTGCCTCTTTTCTTCACTCACGCCTGGGTAAGGAAGATGTAAACATGGGCAAGTCAAGTGAGGTGGTGGAGTAGACACGGTGCATGTGGTGAGTGAAGCAAGGTGGTTGGCACGTGAAGAATCTATTTGTATTTTATAGCATTATAACATCACGTGGATGTATTACAACGACGGTGAGTGAGAGACTCAATACAAAAAAAAAAAGAAGAAGAAAAAAGAGAGAGGAGGTGCATGTTTAGTTGTTTTATTTTTTTAAATTGATTCTCGAAACTGCCTTGTTAAACGCTGGAGTGAATGAATGACACGACAAGTTTATACATTTTGAAACAGGTGCACATGCAATGCTTTTAAAAGTACACTTGCGATTTCTTATGTATAAAGTCGGGGGGGGGGGGGGGGATAGAATTAGCAAGCACTCAGCTCGTAGTTTATTTTGTTGGGCCAGACCTAATGGCTATGATGAAAGCCCAGAACGTTGATCTGACTAGGCATTTGTTGGTAGCGTTGCTACCACGTGTGGCGTTGCAACTACATCTAGGGAAGCTACCAGATGTAGCGTTGATACCCGATGTGGCGTTGATACCACATCTAGGCTTGCAACCACACGTGGAGTTGTAATGTCTCGTTGGAACCATATGCGATAGCAGCAACAGAAAAGCGACATTTTTTCAACACCCGAGAATGACGTACGATTTCTCGCCACTCACATATTTATATTTCTGAAAGCTTCATTGCGCATGTAGGTGGGGCGATAGGAGAGGGTCTGATATTTAGTTATGAGATGGAAAGGTGAAGAGGTAATAATTATCTAAATGCCTTGGCGTCATTTCTTTGAGAAATGACTATGGGCGTTTTGCAATGATGGCCTGATGCACCATATAGCGAAAGTTAAATTTCCATATACATGAGCGTCTCCTGTAAGATACTAAAACCATTATTAAGGTTTGTAAATATTGTTAAGGCTGAAGACTATTTAATATATAATAATTACTTTTCTACAATAAGTTTTGGCTATTCTTCCCGTCCTGATAGAATAAACTCTGCCAGAACAAAATGTAATAAAGTTGGTCAAAGTAAATTTGTGGGCAGAGCGAAGTGTGGATATAAAAACATTATCGTACACATTATTATGTAACAGTTGTATGGAAACAATGTCGGTTATTATAAAGCTAGCATTAGCGCTACAACACACATCTCATATAATGAGGCAATTAGCTTTTATTAGGGACGAGGGATTAGGGCTCATGGCTGAAGGCACATCTGTGATCAATGATCAGCTTGTATTACATAATTAAAATAAAACAGATGGCTTTGTGTGGGATCAATACGGTTCAAATTAGATCAAGGTCTGAGAAATCTGGCATTAAAAGATTGAAACATTTTGTCGCATTACCTATTACTGATGATCCTAAATCGCATCATATATAAAAAAAACGAATATACTGGGTGACCCTCCACCACATACGATAGGCGGCCATCTACCACATCACATACAACAGAAGACCATCTCGCATCGTATGTAGCGTCGTATATGACAGTTGATGTGTATTTTATTTTTTGCCACAAATGAAATTTGGTTTCTATTACAACATTGCTGAACTGAGCGTTGCAGATGCTATTACGGTAGAAAAAATGAGGGAAAGATTGAGCCTGCCTACAGCGGGCCACCATTTAAAATATGCTACGTTAAATGTTCTTCAGCAGGAAACTGAAGTATAGTATGGACACTTTTTGACTGCAGGTATCGCTGTTAAGGTTAGAGCTTCTGTTACGGCCAGGGTTAACGTAGCGATACCAGATAAAAGTACTAATATAATTTTGATTGCTCTTGAGGAGATTCATATTTTTTAACCCTTCCCCGTTTTTTTTCCCAAGATAATGTAATTTTTTTTTCAATAACCCCCTTTTCTAACATGTTTTTCATACTAAAAAACGAAATGTTAAATTGTATGCGATGAGATACGGTATTTCTTGCCCCCCCCCCCCCCCCCCCCCTACTTTATAGAAATTGTTAAACACACTTTATCACCTAAGCCAGTATACCCCAGTCTAGCATAGATAGAATCAAGACGTCATTTACTGACGTGCTCTAAGGAAAGGGATATTGCTAATTCAAGTAGATCCACGTGAAACTGTTGTAAAAAAAAATAAACACATTAAAGTACTATTCAGCAAGTTTCCGGATTTCGCCCGTTACAATTTCATGCACAGAACTGCTAAAGCAGAACCCTAGTCGACCACCCAAACCAAATTCCCAAAACATTTCTAAAAAAAAAAATTGAAAATAAATCTAATTCCTCCCCAATACCCAACCCGACCAATCAAAATGTGTTCCCCACACCACGTGACCACTCACCCACACTCTCCATGTACTTGAAGAAGTTGTCGTCACTCCCCACCAGCTCCCACTTGCCACAGAACTGGGCCATGATGCTCTGGTCTCACGTCTCGAACAGCCTGCCACACGAGAGGGATGGAACAATTGGACAATTGAGTTAGGGGTCACAAGGTGCTGAGATCATAGTGAAAGTTGGGATGTTCACGTATAGCTTTGATGTAGATCATTGGGTTATGTTGCAGAATATAGGCCAACACACATAGATAAACACATGTTTAAAATGCATTATATATATATATATATATATATATATATATATATATATATATATATATATATATATATATATATATATATATATATATATATAAATATATATATATATATATATATATATATATATATATATATATATATATATATATATATAATAAAATAAATATATAAAAATACATATATATATCATATGTATGCTTATATATAAAATGAATAAATATATAAACACATTTATGTTATATATATATATATATATATATATATATATATATATATATATATATATATATATATATATATATATATATGTATATATATAAGTGTGGGTGTGTAGTATTAAAAGACATTATCTCGAAATCTGTTTTAAAAACTAATTATAGTAAACCTTAAATTAGATGTCTCGGCTTTAATTAGTTTCCAAATGAACTTTTAAAATGTAAAAAAAAAATAATTGGAAAAAAAATTATATTAAAGTAATTACACGTATGCCTATGCTTTTATTTGTTCTCTCTCTCTCTCTCTCTCTCTCTCTCTCTCTCTCTCTCTCTCTCTCTCTCTCTCTCTCCTCTCCCCCCTCCGACCCCGCCCCTGTAATGAGAACACTAATCACTACTTTAAACTTTTTAAGTTCGATATTCAGTTGGGCTGAGATAATTACTTTTTGAATACCACGTACTCCACAGGACGGCTGAAGGTGTTGTGTTTCATCTTGTAAGGGACAAAAAAAAATTTAATGAAATAGTACTGGGGTTAGAAGTCATAATTATGGTTATAAATCATGGATGTATCTGTAACTTGACATAAAACTGATAATTAGGAAACGAAAGCCAAGTATCCGGTTTTTTGTTTAGCTGAGGTGAAGATATTAGATGATGAGTTACGGTTCCTGGGCTAGAGTTACCGTTCATTGTTTATGAAGTAAGACCGCGAGAGCCAATTGTAGGGCGGTATTGTTTGTTTAGGTTCTGCCGTGTGTTTGTTCCAGCATTTGATGATGCTGTAGAGCTGGTATGTGTGTGTGTGTGTGTGTGTGTGTGCGTGGGCGAGTGTATGTGAGTCTGTGTGTGTTGGAGAGTGTGGATGTTACGGTGTGTATGTGTCTGCATGTGAGAGTGTATTAAAAAACATTTACCGAGAAAAAAGAAACGATGCAAAGTCTAAGCTTGCACTAAGTAGCCTAACTGCAAACAGCCTTGTTTTTCTATGGGATATTTAGTCATAGAGCATTACCAGAGGCGTCACAAAGAGGGGCGGGATGTGGTTGGTGGGTTTCAAACGCACCAGGTGACACCACCCAAGAGGGTGACACCAAAATAAAATATAATAAACAATTTTAATACAATAAGGTCTGCATATTCCAGTTAACTTAATGCCTTTTTTAAGACTGAACACAGCCCGGTTGACATAAAATTCCCTATAGTTTTAGTATATCATATGTTTAGTGGTTGGCGGAGGGGGACAGTCTGGGTTACCAACAAAGGGTGTCACCCACCAAGTGACGCCACTGGGTATGACTTTTTATAGAAAGGAGTGGCTCGGGTGAGAGTGTGACATCGCAAACAGCTGAAAGTAAAGACTCTCCTATAGAATTAATCAATCATATTGAATCTTCAGTTGACTAAAACAATAGTGACGAATAGAGAGTTTTATCCTATATATATATATATATATATATATATATATATATATATATATATATATATATATATATATATATATATATATATATATATATAATACAAATGTAGAGACAGCCATTTAAAGACCGCCTGTTTTTTATTTAAAAATTGTTAAAGCCTGGTTTTAGACATTTAGCAAAAAAAAAAAAAAAAAAAAATATCAACATCAGGATGTGATGAGAAGGGGAGATAAATGCGACTGAGTGGTCTGCATTTTTCAGCGTTACTATCTTTTCTAAATTTACACTAGCTTTTTAAATCGTTACTCCTGCATATTTCAAGCTAAAGGTTAACATTTTAGAGCTTTATGTCTAAGTTTGTAATATTTTAATTCAGTTTTAAAATCAGAAACTCTACCTCAGCATACTACGTCTCCAAATCCTGACAGTTACTTATTTGACAAACAACTAGTACTAAATATTCTATGTGTATTGTTGAGCCTCAGTTCATTAGAAAATCATTCCCTTATGCTCTTTATTTTGACATATCACCTGACGATTTCGTGTATGATTTAGGTATCTGATGCAACTAGTTGAACAAGGGAAGCTACTGTTTGTACGTTAGCGTCCTCTATATTGAGAAACCGAGAGGTGCCGGAAAAGTAAAAAGGAACTGAGTATGTCTCAGAACAAAATTATGTACCGGCCCTCTATTTAGATGTAGAAGAAGGGGAAGGCGTGGTCGGATGGTAGAGCATACGACTACTGACCTGAAAGTCTCGAGTTCAAATAGCAGGTTCTAAACAGCAGCACGTCCCTGAGCCTCCCCCCCCCTCCCAGCTCTGAAGTGTACCTAAGACACATTATGGAAACAAAGGTGGCTGATAATAGCGCTTACCACACTAAATCTTCTAATACCGAGGTTACTGCAACTCTATTTCACTTGCCACATAGACCGTCAGATTTAAAAAAAAATTACTTTACATACAACAGGGAGGTACCGAGAAAGTCAAAAGGTAAAGTCTAAAATAAATATGGCGAGCACGCTGTCAGGAACAAATTATAATCTTTAATGTAGTTTACCTGCAGTTTTTTTAGTAATCAACACAGAGGTCAGAGAAGCGCAAAGGTGGGCTGGGGTTATTTATTTATAAGTCCCGCGTAAAACAGCAGCGGTAGGAGGTAAAAACAGATGGCCTCGTTGGGAGGCGGGAGGTTAAAATAAGAGCCAAAATTAGTGGGGCAAAACTGCAAAACAGATTGCTGTTTAGGGAGTTAAAACAAGAGCCAATTTAGTGGATTAAAATATACGAGCCGGCCCGCGGCATAACATACGCCGCTATTTAGTTGTTTCTAATTTTCAATAATTCATAATTTGTGAATTCGACAGTACCAACGCTGACACTGAAAATATTTCTTTAAAACACTATAAGTAGCTCGTTAAGGACCATAACCCCCCCTTCCTTCCCCCCCCTCCCCCCCCCCCCTACGTTTAAAATCGTTGGCTCTGCTTGTAAACATTTAGAGGGAACACAGCTCACTAAAACCATGTAGGGGTGGGGAGGTAGGGAGAGCGTTTGCAGCTTGTTTTCTAACGGCTCGAAGAAGAGAATTATATATATAGATTGCCATCTGGTGTGTTAAAACATTGGCCACTTATTGGATTAAAACAAGAGCCAATTTAGTGTGTTAAAATATATTTCCATTTAGTAAGTTAAATAGATATCCTTAATGTGGGTGAAATCAGTTGTTTGCTAAACTGATCATGTAATATTTAAAGTAGGCAACCCGACATGTGTTCAAAATGACCATATCAGTATTGAAAATAGAAGGCTTCATAAAAGGTAAAATACTAATGTTGCGGAGAAGGCTATGACGTCATTTTAAAAAAAGACAATCTTGTAAAATAATTTAAAATAAATAAATGCAAAAACATATTATAATTTATGCAAAACAAGAAATTTAAATAGTTTAGTTTGTCACTGGATGCACTTTTGCACTTAAGACAGAGAGGTGGCTTGTCGGTGTCAGAAAAGACTGATAATCACATTCCATACACCACATCACACACCGCACATCCCACACCACACCCCACACATTCCAAACCACCCCACACAGCCCACACCACACATCCCACACCACATTCCATATCCCACACAACACAACACACATTCCAAAAATTCCACACTACACATCGCACACTACAGATCCCACATCTCACACCACACATCCCGCTACAAGAAGAAAACGAATTAAAGCACTAAGCTTAAAGTAATTTGATCGCCCCTTTCTTAACTTCTACAGCCTCCATTTGTATCCGCATTGTATACACATATCTAACATACCATCGTACCATGACGACAACATCGGCAGTAGACACTTGTAACTTCAGCTTCTTAAGTATGTCACAGTAAAAAATACGACAATTTTTGTAGGTTATTTGTGTACGTAAGAGAAGGTTAGTCGGCCACACTGAGACATTAGAGACATTGCGTTCTAAGCTAACTGTATATATATATATATATATATATATATATATATATATATATATATATATATATATATATATATATATATATATATATATATACGTACACATATATAGGCACTATATATATATACCTACATATATACACCCATACTCATACACAAACACACATATGTATATATAAGTCTATTTATACATACTATGCAACCTAAAAACGGTCACAAGCTATTGAATGGCTATTTTTATGTCGTTAGTAATTGTTTTTCGTGATTATTCGCACGCCTATCAGAATGTACCTAAATCATTGATAGCTTTCAACAAAAAAAGTCTATTTAATCTACTCACAACACCATCACTTACTCAAACAAAATGCTGTATCAGTTAAATCCTGCTCGACTCAGTCGTTGTCCGTATGACGTTGTATCGTCTGCGCGCTTGTGGTGACTGGATGGAAAACAACGTCAGCGCGTGCGATGCGCTATTTTTATACCATTCTGCGCAGAACCGGATGTTGTGAATTAGACGCGCGTGCGGCAAGACAAGCGTTGACACACGCGGAACAAGTTGCTCGTCATTGCAGAGTATGTGGTTGCTGGGATTGTCTTTGGGATGAAGGGTTGGGATATAAATGTTGGTGGGATTGTCTTTGGGATGTAGGATTGGGATATAAATGTTGGTGGGATTGTCTTTGGGATGTAGGATTGGGATATAAATGTTGGTGGGATTGTCTTTGGGATGTAGGATTGGGATATAAATGTTGGTGGGATTGTCTTTGGGATGTAGGGTTGTGATGGTGCTATTGGTGGGATTGTCTTTGTGATGTAGGATTGGGATAGCGCTATTGGTTGGATCGTCGTTGGGATAAAGAGTGTTGAAGAAAAGTTGGTGGGATTGTCTTTGGGATGAAGGATTGTGATGGAGCAGTTGGTGGGATTGTCTTTAGGATGTAAGTTGGGATATAAATGTTGGTGGGATTGTCTTTGGGATGTAGGATTGGGATATAAATATTGGTGGATTGTATTTGGGATAAGGATTGTGGAAGAAAAGTTAGTGGGATTGTCTTCGGGATGTAATTTGGGATAGAAAAGTTGGTGGTATTGACTTTGGGATGTAGGATTGGGATATAAATGTTGGTGAGATTGTCGTTAGGATAAATGATTTGATATTGACTTTGGGATGTAGGACTGTGATAGTGAACTTAGTGGGTTGTCTATAGGTCGTAGGATTGTATGATACAATCTTTCAGTAACAAACTGACTTAAAACTTGGCTTTACATCACTACAAAATGCCCTAAAAACTGGACTTAAAATAAACTAAACGGTACCTTATGTCTAGTAATTTGTAGTTACTGTCAAATTTTCAAAAAATATTATCTATATTACAAATTGGACTTAAAAACTATTCTCTACATTATAAATTTATACTAAAAACTATACCACAAATTAACAAAATTAACAGTACTATAAGTCGACCAAAAACAATATTGTTTTTCACTAAGTAGCTGAAACCCTATATTCACTGTGTGTACGACAATTTGGGATACCGATACCCTGTTCGATAACTCACCAAATTCGATCAAGTTTCCTGTCAGTTACAACCTAACACGTCTACTTCATTAACTAGAACAAAAAGATTTTAAAACAAACGTTGTTTAAGCCTTTCACCACATTGATCAGAGACAAGGATGATATACATTCCTATGTTAATGTATTCTAATTTATGAGCGAGTGAACTTAATCTATTTTACTAAAGCTCTGAAGCATACGAGTAAAGATCGGACAGATATTTTTGATGTATCTGACTTTATCTATTTCATCTACAGCTATAGATCGCGCACACATCCCACACAGAGCTTCACAATATTTTCTATTCAATGCAATTTTCTATTTACTTCTGTTGTATGAATGATTGGAAGCTGTCAGCAGCACTAACACGATGAGAAGGGGGAGGGGGTGCAACACGGTGAGTTACTGCAACGCGACACCCCCACCTTGTGACGTCACACGAAAATTTTTCAGTATCTCCACAATGAGGAGAGAGGGATGTAACACATTGAGTTACACACCGTGTGACGCCCCACCTAGTGACTCCCCAATTAGTGACGCCCCACGTAATGACACCCCACATAGTTACACCCCTCCTAGTGAAGCCCCATCTAGTGATGTTCCCACCCAGTGACCCACCACGTAGTGACGCCCAACCTAGTAACACCCCACCTAGTGGTACCCCAACTTGTGGCACCCCGGCTTAGTGACACCCTACCTAGTGACACCCCGCCTAGTGACACCCTATCTAGTGACACCCCACCTAGTGACACCCTACCTAGTGACACCCCGCCTAGTGACACCCTATCTAGTGACACCCCACCTAGTGACGCCCTACCTAGTGACACCCCGCCTAGTGACACCCCACCTAGTGACACCCCACCTAGTGACACCCTACCTAGTGACACCCCGCCTAGTGACACCCTATCTAGTGACACCCCACCTAGTGACGCCCTACCTAGTGACACCCCGCCTAGTGACACCCCACCTAGTGACACCCCACCTAGTAACGCTCCACTTAGTGATGCCACTTGAAAAATGTCAGTAGCGCCACTATGAGGAGAGGGGGTGGGGGATGCAACACCCTGAATCACCTTGTGCCGCCCCAACTAGTGACACCCCACGTAGTGATATCCCACCTAGTGACACCCTACAAAGTCGCACACACCTGTGACACCCCACCTAGTGACACCCTACAAAGTCGCACACACCTGTGACACCCCACCTAGTGACACCCTACAAAGTCGCACACACCTGTGACACCCCACCTAGTGACACCCTACAAAGTCGCACACACCTGTGACACCCCACCTAGTGACACCCTACAAAGTCGCACACACCTGTGACACCCCACCTAGTGACAACCAGTCTAGTGACACCTAACCTAGTGACAACCAGTCTAGTGACACCCCGCATTGTGACCCCCCCCCCCCCCTCGCGACACCCCAACTATTCACACCCCACCAAGTTGCGCCCCACCTTCTGCCGCCTCAACTAGTGGCCGTACACCTACTGACACACACCTAGTGACCCTCACCTAGTGATTTCTACCTAGTGACGCCCCACCAAGTGTTACACCTTGAAAACGTTTAGTAGCTCGACGATGAGGAGGGGGTGGAGATGCAATATCGCAGCATGAGACACCCCACCTAGTGACGCCACTAGGAAACTGGTCGCTTTTGTAAAAGGCGTCAAGAATTAACAGGTTGGTACAGCAATCGCGCACAGGTACCCCACCAAGTCCTAAAGGTGTGTCTCAGGGGAGAATTTTAACAGTCTGATACATCTTACAGCCCAACCGAATCGGACAGATTATAGTTTATGTTTTCTTTAAAAATGCTAACCTGTTTCAGGAAACCATAGCACCAGCTTACAAAGACAAAAAAAAACCCACCTGACATTTGAAACTGTTTATAATCAGAATAATCTAATCACATCACCGTTCCTCGCGTCTTCTAAAAATAGATTTTTTATCAGCGGTTTAGATGTCTATGTACCTCTATAAAATGATAACACATTTTTGAATCTAGACATATTTATATAGAATATAAAATTAAGTTATGTAAAGAATTAAAATACCCAAAAGAAAGAACAAGCCGATATAGAAGAAAATGATGATGATGTAAAATAGACCCTGGGGTTATAGTTATGTTGATAATTTTGGGCATCGATGTAAAACTCGAGTACTGTATCATATTACACAAACACACACACATACACATACATTATATATAAATATATATATATATATATATATATATATATATATATATATATATATATATATATATATATATATATATAAGGTATCGCACCTGGCGCCAATATGTATAGATATACCACCGTCTTTGAAACCATCTTAAAGAACTGATTAAAAGAATTATAAAATGCTTGTAAATCTCCAACCAGCCAATCCTGAGTTATAAAAGTCAAGCCCCAGCCCGGCCGAGGTTCGCACTCTGTCAGGTGTTTGTTATTACAAGACAGGTAAGGTGAATTCGATTGAACTCACCTATGTTATTCAGGCCGTCGACCCAGCTAGGGGAGATGGGGCGAGGGGAGGGGGGTCTTTGTATAAATTTGTTTAAGATACCGGAGCAGGCTGGCACTGAAAGCTATTTCACCATGTTGGTATCAGAACATTTTTTTTTTCACGATAAGATTCTTCTTGGTGCGTTGTGATCTGTTTTTCTTCTTTTCGTTGTTTAGAATAACCAAATTCACTGTGTTCCTGTGTTTTTAATCTCCCGTGTTACATTACAGTATTGTTTGTTTCGTTAATACCCCAATACAAACAGGTTGGTGGAGGATGACGATGGCAGAACTCAGCTAGTACAACACAAATGTGAGATGGAAACTTTCTCGCTCTGGACAGAGAATGGGGGCGGCGTGGTCGAATAGGTAAAGCTCATTGCTGTTAAACCGAAAAGTTCTTGGTTGGACAAAGGCTATGGAAGTAAATCCAAAAAGAAAAGCAGGCTGAAATCGGAGTCAACATCCTCAATGGGGTATAACCTTTTGATACGTATTCTTAATTGTGATGGAGGCGTGGTCGAGTCGGCAAAAAAGCTCATGGTTGATAAATTCGAAAAAAGTCTCGAGTTCAAACCCTCTGGCAGATAAGGCTCGATCCCTTCCAACACTAAAAATTAAGAACGAAGAAGAAGAAGAGGACAGAGAAAAAACTAAAGAGGTCTCGACATAGTGCTGACCACAATATCCACTCGCATGCCGGGGGCAAAGAAACCGATGAACTCTACTCCACCTGAAACATAACCCTAAGGAACTTAACTTTATATTTAAAAATATACGCATTAGACTTTAATGTGAAATGTATTTTTGTTTTAAAATAAAAATCAGGCCATCATTTATGTTAGCCCAGGCAAAAAAAAAAAAAAAAAACAACCCCGAAAAAAGTGCACTGTCAGAAATATTTCCTTCACATCTGAAAGCCCCCTGATAAATATGGCACCCCGCGTGGGTAATGGCGCACGATTAGTTCTGCCCGCTTGAAGAAGATATCTACACGCAGACCTGACGTCAACTCATTAAGGCACCAGTCATCAGAGCAAACACGCGCCTCGATGCCTACCTGTAATTATTGCCCATCAAACTCTAAGACAACAGATATCAAACACAGCAGGACTAAAGTACACACACACACACACACGCACACGCACGCACACACAGACACACACACACGCACGCACACACACACACACACGCACATACACATTTTTATTACAGCTTTTTCGGTGAACGTTAACAAAAAAAAAATGGAGTTTATTATGATGGTGTACAAATAAACGAATAAAACAAAAAAATGACAGATTTAGGAAGGTAGGAAAAACATGCAAGTTTTGGATGAGCAGTAAAACAAAAAGTAAATTTACAGAACTTTTTTTTATTGGTGATCCAGGTATGAAATACGATTCCTGTATAAACAGGGCAATAAAAGAAAGAAAAAAAACTCCTCAGAAATATTAGTTTCGCATTTTTTATAAAAGATAGAATTGCGAGTTCAATATGACACTGTAGAGAAAGCTTCTAAAAATAGCCATAACATCAAACCAAAGCACTCAGCTCTTGTTTATAAACAATTCCTTTATTCCTAGTTAAAACAAAAATGGTTGAACGCGATTAAAGTCTGGCATCAGCCCGTCCATTTTGAGGATTAGCCCCCCTTTAAAGGATCGCCCACCTTTAAAGGATTTTTACTCCGCACATTTAATGTATTGTTCCACCACCCTTAAAGGATCCCTCCCCCAAAGGATCGTCTCCCTTAAAGGACCGTCTCCACCCCACCCCCCACCTTCCGTTCCCCCCTCCCCATTTATAGATTGTTTCATCCTAAAAGAATAGTCCACCCTTAAATGATCGTCTCGCCTCAAAGGACTCTCTCCATCTCTCCTCCCCGTAAAGGATCGTCACCCCCCCCCCCCTCTATAAAGAATAATCTCCTCTTAAATGATCGCCTCCCCTGCTTAAAACAAAATCGTCTCCCCCTTGAAGAAATCTCTCCCCCCCCCCCCTCCTTTTATTGACATCTGACATTTGATGGTTGCCAAGGTAAAGGTGGGGGCCGGGCTAGTGAGCCGGGGAATAAAACATCAGACGGAGACACACGCGCGCCCCCGGCACCCCACAACAACATAGACATATGGTCGCCCCTGGCACCCCACAACACAGGTACAGGGGGTGTGTTGACCTGCTGTCTTGACCTGTCGGGTCACCTCGACCTCCGTGAGTTCATGACCTGTTATCGCATCTCATCGCTGTAATACCTTACTCAACACATCCATTTCCTGTCTGCCTTTAACACTTGAGGTTGATCCGGCGTACTTTTATATTCATTCATCGTGGGTCTCTAACCATTCAACATTTAATACCTAATTTTGTTCAATGGCGAATAATCCCAGGGGATAAATTCACCTACAAAATATCTCAGCGACAAAAAAATCTCAGGTCAAAATAACCCAAGAGAAAGATGGGGAAGAACGTTTCATTTTATATAGTGTCCATTTGTTCTGATTATTTTTTTAATTAAAAAAAAAACAACAACAAAAAAAAAAAAAAAAGAAACCGTATCACAAAAAGAACTTCATTCATCTGAATAATACATATGTTAAAATATTGTGGTAAGTGGGCTGAAATAATGGCAAGTTAGCTGGCTTAAAATGACAAGACTATCCATAATTCAATAGGTCTATCCATGATTCAATAGGTTTATCTAGGATTCAATAGGTCTACCCATAATTCAAGAGGTCTACCCATGATTCAGTAGGTCTACCCATAATTCACTAGGTCTACCCATAATTCAATAGGTCTATCCATCTTCTTCTTCTTCTTCGTTCTTAATTATTAGTGTTGAAGGGGATCGAGATTTATCTGCCAGTGGGTTCGAATTTATCAACCTTGAGCTTTTTGCCGACTCGACCACGCCTCCAACACAAATTAAGCGTTACGTGTCAACTGTTTATGCGCCATTGAGGCCATTGACTCCGAGGTCTATCCATGATTCAATAGGTTTATCTATGATTCAATAGGTCTACCCATAATTCAATAGGCCTACCCATGATTCAATAGGTCTACCCATAAGTCAATAGGTCTATCCATGATTCAATAGGTCTACCCTTGACTCAATAAGTCAATCCTTATTTAATCGGTAAATCCTTGATTCAATAGGTTTATCGTTGATTGTATAAGTCTGTCCTTAAATCAACAGTTTTATTGATTGAATAAGTCTATTCTTGATTCAGTAGGTCTATCCATCATTTAATGTCAACTCTTGTTTGAGAAGGTCTATCCTTAATTCACTATATTTTGTTTCAAACGTTTAGAAAACATGTTGATGTTACAGAAAAAAACAACGGACAAGTTATTTGGCAGCAAATAGGCTAAGTCCCGAGTGTGCAGGATAAAAAAAAGTGATTTAAATTGTTGATGAGTTGCTGACACATTCCCATGTTGCTTCACTCCTCAACCTGCCGCAGAACGAGGTGCATTATGTGCAATACTCACCCACGTCAATCACACGGCAGGACAAAGGTTAAGGGGTGGAATAACAGGTGATGGTGTAGTCGATGTGTGTGGGATGAAAATGTTGTTGTGTTTTCTCTCTCTCTCTCTCTCTCTCTGTGTGTGTGTGTGTGTGTGTGTGTGTGTGTGTGTGTGTGTGTGTGTGTGTGTGTGTGTGTGTGTGTGGAAGTATGCTTCGGTGTAGGTACAATGGTATTTGTATGTGTGTAGGTACTTTATATGTGTGTGGTTAAATGGTGTGGGGTTCTTTACTTCGTGTGTGGCTGTGTGTTTGGTTATGTTCACATTTTGTGTGGTTTAAGATGTTTTCTTATTTTTACTATGTGTGGTTAAAAATGTGATGTTATTTACTACGGGTGTATAAGGTTAAAGGTGTTGGGTTATTTACTAAGTGTGTGTGTGTGGTTAATGGTGTTTTTTTTACTGTGTGTGTGTGTGGTTGAAATTATTTGTTTATTTACGTTGTGTGTGTGCGGTTAAAAGTGTTTAGTTATTTACTTCGTGTGTGTGAGATATTTGCTGTGTGGTTAAAAATGTTGGGTTATTTATTAAGTTTGTGTGCATTATTTACTATGTGTGAGGTTAAAGGAGTTAAGATAATTACTAAGTGTGAGTGTGGTTAAAAGTGTTGAGTTATTTACTACATGTGTGTGTCAACATCTAATTATCTTATTTGTGTGGTTGTAAATATGATGATATTTTGTGTGTGTGTGAGTGTAGCAAGCGTGTATGTGGTTATGGAAGTGCTGACTTTATGTGCAGATGTGGAACACATATGGCAACACATTAAACAACACAGATGAAACCGACGACAAAACTCATGCCTAAATATAACACAGCCCTGTTTTATCCACCCGAAACAGCAGAGCGAGACGTAAACATTAGGTGCACCATGCTACACGGGAATCACGTGTCTCATGACTCAACGTGCTGCAACAACAAACAGTAAACACCCCCACCCCTCAGCCACCCCCACCCCTCAGACACCCCCACCCCTCAGCCACCCCCACCCCTCAGCCACCCCCACCCCTCAGCCACCCCCACCCCACCGTGCTCCCACTTTGATGGCAAAAAGCTTTGGTTTTATCCAATTAGTCAGTTTAGTCAAAATTTTATGCGTTTATTTTCGTTAATTAGTAGCAAAATGAGTTCATGAAAAACAAATTATAAATAGACTACGTGTATTTTTACTTTTTTTTCCCAACATTATTTTCTCAGCCAAATGTGTCTGTTACTTTTTTTATATTAAAAAAAAAGATTCACAAATTAAATTTACAGATGAGAAGTTTTTAGAACATTGAAGAATAGTATCTTTTTAGCAGATAACGTTTTTAAATTCAGATTATTAATAACAGAAAACTCTACATCAATTTTTATTTTATTTTAAAAAAATATTTTATATTAGTTTTTAACATTTGAAAGGGAGGGAGCAATTTTCATTTTGAGAGATCAACTCACACTGTTATTAGTGTTATATTGTAATTCTACCATAATTAAAAAGTTAATGAGACAGGCTATTATGGAGGAAGCGACACAGACTTGCCATTTCGTTTCGAGCCCATGCCATCAAATATTCATTGGTTGTGGCTCGTCATTGCCCTTTAACAGATCATTGCTCACTTTAATTAGCAAATAAAATGACAACTATAGCTACCCCCCCCCCCCCTCCTACTCCCCTAACCTAGCCCTATAAAAACTACTAGGCCACTAGTCTATTTTGTACCGATCTAACTATTAAACTATCACTTTAGTGATCACATTAAAATATTGTTTCTTTTTTGCCATTAATTAATTTAATTTCAGCGAATAATCCTATGCACAGATTTTCAGTTTGTAGTTTAAAAAAAACAAATTTGATCTTACAAGAGTTTTAAGATTGTGGTAAGCATGCACAAAGTACAACATTGTACACATTTACAGAAGTAGATTTAGTGTATTTGTCATTCGGAGTGTTTAATTTTATAATTTAAATTTAGCAACAATAATATTCAAAAATATTTTCGTTGGTCATTCTAACTAAAACAAATTCTCTCATACACAAAAAAATATACGCATAAATCTGAGTGAGTGGTATAGTTAGGGACAGTTAGGGTATGAGAAAAGGGCATGGTTGCAATTTTTTCTTCTAAATTAGTTTTGAAGAAGGCGTTGAAAAAAATAAATTGTTTTTTGTGTGGATTATGGATGTGCATGTTTATGTGTGTGATAAAATCTAAAATAGTTAAAAATAAATAACAAAACAAAAGTTACTTGTTTCGTTTCTTTAATGAGAATCATTTTTGATGGAAAGGACAACTATGATGTCAATCGAAGTTGGTTCTATATTTAAACCGTGAACACGTGACCGGGTTGTTGTGCTCCTCACAGCTACATCCGGTCCAGAACCACTTCTCTCTGCCCCAGTCCCTGACGTCAACCATCCTGACGCTGTGGTCAACCCACGGGTCTGTGGTCAGCATGTACAGCGGGTTGTACCCGGGGCAGGGCTGGATGTCTGGAAGAGAAGGGGTGGGGGTGAGTAGTGGGGTCATACATCTGCTAGGGGGGTGGGGAGTAGTGGTGTCATAAATCTGCTAGGGGGGTGGGGTGAGTAGTGGTGTCATAAATCTGCTAGGGGGTGGGGGGAGTAGTGGTGTCATACATCTGCTAGGGGGTGGGGGGAGTAGTAGGGTCATACATCTGCTAGGGGGGGTGGGGTGAGTAGTGGTGTCATAAATCTGCTAAGGAAAGGGGGGTGGAGTGAGTAGTGGGGTCATAAATCTGCTAGGGGGGTGGGGTGAGTAGTGGGGTCATAAATCTGCTAGTGGGGGTGGGGTGAGTAGTGGGGTCATAAATCTGCTAGTGGGGATGTGGGGAGTAGTGGTGTCATAAATCTGCTAGGGGGGTGGGGGTGTAGTGGTGTCATAAATCTGCTAGTGGGGTGGGGTGAGTAGTGGTGTCATAAATCTGCTAAGGGGGGTGGGGTGAGTAGTGGGGTCATAAATCTGCTAGGGGGGTGGGGTGAGTAGTGGGGTCATAAATCTGCTAGTGGGGGTGGGGTGAGTAGTGGGGTCATAAATCTGCTAGTGGGGATGTGGGGAGTAGTGGTGTCATAAATCTGCTAGGGGGGTGGGGGTGTAGTGGTGTCATAAATCTGCTAGTGGGGTGGGGTGAGTAGTGGTGTCATAAATCTGCTAAGGGGGGTGGGGTGAGTAGTGGGGTCATAAATTTGCTAGTGGGGGGGGGGGGTGAGTAGTGGTGTCATAAATCTGCTAGGGGGTGGAGGGAGTAGTGGTGTCATAAATCTGCTAGGGGGGTGCGGTGAGTAGTGGTGTCATAAATCTGTTGGGGGGTGAGTAGTGGGGTCATAAATCTGCTAGTGGGGTGGGGGGGGGGTGAGTAGTGGTGTCATAAATCTGCTAGGGGGGTGGGGTGAGTAGTGGTGTCATAAATCTGCTAGTAGGGGGGGGGTGAGTAGTGGTGTCATAAATCTGCTAGGGGGGTGGGGTGAGTAGTGGGGTCATAAATCTGCTAGTGGGGGTGGGGTGAGTAGTGGGGCTAAAATCTGCTAGTGGGGGTGTGGGGAGTGGTGGTGTCATACATCTGCTAGGGGGTGGGGGGAGTAGTGGTGTCATAAATCTGTTAGGGGGGTGGGGGTGTAGTGGTGTCATAAATCTGCTAGTGGGGGGGGGGGTGAGTAGTGGTGTCATAAATCTGCTAGAGGGGTGGGGTGAGTAGTGGGGTCATAAATTTGCTAGTGGGGGGTGAGTAGTGGTGTCATAAATCTGCTAGGGGGGTGGAGGGAGTAGTGGTGTCATAAATCTGCTAGGGGGGTGGGGTGAGTAGTGGGGTCATAAATCTGTTGGGGGAGGGGTGAGTAGTGGGGTCATACATCTGCTAGAGGGTGGGGGGGCGCACCATGTGACACTATCCAATGAAAGGAGGGGGCACCAATACGGTATTAACTTGTTTTAATGAGAAAATCTGCTTTTCTAAGTTATTTTAATTATTTATGAATTCTATATACGTCGAGAGGCTATCTAGGAAGGGTGGCACCAAATTGCATGTAGTTTTAATAATGGATGGCCTGGCTGTATCCAAGATTTTTTTTTTCGTGTGTGGGTTTTTTCTTTAAAAACAAACAAACCAAATTCCTATTTGAAAGTAATTTGAGACTATATCATCAACAAAAATCGACATTTAATTTTTAAAAAAAGGGCGTTAAAAGGACTCCCAAATTACAGGATTATTTAGTTCCAGAAAGTATTATTTTCAACCAAAGTAGAATAAGATTTTTTTTTATCTGTCAAGCACGAATTTACTACCAATTTTATTTTTACATTTTTATTACAAGAAATCTGTCCAATACATGTTAGCCCCCAAAGCTTTTACTACTGTAGTTCAATAAGGGACATTTTGTTACTTTACTTTTATTCCTTTTTAAACTTGTGTTTTTTAAAATTAAAATGCAAAAGCGTTATACTTTTTAAAAAAAGTAAACATTTTTAAAAAATGCCAATATTTATAAATTAGCTGGTAGAGAGCTGGACTGCTAACCCGAAAGCCTCGAATTCGAATCTGAGTTCAAGTCAGTAGACCGTCCCTGAGTCCACCCAACTCTGATGGGTACCTAATTCACGTTGGGGAAATTAAAGACGGCTGTGCATAGCGCTGACCACACAATCCCTTCATATGCCGAGGTCACAGAAAAAGGTAAACTCTACTTCACTTGCCCCATAGAGCGTCAGGTTGGTATATACTTGTAGGTAATTTAGAAAACCAAGAACCACAAAACAACAACTAAAAACCGCTGTAAGTATACGCCCAAGATAAATAAGCCCTCATCTTACTGTAGTAGAGGGCTCTGTTCATCATGGTCATTGTTGCCGGGTTGTAGGCCTTGGGAAACGACTTGTCCACACAGTTGGCCACTTGTCGGATCTTTTCTTGGGCCTGCAGGGCTTCGATCCCGTCACTTACACCTAGGTTCTGAGGGGTGGGGCGGGGACATTAAAGTTAATCTAACATAATGTTCTGGGGGAGGGGGGTGTTTAGGAATTAAATGATGAGCTAACATGATGCAGTACCTTGTGTCCATCGCGTCTTTCACTCAGCCCTCACCCCCCCCTCTCAATCGCTAAACAAATGCATAAGCGAACACAGTCCCATTGTCTACAAAATGGACTGGTGGCATTTATGATGGTTTAGAACATATTTTATGTTAATTATGTGGGCGGATAAAACACGATACGTTTCTCAGCTAATTTGACTTTTTGTCTGTTTAACTCTCTGAAAGTTCGACCAAAGTTCACCAACCCACTCAGACTGCCCATGACAGTATGGTAACATTTCGACTCTCTGAAAGTTGGACCATAATTCATCAACTCAGACAGCCCAAGACAGTATGGTAACATTTCGACTCTCTGAAAGTTGGACCATAATTCATCAGCTCAGACAGTCCAAGACAGTATGGTAACATTTCGACTCTCTGAAAGTTTGACCATAGTTTATCAACTCAGACAGCCCAAGACGGTATGGTAACATTTCGACTCTCTGAAAGTTCGACCATAATTCATCAACTCAGACAGCCCAAGAAAGTATGGTAACATTTCGACTCTCTGAAAGTTTGACCATAATTCATCAACTCAGACTGCCCAAAACGGTATGGTGACATTTCGACTTTCTGAAAGTTCGACCATAGTTCATCAACTCAGACAGCCCAAGAAAGTATGGTAACATTTCGACTCTCTGAAAGTTGGACCATAATTCATCAACTCACTCAGACAGCCCAAGACGGTATGGTAACATTTCGACTCTCTGAAAGTTCGACCATAGTTCATCAACTCAGACAGCCAAAGCACTACTTCATACAGTATGGCAACTACCGTGTAAGATATGATTTGTTATTCTACGCGTTGGCTGTCTTGGATATACTTGTTGTCATTAGCCCCAAACATTGCGACTACCTCCTGATTACATGTCATCAGGTTTCGAGTCAACAAACATGAGTTAGAAATACAGGTGTTGCTATTTGCTAGGCTTGCGGATGATGTACTTTCTATGCGTGTGGTTAATATACTTTCCATGCGTGTGGCAAGTGTACTTTCTATGTGTGTGGCTAATGTACTTTAAGTGTGGTTGGCAAATATACTTTCTATGTCTGTGGCAAATGTATTTTCTATGCATATTTTTCTTCTTCTTCCTCGTTCTTAAGAGGGTTCGAACTCGAGACTTTTCGTTATAACAACTATGAGCTTTATAGACTCGACCACGCCGACCACCTATATGAATATGACAAATGTACTTTCTAAGCATTTGGTATATGTTCTTTCTATGCTTGTTGCAAAAGTACTTTCAGTGCATGCGGCAAGTCAACTTAATATGCGTATGTCTAATGCCGTGCCAGCACCAAATATTGAAATCGACGTAGACAAAAGCAGTATTTATTCCAGACCTTTTTTCTCCGGGGGGGGGGGGGGGCGGCACTTGAAATAGTATATATTTTCTATATAAATTTCGCGGTAGATCTTCTTCTTCGATAGGGCAGAGTCCCCCTCCCCCCGAAGAGATGCCTGGAAGAAACTCAGGACAAAAGTTTCACAACAAAACCGATACGGTCAAATGCTGACAAGACAAAAAAGCCGACATGGATAGAAACCGATGTGTTCAAAAATTCGAAATTGACAAAAACCGGCATTTGCCGAGGCCGAAATGACTCAATGCCGACTGAAAACAAACTTAACCTACGCCTCCGTCAGCATTCTTCCTTAACCAAAATATATATAAAAAAATCTTTTAGCCACTTTATATTCTCTTTACCAATTTCTTTGCCAGACCAAACACATTTTTGGCGCACACCCCGGGGCTATAAATAAATAGTGTCTGACATTCACCAAATCGACGAGAGCCCTATCAAGGGGAGGTTACTCAACCACACTGTGTTCACGTTTCACAGACACGTCGGCGCTTCCGGCGGAAATGGCGGCCATTGATATTTTCTACCTAGATCATCCACAAAGATTTCCTGACCGGTGACTTTGTACTCGTGTTCCGGAGTTGAGGCTGGTAATTGGTGAGGTGGGGAGGGAGGTGGGTTTTGATGTAAACAGAGAGGGACCGGAGGGGACGTGTAAGGTGAGGTAATAGGAGGAGGAGACGACAGAGGTTCTACTCTAGGGAGAATTAAGGTAGCGTTTGGTGTAAACAACGGAGAAATACAATCACAAGGGATATGGTGATACACATACATATATATATATGTATATATGTATATATATATATATATATATATATATATATATATATATATATATATATATATATATATATATATATATATATATATATATATATATACATATATATATATATATATATATATATATATATATATATATATATATATATATATATATATATATATATATATATATATATATATATATATATATATATATATATATATATATATATATATATATATATATATATATATATATATATATATATATATATATATATATATGAATGAAACAAAACGAAAGTACCTGAAGACCAACCGCATCCAGGCGTATTAATTTTCTGCCGTCGATTCGATGATCAAGCAAGACGTTAGCCGTCTCATGAAAACAGTTGTTGGAGGCCCATCTCGCTGCCTGTGTGGGGGTGAGGAGTGTTGGGGGGGGGGGGGGTCAGATAAACAAAAACAGAATGAGACGCCAATCAATACATATTTTGTTGTAGGAAGGTAAAGGGTTAAAGAGTACATCCCTGTTTAGTGAGCTGGGAGTGGTAGGGTTAAATGAACACGATGCGCTTTATGATGGTGGAAATAACGTAGGCGATGTTGTATTACACGGTATGTTAATCAACTATGGTCCTTCAGTTCTTAATATTTGTATTTGCACCTAATCGCGATTTGGAGGTGAATGGTTTGACACGCACAAAAAAGATAAAGTTTCCTCTTTTGTTTTCAACAAAAAATGGAGTACTTGAGGTTAAACATTTGATGTGTGTGCATTTTTGTTTTAATTTGAAAGTGGGGGCTGGATCGATCTAACCAGCTTGGGTTCCGAACACGCGGCTTGCGAATTATTATCTCGCTCTCTACCGCTAGACCACGCCACTCCTCCTAGGATTAGTACTTTTATTCCATGGGTAAAACAATATACCCCGTTGACAGACGATAGGCTAGAAAAGCTGGTTCCAAATGGTTGTTGCCAGAAAGGATATTTTTTCAACCAAAATTGAATATTATTTAACATTTGTGTAATAAGTACAAAATGGCTTCAGCTTTGTTTAAGACTAGAAATATACAAACAAATAATTACAAGTAATATAATAGTAATTTAGTTAACACTTTTATTTTTAATTTGGATTTGTCGCGTCAGGGTGTGGTGGTGATAGGGGGGGGGGTGTTTTGATGTCTAATATAAAAAAAAACTACTATGCTATACCCGATTGACCAGTACTGTGTATTTTATCATGAAAAACAATTGTTATGATTGTCATTGTTTTACTTTTCTTGGCCATTCCTGTTGACCGCAAACGAGGGGTTGAGGGCGGTTTTAAAAAAAATATTTGAGTTGATACAATAATTCTAAAATTATTTTCAACGGCTTATCTTCAATACAAAAATATGTAATCGATGGTGCTCAAACGGCTTTAATTTTTTTTAAATGTAAATATAATTTTTATCACTTGCAATTTTTTTTTAAAGATATTAATTTTTTAGTATCTTCTTCTTCTTCTTCGTTCTTAATTTTAGTGTTGGAAGGGATCCCACTCCAAAACAATTAAGGATACGAGTCAGCTAGTTATGCGCCATTGAGGCCATTGACTCAGATTTCAGCCTGCTTTTCTTTTTGGTTTTGCTGCCATAGCCTTTGTCCAACCAAGGACAAACTACAAGGCAGCAGTTGTTTGATTCTGGAGTTGTCTCTCCTAGAAGAGTTGCTGTCCCCAGCTAACGAGCCTCATCTGCCCGATTAAAAAAAATCTTTTAGTTTGATTTCATCGACTTTCCAAGCCTACTCTCCCCCCTCTTTCAACCAACCTCAAACATATCCCAGGTGTTGGCGCCGCTCGGGGCGAACCGCGGCTCGTGGGGTTCCAGGGGGTTGGGCACGATCCTGAACTCCAGGGGCGGGTAGGCGCAGCTCCAGGTGGCGAAGTTGTCCCGGTCCTTCTTGTGGGCCCGCAGGTTCCGCCGCGAGTTCTCCTTCTGCTCCGCGTTGTTCCAGTCGCCGTCTGGTTTTACTCTGGACATGGCTGGGTCGGCTGGTCACTTACTACGGACTGGGCTAACTGTTCCCTGGTCACTTACTACGGATTGGGATAACTGTTCCCTGGTCACTTACGCCGGATTGGGCTAGCTGTTCCCTGGTCACTTACTACGGACTGGGCTAGCTGTTCCCTGGTCACTTACGCCGGACTGGGCTAGCTGTTCTCTGGTCACTTACTACGGACTGGGCTAACTGTTCCCTGGTCACTTACACCGGACTGGGCTAGCTGTTCCCTGGTCACTTACTACGGACTGGGCTAGCTGTTCCCTGGTCACTTACGCCGGACTGTCAAAGGCTGGGCTAGCTGTTCCCGGGTCACTTACACCGTGGGTCAGCTGTTCTCTGGTCACTTACACCGGACTGTCAACGGCTGGGCTAGATGTTTCCCGGTCACTTAGGCTGTGGGTCAGCTGTTCCCGGGTCACTTACGCCGGACTGTCAATGACTGGGCTAGCTGTTCCACGGTCAATTACGCTGGGGTCGTCAAACGATGGAGACAAGCAGACTTCTGGAGGAAGGTGCTCGGTAGTTGGTGGTCTGGATGGTAAGTTCAAGGTAAAAAAAAAAAACACTTTAGAATTTGTACCCAGAGATGTAGCGACCCATTCCGGTCAGAGGCGTAGCGAGGGGGGGGGGGGGGGACACATGTCCCCGGGCGCCGACCTTAGGGGGGCGCCAAATTGAAAGTTTGAGAAGGGTGCAAATGAAAAGTTCGATGGGGGTGCAAATCGAAAGTTTGAAGGGGGGGGGTGCAAATGAAAAGTTCGAGGGGGCAGTGCAAATCGAAAGTTTGAGGGGGGGGGGGTGCAAATCGAAAGTTTGAAGGGGGGGTGCAAATGAAAAGTTCGAGGGGGGGGGGCGCAAATCGAAAGTTTGTCCCCGGGCTCCGGGAGGGGTCGCTACGCCTCTGATTCCGGCGCCCGGTGCTAACTATCGACCACCCCCTACCCTTCATTCACGTTGGTGAAAAAGAGCATCCCCCCACACACCCAAGTTGGAAAGGTTAGTGGCGCTTTTTACCAACCACAATAACAATTTTTGTGTGTGTGCCACATAATTGATGTAGGAAACAGTTAAATCAGCGCGTAAAGACTTGTAACCTTTTACTTTCTTAACTTTACCTGTGTATAATTACAACTTAAATAGAGGCTTACTTTTAATTTATTTTCTACACCCGTTGGTGGCACTATGGGTCTGAGCCATGGCGGCGACCCGCCCCCCCCCCCCCCCCCCCGCCCCCATTCGTCAGCTACGCCCCAGGTTGTACAAAACCTAACCCAAACCCTACCACTACTCCTATTTTAAACCCTATCCAAGATCTTAACTTTTACCATAATATCTAAACCTTATTCTCAATTCCAACCATGAATCTAACCCTGAACATGTAGGCCAATCAGATCGTTATAGGGCTGGTAAGTAGGTCACCAAGCAGTTCTATGGCTCATGTAGGTTTTATTGAGCCGTAGAACTGGTTGGTGACCTACTTACCAGCCCTATAGTGATCCTAATCCCAAACCTGTCTAAATATTTCTCACTCAATACTAAAGACAGAGTCTTACTTTACTCCTTAAGGATACTGCATTGTCTTAACAATACTACATTTTTCCAACGATACCGTTCACCTATGGAAACTGCGTTTTCCCAACGATACTACTGCGTTTTAGAAACGATACCGCTCACCTATGCGTTTTTTCAACGATACCGTTCACTTATGGATACTGCGTTTTTCCAACGATACCGTTCACCTATGGATACTGCGGTTTTCCAACGATACCGTTCACCTGTGGATACTGCGTTTTTCCAACGATACCGTTCACTTATGGATACTGCGTTTTTCCAACGATACCGTTCACCTATGGATACTGCGTTTTTCCAACGATACCGTTCACTTTTGGATACTGCGTTTTTCCAACGATACCGTTCACTTATGGATACTGCATTTTCCCAATGATAATAGGATGTTCTAACAATAATTTCCCATCTACAGTTATGACCTATGTAAGATTAATGGTTCTATTTTCGTGATGCATTGTCCGACAAGAATGGTCTTTTCGAGATGGGCCAGCATTGGGTTTAGGACTGAAGTCTCATTATAATATTTAAAACATAACAAGAGATAACGCACTCAGACTGTATACATATACTATATAAGATAATTGAAATATTAAATAAAACGTTCACATAGTTAATTCGGCCTACCTATCGGTTCTGATACTATGAGGCTATTCTGGTTTATGTATCCTTATGATTCTGATATTTTGATGACTGTTCGAATGTAGAAAAATGAACTGTTTTCTTGATTGTGGACTACATAATAATTTTGATACCAGCTTACGGTACGATGTAAATAAAGAGTGAAGGGCAATCTATTTCTAGAACGGAAGTTGTCATTACGCGCAAAAATCTTGTTGTATAAAATGGGATAGATCCGATATAAAGCATTTTCAATACATCACATGTCTTATGCGGAACAAGAACAATACGTATCTTTTTTAATGTCTCGTGTACGGAACTTAGAGGGAGTATTGTAATCGTGCATACAATTGAAATCGACATTGTGACAAAACTAGACGTTTTACATCTACCTGTGTCAAAAAAAAAAAAAAAAAAAAAAAAATTGTAATTGTGTGTGTGTATGTGCGTAAATGTGTAACCTCATTAGGTGGACGATGCTTCATATATATTTACAAAATCTTATATGCTGGATATCTGTCGACTTTTGAGAAGTAGTATTTTATTTCAACATTTCTGTAGCCCATACAAGTAAAATTGAAAATTACTGTTTCTCGATTTCTGATTTAAAGTGAAGGTTTAAAGTGTAAGCGCACTATGATGTCACAAGAAACAGTAACCTAACCTAACCTAACCTAACCTAACCTAACCTAACCTAACCTAACCTAACCTAACCTAACCTAACCTAACCTAACCTAACCTAACCTAACCTAACCTAAACTAACCTAACCTAACCTAACCTAAACTAACCTAACCTAACCTAACCTAACCTAACCTAACCTAACCTAACCTAACCTAACCTAACCTAACCTAACCTAACCTAACTTAACCTAACCTAACCTAACCTAACCTAACCTAACTTAACCTAACCTAACCTAACCGCACCTTAGCCAGGATTAAATTTGTAGTTCGAGATTGTAGAACGAGATTTTATTTTGATAACGTTTAAGACAATTTTGATTTAATTTTAAATATTTTTATATGTGTAGCTGAAGTTTATTTTTGGATCTCTCTACCTCTTTGGCTGTTTTCTTTTTTATCTCTAGATCACTCGGAGATATTTCCTGGCATATTCAATTTTCTATATTCTCTCTCTCTCTCTCTCTCTCTCTCTCTCTCTCTTTCTCTCTCTCCCTCTATCATTATTTTTCTTTTTCTCCCTTCCTCCTTTTCTCTTTTTCTCGTTTTCTCTCTCACTATCTTTTTCGCTTTCTCTCTTTCTTTCTTTCTCTCTTTCTTTCTCTCTATCCTTTTCTCTCTTTCTCACTGTCTCTTTGAAAAGCTTTTACGTCAAGAGCAACAATTCTCGAGAAAGTGGACCCCGTAGACTTTAATGAGATAAATTTGACTCTGAACACAGTGGAAAATGTGACAACAATACGGCCCTTGTGTCTAGTCATAGCCCCCCCCCCCCCCCACACTCACTCATCTCTGGGCCTTAATGCAAATGTTCTTTATTTTTTTTTTTATGGACTCCAGTCATAGCCCACATTAGTGAAATCCAAGCACAAAGTTTCCTCTTTCGAACCTGAAGTCCATAAATGTAAGTGTTCAAAACATACTCAAGTTTTGTTCTACCGTGGCTGTCCTTCTATTGTACGAGGGTTTGATCATCAAGGCCATAACTATAGACTAAATCAGTATCTTCAACAACAGCAACGGAAAATTACATTAAAATTTTTTTTTAAATAAAAAGTCTTGTTCTACAGTGTCTGTCCTTCTATTGTACGAGGGTTTGATCATCAAGGCCTTGACTATATCAGTATCTGTAACAGCAGCAACAAAAAATTACATATACGTATAGACTATATTATAATCTCCGTTAAAATACTGATATCAACACGGTATTATATTTGCAAGTAGAGACAGGGATACATTTATCTTTTTCAACGAGAACTCAGTTTGTGTTGGGAGGAAAATGAAAGTTAGCTAGAGCTAACTTTTATTAACCATGTTCACAATAACTGATTTAAATAAAAAGTTAACAAAAGGGTTGATGGCACTGGCCGTTGTTATGGAACTTTGTAAAAAAAAAAAGGTAGCGAGCTATAGTTTAACTTACATAAACATTGTGGTCGACTTATTACTTACAAGAAATATAATACTCTATATTTAAAAAAAACCGATATTGGTTTTTCTATGACTAAGCTGTAATTTCACTTACAGATCAACCATAATTACACTTACAGATCAACCATAATTACAATTACATATCAACCATAATTACACTTACATATCAACCATAATTACACTTACAGATCGACCATAATTACACTTACATATCAACCATGATTACACTTACAGATCAACTACAATTACACTTACAGATCAACCCTACTCCATCTGCCCGGTGACTTTAATGGCGTGGGTAGATTTCCTATCATCAAAGTGAAAAATTAGAAACGATTTCATTAGCCAAATTAACGCTAATTAAAATCAATTACCCGTTGTCGGTGTCATTGTTATCAATCAGTTTAGTAGACAGACGCTTACTTTGCTTTAGTGTACTTATATCGCAATTTTATTTTCCAAAAGATATTAGAGTTTCAAATAAATATTTTTAAAAAATTCCGAATTGCTTTATACGATTTCAATCTTCATAAATCTTTCTTAATAATCTGTCTACATTAATTTAGCTTGTGATTTTAAAACGTAACCCAATTGATTTTTTAAAAAAAATTATCCGATGGTTCTTTTCCCATGAAAATGAAAAAAAAAATTCTTTCCAAAGAGGAAGAGGATTTGTTTCCAAATTTTGGGTAAGGGTGGGGGTGGAGAAAGGTTGTCGTTTCCTGTCCAAAAGGCATGTCTTCTTAAAGGTGTGTCTTCCTGGAGGTGTTTCGTCCAAATAGTGCGTGAAGGGGAAAAAAAAACTGGGCCTGGGTTATTTCCCATACATCGCTACCCCTGGGTTATTTCCCTTACGCTGCTGACGTATGATACCGATGGGGAATCAGGAAGAAAAAGATAAAGTAAAGCCAGGATAGGGCATGAAGAATTCACTGAGGATGAAGATGAAGAAAAGGTATAAAAAAGTAAGAAAAAAAATGTAATTCAATAAGAGAAGAAAAGGAAAAAGGCGCGGCCGGGTCTGAGTAAACATGAGCGTAGCAACCTTAAGCCAACACGGGCTCTGGTCCGGGATACTTGCATGGGACATTTTTTTCTATACTTTGAACCCGTCATACTAAGTATACATTGTTTTTCCCCCCTCTCCTCACCCTCTTTGCTTAACTACAGGTTTATTAAAGCGTATATACCATCGTTTCACTAATTTCTTAAAATAAGATATACCCAACTTTTTTTCTTTCTTTTTTTTTTTTTTTTGGGTTCTTACCGGAAATTTATTTTTAGACTTTACAAATCGTTTGACTAATTTAGGTTAAGAACCTAAATCAACTTTCTAAAGATAGCCCCAATAGGGTGAGGTTTTCAACACATATCGTAGCCGAGCAGCACATATGGCCTGATATATAAAGCCGTGTCGCTAAACTCGGGCCGAGGTTTTATTTTGTACCCCAAGTTCTACCACGTGCAGGACAAGGGTTGTAGGGAGTAGCTAGGATTCGAACACACACAAAAAAGTGCAACAAGAAGAGAATGAGTAGCTATGTTATTAGTGTGTTTGTCTTGGTGTTGGTAGGCGTGTGTCTGACCCAACAAGGTAAGGTTTGTTAGACGTTAGGTTTAGGTTTAAGTTTAGGTGTAAGGTTTGTTAGACGTTAGGTTTAGGGGTTAAGTTTAGGTGTAAGGTTTGTTAGACGTTAGGTTTATGGGTTAAGTTTAGGTGTAAGGTTTGTTAGACGTTAGGTTTAGGTGTAGGTTTAGGGGTTTGGTTTAGGTGTAGGTGTAGGTGTAGGTGTAGATTTAGGTTTAGGTGTAGGTTTAGGTGTAGGTTTAGGTTTAGGTTTAGGTTTAGGTTTAGGTTTAGGTTTAGGTTTAGGTTTAGGTTTAGGTTTAGGTTTAGGTTTAGGTTTAGGTTTAGGTTTAGGTTTAGGTTTAGGTTTAGGTTCGTTAGGGCAGTTAGGTTTAGATGTAGTAAGTTAAATTTTAGGTCTAGCTGTAGGTTACGTCTTAGGTTTAGGATAGTTAGGACAGTTAAGATTATATATATATATATATATATATATATATATATATATATATATATATATATATATATATATATATATATATATATATATATATATATATAATATTAATTTATGATTTTTGAATCATGATAAATTGATTGGTTTATATATTAAAGAAATAATTGGTTTTGATACATGATATATTGATGGGTTTAGGGGCGTAAGAGTTTAGGGATTTTTTTCTTCTTTTTTTTTCCGCCTAAAACATGTAGTTTACTGAGTCAGTTTGCCTTGCATATTCGCTTTGTCCAGTGTTGGGTATAGATGAACAGTGTTGTCAGGCCTGTTTTCTGCGTGGAATGGCTATTTAGGATGTCTATAATTTTGTCTTTGTAATATAATTTAAAATAATGTAGTGTGTAATGTTTGATGTTTTTTCTCGGTATATGGTTATTCTTCGGTTGTTTGTTAGAGGTAAGTTTTGTATTTTGGATTCCGAGTGAATGTTCTAAGGGTTCTGATGAGTGTATTGTTATTTATGGTAGGTGGGACCCATCTTAGGGTTCCGTCGATTCGGTTCTTGTCGTAATTGGCGGAACTGACAATGTATGGTCCGTAGGTTTGTATTGTGTAGCGTGGTGACATCAAAGGAATCTGAGTTGAAAAACCACATGTCGGTTCTTCCGACTCGGGCAGATGAGGCTCGTTAGCTGGGGACAGCAACTCTTCTAGGAGAGACAACTCCAAAATCAAACAACTGCTGCCTTGTAGTTTGTTTTTGGTTGGACAAAGGCTATGGAAGCAAATCCAAAAAGAAAAGCAGGCTGAAATCGGAGTCAATGGCCTCAATGGCGCATAACCAGTTGACACGTATCCTTAATTGTGATGGAGGCGTGGTCGAGTCGGCAAAAGCTCATGGTTGATAAATTCGAAAAAGTCTCGAGTTCAAACCCTCTGGCAGATAAGGCTTGGTCCCCTCCAACACAAAAAATTAAGAACGAAGAAGAAGAAGAAGGTTCTTCCGAAATTGAATAGTAGAATAGGTTTTTTGCTAATCAGCTGCCTAATGACGTGGCTCTTAAGGTTAGGTAGACCTCTGCTATTGATAGTGACTTGCATCGTGTTGTCGTTGAAAAGATCCGGACAGTAGCATCCTTAGACAGGTCTAATGTGACTGTTGTTCCTGAAATGGATGGGACCATGGTTTACATTAAGCTGCAAGCGCCGTAACATTGTTACATTAGCATCTCTTCTCAAAAGCTTTCGCCTGAGGAATCAAATAAGTGGGCGCAACCCCACTGTAAATGTTACTTTGAAAATAGTAGGCGTCTGGAAATCTTTAGGCGAAATATTTACTCGATGTGAAGAGAAACCAGAGTTAAACCTAAGTTGTGAAAATACCTAAAGTACTTGGTCTAAACCCGCTGTTTCTGAACTTAAAAACAGTGAAATCGAAGAAAGGGATTATTTGGTAGTTTTAAACAGTTTCAAAGCCTTTTTTAAAAAAAAAATACTTTTATTTTCAAATTTAAAACAAATACAGTAACATCCCACACCATTTGGGTGGATATTTACAAGGTAGTTGCATAGATGTACAGAGTATAGTACATAAATATATAAATAAGTAAATTAATACATGTTTTACATTGGATTTAAAGCATGTTGGTAGACAAATTGGACAGCAGCTGGTGAGTGAAAAAGTGTAACATATGGAAGACTTGAGAGTTCAGTGATGATAAACTTGTTTTTTAAACGAATTTAATAAAAAAAATAGTAAAACAATTAGTTGCAAATAGTAATTATTAGAAAATTTCAAAACTATTTTAAAATAATTTTTTGCAAAAAAATAACTGTTTAATATTTTCTTCTTTTTATATTTTTAAATTTATTTGTCAAAGAATATTCAGTTTTGTGACACAGTAAATATTATTAAAATTTTATTTGTAGATTAGATTTATCATCACATTCCTGCTACACCTGCACGCTATGTGTCTAAAGCAGGGGTCTCCAAACTACGGCCCGCGGGCCGGATGCGGCCCGCGAGGTCATTTTATCCGGCCCGCGACGATCTTTTTGTCCACTGAATAAATGTTTGTTGAAGATGGCTGATGAGCTTTGCACAGAAAATTCAAAACTATTTGAAAATGTAGCTCTGGGTGCAAATACAATTACTCGTCGTGTTGCAGACAATGGTGAAAAATTCAAGCAAGTTTCGCCATTTTTCAATTGAAATGGATGAGTCGCTGGGCAGCTGTTCCACTTCTCAACTTCTTGTGTACATTAGAGGTGTGGATGAAAACATGAGCATAATTCAAAAGCTGGCTTCCCTTCATATAATGTATGACCTTAGATAGTTCAGAGACAAACACAAAATCGCAAGATTTACCATATTTCAAATCGGTAAGATAAATAATTTTGCGAGAAAATTCTGAAAAGAGTATCTAAGAAAAGAAATAGGCGACTTCCTGATAGTAAAGGCTAGTCACAGCCATTATTGTCTGATGAAGAGTGGGTATAGAAATTGGCCTCTACTGCAGACATAACTAGTCATTTAAATTTTTTAACCTAAAACGGCAAGAGAGTGAAATCTAGTTTCTGATCTATACACCCACCTAAAGGCCTTTAGACACAAACTTGTCATGTTTTTGGAACAAGTACAGGCTAACAACTTGACTCACTTTCAGCAGTGCAAGGTCTTTACGGCTGAAGCAACAACTGAGTTCCCCACGTCATTTACATGCGAGATCACCAAAGACCTCCAGCTGCAGTTGCAGTGGCGGTTTTCTGATTTGGATTCAAAGGCAGAAGAAGTGAGACTGTTTCAAAGCCCATTTGAAGCAAATGTGGCCAGTTGCAAAGATGAACTGCAGCTGGAGGTCATTGAATTGCAAGAAAATGACTTCCTTAGAGACATGTTCAAAGAAGGGCGTATGGGTTTTCATACGTTTTTGCACAAGAAGACTTTCCTAATTTTAAACCTTTTGCATCAAAGTACCTTTCAAATTTTCGAACAACATACCTGTGTGAACAAACATTTTCAAGAATGAAATACGCGAAGAACAATTTGAGAGCCAACATGGACCTGTGGGGGGTGGGGGGTGTTCACTTGAAATTTTGTATACATTTCTATATAAATTATATTTAGTTGGGGGAAGTAGACGTTCTTCGGGGAGGGGGGGGGGCGCCACGACCCTGAAGATATGCCTTAAAGAAACTCTGGCCCCCGAATTGATATTTGATAGTTAATGCGGCCCTCGGGCTGAAAAGTTTGGAGACCCCTGGTCTAAAGGAAAATCAAATAAAAATACGTTAACAGAACGTCCTCAAAAGATCACCTCCCTTATCAAATAAATACATGTTTTGCACTACACGTTCAGAATAAAGAAATAATATTTTATATATTATTTTATATTTTATATAGAGATGGACAATAACGTTTCTGTTAAACTTAATTAATAAAAAATTACTCGCACAGTCCTTCGCCGTATGATTATACTAAACATTTTTATCGAATTTGTTTTTTATAACTATAAAATTTAATTTGGTTTTAATTTCTGGCCCAGATGGGCTGAATCATGAATGTGAATAATTTTTTATATGATAAAAGTGATGTCAAATTTTTGTTTGTCATTGTCAATTAAAAAAAAACGACGTTAAGTTGAAATGAAACCCTAAGAAATTAGATCAAATATTTAAAAAAAAATTAATGTACTGGTTTATTATAATTTGTGTATATGGAATTATTTAAAGGTAGTTTTTAATTAATTTCTAAGCTAGAATTTAAAAAAACAAACAACTCTTAAATTACCAGAAAGAGAAAGTATTTTTTACGATTTGACAACAATTTGAATCACCATTTGACAAAATATTGACATTGTATGTATACCTAATGATTAAAGCCTTATTGTGTTATAACTTACTTAACATCTTCTCACAAAGTCCTCATCAAACCTCACCTCTCCCAACCCATCATTGTATTCAATTTTCAACCCTCCCATCCCTCCCCCCCCCTAAAAAAATTAATTAAATAAAAAATATTAACTACATTTTTGAGCCCCCCCCCCCCAAATCTTTTTTAGATGCATCACTGTATTATATTTTAACTGTCAACTCTCAAATTCATCACTGTTATATTTTTTAACCCTCACTCCCCTCCCCTCCCCCTAAACTCATCACTAACATTTTTCAGCCCCCCCCCCCACCAAAGTCACCTACTCTAACATTTCTCACCCCCCCCCCCACCTAACTCACCTACTCTAACATTTCTCACCCCCCCCCCACCTAACTCACCTACTCTAACATTTCTCACCCCCCCCCCACCTAACTCACCTACTCTAACATTTCTCACCCCCCCCCCACCTAACTCACCTACTCTAACATTTCTCACCCCTCACTCTCCCCCCCCCCCCCCCCACCAAACTCACCTACTCTAACATCTTACATCCCTCACCCCTCACCTCTTGTAACATTGTGCTCCTCAGCCATGGGTTGTACCGACAACGAGATCCAGGCGGTGGATCCGTACAGCAGTTGCTCCACGGAGTACAGGGTGTGTGAGCAGAACGTCTTCCGTAGGGCCATGTGTGTCAACGGCTACATCAACTTGGCCACCAAACGATGCGAGCCCAGCAAGTCACAGTGCCCTGACCTAGGTAACACGTCACGTGACAAGAGACATCCAATCGGATGGGGTTATTCTGTTGATATTTCGTTTATTTTAATGATATATTTTTTTAAACGTAGATGCGGATATTTTGCATTTTGCCTGCACTCACTGCAGTGTTTCTTTCAGCCATTTTCGATGGAGGGTTAGTGGGAATTTGAAATTACCATTGGGGTATTAGGGGGGGGGGGGCACTTAAAACTTCCGGAAATGGGCAGACGACACTGATGCAATTTCATATTTTCTATATAAATGAATATTTTTTTCTTTGTCGTCCGGGCAGAGGGGTTGGGGGGGGGGGAATGGACGTTCTCGGAAAGATAGTACCCCCCCTCCACCCTGAGAGATGCCTGAAAGAAATACTGATTACCTTAGTCACATACAAATTATTGACGAATTTTCTAAGAAAATCTGTTCCACCCGTCTGTCCCCATTTCCCCTAATTAAACATCCTTTGAGACAAGGCGCCCTCTATTGTCACCAACTTACGTCATGCAATAGTTAAACATTCCAGCGGGATTGAAGACGCATCGCTTGCTGTAAAACATTACATAGAGCCTGCTAGTTCTCTCGGTGCCCTGTCAAAACGGCCCGGGACAAATCGGCCCCGTCAAAACGGCCCCGTTAATACGACCCCGTCAAATCGACTCCCGACAAACCGACCCCGTCAAAATAGCCCCGTCAAAAGGGCCCCGACTTACTGGCTCCCGTCAAATGGGCTCCCGTCATATTGACTTGCGACATATAGGCTCCCGACAAATGGGCTCCCGATATTTAGGCTCCCGACAAATGGACTCCCGACATATTAACCCCTGACAAATAGGCTCAGGACATATTGGCTCCCGACAAAGCGGCTCCCGACATATTGGCTCCCGACATAAGGGCTCAAGACAAATGGGCTCCCGGCAAATGGGCTCACGACATTTTGGCTACCGACAAATGGGCTCCCGACATATTGGCTCCCGGCGATTGGTCTCCCGACATATTGGCTTTTGACAAAATGACTCCCGACATATTGGCTCCAGAAAAATGAATGACATGACCACTATTTGCATAAAAGTAACCATTGTGTCCTACCTCCAATACCACCATAACCTCTTTTTAATGCCCGAATGAAATTATTTTTTCATGAACCAACATTAATTCACAAACAAATCGAGCCCTTAACAGCTAAATTCCGCCAATTCTAAAGTTTTGATAACGTTTAATTTACAACAGAAAAGATCTGTTGCTTAAAAGCGAGCACAGAAGTGTAAATGTATGATATACATGATGTTAACATGATAACAGCATTTTGTTTTGATAACCTACAAGCACAGTGGCGTAGCGAGGTCGGGTGTCACCCGGTGCGGCACTTAATGGTGTCACCCCCCCCAGAGGCGTTGCGACCCTTCCCGGGGACAAACTTTCAAGTTTTCGATTTGCACCCCCCCCCCCCCCCAAACTTTTGATTTGCACCCCCACCCCCTCAACTTTTTGTCTATATATTTTGCTATTTTTTGCCTTTGTGTCACCCCCCTAAATGGTGTCACCCGGTGCGGTCCGCACCCCCCGCTGAGTTGGAACAGCCTATAACCGACTCAATTATGGATGTCATAGATAGATGACCCTTAAATTAAAACATACTATATTTTATAATAGATAAACTAATAAAAAAATAAGGCCTGCCGAACAAGAGATGCATACGTTGTATTACATAAGAGTGTTGGATAAGCTAACTCTAAAGAATATTGATGAAGGGGTCCCACTGACAGATGTCATATTCAATGAGACCGCTTTGCCGGGAGACTTAGTCTCTACAGAAACGGTATTGTCAGTGCAGTGGCGTAGCTAGGATTTTTGGGCCCCTATGCAAAAATTACCTTCGTCAGCCGTTAGGCCAGTGGCGTCGCTAGGTCGGGTCTCACCCGGTGCGGCACTTCGTATTGTCACCCCCCTCCCAGGAAACAAAGCATATATATATATATATGTATATATATATATGTATATATATATATATATATATATATATATATATATATATATATATATATATATATATATATATATATATATATATATATATATATATATATATATATATATGTGTGTGTGTGTGTGTGTGTGTCGGCCTACATAGGCCTAAAATTTATATATATGCCACATACTGGTACACGTACGTGTTTAAGCTTTAATCACTGCTGACTTAATAGTAACGATGTTTATCTACAGTCTGTTTATAATACAGTTGGTTGGATGTAGCATTGTTTTCTTTATAGTTTACGTTTACGTCGTGGTGTCACACCCCCCCCCCCTCTTGATATAATTTTCGATTTGTACTTAGAAGACTATTTAACTTTAACTAATGGATCTGTAAAATGGCATTTCATTCTATAAATTTTACAATTTTTTGCCTTTGGTGTCACCCCCCCCTAAATGGTGTCACCCGTTGCGGTCCGCACCCCCCGCCTCGCCTTCGCTACGCCTCTGCGTTAGGCTACAGAGGAGTTAAACGAAGAGATCAACTTCTACTTACGATGGATATTTTTTAATATATAAATATTCTGAAGGCAACATTTTGTATTTTATGTCCTGATTTTGTATTTATACTATATTATTATGCTTGCCTACTACTGCTAAAAAGTTAATTTAAAGGCTGATTCTCTCAATGTCTTGCACGACAAAGTGATATAGCCTGTAGTGTTATTATAACGATTGGGCTCTGTTTGACCCACAAACACTGAATCCCACTGCCGAAACGGTGGGGGGGGGGGGGCTTTTTGGAACTTTTAACCTTTTTCTTTTTTAAAATTATTTATATGTAACAAATATTAACATTCCATTGTAAAAGTTTTAATTTTTTATGAGGGAAAAGGGCCCCTATGTTCCTTGGGCCCCCATGCCTTGCTTACGCTAGCTTTACGGTAGCTACGCCACTGTGTCAGTGGTCCTTTTGTCTGAAGCCAAATTGACAGGAGCCTTTTTGTCGGGAGCCAAAATGACGCTAGCCTATTTGTCGGGAGTCGTAATGACGGGGGCCGTTTTGTGGAGAAACTAAATGGCGGGAGCCTATTTGTCGGGAGTCGTAATGACGGGGGCCGTTTTGTGGAAAAAACTAAATGACGGGAGACTATATGTCGGGAGCCAAAATGACGGGAGCCTATTTGTCAGGAGCCTTATTGACTGGAGCCCTTTTGTCGGGAGCCTATATAACGGGAGCCTATTTGTCGGTAGCCTAAATGACGGGAGCCTATTTGTCGGGAGCCTATATGACGGGGTCCATATGTCGCTGGCCCTTTTGACGGGGCCGATTTGACGGGGTCGTTTTGACGGGGTCGTTTTGTCGGGGTCGTTTTGACGGGGCCGTTTCGTCATTGGCCGAATTGACGCCGCACGAGTTCTCTCATACACACAGTAGCGTAGCGAGGGGGGGGCGGGGGGGACATATGTCCCCGGGCGCCGAGCTTAGGGGGCGCCTAAATGGGTTGGAAAAATAAATTGAAATGTTGAGGGGGGTGCAAATTGAAAGTTTGAGGGGGGGGGGTGCAAATCAAAATCTCGAGGCGGGGTGCAAATCGAAAGTTTGAGGGGGAGGGTGCAAATCGAAATCTCGAGGGGGGGGGGGTGCAAATCGAAAGTTTGAGGGGGGGGGGGTGCAAATCAAAATCTCGAGGCGGGGTGCAAATCGAAAGTTTGAGGGGGGGGGGGGTGCAAATCAAAATCTCGAGGCGGGGTGCAAATCGAAAGTTTGAGGGGGGGGGGGTGCAAATCGAAATCTCGAGGGGGGGGGGTGCAAATCGAAAAGTTTGTCCCCGGGCGCCGGGAAGGGTCGCTACGCCTCTGCATACACAGGGTCTTGAGTTTTTTACAGTGACTAGTTGTTGGGGGGAGGGGGGAGTTGACTACTCTTATCAAATGAGAAAACATTTTTACTACGATTATTAACAGTAGGGTCCTATCGTACTTGGTTAAGCTTTGCTAAGCTTGTCCTGCTTAACCTTGACTCTAAACGTAACACTAACCCTGATCCTAATCCTAGGTTCAGTGCGTGTACCATATTTCCAGTGCTAAAATACATTAAAACAATTCTCAGGTCAAGTAAGTTTTAATGCCGTTTTCAAACTTCTATGTTAAAAACTAAGTCTTTTTGACCTACATAGATTTTCAGGACAAAAAATTACAAAATGTCTCTTTAATACTCGCCTGTTTATTTCTATCTTTCAAATAAAAAATTCCAACTTCTCTGAAGATTTAATTAATCTTCTTAAATTAATTAATTAAAACCTCCATCGTTGTGTATATATAGCTCGGTGCCATGTTTTCTAGACCCCCATCCCATTTACAAGGGTTGCACCCCAAATCCCCATTGTCTACACAAATTTAGCAACTCTTTTAAGTCATTTAGGCGGTCGTTACGGCATTAATATTAAAATTAATTTAATTCGTCACTCAACTTGTATTAAAAACCTTGTTACGCTGCTTTACACCATTCGTCACTCAACTTGTATTACGTTATTACAGAGGCAACAGATTGTAAATATTAGTAACAAAATCGTATCATTTCATTTCTGAATGAAGTGTTGCGAGCGTTCAGGGCGTGTTACAGTAATGGTGTGTTACAGATGTGTGTTCAGTGATTCATCTACACATTCGGCCATAGTCATCGTGCGAGCGCACAGACACGCACATTATAAATACACAGATACACACTCGCAACCGTCTCTGGTTTATTTGAGATCATGTCGTAGGTCTATAGACCAAACACACACACACACACACACACACACACACACCTCTTTGTATCCTGTATCCTGTAAGGTGGGGCCCCACCCATACCCACAAACCCACGACACTCTTCTTGGTATCGTCTCAATGTCTAAAGGATCATTGATAGCGATGATTACACAAGTCGATGTCCAGAAAAACGTATTGAACAATCTGACTAAGCACCGCCCCGTCTTGTGTTAGTAGAACACAATTTACCCATTCACAGTTTTGTTAAACTTGACGTAAAAAGGGCCGTAACCTATTATAAAGAAATTATTCCCACATTTGTGTTTGCTTTTGGTAGTGTAATTCACATCAGTTCACTAGCCAAAGTAGGACCGAGGAACGGAAGTGAGTTTTAGTCACATGATATTAGGGTCTATTTTTATTCAGTATTTCAAAATACAGGTAGCGCTTATTTCGGCGGACGATAGAGGAAGTACGCAAACGTTCTTAGATCCAAGGAAGTAAAAGTAGGTCACATTCCTGGATGGGGTTTCAATATGGGATAATGAGAAGATTTAAAGATTTAGGGGATCATCTCCTTTCTCTGTAGACCGATTCAGTTAATGCCCTATACGAGTCACGCAGGCCTAATGTAGCTAATATAAAATCTAGAAGATTAAGGAAGAGTAGACAAAGGGAGGGTAAAGATGTGATTTCAACATAACTAAAGGATTCTCTCCTTTTTAGTTTTTATACTTAATTTGAAAGGGCCATGGCTGTTGCCCGGGTCGCCCCTCACATCAGGGCATAATAGATATTTAAACTTGAATCACCTGGGATAATTCAGACGGATGACTAACAACAGGTGTAAACGATGTATTGTATTCTAACCCACTCCCTACCACATCTTATTATTACCAGTATCATTGTCATGAAAATTAAGCCCCCTCCCGGTTCTGAAAGCGGAGCAGCTGACCTGACGGACAATCACTCTTCTTGGCTTGTTCCGTGTTCGGTATTACTTTGATTGCTTCCCTTTACACACTAACTAATTACGGACCGACTAACTGAAATATAATCATAAATATTGTACTTATATTTTGAGAGCTTTTGGCTTCATTAAATTTAAAATTTTGAAAGATGTTAGCATTCAAAGGGACACGAAAGCACCGTCGTCAATAGCTGTAATTTTAAGTGATGTTAATTTAAGGGTTCATGGTGTGAGTGGAGGGGGGGGGGGGGGGGAGGGATGTTCTTGGGATAAGTGTGTGTGTGGGGGGGGGGGGGGGGGGAGGGGGGTATCTCTAATCCCCTTAACACCCATTGATAAAAAAAAACGCCACACCAATAAAAATTAGATATAGATAACAATATATTTAAAATTGTAAATGTTGGAATCAACTATGTAATTTACCTTTAATTGTGTTGATTAATTATTTTTTTCTTCACACCTGTAGACATAGCAATCTTGTAATGACAAGGGAGGTCAAGGCGACTTGCCTTGACCTATTGTGCTGACAAAATATGCTTTATTTAAAATCAACAATTACATTTCGATCATTTTTTTAAAAATAATTTATATATTTTTTTATTCTGCTAGCTATCGCTGACAAAGCTTTCGGTAATTTCGGACTGAGAAAGAAACGTCAAGCTACCGTACCAGGTAAGATTGTCACGTCAAAAAAAATAATTATAATAAACGGTTTTAGGATTTGTGTGTGGTTATCTTTTAAAAAAAAAAAAAAAAAAAAAAAAAAGATTTCATTGGGTCTTGTCCAGATCAGCTCCGCCACTAATGCAAAAAGTGTTCGGGCGAAAAGTTAAACCCTGCCACTTCCGAATATTGAATATTTCAACACACGCCATAAAAACAAATCCTTATACGCCTCTAGGGTTAGTGCTAGGGTTTGGGTTGGGGATCGGGTTAAGGATACCAAAATACAGACCTTTTAATGCAAATTATATAAAATCTAAAAGTACATGTTTCATATCATCTTTTATTAACTTTTTTTTGGGTGGCAGGTTTAACTTTTTAGGCGGAGCTTATCTGGACATGATCCATTTCATAATTCAACATTATCTGACCATTCATTTCACGATTCAACACTATCTGAGCATCCATTTCATAATTCAAAATTATCTGAGCATCCATTTCATAATTCAACATTATCTGACCATCCATTTCATAATTCAACATTATCTGAGCATCCATTTCATAATTCAACATTATCTGACCATCCATTTCACGATTCAACATTATCTGACCAAACGAGTATGAAGTGTTAGTTTCAGAGTTTCATAAAAAAACGAAACTTGTTGAGGGTAAGGTTAGCTAAATCTGAGGCCATCTGAGTGTTGTTTTACTCTCATATTTTCTCATCAGACTGTACAAGATCTGTTTTACTCTTATATTTTCTCATCAGACTGTACAAGATCTGTTTTACTATCATATTTTCTCATCAGACTGTACAAGATCTGTTTTACTATCATATTTTCTCATCAGACTGTACAAGATTTGTTTTACTCTCATATTTTCTCATCAGACTGTTCAAGATTTGTTTTACTCTCATATTTTCTCATCAGACTGTACAAGATCTGTTTTACTCTTATATTTTCTCATCAGACTGTACAAGATCTGTTTTACTATTATATTTTCTCATCAGACTGCACAAGATCTGTTTTACTCTTATATTTTCTCATCAGACTGTACAAGATTTACTCTTATATTTTCTCATCAGACTGTACAAGATCTGTTTTACTATCATATTTTCTCATCAGACTGCACAAGATCTGTTTTACTATCATATTTTCTCATCAGACTGTACAAGATCTATTTTACTCTTATATTTTCTCATCAGACTGTACAAGATCTGTTTTACTCTTATATTTTCTCATCAGACTGTACGAGATCTGTTTTACTCTTATATTTTCTCATCAGACTGTTCAAGATCTGTTTTACTCTTATATTTTCTCATCAGACTGTACAAGATCTGTTTTACTATCATATTTTCTCATCAGACTGTACAAGATATGTTTTACTATCATATTTTCTCATCAGACTGTACAAGATCTGTTTTACTATATTTTCTCATCAGACTGTACAAGATATGTTTTACTATCATATTTTCTCATCAGACTGTACAAGATCTGTTTTACTATATTTTCTCATCAGACTGTACAAGATCTGTTTTACTATCATATTTTCTCATCAGACTGTACAAGATATGTTTTACTATCATATTTTCTCATCAGACTGTACAAGATCTGTTTTACTATCATATTTTCTCATCAGACTGTACAAGATCTGTTTTACTATATTTTCTCATCAGACTGTACAAGATATGTTTTACTATCATATTTTCTCATCAGACTGTACAAGATCTGTTTTACTCTTATATTTTCTCATCAGACTGTACAAGATCTGTTTTACTATCATATTTTCTCATCAGACTGTACAAGATCTGTTTTACTCTTATATTTTCTCATCAGACTGTACAAGATCGTTCCTCTGTCCAGCTGATATGACCAACGTCTTTATCTACCCTGACTGGCAAAACAGAAACTGTGACAGGTTTGTTTTTTTCTAAACTATACGCTCTTAGATACTCAAAATATACTTTTAGTTAAAATATTTTTTAGTTTTGCGTCAATATTGGTGTGTCAATATTTTAGACATATTACTTTTTTTTTCTAAACTATACGCTCTTAGAAACTCAAAATATACTTTAAGTTAATGTGTGCTAGTTTTTGTATCATCTTTGTGTCTATATTTTAGACATATTTTTCTAAACGGTCTGGGTTATTCCACAAACATTTTGTTCTATTTTTACCTTCTCGTATACAGGGTTCAGGGCGAAAGATTCTGATCATACAAAATTTCGAAATCGATATTGATAAATCTCGATGTTTTACAACTTCCTAAATCAGAAAAACTCAGTATTGCAATCCTGTCTGTATGTGCGTCTGTATGTATCTGTGTGAGTGTATAAATAACCTAGTAACGACATTTTATCTAAAGGTACTATATCCATACTTTATTTTATATCAACTTTTGAGGGACTTTGGGTTACTGGAAATGGTTCAATAACGTAGATTTTATTCAACTTAAGAGTGATTTCCGATCACCGGAAATAGCACTTTATCTCTGGGTTTTTTTTTTCCAGAAACGTTACGGTTTTGTCTTTCTATATCATGATCTCATAAAGCAACATTTTCTATAAACTCCTCGCCTCAATGATTATTTGTTTTCTCGAAAAACGAGTAGTTTTAGCAAAAGCCTCTATATTTATGTGTCCCAATTCAATAGAAGTGCCATCTCAACCTTTACTGTTCAAGGTTTCTTTCAGGCATTTTTCTTCGAGGAGGGGCACATAAAATTTCCAGGGGATTGGGAAACATAGGTCAAAGTACCTACTTTTTTTTTTTACAAAGGTTGTATATTTTTCTATTTCACCGGGGAAGCTGTGGACGCTGTGGCCAGTCCTCCCCCACACAAAGAATAGGACATGCCTGAAAGAAACAGTTACTTTTACATACGATTATACGAGAGAATTTAGGGGAGTTAACTCGCGCTTATTTTTCTTCCAGCTACGTCGTCTGCTGGAGTGGGGAGTTGATTATCGCCTCCTGTAAAGCAGACAACTACACCTACTACAACCCTAACCGACTCAGCTGCGAGGAGACGGCGTCGCCTAGCAACACATGCGTCTTCCGTGAATACACGATCTTCCCTTAAAGAAGACGCTTTAAGATTTGTTCATTTCAAAAAGGATCTCAAAATTGTACACGCTTTTTTTTTTGGAAAATAAATTTGTTTTGTTATAAAAAAAAGAATAAACATTCCATCAAATAGACTTCAAACTTTTTATAACTTTATCATATATCTATATAAATCTCTCTCTCTTTTTCTCTTTTCTCTCTCTCTCTCTCTCTCTGTCTTTCTCGAGATCTCTGTATATATATATATATATATATATATATATATATATATATATATATATATATATATATATATATATATATATATATATATATATATATATATATATATATATATATATATATATATATTGGATGAAGGGAGGTTTCTGTGTGTCAGGGCCTGGACCATCCTAGACATCATAAGTCGGCGCAACACCAGCAAATGGTCAAACGTAATGTTTTGTTTGATGTAAGAAGTTTGTTTCGTTTGGTTCTGTTTTGTGTCAGTTTTATCTATTCTTTTTTAAACTTTTGGTTCCATATTTTGTTGAATAAATTTATATTAACTGTAAAAGTTTTTGTTTTATTTTAGTAGCTTATTATTTAGACTAAGGTTAGGGTTTAACCACTGTGGGTTCTACCACGGTTGCACTGACCGGACAGATTAGTTAGTTAAGCCTAGAAGGGTAGATTTTAAGGTATCCCCCCCTAGCAGGGCTTACAAATTGGTAGCACGAGTGGGGTCAGTGCTTTAGTCTAGGTAAATTTTTGTCTTTTTTTGATAGGGCTAAGGGAAGCTTAGTTAAAATTTTTGTTTTTTTTGATAGGCCCTTTTTGGAACCATATGTGTGTAGTTTGTGTGTAGTGTAGGGATTGTTTGTTGTTTAAACACCCAGTCAGGTTGGCGGAGAGACGTGCCTTGGTGAGCCTCCAGTGTGCTAGGCGGGACAAGGCGCGGTGTGTGGCGCGTGATCTGGTGTGTGAGGCGGACCTACCACCGAAAGGCCTACGGCGAAACCCCTTGACCCACAAAGAGGGCTGCTGGACACCCGCCCCACAGGTGTGTCGAGTCGGGCACACGATCATTGGAGGCGGGTAACAGCACGAGAGCCAGTGGGGCAAGGCGGTTGCGTCACCACCTGGCCCAACCAAGCGGACGCTCCCCACCAACGAGAGGCCTATGACGTCAATTCCTGAACCCACAAAGAGGGCTACTGGACACCCCGCCCCACAGGTGTGTCGAAGCGGAGGCACGATCGTTGGGGGCGGGTAACAGTCGGAGAGCCAGTGGTGAAAGGCGGTGGCGTCATATCTGAACCAATTTTACCGGTGGTCTGGCGCTGAGGCCAGAACTAGAACACGGTGTGTTGTGTAGTGGACGGGATGGACAGGCAACGGGTGCCATTAGTAGCGGGCGGGTCTAGCCTGACCCTTGCCCTTCCGGATGAACGACCGACAGGACTAGTACTCAGTGAAGGGACCACTATCTTGGTGCCTTGAGTTTTTTTAGGAAGCACAGAGACGCAAGATTAATGTTATTGTACATTGTTTTTTTGCATTCAAGCTTATAGGCTTGGTGTGAGAGATGGGTGCATGTATTATTTTAAGATTGTTATATGCATTTTGTCTTACAGGGTCTGTAAGATTTTAAAAAGGGGTGAATGTGAGCGGGTGAATGGATTATTTATTTTGTATTAATATATTTGTTGCGAATCTGCGAGTTCATGGTGGTCCTATGGGGATCAGACACGGGGTCCCCTTCCGTCCGAAGCGGACAGTATAAATTAACCGGTCGGACGATTTTCTCCCTCTTTTTGACCCACGGCGAGATGTAGGTCGGGTCAGGTTTCTGCGTGGGCGCACCTCACGCGTGGAGGTATTTGTTTTTTTATACTTTATCTTTATGTGATTTGTATGAATGCGACTGTCGATGTTTCTCGTTTTCTTTCATTTTCGTCTAAAACGAGATAGTGAGCATCGGCATGTCTGGTATGCACGTGGTGTGTTATTTTGTTATTTTGAATTAAAATGTATTTTTGATGTTTTCTAAACCCTTGGCGTGTGTTTCGGACCACGTGGTTTAGGCCAGTGTTTTTAGGAGTGTTTCCTAAACTGGTGTGAATGCGTGTGTGCATTTACCTGATTGTTTTATGATGTTGTTATTGACTAGGATTGGCTTAGTCAATAGTCAGTTGGTTAGACAGTAATTAGATTAGTATATTTTAGTTGCCTCGAGTTTTAGGTTGTTTAAAATTAATGTGTGTGCTGTTTCGTGCAACGTCATGTTGAGTATCGCTTGCTTTGTGTCTGCCTTCATTGGGGCCTTAGCGGAGTGTGTTAACTTTAATGTTATCAATATAGATGTTGTTTATGTAAACCAATGGCTTCGGGCTTCCTTGTGTAGGAAAGATTGGTTCTACGATGAATTTGTTTACACGTTATTTTTAAGTTGCTAGTTTCTTGGTTAGACAGTGGTTAGTTGTTTTTGAGAATTGCTTTTAGAATTGTATAGTAAGGATTAGTTTTACTCGAGGCTTTAGCTAGATAGAAGTAGTAGGTAGCATTTTGAACTTGTGTATATATTTATGTATATATCTGCCATTACCATGCATTTTTCTTATGTTTTCCTTTTCTTTTTCTCTTCCCCCCCCCCCTTCCAGTGAGGTTGCTTGTGCAACTTGGCTGGGTGTTTTGTTATATATGAATTGTTTTGTTATATATGAATTGTTTTGTTATATATGAATTGTTTTGTTTGGTGTAAAAAGTTTGTTGTATACGTATTGTGTTCTACGTAATGTATTGTACGTAGTGGTTTTACGTAGTGTTTTGTTTGGTGTGGACTTTTGGATGTCGAGAATGGATGAAGGGAGGTTTCTGTGTGTCAGGGCCTGGACCATCCTAGACATCATAAGTCGGCGCAACACCAGCAAATGGTCAAACGTAATGTTTTGTTTGATGTAAGAAGTTTGTTTCGTTTGGTTCTGTTTTGTGTCAGTTTTATCTATTCTTTTTTAAACTTTTGGTTCCATATTTTGTTGAATAAATTTATATTAACTGTAAAAGTTTTTGTTTTATTTTAGTAGCTTATTATTTAGACTAAGGTTAGGGTTTAACCACTGTGGGTTCTACCACGGTTGCACTGACCGGACAGATTAGTTAGTTAAGCCTAGAAGGGTAGATTTTAAGGTATCCCCCCCTAGCAGGGCTTACATATATATTATATAAATATATACGCACATCCAGAGACGGATCCGGGCTCTAGAAATGAGATTCTGATGTCTGCATAGACGCCTGTGTATTAAGTCCATACACGAATTATATAATAAAAGACGAGGTTCGTTAAAGGTTCATCAGCGTGATTAGTCCTGTTAAAGATTTGCTTAGTATTATCTGGGTAAAGTCACTCAGATGGTAGGGTCACGTCACAATATTCAGCGGCTTTTGGAAGACAATCGTGCAAGTGATAATGGGGGAGGGGGGAGGGTAACAGAGGAGGAGATGGCTGGACGACATCCGGGACTGGGTCGGATTGTCCGTTGCAGATTCCCTGAGGGCATCAGAGCAGCGCACCTTTGGAAAGATGCAACCATGGTGCCCAACAACCATCCGACGGAGTTTTGAGAATAGGAGGGTAGGATAGCTGCTCACATAATGTTTGCATCTAAAAGTCTGGTAGCTCTTCATACACTTGGGTTCAAAAGACAGGTTATGGATGTATATCTAAAAGACAAATTGCATGACTGATGTTCCTAAGTAAGTTGCCATGAAACCCAACAGTCCAACCACATTTTATTGGCACTATTATTATATTTAATATCTAGTTAAAAAAAACTTAGACAAAAAAGCAATGGTTTATTTTTGTTGACATTACATTTTCGATGTTTATTAACAATGTTCGGGCTCAAGTGAGTATAATCAGTTGTATCAGTCAGTCATCAATGTAGTTATTTTCAAGCAGAGTTTCTTCCAGGCATCTCTTCGGGGGGGGGGGGGGGGGCTTCTACCGACACCCCCCCCCCCCCACCCGAACGAAATGGAATTCATATAGAAAATATATACTTTTAACAATGTCCGTCTCCGGAAAATTTTGTGCTCTTCCCCCCCCCCCCCCCCCCCGAAAATTTCAAGTGCGCACCCCCCCCCCCCCCCCGAGAAAAAAGTCTGGAAGAAACACTGTTTTCAGGTGTTATCTACTTTGATGGATTCTACATAGGAAGATTAATAGACGTTTAAACAGACTTTACACTGCTTTAGACCAGGGTCTGACTAACCCAATTCTACATGATTGGTATGTTCAGCTTCAGCTTTGATACACAATACAATGCAAACTCAGTATAGTACTTAATTTTCACGTAAGGGGTCATATTTCTTGCTGGGGGAAAACTGATTTATAGTGCAGTGTTTCTTACAGACTTTTTTACGGGGGGGGGGGGGGGGTTGGGGTGAGAGAGAGGCATTTGAAATTTTTCCGGGGGGAGGGGGGGGGGGGCGGACACTGTTAAAAATACATATTTTCTATATAAATTCCATTTCGTTCGGGGGGGGGGGGTTAGACTTTCTACGGGGGGGGGGGGGGAGGAGCCCTCCCGAAGAGATGCCTGGAAGAATCTGAGTGCAATAGGCTATATATTTTATTATTAACACAAGATCGTTCGTTGCTAGCGTCCAATTTACTGGACTTTTTTTATAAAGCGATATTTTTAATAGTAGGACCTATTCAATTTTAAAAAAAAATCGATAGTCATTTCTTCATTTAGTGTCCAAAAACGAAACAAAAAAATTACGAAAAATTTGAGAACTTAAGGTTTTTATATTTGTTTTATTAATTAAACAATCAGGCATTTAGCCTAACGGCTATTCTTGTCTGACAACTATGAACGTTTTTCTTTAGTAACGTCCCTTGGTAGGCGGTATCTCTTCGTTTGAGAAAACAATTTTTAAAAAAACATGGCGGAAAGCATAGACCTAGAAACGGTTATGTCTGCTTTTTGCAGAAACATAATGTGTGATCTTTACATGAACATCGGTAATAACTTGATAGATTCTATATGTTTAGGTTTTTCTTTACATCAACTATTCTTAGTCATATTTTCTTGGTTGAGATAGCTTACAAAAAATTAACAATAAAATCTCATTTCATTTTGTGTGCTTGAAATTTAACCGGAACAAGTTTTTTTCTGTATCAAACTCCAACAATCTGCGAATCGCAGTCTCAGTGCAGACTTTTCCAGATCTAGCAGCTAGGCTATTCTAGATAGATCTAGATCTAGATTCAAATTTACAGTGCATATGTTGAATCAACCACTTGAATCTCTAGCATAGCTTGACTTTACTAAGAATTTATTAAAGCTTATTATTCTTTCTTTAGCATGAAAGATGATGAGACACTGCTGGCAAGCCATTATTCAGTCAACTCAAAAGGAATCAATTTCAAACAAATGTGCCAAATGTTTTTCTTTCTCTTGTCATTAAAATCTAGATCTAGATCTAAATAATCTAATTCTAATCCAGATCAAAACAAGTCAGGCCATATATACCATGCCTGCACAGTCAGTGGCATAGTGAGTGTTGTGTGTTGTTCCTTAACAAAAAAATAAAAACTCTATTAGCCTACATTCTACATCAGTTTAAAAGCTCATTAAACAGAGTTGACTTCCATCATTACTGTTGAGATGGAACAAAATCATGCTTTTTTGGATTTTGCAATCGAAGCGACTGTAAACAAATTGACACAAAAAACAAAAAAACAACTTAAGCCTGAAAATGATTAAGAAATTAATCATTTTTAGATTCAATGTTATAAAAGTTGCAAATCCTGAGAACTTGAAAATAATTTTTTGAGTTTAATGTTACATTTCTATTTATTTACATCAAACCTAAGTTATAATATGAAGTTTCACTTTCATAACAAACATTGATTGGCTGCACAGAAAATACTAAAAGCATTCTGGGTTGGGTCTATTAGACCTAGCCTAATAAATTGCACAATAAGATTAAAGACTGCTAGTATTTTGAGACTTATTTAATTATAATTAACGAGCCGACCCGCGGCATATAATATGCCGCTTTTAGTTGTTGTTTTTTCTACTTTTCAGTAATTCATAATTTGTGAATTCGACAGTACCAACGCTGCCACTGAAAATATTTCTTTAAAACACTATAAGTATCTCGTTAAGGAAGATAACCCCCCCTCCTCCTCCCCCCTCCTCCCCCCCTCCGTTACAGTAAACTACACTTAGTTACTCCCCCCCCCCCCCTACGTTTAAAATCGTTTCAAACTAAATAATCTGCCCCTAATAGTCGTCATTAAACCCGGCTCTGCTTGTAAACATTAAGAGTGAATCACAGCTCACCAGACCATGTAGGGGTGGGGGTGGTAGGGAGCGTGCTTACAGCTTGTTTTCTAGCGTCTCCCAGAAGAGAATTATATATATAGATTAAATTTTTGTTCCGTCCACCCTAATTTTTTTCTTTGTTTTCAATCTGATCTGAAATTTCTGACTTAAACCTTCTTTACTCAGTCTTACTTAAGATTAGGGTTTAGTGATGTTTCTTATACTTTGGTCAACTTAGGTGATCTATTTATTAGATCTACCTACTTACTAGTCCAGTCGCTGTCCCTCATTATCCTAGTCTAACTACGCAAATATCAGGCTATCTCTATTCTCACTTGGGTCTATGAGGCTCATTAGATGGGGACAGCAGTTCTCCTAGTAGAAAAAAGTCCAAAGTCAAACAGGAGCAAAGTCCCGCAAGCAATAGAATTACCAATTCTGATTTCCGTTAGGCAGCTCCTGCAATACAGCTGATGCTAAGTTGTTATGGTAACACCTCTCTGTTTAATAAACCAGCTGCGTGGTGTGAGGAGGCCTGGTACATACACATCTGTACATCTCAACATTCTGCCCTGGCTCTGTCTTGAAATCATCCAATCACCTATTAGGCTATGAAGCCATCTAATTTTGTTATAGAAAATACTGAATAACCAAATGATTAGTCTATTTATTCTAAATGATTTTATATGTAACTGAGTCGTAACTGAGCAAAATATTTTAAATTAGGTTAAAACACTGTTTGTCTCTCCATAACTGTTACTTGTTTTACTTTACTGGAATTACTAGTGGTATTATTTTTAAAATTTTATACATTTAACTCTTTAGACAGATCATATTTATTAGGCTTTTATTTGTACAAAATATATTTAATTCTAGTTATTTGTTTATAATATCAAACAGTTTCAACAATTTAAGCAATTATATTTATTCTGAATGGTGTTCATGTATTATTTTTTGTTTGTTTTCTAGACAGCAATGAAATGCAGCTTGCTGAGACTTTGTTTGAGAAAAAATGTGCAAAATCTATCAGAGATCTTAATTCACAGAAAAATGCTTCACATTCAGAAACATCAATATGCCATTGTTTACAAACAGTTGCTCAGGTAACCTAGTTTTACAAGCAATTTTAGGCTGATTTTAACTTTTTATTTTCTAAGAAGGCACATTTATTAATGTTTTGGTTTTTTTTTTATTGTCTTTTTTAAAAAATATATATCTAGTAGAATAACCCACAGTTATATGTAAAATATAATTTTTTAAATGTAATACAATTTTTAACTATTACGTGTTTTTTAAAGTTTATTTTAGACCTAACTTACATTGAGGAGTGCAAACTTGTGGATACTGAATTTCCTCCTGACTCATTTCCTCGGGTCTCATATATCTTGGGTAACATTCCAGCCTTTTTTTTCTCTCATACTTTTCATTAGATAGAATTTTTAAGAAAATGTATTTAACTAATAATTGGAGTTGTTGAAAATACTAATTTAGATTTTTAAAATCCTACATTTTGAAAATATAAAATATTAATTTAAACCAAAGAAAATTGTAATTATAAATACATTTATTGGTTCAGGATTTAACTTATGTATATTCTTTACTTTTAATTGGCTTTTAAAATGAATATTTTAAAAGAAATATGAGTATTTCAGACAGCTTACTGTTCAAAATGTATTTATGTTTTGTTCGTGTTTCTCTTTTTTTCATTCCATATTAAAAAGATACACTGAGTAGTATTGAACATCTTGCCAAAAAGGTTATGCCTAACAAAGAGGTAAATACAAATTGGTATTTCAATCTTAAGTTCACCAAATCAATTCCCATTATCAATTAGGCTAAAGATATATTAGGAAACTTGCTCAATGAAGGCTTAAATTACACACAGTTTTTAATTGTGTATATAAAGTTTAATTTTTCTTTTGACAATATTAACGGTAGTAGAAGATTTGAAAACTTTTATAGCATGGTTATAAAAACCAGTAAAAAGTCAAACTAACCAATGTAAAGTTTCATCATGTGTGTGCCAATAAATTAATATTTCCACCATGATATAAATACATTTAGAAAGTGAACATTAATACTGATTGTTGTATATTTTTTGTTCAGCCCATTGAAGTCCTGCTTTCAGAAATCATTGAGTGCATTAGATGGCGGAAAGGAGCTTTGTTGTATATGTACTGTCACACCTTAAATTCTCCATCTCAGGCACCTAATTTCCCCACACATTATCAGAAGGTAATATTTAGTAACTAGCAGTTTCATGTATTTATTAATTTTAGTAGAATAAGCTTAATATTTAAAAAGTTATTTAAAAATAGCTTAGGGATCAGTGTTCAGTTTTGCGCACTTCCTCTAACAAAAATTATTGACTTAAAATACTTTTGTTACTTTTTAAAAAAATGTTTAGTGCTTGGAAGATGGTATCGACCAGCTGAAGTGGATGCTTTGTACCAGATCTTCACCCAAGTGGCTGCTGGACCTCTCAATGGATGATTCAGAGAAAGTTCCAGATCTTGAAGAGGATTCTGATTTCCTTTCTTCTCAAGGCTAGTATTAGATATTGTTATGTGTGTAAGAATCATTATATAAGAAATATTTTTGTGAAATAACATTAGTAATATAATTTTCATTACCTTAACAAAAGTTTTCTGTGGTGTCTTTAAAAATAAAATAAAATTATTAGATTAGAAATGTAAGTATTAGCAGGAAACTACTAGATATTTGTAAATAATTTTTAATTTTAAAAAATCTTTTTGTCAGGGATTCTCAGTGATACCCACCTCCTAGCCTTGATGTATTGTGGTGAACTCTGCTATTGGCACACTGAAGCTGTTAACAAAGGGCTTTTTACAACTGATCAAACTACAGATGAGAAGATCCCTGAAGAAGTTAAACAAGGGGAAGACACTCTTTGTGCCAGTCCAATTGAACCGAATCAGAGGTTATCTCCCATTGATGATAACTCAGTGAAAGCAAACAAGGGAAGTGACTGCGAATGTTCAGATGCGAGTTCAGCAGTGAATGAAATAGAAAAAAGACAGTCAGACTCTTTAGAATGTTGCAATGTGACCAGTGATATTAAGAAAGTTGGACAGGCTTGCATGGAGATGTACATAACAGTTGCCAATGGGCCGATGGCGCCTGGGGGATGGAGCACGGAGAGAGCAGAAGAAATTTTACAGTTTTTTACTGCAGGTAAACCTGGGAGTTAGCTGCCCCTGCTGATCTTGTTGGTAGAAACAAACGGTTGTTGAAATATTTTTGTTTTAAATTGATTCCAGTTGTGTTTGTTTTTTTCAATTGTGATATGGTCTGGCTAAAATCAGGCTCTTTGAAAATAATTGTTTTATTCATTTTGTAGGATTTATTATTATAAGATATTAATATTATCATTACACAATATTGTAAGTGTAAGGTATCAGCAAAAAAAAAAACTGCCCAAATAAAATTGCCACTTTATATTTATTAAAACAGTAATAAATTTGAATTTATCTGATTACCTATAATTTATTAAATAGTAAAATAGTAATGGATTTTTAAACTGAAGATATATTTCACCATTCGCTGGTTATGTTAAAGTAAAAAAAAAATTAAGAGACTTGGGATGTCCAGGTTTACTAAAGCTAGCATTTACTCATTGCATAATTATTTCTGGTCAACTTACTGCCGCCCATTTTGTGTTGGTTTAAAACCAGTAACAAAAACTTTGGAATAAAGAGATCAGAATTTTGATTGGTCTGTCTTTGTTTTTGTCATATGATCTTTTGAAGCTTGACTGTTGACGGTAATTTCATATTTCTGTTATTTTTTCTAATTAAACAGTTTATTGGTCTGGTTTCTGTTTTTAATTAGTTAATTTTCAGCCAGTTTTATTTTAATAAATTTTGTCTTGTTTTTTTTCTCCCATGCACTTTGACTTTTATTAAGTGCTGCAAAGAAAAACATATATTTTCTTTGCTTGGAATTACAAATATTTCAAGGCAAATCCTTTATAGTGCCAGATCTGATGCTTTTCAATGCAAGACCAGGCATAAACCTAAATGCGATGAGAAATCTCGTTCAAAGACAATAACAAAATCTCAATGATACTATTACTAGATGGCAGAAACTTGTTGTATTACTTGCATGAAAATGGTAACTTCTCTCAACTTAAGGTGGGCACAAGAGAAAAAAACTTAATACAGCAAATAGAGTTTAAGCAACCAATGGGTAGTACCAAGTACATTATTCTAACACTCCACCTCACAGATTTCTGAATAAAGTTTTCATTTGAAAATTTGGATAAATTTTATCAATCAATTCACGATATAGTAATAGACAAACTTGTATTTTGTTCAAATCTGTTTACTGTGCAGAAAATACAAATGATATTTACAAAGCAAATTCAAATACATTTTGATTTTATTTTCTATAAAATTATGTACAAAAAATATTTTTAAAAATCACAATATCATACATCTAAATACCAAGCAGCAAAAATATGTCATCTTCAGTTGATATCACAGCTCAGTGGAATTTGAAAGGCTAGACCAAAAAAATCTGGGCATACAAAAGTCTATGAATCTCTGTCTTGTTTGGTTTTTTTCTTGACTTTCTTTGTCCTCTCCCATCTGATGGTCTCAGCTTCCAATGCTGCCAGCTCTAGCAGCCTCTGTTGGAAAGATGCAGGGGCGCCAGCAAGTGGGTCGGTGTACTTGGGCTCTGCTGATTAAGTCAATTGATATGTCGCATTAAGTTGGGGCTGTAGTGTATGAGCCAGACAGAATGTACTGTTGTTTTGTTTGCTGTTTGAGTGGCTTAAAATGTCATGGTTATGGTAAAGAAAGTATAAGAGTAAAGAAGGTGTGGCTTTGAGTTGTATTTTTTTTTAAATAGTTATGCATTGGGTGATCAGGCTAGATGTATACTATTTAGATGTGCATTATAGAAATAATAAAAGGCAGATGGTGATGGATTAGACACACCCTGCCCACCAAACTAACAAAAAACTCAGGCAGGCATTAGATTGGAATCTTCAGGGTAAGAAAAAGTGGGTAGAAACTTGGGAAATGATCAGTTGATAATTAAACACAAGCAGCTGTTATGTCATGGACCCAACTTGGAGGAATCTCCCAAAAACAGATGAAAAGGTGTGGTTGTGTTCAAATGATCAGGGATGATGAAGATGTGTATGAATGATAAAGCAGTTAAGCTTTATTGGGGTTAGGTCTGAGACACTATCATGTAGTATGGCAAAGGGATGCGATCAGGTAATATGGCCAAGCGGTGCTACCAGGGAGTATGGCCTATCTGCAAGTATGCTCAAGGGACGCTATCAGGTGGTATGACCAAGGGACACCATCAGGTAATATGAGCAAGGGACGCTATCAGGTGGTATGACCAAGGGACACTGTCAGGTGGTATGGCCAAGGGACGCTATCAGGTGGTATGACCAAGGGACGCTATCAGGTAATATGAGCAAGGGACGCTATCATGTAGTATGAGCAAGGGACACTATCAGGTAGTATGAGCAAGGGACACTATCAGGTAATATGAGCAAGGGACGCTATCATGTAGTATGAGCAAGGGACACTATCAGGTAGTATGACCAAGGGACGCTATCAGGTGGTATGACCAAGGGACGCTATCAGGTAGTATGAGCAAGGGACACTATCAGGTAATATGAGCAAGGGACGCTATCATGTAGTATGAGCAAGGGACACTATCAGGTAGTATGACCAAGGGACGCTATCAGGTGGTATGGCCAAGGGACACCATCAGCAAGTATGGCCAAGGGACGCTATCAGGTGGTATGACCAAGGGACACCATCAGGTAATATGAGCAAGGGACGCTATCATGTAGTATGAGCAAGGGACATTATCAGGTGGTTTAAGCAAGGGACACTATTAAGCAATATGGCATATGAAACCGAGTTTTCGTAAGATGGGGTCACTATAGATGACATAGGGCGGATGTCAGAAGTCCAGAGCTTTGATTTTGAAAAAAAATAATCTAAAACCGGCAACACGAGGTAGACTAAACAAGGGGCATTATTTGATCAAACGTAAAGGCGTCTCTATGTAGGCTAGGTGCGGCATTAAATCTAACCAAGGGGGTGTAACTCTCGGTTAGGGACAAGGGGCCAGCAGTTAGTCTAACTGTAAAGGGTTTCCCCTGGCTAGTCTGGGCAAGGGGCGCCACTAGGTGATCTAACTAAGACATCTGGGCTGCTTGAGGCTACCTTCAAGATTCGCAATCAACCCTGATTCAGCCTAACCAAATTATTTGAACGCAAATAGTAACAACAAAATTAAACCATCACATAGCTATCTCACCTTCTTTAATATTGTTGTAGTTGCCCATGTACTGTTTGGCTGAGGGGCCGTTGGAGATGCCGTTAAAACTGGAGCTGTGGGTGAGCCGGCTGGAGGGTGTGCTCATGGGCAGCACGATGGACCTTTTCTGTGAGCCGGGGGCCGCGGAGCCGTTGGGCAGCTGGGCAGTGGATGGTAGTGACTTAACGGTGGCAGTGGAGTTGCTGAGTGCCCGCGAGGTTTGAACGCCGGATGTGTTGGTTTGACTGAATAGAGTCCCCGTGGCGACTAGGTCGTCGGGTTCTCTCCCTTTAAGTGAAAGGGAGATAAAATTGGATACCAGTAATTGGCAAATAAAGTAATAACAATAATAATAAAAGATTAAAGCTACATAAGAAATAGACATAGATGCCTCAAATTCTTTTAAAATAATTTTAAAAATTTATTGTGCGTTACTGCGTATATATCTAAACATGTTTAATTACTTCCCGATTGCTTAATAGTATACATTTTGGTTCTAATACATATATTTTTAAGATAATTTTAGCAATATTATTTTAAAGTTAGATAGTCATGTAGGTTAAACTGGGTAGAAAATACCTGAGTTTGAGCTATTGGCTTTCTGTGATGTGAATTGCTCTCCCCTGACCAGACTGTTACGGATATTCGCTCCCTTGATGACCTGTGGCTTGGATGTTGATGCCCCGTTCATGGCGCGTCCATCGTCCCGCTCACGGTCTAAGAAGGCTGAGGACCAAACACAACAAGATTCAACCCACGCGAGTGGAGATCAGCTAGAAATCTAAGTCTTATTTTTTTTAAATGAAATAGCAGTAATAATGCGGAGCGTGCTAGTTACCAAGTAACATGTTTATAACTCGCCTCATGAATATTTAAGTTAGCAATGTAAATAGCCGACTAACACTACTAACAGCAGTTAGTATAAAGTTCCCCTTTCGAACCTGACGGTCCATGGGGCAAATGAAGTAGAGTTCACCTGTTTCTGTGACCTCGGCATATGAAGGGATAGTATGGTCAGCACTATGCCCAGCCGCCTTTACCTACCCTAACGTGAGTTAGGTACCCTTCAGAGTTGGGTTGACTCAGGGGCGTTATACAGACTTGAGGCCGACAATCGAACTCGAGACTTTCGGATTAGCTGTCTAGAGCTCTACCTCTAGGCTCCGCCGTCCCGTTATAATTATGGGCCCTGAACCGTAAAGACTACTACAATAAACTCAGACTTAATTAACCATAAATTCAGAAGCGCCGTCTAGTAAGTTATCAACAAAATAATAAATAACTAATCACATAATAAGTCTTGATTATTTTCATTAAACATCAGAATTGTAAGTAATGATGCAGTTTTTATTCATTTCACAGTAAATAAAAATATCTAATATTTATACCCAGCTTAAGAAAGTGGGTCAAAACATACCATTGACCCAAATAAACCTTTATTGTTTATAACTTTAGATTAAAACATTTAAATAGAACATCCTTTAAAAAATGTAGCTGAAGAGCTACTTTATAAACAAATAGTAACAAAACACCACAGCATAACCTGCACACAATAAAAGCAAGAAAACACCACAGCAACACACCTCAAAAACTTACAGCATCGAGCACAGATAAGCAACACAGGTTGAACTTATTAAAAAACTGGTAGTGACAGGCAGAAACCAATAACACTTCACGTCCAGACGTTACACCAAGCACAGTTAAAAGTGTGTGTGGGGGGGGGGGGGGGGGGAGACCAGAGGGAGCCACTAAAAGTTTGCCGCTTCAGTATGGCTTTATACGCGAAAAAAAAATTTGCATTTTAATCTTTCTTTTTTTATCTAGGTGCTTCAACGGAGGTGAATCCAAAAGCCCGTTGATATACACATACACATACATAAATATAAATAAGTAAATATATATATATATATATATATATATATATATACATACATACATACATGTATATTTACATATATATATACATACATACATGTATATTTACATATATATATATATATATATATATATATATATATATATATATATATATATATATATATATATATATATATATATATATATACACATACACACACACACATATATATATATATACATATATATATATATATATATATATATATATATATATATATATATATATATATATATATATATATATAGACAG